TATAAAAGATTTTAAATTGACAATGATATGAAGTTAACTATACCAATATTTAATTCTTTAGGTTTCAGCTAAGTGTTTATGAAAATTTATGTAGGCAAAGGATGTGAAAAATAATAACTATTAAATTGAATACTAGATATAAAAATTTATTATTCAAATATATCTATTTTTCCTTTTTGCTTATAATTTAGTAAACCAAATGTTAGAAGAACATAAATTTTATTGCAATTCTTAGATGCAGAATCTATTAACTTTAAACTAGAAAAGCATACATATTTTACTTTATGTTTAATGAACAAGGTTTATTAATTTCTTGAAGTTCATTGAGTTTTAATTTAGATTATTCGAAGAAAGACTTGTTTATATTTTGAATATTATTTACATGTAGGCTTAATATTCGACTAAATCAATAATTGATCTTTAAATTAAAAAAATGCTTCTACTACTTAAATAATTACACTCAACTTAAGAATTATATGTATTTTTATAAATCAGGGAGCTGTTATCAAATTGTGACAGCATTTAATGAATTAGGGATAAGTATAGAAAGAGAAATTACTTAGACACAAAAATTAGATAAAATGCTTGAAACTAAAATATCCAATTTTTAATAATCGGATATTTATCAAGCCTTCAAACTCTATTGATGCATTGCTATCCTGAGAATTAAAAAAAACTTTATGAATTGGCTAATAATAAAGATTTAATTTTCAGATTCTTTAAGAAATGAGTAATGTCAATTTAAATAGATATATCATTTTCCCTTCTCAATCTGAAAAATCAGTAATTAAGTACGAATTCCTTAATATTCATTCAGCACTTTCTATTTGCATGGATTCCTAATTAGTCTCACAAATTAAGGAAACTAAATTTCATCCCAAAAGAAAAACTTATAGCAGGGTCATCAACTAATTTGTGAGTGTTAAGATGGATATTATATGAAATTCAGGACTAAAGATTATACAACCTCATATACCAAATCGGCCAAATTTTAAATGGATAACCTATATTTCTCACCATTTTTGTTTCTGTCACTTTTTCTTGTTCTGCTATGTTAAAAGTATTGGTGATTTATAGTTTTACTATTTATTATTGTTTTAATTCATCTGCAGTGTTTAAGGTACTGATCTACTTTGAAAGGCTTATTGTAATTCTCTACTATAATAAAAGACTTAGAGAAAAGGAATTGGTCAGGTTTATAATATACAAAAGTTAGAGAAATTTCTTTAATTTAATTTGTACAATATAATATTGGAAGAATCGACTAGATAACACTTTCAATAATCAGCTAATCGAAGAGATCGTTATGGCTGTCTTATATTTATAGAATTCTTGCTATAATTAACTACTTAAAGATAATTTATTTATTTCTGCTTGTAATTACTTCCTTTGTTATTTTAAAAATTTACACACACACAGAGCCAATAATCCCGTGATGATGTTGGAAAAATAGATAATTTATTTTTGAAAAAACATAGTGTTGGGTATTTAATTGAATATTTCCTCATAAAAATTAACTTTGATTCTATTGTTTAATAAACAAATAATGTATTTCAAGCACCTGTTAATTTTCAAATGATTTCTTATCCTTTAATCAGACTGGAAATCTATATGAAATATTTCCTTCTTTTTGAGAAACGGAAACCTTTTAGTGGAAAAATGTAACCATAAAAATCTTCATTTTGAATATATCCATGTTGGTAGCCTTATAATTTAATGGATTGTTATAACTTATTTATTATGACAAAGAAAAAAGCAATCAATATATAATCGCAATAATTTTTGGCTTTAGGCATAGAAAATAATTACATAATACATTAAAGGAATTCAGCATTTCAAGAAAAATTGTATATATAATTTAAATTTGGAGATTTGTACAAAATTATATGCAGCCATTGAAGTTAAATTAGATATTTCAATATTGACAATAAATTTTTTTGACTTGTTATTTCTGAATATGTTAGTGGGAATTAGAATCATTCTTATGAAAATCAACTAAAGATAGCTAATATTAAGTTTTATCAACATATGCAGTATTCATTTCACAACAATACCTCTGCTTAATTTTTAAATTCCTAAAAAAAAAAGTAAGATAAATATTTTTGGAAACTTAAAGGATATTGAGAAAAAAAAGACCAAAATGGGTTTACAATCTAATTGATTGTGCACAAAATTTCGCAATAACATTTTGAAATCCTACTTCAATATTGGGCCATTTTGTGGAGTTTAGATAGGATAACTAATTCTAAAATTTAGGATTTATTTATGAAGAAATAAAGTTGTCAAAATTACCATAGCCATTCGGTCCAATTACAAAGTGGGCCTCTCTATTAGGATAATCAAGGAACACTTGAAGAATATTGCGAATGGAACTCAAAGGAGTAGAGATGGGAGTTGAAGAAAGAATATGAAGAATTTTAATCATTGACCTCATTAAAAGAAATTAAAAATAAAACCTGAAAAAAATAAATGATACAATTCAAATACCCTAGATAATAAATTACTACAAACACGTCAAACATCTATGCATAGAAAAAATTAAGAAAGCACCAGGTGGACCAACAAAAGAAGAATATAACGAAAAACCATGGAGGCAGCATACTAAACTTACATTAAATAGATATAGGAAGAACCTAAAAATTGTAAAAACATCAGTGTGGAAGAATTAATGAATCTAGTTGATTATTAAATACCATGATATAATAAAGCTATTTAAATTAAATTTATCAGTCTGTATATTGTAAGACTGATAATGGAAAATTAATTTACTAATAAAGGAGAAATAGATCTGACCCTATTTGATATCAATAATGGAAAGAAAATGACTACTGCTTGGCATAAAGTTTAATTTCACTAAATAAAGTTGCGCGGAAAATAGCTGGAGCGGATGAAATAAAACCTACAATTGTATAGAGTATCCAAATTTCTTGCAAGAGAAGTTGAAAACCTTCCTCAAAAAAAAAAGAAGGAAAATGGAAGAAAATGTTTGAAGAAGTAGAATTATGAGCATAAGCAAATGATTTGTAATATACGTTTGATAAGAAATAATTCATATTTGTACAGAAATATTTATTGAAACAACTAAAATTTCTGACTAAGGAAGGCTTCAAGATGACTAAATATATCTCCATAGGATAACAATGAACTCGAGAAAATGGAATTAACAAAGTGGTGAAATTTCGCAAATTTGGTTGACCATAAGTGGAGGCCTAAAACATAAATGGAAATTACAAAGAGGCAAATAAAATAGTTAGCAAATTAATTAAGTATTAAAGAAAATTCATACCCTTTAGAGCGTTCAAAGCGCTATAGACCTTATATATATGACCTCAGATCAGAGAATTACATGTCTAAATAATCTTAACTTTGGTTTATTATTTTTAATTGTAATGAGTTAAGCTAATTTAGTGCAAACATCACTATTGCAATTCTTAAACCCTCCATAAGCAAGCACATACACAAACAATGCATTAAATAGTGAAAGAATAATAAAAATTAGTAAGTATAATCTTTGTTAGTTTTATAGCAGCGATTGAATAAACTTGGAAAGTATAGAGATGGTGGAGAAAAATAAAAATAGTGGGATCTAATAATTATTCGGAAAGGTTAGTAAGATGGAATAAAAATAAATTCAACGCATTAGACACTCAAGAGTTATATGAAAATATTGGGATGATATTAAGAGAAGACTAAGATGAATAGATGAGTTAGAAATTGTGGAAGAATAACGAGTATTGTAATAACGAGAGAAGGTAGTAAGGAAATTGTGGCAGCTGAAATTGTCAACTTGGATGGATAGGAGATGAAAAATACCTTTCTGAGTTCTGTCATAAATATCGTACTTAAGGTGAAGTGTTTAGCAATATGTGCTAAAATACATATTGTTATCTATGATGCAAACAAGAAAAACTATTTTTATTTCGGGTTAGATAATTATGATAAAATTGTGTGTCCTTATAGAAAGAATGGATTAATTAAAAAGTAGAAAAAATTAAACAAGATCCACCAATAATGTCAGAATCTATTAGGGTAGAAACTATCAACCGTATAATAGATAAGAGATTTTTGGATTCAGAAAAATCTTATGGCAATTAAAGGATGCATGAGGGGATAATTTAATAACTAATGGAGGGGATATAGGTAATTTAATGGGCCGTTGAGCAATTATGGAAGCAATTTTCAACCATAACCTCATTACTATAGAGGAAAAAAATTTAGAGAGTATCCAAAAGGCTTCGACCTTTTGGTTAAAGAAGAAGGAATAATAAAGCTTAAGGATGAGTGCTGACGGGTGAGTCAGCTAGATTTATAGACAAGTCTAGGTAAGTTAGAAGTTGTCTTAAGGGAAACCAAGTAATAAAAATGATTTGATTGTTTCCCTCAATCACCATAACACAATTAAACACACTCCTAGAATAACAAGTTGGAATTTTGGTTCAATAAAGTAAGGTACCAGTCAAGTTGCAAAGAAAACTAATCGCATATTATTTGTCTATAGGAGACACGATAAAAATCTATTCAAAACTCTCCTTCATACACCTTTGTTGATAAAGAAGGGAAGTCTGAACACTAAGGAGGAGTTGCTATAGGAATACACTCATGTCTTGAGTTCTCTGACATCTCGGACAAGGTTATACCTGGAGATTTTAATTATGGTATAGTACAGTTCGATTAATTTGACTAGCATTATGGAATAATCAGACCTAACATTCACTAGAACAATCCAAGAAAAGTAGTGTAATCTCTTTAGATTCCATTTTTTACTCAGGACAAGCATACAGTGAGAAAAATCTCCTGTTTACTAAACTCTTAGCTCATTCAAGAATTAGCTGTCAACTAACTCTATAAGGAATTTAAAATTAGAACGAACATAGGATTAGCTGAAGTAAGACGAATGCTTATAACCTCAATTAAGAAGTAACATTAAAATGTAATGATTTGTAAGCATGATGCAACTATGTAAGATATAATCTAAGAAAGCGACAAGTAATTAAAAAGATACGTGTAACTTTACCAAATCAGGCTAAAAGAATATAAACGTTTGAAGAATAACTTATGAAAATTGGCTAAATTATTTAATCAACCAAACTCCAAGTAGGCCTTCCAAAATATAAAAAGAATGGCACCCTTAATCCTTCAAAAAAGGAAGCTGGCATCTTTATATGCTTTAAGGATAATCAAGCTAATACACATACTCATCCATATAAAGAAGAAAATGTACGACGAGAAGGAGACAGAATTTCGCAGAGAAGTGTATATCAGCCCTTACCCTTACTAATTTGCACCTTACATCAAATGAAGAGATTCAACAGCTACAAAAACTAATCTCAAATAATAAAGCTATAACTATAGATGGTATATCAGACACTTTTATTAGGAAAAAAAACTAAACAGTTAAAAAGCTCTTTGGAATGATAATACTCGCTAATTAATAAATATATTGGTCAAGCTTGTGTAGTCCCACTGAATAAGGTATATCCAGAAATCCTCTCAAAATAGACCTATCACAATACTTAGCCCATTATTCAAATTTTTAGAATTAAGATTTTAAGAAAATTTAAGATTTCGCGAGCCGCATCTAAAATATGAACAAAATGGCTTCATACCTAATAAAGGAACATAAGTAATTATAGAGAAATTGGTTGCCGTCTTAGGCAGTGTGATTGGAGAGAAACTGTGTAATTTTTATAGATTTTTCAAATGTATATTGAACTATTATCAAAACCAAGTTATTTTAGATTATGGAGGAAAAATAAGTATTACACTTGAACGAATTATGATTCCTAAATGTTTTTACTCATTACTTCATTATTAAGACCCTATCAAAGAAAAATGGTGATTTAAAAATGGAGTCGTTTAAGGATCCCCATTATCACCATCACTATTCAATATTTACTTGGCTGCCTTCTTATAAGATTTATCTTCAAAACTGAATCAGGAGCTGAATGTTAGTGTTTATGCAATGATCTAGTTTTTATTGTAGACGCCAAAGCTGCGGACCAGTTTATTTATTTACTTGAGGAAACAAGTAGATTATGGAGCTTAAAATTAAATAAAGCAAAATTTAGAATATTTCTTTTTGGATAATAAATCCCCAGAAATATATAGGGTATTAAATCCTGATGAATTATAAATATCTTGGAATCAATCTATCAGATAAAGCTTCAACATCTAACTAGATTAGTAAATAAAAGGAAGAATTAATCATATCTCCAATTAACTCAAATGGATCTGCTCTAAAATGGATTTAAAAACTTCAAAGAATGATATCATAAAATTATAAAGAAAATCTCTAAAGATGATAACCAGAAAGACAAAATCGACACATCAAAATTCACAGGTATAGCCAGGTTCCTTAAAACCTAAATGATGTATACTACTAGCAAGGAAAAATATGCAATACTCATAAATGCAAGCTAATAATTAGCATATAATTGAATAAGATTTGGGCTTAAATTTGAAGAATTGCAGTCATTCCTCCAGGGGAGTATGTAGAAAAGTAAAGATATCAAGATGAATAAAACGAAATTCAAAATAAAGGATACAAAAAATTAAATTCTTCAAAATTATAATGCACTTTATTTTGATTAAACTTTGAATTAAATTTACTATCTTAATATCTTTGATTAATTGCTAATCAAATATAGGCCAAATCTACCGGAATAAACTATCATATGAAAGATAACATAATTAAACTTTAAAAATAGAAAGATTTTCAACCTACTTCATCAAATTTTGAATTATGGTCTAATGAGTAGAAGTTACGACTAGGTTTCAATTAAATTATCAACCATGTTAACTTAGACTCTTAGTCGATTAATCTTTTTTCTCAGACAATCCATCGAAGTAACTTAACATCAGCTTTTCCTCGAAATAATTACTAGTTTAATTGTTATGCAATGAGATTTTCTTATTCCTTGTATTTTTGTTCAATTTTTATTTCGGTTTAGAAGTTCAATTTTTAATGAAAAATATTTAAATCTGCAAGATTTCTTATTGTTGACAGGATTAACATGACATTTTTTATTGAGAATAATGTTTAATTCTTTAATCATATTCTTCTTATAAATATTAAAGATTTAAATAAATATAATAATATAATGATTTTCAAAATAGACTCAAAATAATATAAAATATTTTATTGCAATCTAAAATCAGCATATCAGCATAGAGGCTTTAAAAAACAATTGCAAAGGTTATGCTAATCTGATTTCTCCTGTTTTTATCTCATCTATTACAGAACATACATTATGAATAAGCCATTGAAAGCTTTATTAGATATACACCCTTAATTTATCAAATTAATCTCCTAACTAGAAAGCATTTTGCATAATATCAATATGGAAGCCATTTTACTATTGGTAATCAAGAATTTTTAACTTTTAATTATTGTAAGTTTGAATGTTAGTTAATGTAGTATAATGAAGTAAAGAATTTAATTGGAAAAAATCATAAAAAAAATACTAAATTTCACCAAAATTACTTTGTGAAGATTTATTAAATTTAGCAAGTATTAATGTATATTCATTCAGTAAAACATTCAAGATTTTGATTTAATGGAATGAATAATGGAAATTCAACTAGATGTTAATTGAATATAGTGAAATTAGCAGATGTTTAGCATTAAATTGGTGATCATATTAAAGATTACTGTATAAGTACATAATTTTTTGGAAATTAAATTAGAGTAGATTATCTGTGAGTTTATTATGATGATAGGAAGAATGCTGATAACCATTTTTGAATATGCTTAAATATCAAATAATTTAAACTTTATTTATTAATTATCAATTCATTTCATTTTTTTCATGTAAGAGAATTCTATAAGGTCTTATGTGTAGGGATTTATTTATAAGAAAATATCCATTTTCTTTCATTTATTTACTTTGCCTGATATAGTTAGGAGATACTCTTGACATAAATATTACTGCAAATTGTTTATTACAAATAGGAGTGTATTAGCAATATTGAGTAGAGATTAAAAGTTTATCAGTAAAATAAATTCCTTATCCAACATAAACTTGATTTCCAAATTAATCTCGACATTCATCATTAGCATAGTATTAAGCAAAACCAGGCTATAAATTTTTTTTCACAATTGAACATATAGATTTTTGTTGTGTTCCATGATACATAATTCTCCATTCATTAGGATTACCATCTTTTTATAACCAATCTTAATTTCCATATTTATTTACGTTTAATCAAAATCCCTAGCAACCTTTTGGATAATAATAATCATATTTATGAAAAGAAGATCCTCTCACTACTTTCTCATTATAACCATCCCAACTCTTATTGTATAAAGGATTAAAATCATTTGTAGAAAGAGTCAATCCCTTCTATTATGAGCACTAATCAAAAAATATTGTAAATATTCAATTTTTCCATTAGAATATTCTTGCAAAAATTTTTAAGCATACATATTATTTTATATTTGTTATTAAATAACATCTGTATTATTTCCTTGAATCTTAAAATAAATCTCAAAGCTTCCTTTAGATACTCCTAAAATTTCAACTTAATCAGAAGTAATATTAAGTGAGTTTGATAGTTTTTTCTTAAATTCTAATAAATGCTGTTTTAATAATTGCTTATCATTTACAATTTTATCGAAGTCAAGATTTGTGTTCCTAACTTTGAGATAATATTAATCTTAGGCAAATGCTCCTGCAATTGAGCTAAATCCAATTGAATACTATTTGGTAGTTATTAATAATTCCCTATTTTAATCTCTTAAAAGTTATTCTTTTAAAACATAAAGCATCAATTCATAATTTGAAGCTTCAATATTCTATCTTACATGAGGAATTGATTTGGTTTCACCTTATTCTTTTAATTTTACAAATAATTATTATTAATATAAATCTTTATAATACTACTTTTATTCATTGGTAATATTATTAATATTATCTAATTTTTGGATTTCTTAGCTTAAGATTTTTATTTATTATTAAATTGATTTTGCACGAATAAATTATGATACCATTGTTTAGTTTATTACAATTTAGATATTCTCTGATGTATTTTAGATGTAATCTTCTTTGTGTAATAATTGTTATTCTACTTATAATTATTGTTTTGGATATTTTCTTATAGTCTTTTTAATTATTTCTTTTTAATTCCTTTTAATTGGGCTTCTATTTTATTCTAAATAATTTCTTGCCTTATGGCTTAATAAATTGGATTCCTGAAGTTATATTTAAAATAGTTAACTCTCATTAATATTTGTAAGCTCCTAGTTACATGTTTAATAAAGGTATTGAGGATTTAGTAACTCTTACATTTTCAAAATATTATAAGAAAAACTGAAATAATTATTAGAGTTTAAAATGCGCCTTAATAGAATTAAATAAATTAATTTTAAAAATAAAGCCATTTTTTTTGTAAATACTATGAATGTTGCGTATTCAGATAAGAATGGGGTTAGTATAAGCGTAGAACTTTTTTTTCTTATTGAGAGTTAATCGATTCCAAATATACTATTTTATAGTTAAATAATTAAAAGGATAAATTAGTTTGATTATAAAAACCTCAAATTTTATGGAAGGTTAATTCTAAAATTGGACAAAGCCAAAAATTGTTTATAAATTAAAAATATTGATAAGCTAGACTCATGGTCACGAATTCTGAAAAAGGAATTCTTAATTAATGAGTATTCAAAGTAAACAATTTCTAAATAATTGTAAGAGTTTTTGCCTTTAATAAAATTTAAACCAATAATACTCTCATTTATAGTCAAATCACCTAAATGGGTACTAAATTATATTCACAATATAAAATATTATATTTATTTTATTATATATTCTTCAACAAATTTTCTATAAAAATTATTTATATATTTACTTTTCAAATTATTTTATGAGTAATATAAGTTAATCTTAAACAGTTACTCATAAAAACATTATTTGTTATAAATCAATTTNATTTGGTAGTTATTAATAATTCCCTATTTTAATCTCTTAAAAGTTATTCTTTTAAAACATAAAGCATCAATTCATAATTTGAAGCTTCAATATTCTATCTTACATGAGGAATTGATTTGGTTTCACCTTATTCTTTTAATTTTACAAATAATTATTATTAATATAAATCTTTATAATACTACTTTTATTCATTGGTAATATTATTAATATTATCTAATTTTTGGATTTCTTAGCTTAAGATTTTTATTTATTATTAAATTGATTTTGCACGAATAAATTATGATACCATTGTTTAGTTTATTACAATTTAGATATTCTCTGATGTATTTTAGATGTAATCTTCTTTGTGTAATAATTGTTATTCTACTTATAATTATTGTTTTGGATATTTTCTTATAGTCTTTTTAATTATTTCTTTTTAATTCCTTTTAATTGGGCTTCTATTTTATTCTAAATAATTTCTTGCCTTATGGCTTAATAAATTGGATTCCTGAAGTTATATTTAAAATAGTTAACTCTCATTAATATTTGTAAGCTCCTAGTTACATGTTTAATAAAGGTATTGAGGATTTAGTAACTCTTACATTTTCAAAATATTATAAGAAAAACTGAAATAATTATTAGAGTTTAAAATGCGCCTTAATAGAATTAAATAAATTAATTTTAAAAATAAAGCCATTTTTTTTGTAAATACTATGAATGTTGCGTATTCAGATAAGAATGGGGTTAGTATAAGCGTAGAACTTTTTTTTCTTATTGAGAGTTAATCGATTCCAAATATACTATTTTATAGTTAAATAATTAAAAGGATAAATTAGTTTGATTATAAAAACCTCAAATTTTATGGAAGGTTAATTCTAAAATTGGACAAAGCCAAAAATTGTTTATAAATTAAAAATATTGATAAGCTAGACTCATGGTCACGAATTCTGAAAAAGGAATTCTTAATTAATGAGTATTCAAAGTAAACAATTTCTAAATAATTGTAAGAGTTTTTGCCTTTAATAAAATTTAAACCAATAATACTCTCATTTATAGTCAAATCACCTAAATGGGTACTAAATTATATTCACAATATAAAATATTATATTTATTTTATTATATATTCTTCAACAAATTTTCTATAAAAATTATTTATATATTTACTTTTCAAATTATTTTATGAGTAATATAAGTTAATCTTAAACAGTTACTCATAAAAACATTATTTGTTATAAATCAATTTAAATTTTATATTTATAAAAAATCCCAAATTGAGTAGATATAAACAATCTTTTCATATATTCAAAAAGATTTCAAATTAATAATTATTCTTTAAAATGAATATGACCATTACAAACAAAATTATTATATTATAAAAACTAATTGATACACTATTTAAAAAGATCATTTGTATAATTTATTGTTAAAAAGAGAAAAAGAATTCTAGTTCCTCAAATCAAAAGCAAACTTTATCAACAGACAACTGAAACTCCTTTCTTTTAGATTTATTGAGTTCTCCAAGACTATCCATTTCTATCCAATAAACAAAAATGAGGAACTTAATTCTTTAAATAAAAAAGTACTCGACCATAATATAAAATCCATCTGCTACTATATTATGGTGATTGTTTTTACAACATAAGAAAATTAGATATATTTGTGTGCTTTTTTGAACTAAATATTTTAAAATACCTACTACAAAAATTAAATCACTTCTGGATGCTATGATACTTAATTATGTGTAAAATATTGCTCTTAATAAATATATACGAATATCGAATGAAGCCAAAAGAGATTTGTAACTGAAAATATATTCAAGATGTTAGAAAATTATTACCCAAATCCATTTAAGCTTTTTAAAACCTTTTTGTATTAAAGAAAATAATAAAACTTTAAAAATAGGAAACAATAGAAATATTCTACAATCTCATACATTTGTTTATCTCACTCTCTCTAGAAAAGATGAAACTGTATTTTAAGTAGATTAATTAACTTTGATTTATGAATAACAGAGCTAATATTAACTTCTTATGAATTTAAGATTTGCTTCCAAACATCCAGTCTAACAACTAAGATTGAATTAATGAAAAATGCCCAAAATGCAAATGTTTTATTTTTTATAAGAAAAAAACACTATAAAATGTAGGGTTTTTAATAATCAAAACCTTATTTTCAAAACAGGATGTTTTATAAACTGAACTAGAATTTGAAATCTAATCATTTAATAATGAAGATTATGAACTTATACTGATCATACCTAAACTTATACTAAATGAAAATTTTCTCATTTATTGTCAGATAAAATACAATAGAAGAAAAATTTAAAAGACATATATTTGTTGAAGAATAAATTTTCTATCCATTTACAGACTTTAAAGAATATTCTACATTTCATTACATTAATTTACTTCATATACTTATTGATATTTCCTTGATTTTTATTTTTAATATAATTTTTCTACTTTTTTATATGTTTAAGTGTTTAGAAAAGGTATCGAAATTGTTGTAAAACGAAGGTCCCTAAGACTTTATTCTTTCATTCTAAGATTAGATATTTCAATATTAATTAATAATCAATATTAATAATGGAAAAAAATATAGTTCTGAAATTAGCCTTTAATTTCATCACTAATATTATCTATAATGACTCACAATATGAGATCAGCAAAATGGCTTTGTATTTGATTGGTTTGATGGGATCGCTTTTGCCTTTTTCATATGCCGCATTACCTCAGATTAGCTAGAGTTAAGAAAATTATTTTGTTATAATAATTGCTAAATTTGCAAGACCATATTTATTTTTAAGCTAGGATTCCTCATTCTTTTCATACATTGATTATGGAATATATGCTCTGTTTGGAATTTTAGTTGTAAATTATTGTTTACAAATATTCCAAGAACAATAATAAAATTAATACTAATTTTTAAGAGTGTTTTAAATAGTGAATTTTCATATCAATTAAATTCTAGATGTTTGGCTTATAAATATAATTCTTGAGTTAACTTTAATGAAACAATAATTACTTTCTTATATTGTGACGAGTTTTTTTATATTGTTACTTATCCAACGTTTGATTATAACAAAAGTGAGTATAGAGTTTAAATATTATAGCTTTAATAATTAGAATGATTCAATTTTCATTTACATTTAATAGTTATTAAATTTGACTTAGATTGCTATATTTTCAATTGATCCATCCTAAGAAGAGTTTAGAAATGTTTAAGTTGTACTGTCAACTCTCATATGTGCCTTTAACAATATAAATATATTGTTAAACATGCCCTAAGTCAATACAAATCTTTTATTTATATAATTTTTTACTCATATCAACACTATGATATATTGTTTATCATTCCTTGTATTCAATAATACTGGAAATACAAATGGTTATGAACCATAAATATTATTTATTATTACTTGGCCTTTTTGCCTAAAATTTGCATATTTTTTTAGGGCAAGATTGCTTTGTAATTAATTTACTTTTCTAAATTAGAAGTTCATATTTATCCATTATTTTTTTACTCATCATTTGTAGTAATTTGACTTAAAATCTATGTATTTTTAATATTCTCTTTAATAAACCTAGACTTACAACCTTACTAAAACAGAATAAACAAAATTGCATAATTAATAATTTCAATTGCAATTGTATAAATTATTTGATCATGTAATCTATTTATATATATTGAGGCTCCTGAAAAATAATTACATTTATCTTTATTGCTACTATTACAAGAATATTTTACGGCTTATTAGTATTAATTAGGTAAACATGAAAAATAATCTATTATTTCTAATGCGAAATCGAAAATAATGAAATAGGTAGTTTTGAATGAATTAAGGAATCAAATGCTGACTAATAATTCAATTTAGTTAAATAATATCCTGATTGATAGCTTAATCTCGGTTGAAACTTAAAGCATTCAATGTTCAGAAAAATTAATTCATTGCTGTCAAAAGAAAGTAGACTTCCATCAGATATGCTTAAGCAATTAAAGAAAAAGCGATATACAAAAATAAGCAGATGAAATAGTGGAACTATTCGAAGAAACCATCTAATAAATTGAAACTAGCTACAAATAATATCCTCTAGTCAGATACTAAAGATGCTTATCTTTTGGCTACGCTGAATTATGCAACGATATCTTGCTTGCTATACGAATTCTGAATTAATCTTCATTTCCTGATGAATTTATTTATACAAAAATCCTGACCATAAACCAAGATTTTTTATCCTATAAATCAATCTATTTGATTAGTAACTTAGAGAACTAGAATGTTTTAAAAGTGTCTTCAAATTTTTATGAGAAAATTGGTGACAATATTTAAAATATTATGGAAATGGTCCCTAAGGGTATTTAGGAGCATCACTAAGTTATGGTTCGAGAATTTATCAGAACAGGAAAATCTAATTTTTTCCAAAAAGCGACTTAAACCATATATTAAGATAACTTAATGATAAAACCTATGATTTTGATGAATGATGTGATTATCTAGGATAACACTTTCCATGCAATATCAATAGGAACTCTTTTGGATGATGAATAAATAATACTAATTACTAATAATAAATCTAAGGTAAGTAGCTTTAGTTAAGGGTTCTTGGATTAAATTAATTTAGAATCTAAAGATGCGAATTAAATTCTTGGAGTTGATATTGAATTACTTATTCCATAATTTAGGACTATTTCTCAAATATCATAACCATAATACATTGAAGTGAAATTACCAAATTTCTCCTTACTTTAATCTCATTAAGTCTTAAATGGAAGAGAAAATAACAAAAAACCTCATCCCTGTATCCTTGCCGATTTCTGGTCTGATAATTCAAGATTGAACACATTTATATCCTTGTGTTTAATTGAAAAATCCACATACAATTATCATAAGATAAGATTCAGCTATATAAAATGTATAAACAAAACCATAATATTTCCCAATTCAATGAAAACGTTATAAAAATTATCCGTTAATTGTTTTGATGAAGTAGAAGAATAAGTAAACATAGCAGTTCCATATGATCCAATAGATTAGGAATGTAATTTTGCCTAGAAATAGGACATGTTGAACACCGTCAGGTATGATTAGACCTAGACTTTAATAAAATATGATGATACAAGAACAGATGGAATGAAAAGGATAGGACAATCAACATAGAAATATGAGGAAAACTCTATAGAAAGATTTATTAATTAAAATGCTAAAAGCTCAACATTTGACAAAGACATAAAATAAAATTATGAAATGAAATTATATCAGAAATATTCATTGTTTGAAAAAATACGACACAAAAATAACTTAGTTAAAACAGAGAAAATGCTAATAGTGGTGTTAGCATTACATCAACTGTTATTTTTTCTCCAGATCTTATTGACTTTCATTGATTGTATAAATTTACTAAGCTTGAACTTAAATGACTTAGAATTATTAAAGATTAAATACGATTTATTCCAACCAGTTGAGACGTTTATTGTTACCAGATATACAATAATTAATTATAATAATCAATTTGCAGCAAAATAAATCACCAAACCTTAATTAGACTTTTATTTGAAATTTCCAAATTCTAATTTAAACTTAGGTTTTGATGATGTCTATTAAAATTAAGAAGCAATTCTTAATAGATTAGAGTTATAATCATTTTTATCTGAAGTTTATGAAATTTACATTTATGTTAAGACAGATAATGGTGAGCTGTATAATATAACAATGAGATAAGCCCTCAGTATATTAATAAACTATCAATATACATTTAAAGCTGCATATGTTTATGATGGAAAAACAGTGACAGACTCTCCTTACATCTTTTACTCATATCGCAACTTATTAACTTTATACAATTCATTCGATTAGTTGAATAAGAACTTATACTCATAAGCAATTCTAAAAATATCTGATGATTTGGAAAAAGAATTATTCTTATTTTATCCTTTTCTTATTTAATTCATTGTTATTTTTGGAGTAGAACTATTTTATGATTTCAAAAATAATAAGATTTTAGGCAAGTTTGTTTATCTGATTTTATATTGTCATTCAGTGCTTATTTTACAAGAAATAAGAAGATTGACATGCTATATCGATTATTATATTAATAATCCAGAGAAACTATTTAAATATAAGTTTATTATTGAAGAAAAAGAATAGGAATTGTAAAGTACTAAAGAACTCAATTCAAGTGGAGCTCAATAAAAAAAATTATAAAATATAGGGAAATCCCACTTTAAGAAGTGCCATATAATAACATTATTCCTTTAATTAATATTAATAATAACATATGGCATTATCAAACTAAATCTCACATCTTCTTATCTTAATAAATACGAAAAAACATGCTAATTTACCATTGAAATATCTCATCTTGGGACTAATATTCCCACAATTTATGCTATGAGAGAAGTTTTATACTATAGGTGGAGATATCCTTTTTATAAAGAAAAAGAATTATCTGAAATTTTGTAATAAATCCAAGATTGCCTCGAATAAGTACATAACGTAACAAATGATATATCATAATTAAGAATGTATATAATGAATTTAATATAGAAATGATTATTTGCTAAGTGACTCATTCGGTTAATACATACAGGAACTTTATTAAACAAACTTATGTGATTTACTTCCAGAAGACTTGAAGGAGAGAAGCCAATAATTATGCTAAAGTACCTTGGGAGGGAGTTTACGTAAAGGATTATATGGTGCTTTGGTTTACATTTATACTAGTATATAAAATGAGATGCAAATTAATTACTTTTTAAATAAAACTGAGAATACTGTAAATGAATTAGAAGGAGTTTTCATGGTTAGTTAAATTATTAAGTAAATCAACTCAAAGATGTGGCTAGACATTGTCGATTCAACGGAGTATATTTAANTATTGTTACCAGATATACAATAATTAATTATAATAATCAATTTGCAGCAAAATAAATCACCAAACCTTAATTAGACTTTTATTTGAAATTTCCAAATTCTAATTTAAACTTAGGTTTTGATGATGTCTATTAAAATTAAGAAGCAATTCTTAATAGATTAGAGTTATAATCATTTTTATCTGAAGTTTATGAAATTTACATTTATGTTAAGACAGATAATGGTGAGCTGTATAATATAACAATGAGATAAGCCCTCAGTATATTAATAAACTATCAATATACATTTAAAGCTGCATATGTTTATGATGGAAAAACAGTGACAGACTCTCCTTACATCTTTTACTCATATCGCAACTTATTAACTTTATACAATTCATTCGATTAGTTGAATAAGAACTTATACTCATAAGCAATTCTAAAAATATCTGATGATTTGGAAAAAGAATTATTCTTATTTTATCCTTTTCTTATTTAATTCATTGTTATTTTTGGAGTAGAACTATTTTATGATTTCAAAAATAATAAGATTTTAGGCAAGTTTGTTTATCTGATTTTATATTGTCATTCAGTGCTTATTTTACAAGAAATAAGAAGATTGACATGCTATATCGATTATTATATTAATAATCCAGAGAAACTATTTAAATATAAGTTTATTATTGAAGAAAAAGAATAGGAATTGTAAAGTACTAAAGAACTCAATTCAAGTGGAGCTCAATAAAAAAAATTATAAAATATAGGGAAATCCCACTTTAAGAAGTGCCATATAATAACATTATTCCTTTAATTAATATTAATAATAACATATGGCATTATCAAACTAAATCTCACATCTTCTTATCTTAATAAATACGAAAAAACATGCTAATTTACCATTGAAATATCTCATCTTGGGACTAATATTCCCACAATTTATGCTATGAGAGAAGTTTTATACTATAGGTGGAGATATCCTTTTTATAAAGAAAAAGAATTATCTGAAATTTTGTAATAAATCCAAGATTGCCTCGAATAAGTACATAACGTAACAAATGATATATCATAATTAAGAATGTATATAATGAATTTAATATAGAAATGATTATTTGCTAAGTGACTCATTCGGTTAATACATACAGGAACTTTATTAAACAAACTTATGTGATTTACTTCCAGAAGACTTGAAGGAGAGAAGCCAATAATTATGCTAAAGTACCTTGGGAGGGAGTTTACGTAAAGGATTATATGGTGCTTTGGTTTACATTTATACTAGTATATAAAATGAGATGCAAATTAATTACTTTTTAAATAAAACTGAGAATACTGTAAATGAATTAGAAGGAGTTTTCATGGTTAGTTAAATTATTAAGTAAATCAACTCAAAGATGTGGCTAGACATTGTCGATTCAACGGAGTATATTTAACAAATTGTATCTGTAAGAAAATGATTTATCTTAGATAGTATCTTTCATTTATATTTTCTTTGTGATAATAAATCTCATTGCTATTTTTATTTTAATAAATAACAAATTACAGAGGCAATATTATTTGTCGAAAAGATATTTATATTTGGTGCCATAGGCAATCTTATTTGGGAATGATTAATTTGAAAGACTAGCTAAAGGATTGCTCTAAATGAATTGATGATTAAAAAAATTAAAATTAATATGTCATCAATGATTGTATAAATATAGATTTTAATTTTCAAGAAAAAATTAAATATTTTTAAAATAAGTTGTTTTAATGAAAGAAATTCTTGGTTTGGCTAGCGTGATACTTATTGGGATTACCCTCTTCATGAATGGATAGAGTGAAATTTCTTCATAAAATTAATTTTAATAATGGCAATCACTTCACTCTAAATTTTATACACAAATCGAGGAATAATATCGTAGAATGGTCTTTGAATAAAACAAAAAAATGATTGACGAACACAATGCTAATCCTGAAAACACTTACACAATGGCACTTAATTAATTTGCCGATTTGACTAAGGAAGAATTTGTAGCAACTTATCTAGATTCTGAATTATCTGCTGGATTAAAAAAGAGATCAGTAAAACCTAAGTCTCAATCCATACCAAACGAAACTTATGATTGGAGAAACACAACAAGCGTGAGAGACATGAAATCTGGATGCATTTCAAGTTGGGCTTTTTCAACTGTTGGAGCAGCCGAATCATATTTAACTGTGGTGAAATCTTAAAAACTATCCCTTTCCCCACAATAACTATTGGACTGTGATGCAACATCATTCTCTTGCAATGGCGGCGTTCCCTATAAAGGTTTAGACTACATTGCCAACTATGGTATTACAGTTGAATCTGTTTACCCATACGTAATCATAAAATATTAATTTTTTAGACAGCCAAGTTTTCACCATGCAAAAAAGATGGAGGACCATATACTATTAATGGTTAAGAAGATGTTGACGATCTTAAAAGTGCCTTGAGATAATATGGAGTCTCAGTATTTGTAGATGCTACAAATTGGCAATTTTATTCAAAAGGAATATTTAGCAATTGTGAAGACAATGTCAACTTTGCAGCTACAGCAGTTGGATTCACTGATACATATTGGATTGTTTAAAGTTCATATGGTACATCCTGGGGATAAAATGGATATATATATTTGGCACCAGGAGATACATGTGGAGTTGAATCCTTTGGTGTTAGAGCTATTTGATTATTTATCATATGAATAATAAAAATATCATAACTTAGGTTTGCTTCTTATTTTCTAGACTATTTTTAATAAGACTTCATGCCCAGAGTTCACTTCCTTAATCTGTGTGACCCTTGACATCCAATTCAAAATGTTAGGATATTTGGAAAAATCCCAATTCACCATGTGCAATTACATGATTTCACAATAAGCACTTAAGTCGGCAAGTGTGATTTCTTTACCACAGATGTAATCTTGAGTTTAAAATTCTATATTAAACATAAGACTTTCTACTTGTATCTAAGAGTTTCAAAGCAAAAATGGCTTCCTTTTTAGCCTACTCTAAATTAACAGTTGTTTCTATTCCTAATTTTGGAGCCACCATCAAATTGAAAAAGTATTATGATAATTTCCTTGTTCCTGTGTGATGATAATCCAAGTATTCATCAATCTTAGCTGATTGTTGAGGATCATCAGGATACAAAGGAGTCTTAATATTTCTTGATTTGATAATATATTTGACGATGGCATGACTCTCAGCAAGTTGAAATCCATCTTTATCAACGATAGCAGGAACTAAGAAAAATTCATTAAAATGATAATGTACCCTTTCTATATGGATTTATTTTAGCATATTCTGGAGTGCGTTATTTGCCTTCAGCAATTCTGATCTCAACTATCTCGTGAGGAACCTTGAGTATATTTAACACGATGGCAACAAATCTTGAAGGTTGAGACAACCAATCGATATACAATTTCAATGACATCTTATTTTAAAATATGATGTAAATTATACAATTACAAAGTATTATATAGTGAATTATGATTTATCAATGAATATCCCTAAAAGATATATTCACAATTTGATTATCATAAACCAATAATAAGAGTTTGGAATAATACAATTCTATTTAATTCTGATATCTTTTATTTTAAAGATAGTATCTCCAACGTGTAAATATCAGTATTTAAAAATTGATGATAATTAATTTTTTTGTATGTAAAATTAATAAAACCAATTAATATGAAGTTAGACAATTAGCAACACGAACTTTAATAAATATATAATTCTTTATACAGGAAATTAATAAGGCAGGGAATTTGGAATTGATAGAATGTTAAATTAAATAAATATATAATGATAACTAATGATAATGTCAACTCAAGATCATATGATCCTCCAGTCATTCCTGATCCTTCTCAAATGCTTGAAGAATCCCAGTTCATCAATATCTCATAGAAGCATCTTCTTTTTCCAAATAGTCCTTTTCAGATTGTCAAGCCTTAGGATGTAAGTGATTACGAATTCCCTTTTGATCCATAACCATTGCAGATGATGTTTGATTATCCTCAATCAGAATAACTTTCACCAAAACAATAAATTAGGAAACCCTCCAAAAATTCGAATCTATAATTCACTACGCCATAAAAGGTACAGCCTTGCAGAAGGTAATTAATTTAAGCAATTTAAATAGATATCAATCAGAAAGAGTAGAACGAAGAACTTATAATTATGAATAGTAAAATTAACCCATGAGAAGCCAAAAGGGTAAATATGGACACATAATCAAGCACAGGGCTTAGACATTTGTCAATAAAGGTCAAAGAAATCGTGTTTGAATTGAGATCAACTTCCTATAAAGATGTAGCAGAGAGATTAATTTAGGAGTTAAGTAAGGAAGAAGGCAGATTGCTAGATTATGATAATGTATGACAATAATAAATTAGAGTCTAAAGATGAGTAAAACATTAAGCGTAGAGTTTATGATGCTTTGAATGTGATGATAGCATCCAAGGTATTAAGAAAAGAAGGTAAAAAAGTCAAATCAGATGTTTGTTCCGAACTCTCTGGAAAGATAAAACTTTAAGACAGAGATACGCAAAGAGAAAAGCTGGTAATTTTGCAATATATCACAAGATTATAAAATAAAAGATTGTCTAGGGAAAAAAGAAGCATTTGTCAGATCTAATTAAAAAATGGAAAACGGCCAATTCCTTAATAGAAAGAAATAAAAATTTAGAAAAATAATCCTAACAATCATTCTATTTTCCATTAATAATATTTTATGCAGATCAGAAACATCCAAAATTTCTCAAAGATAAAAAAACATTAAAAATTTAGATGAAAAATAAAATTGAAATTCTTTCAGATCTTGACATTGCAAAACAATTGTTTCTGTATCATTTATGAATTTATCTTAGTGAAACTGTTGACAATGATAAAATATTAGATGAATGCTTAAAATTGTAATGAAATAATTTATATATATTTTTATTGTATGAGATTTTTGTAAGAAATAAGAATAAATTTCTCCACTTAGATAATCACCAAGACTATTTTTAAGTAGTGTGAAAAAAATAAAAATGAGAACGTATTTGAATCTTCTTTGTTTTTATTACATTAAGAAAAATAAGATAGATATTAGATTTATACATGTTTAGATAGTATTTTTAAATATTTTTCGTAAGTTCTTTATGAGTTAAAGATTGAGTAGAAAGTATTCCTCTTTTGATATTTTAAATATAAATTATTATTATTTAAATGAAGCAAAGGAGATTTGTCCAAAAAAATTAAGCTACTTTTACTCATTTTGTTAGTGTACCTTTAATTTTACAGCCTACTTAAGGGAAGCTTTAGAAATTGATGGAAGACATTCATAAAAAATACAATTATGATTAATCAATGAATCAAAATAACCCATTTCTATTTCACATAACAATATCAATGCTTGGACTGTCTAATTAAGAAAAAATAAATAAAGCTAAATAAATATTCATAGATAATGAGCAAACAATAAAAAACTATTTAAAAAACTCATCTATTAGACTCAAAGGTTTAGGTTGCTTTCAAAATCGAGTAAATCAATAAAATAAATATTACAAACGAGGACCTTATGAAGATTTAAATATCATTTATTTAAATGTAGATGAAACTTCACTATTGCCAGTTTCTGACTTTATAATTAGATAATTCTTATAAGCAGAAATCTTTGATTCAGATGATTTAAAATCAATGAACCTAATCATGGACCAATAATCAAAAATGTTCAGAGCAGAGAAATTCCATATAACATTGTTTCGATTGAAGGATTGTAAAATCAACTTTCAACAATTATTTGATGAATACAAGGATTACGAATTTGGTGATGCTCCTATTAAATATTTTGACATCAGTACTAGATGGTAATATGATAAAGATAAGTTCTATCAGCCATTAGCTAGAATATTAGTTGATTGACTATAAATTACAATAATTATAAATATGTATTCTAATAAATTGATAATTCTCATAATATCCATCTTTCAGGTGTTCCTATAATGAAGTTGCAACTGTTTGTTACAGCATAAATTTTTCCTAAATGAATCAAACTGCCATTTTGTACTTAAGCAATTTAAGGAGGATTTGGTAAATTCTCAGTTGTAAATTATAAATTTTATTAATCCACCATTTTTAATAGTTAATATTATCCATTTCCAAAGATTAATACATTAGAATTATTTATAGCCACTAACCCTACCCCTCTGTTGATATTAATGTTAAATGAGGTCCATTTCAATAGTTTAGTATCAAATACTTCCAAGGGTGTTGCTTTAATTACATATTATCTAAAGGCACATACTGATAAATTAGCACCACCCTGATTCATTTTTGGCAGGTTTACTCTGGTTTCAATAACAGACCTCGCCTTACTCATTTGTAATTCTAAACTCTCTATTGTATTTAAATCTTCGTTCTGATTTTGTCCTCCAAGAACGTATAATTTATTTTATAGGAATACTCCGGCTGATGAATGTCGAGGATATTATAGTTGATCAGTAGATATTAAGGTCTGCTATTTCAAATCTAATTTGAAAATTTAAGAACTCAATTAATTTCCAATATAACCACCAATCACAAATATATCTCCTTATTGTGAACGCGCAGATGAACTTTTTATTGGTACTTAACAATTCAATCTAACTTCTTGCCATCTGGGATTCTAAACCCATTCTAAATTCAAGAAAAATACTGATTTATCAGTGAAATAATGCAAATATTTTTAACTACAAAGAGGATCATAGAAATCCGGTAAATTTATGGTAAAATTGGAGATACCAACTTGTTAAACTACATTATTCAACAAAATATTATACATTATTGTTCCAATCTTTTATATGGTGATTGTTCTATTTAAGCTGTTTAAATTTCACTTGTCAAATATGGATGATTATAAGCTGTGTTTTTTGGAATTAATGAAGAAGGTTGAATTTATTGATTCTTATAATATTCTGCATTTTTTATGGATGTATACTATCCCAATTAAATTTTAAGAAAGTATAGTTCCTACTCATCAATTTAGATATCTAAAGTATGTTTTGAGACTTCTTCAATAAATGCTTCACATTCAACTCGTTATTGTTGTGTTTGTTACAGGAAATTTGTTGTTTATAATTGTATGATTTGCTTTAGATACTTTGGAGTCCTTAGTTTTTAATCAATCTATTGAAATTCTTGAATTTTTAAATTTAACGATCTTTCCATTTATTATAATTCAACATCTAAATTTGTTCTGTCTGTCTTTGTGACTTAATCTAATTCGTTAAACAATTCATCAAAAAATTAATCCACCATTTACTATACTCTCAATTTTGCATTGCTAAGCTTCGTATGCAATTACCCATGAGCATCTGTTTTTGAATCTTTGAATTATTATAATAACTATATGGCTTAATTCAAATTTATTAAATGAGTGTTTATTAGTTGTAATGTTTCTTCATGCATTTCATCGACTGTGACTAAGTCTGGAAATTACCCTTATTATCGATGTTTGTCCAAATGTTAAGGAATACATTTTGGACATAGAGGCATTAAGCAACTAGGCTGTTTACAGAAATTAGTTATACTCTAGCCTTAATGTGTTACACAAGGTGCTTACAACTAAAAAGTTTAACCAAACCCTATTTCACTAGGATTAGGAGAATTTTGAATATTGAACATAAATATTTATATAAAATTAATTAATTGAATTGAATGCAATTGAATTACTACTGGATGTTAGATACAGAATAAGATTCTGATTATCCTTATGAGACTGGAATTATAATATATTAAAAAATAACTACTGAAAAATAGAATATATATTCATATTTATGTTCTTAATCAATTTATATAAAAAGAAAATCATTATACATCCTAAGATTTTAAATAAGATTATAAAATTAATAACCTACTCTAATAGATGTAATATTGATTTATCACAATTTCTTTATCTGCTGAATATATTTCAACAATATTTGAAATCAAAATTATAAATTATTTTAATTGTGTCAATCATAAAAATGAATAAAAAAACTTGATTATCATGCCATTATTTCTTAATCTTACATTACGGATCTGGCTAATCTTTCAAAAGCATCATCTAGAAACAAAGTCTATTAAGGTATTAAATAGAGATATCTTTTTGCAATATAATATTGTCGTTTAAGAAAGGGATTTATGATATAAAATAGAAAAAGGATTGATATTACAACGAAGACAAAAGCAAAGACACACAAGTACTAAAACTAAATATAGAAATCTTACTATGATGCTAGATAATATATTATTGGTCTAATTTGTTAGATCAGCCTTCATATAAGTATTGACTTATTTTATAACTTGACTTATAATAAAGGCTCCTTCTAATTCATTTCTAGTATTTTCAGTTTTATTTAGAAATTTATTAATCTACATTTCATTTTAGATGTTTGTATATATATAAATTAAAGATCCAGTTAGGCCATTTAGAAAACTTCCACCTAAAGTTATCTAACACAAAGCCATGGATTTCTCTTTCATGCTATCATCTAAAAAGTTACAAATGTTTGTTGAGGATATTGTTTACATGTAATCACTAAAGTCTGAACTTAATAAATACTAGTTTCTAAAATTGAATTTATATAAATACATTTATAGATTTTATAAATATGCAGTTACATTTTGCACTTAAGCCAAACAATCTATAATTTGTTCTAGAATTTACTCCAAATCATCGTCCTTATAAAATGGATATCTCCATCTATAGTAAAGCACTTCCCTCATGGCATAAATTGTTGGAATATTAGTTCCAAGGTCCGTAATTTATTAATAAAAGTAAGCGGTTGGTTTAAATTAAGTAAAATAATTTAGATTAACATAATATTTAGCAATCGAAAAGGAGATTAGAATAATGAATTAAATAAGTATCAAGCAGAATCCAAACTTATTCGAAAGCAATTTTTTCTGGTATTATAATCTTTTAATGGAAGTTTCAATCTATAATTATTTTTATTGCAATTTCAATTAATTCTCCTTTTTATCAATTTGGAATTGGTATTTAAATAATGTATCACTACTCTTAGATATGCTTTCAACATAATGAGTAAATCTATCAATGTCTTACTGAATTGTATATGCTTCATTAAAAGTCATAAAGCCTAATAATGAAGCAATTCTTCCTTGATTCTTCAGATACCAAAAGATTTCCAAACTAACAATAATTAAAATTAAAATAACAAAAGGATAAAACAACGTTAATTCTTTATCCAAATCTAGTTCGATTCTCAAATTACTTTCAACGTATAATTATTAATTTAAAAGATCAAATGCATTATATAGAGTAAGTAGATTTCTGTAAGAGTAAAATATATAAGGTGAATCTGAGACAGTTTTACCATCGTATTTATAGGCAGCTTTGAAAGTGTATTAATAGTTGATTAGAATACTTAATGACTATCTCATGGTGATATTATAAAGTTCTCCTACATCAGTTTTAATGTAAATATAAAAGTCATAATATTAAGCTAAGAAATCTTATAGAGTGAGTCTATTTAAGATCGCTGCTTAATTCTATTAAACATCATCGAATCCTAAATTTAAATTTGAGTTTGGAAATTCTAGATATTTATCCAATTCACTCTTTGTTAACGACTTTGCTGTGTATTGAGCATTGTAATTGATAATTGTATATCTAGTAACAATAAATGATTCTACTGGTTGAAATAGATAATATTTGATCTAAAGAAGATCGATATTGGTTAAGTAATAATCTAAAGTTGATGAACTTGAAGATAAGGAAATAGCAACCTAAGCTATGAAGACTATTAATTGTAACATCACAAAAAACATAAATATTTTTTAGATCTGATTTGAATTAGGGGATTGCAACATCTTTTCCATCAAAATGTATTTTTTATAGTAAAATGCCTTTTTCTACCCACTTAATTAACTAACCTAGGACGATTACCCTTCCATTTAAACATCTTATGAATCATCATCATTGCTTTTCGAATATTTTTAATTAATTTTAGATTTTTCAATGAAGTATTTTTGTTGTTATTAGAGGGATTACAAAGGTTAATAAGTTTTACTTTACGATTCATTTTGCCTTGAAGTATTTTTGCCAATAAATTAATCATCCACTAAAAATCCAATACCATCGTTGTTATGTGATTCTCTATTAGATAATAGCAAATCTGGGTTTTGTAGTATAACTATATCATTGATGTATTTTGGTTCTGACTCTTCATAGGGAATCAGCATTTCAATTTGTTCATCCATTTCTATTTCACTTATGTTGTTGCCATGTTATTAGAAATATGACTTTTGTGTTAAAGTTCTAGAAGCACTTTGACTGCCTCTTCTGGTTCCATTTTTTAAGTAATTAAATCTAACAATGTAATATTTATCATCGTTATTCTAAATGCAACAGTGAGTGGAGTAAGTATCAAAATTATATTGATCTAGCCAACAACCATCCATAAGATCTGTTATATTTCTTTTTTGTTTATAATGAATTAGTAGTGTGACAAAATCAAATAATTTTGGTTTGGTTAGGAATCTAAGTTATATTTACTGAACTTGGTTGTCTTCAATATGGAATTTGAATTTAGGAATAACATAATCAACTGGGATCCCATAAATTAATTCAATTTGATCTGGAGTTCCTCCAACAATTTCAAAAAATTCTTCACTCAATCCTACAATTTTGTGCTAATTATCAACCACCATGATTATTTGATTTTCATCTTAAATAGACAATAGGATTAACGCGTTGAGTTAATTTTTCTCAAATAAAATTTCAGTTACAATATTCACTCCTTCACAAAATCCTTTTTTGGCAATCAAGCCTTCTTGAACATTCCTAAAGAATTTGGATTTTCCAGTCTTGATAAATGTTTTTATCATACTCGAATGATAGTCTTTTATTCCATTGGGTATTAGATCATCTAAAATTAATTAGTCTACTTAAAAGAAATCATAAGCATTGCTTGAATTCCTAATTATTTGCATGTTATCTAAATTGACCATCAAATATGTAGTTTTGGTTGAATAGAGATCAATTTTAAGATTTGAGACATTTTTATAAACCTTATCTTCTTATAAGGCTGCTTAACAAAATACTTTCATAGCAGATAAGTAATCATTAAGTAATTCAGCATAAATAAAGGCCAAGATATTCTGCATCCTATTGCTCGGATATTGTCTGTAAAGATCTTGAACAAACTCCTTCAATGTATCTAATTCCAAGACTAAAGTGTTTGATTTGGAGTAGAGCTTATCAATTTGATCGTAATCGAACTCTTTAAAGTATTCTATCTTCTTCTAACACAACAAAATAATTCGCTTACATAATTCTAGATTTTTTGATTCTATATCCATGAACTTCTTTATGTTCAACTCAAAATCTTTATCGGTATCAAAGTTGTTCTTTTACATCATGTGATAATTCAACTTCTGTCTACACTTTCTAGCACATATCAGGAACTTGATTTTGTTCAATATTGTTTGTCCTTTTTTGTGTTCCCATTTGGATATGTATAAGAAAGCCTAGAAGTAGAATTCCAATTTCAGGAGGAGGGATAAGTGAGAGATGAAGTCTTCTTGAACCAACTAAACACAAATTTGAACTTTTTACCTCTTAGTGCTTTAAACTCAACCTAATATAAAAGTCATAAATATCCTCCTGGTTTAGAACTGTGAGTCTCGATGGTTCAACGTCCACTTTTTTCATGCCCTTGCTCACTATTGATTCGATGAGAACACGCTGCTTAGAGTAGGAGAATTTGGATTTCAATTCTAAAATCAAGTTGACAATTTGAGAAGGATTGGATTACTGTCCAATTGTGAGTAATTGTTTTTTAGAATAAAAGTATGTTGCTATTTTGAAATTCATGGGCAACTAGAAAATAAAGAGCAATTCTATGTATCCCATTTCCATTTTACTTTCCAAAGATATCAGAAAAAAAAGATTGTAAATTATAGAATTAAAGTTGATGGCAAAAACAATTAGGAAGATATTCTTATTCAAATACGGGAAGTAAATTATTGCATTTGTGAAAATCGCTATATTGATCAAAAGGCCTATAATGCCCAGATAAAATGTCATGATCCCATCAATTGAAGTGTTAAAACTAAAGATGCCTATTTAAACAAGATTTAGGATTTAGGCTATGTATATTAGAAATGACTAATTGGATAGATTGAAGGTGTTCTGTTATAGGAACAACTAAACCTTCGTGATGAATAAGCGATAGAGCAAAAACACCAAATAAATGAGCAAAGTTAAAATTGATAAAGCATCCGCTCTTTTTAGTAACATCTCCAAAATAATATTAATTAACCAAATATCATAGATTTGATTACAAAAAGTAATAATCTATAAATAGAGATTCGATTTTAAATCTTCAATATTGTTTTTCGATATAATAAAATAAACAATGTAATGCATAATTATCACACCAGAAATAACAAATAGAAATATTGAATATCCTTGGTCTGTATCTTCAATAAATAAATGAGGTCTTATTATTTTTCCTAAAATTTAAAAGTAAATATTATTCCTTGATTAACCCTCAGCAGGTATAATAGAATACGACATTGGTATTAATGAACTTAGGGTAGTAAATATAATTAAAGCGAAATCATTAACCTAAAATTCTGTTTCTTAGAGCAAAGAAAACTCTAATATAAATGATATAAACTTCTAAATTTAATATCTGATATTCATAATAATAATATAATAATTAAAATTTATGAGTTCCGATTCATTTGAAAAACTAATGTAATTAATTCATGAATAAAATACTGCATGTGAATAACATTACGATCAAAATAATAGATAGATAATGGATTTATTAGGCAATTTGGATAATAATATGAAGAATTTACAGAAGTAAATGGAATAGCCAAAAGTTGAGCATCATCACAATTTATCGAAGGTGGAGGAAGTGGAGAATGAGGATCAAGAATAATCGCAGTTTTAGGTTTAACAAGAGGACAAGGAGGAGTTGGAGTAACAGATGAATCAGCAACAGGAATAGGAGTAAATCATAATATAAGATCAGATAAATGAAGAATGACTTATACTATTTAATTATTTTATAATTTTCAGTTGTTTTCTAATTAATACGAATAGGACATCACTAATGATTTGGTCATTAATTCTTGGTTTTTAAACACCGCTGGCATTAATATTATGCACTCTTCTTTGTTCTTGATGAATCCATCAATGGGGTCGTGTTTCTGTTGATTGAATGCTATCTTCTGCCCAATTGATTGGATATCAAAGGTCAAGGTAGGATCACTGATGTAGCAGTTAAACATGATTTCTGCCAATTTGTTGAAGAAGGCTTCGATCAAGTCGTTGTTGTTTAGTTTTAGGTATTTTTATAACTCTATTCTTGTGGATGTTTGATTTCGCATGCATTTTTCGTAGATTGATTTGTAATTTCCTTGAAATGATTTTCGCATAACGTTTAGTATGGGTCCGTCTATGTTGGTGAAACATCCCACCTAAACGAATTTGTTTATAATATTACCTCCATAATATGTTTGAATAGTGGTTGGAAGTATTCTTGTATGATTTTGTCAATTCGAATCATTGAGGTGGAAAAGAAATAAATAATACCTTTGAGATTTAATTCTTAAGTCAACACATCGAAAAATATATCAAAACATTCACATTTATAAAATTCCGCAATAGAATTACTTAATTCATTTGCCATGGGAAATTGTATGCTAGTGTTGGAAAAGCCAGAGACCATGCATCTGAGATGAGATTGCATCTATAGTATTTCATGTTATAGATTTTAATTTTCTTTTGTGAGATTCTCTTTTTCTTTTTTAGTCAATTGCAACTTGTTCATTAAAAGTTTTATTTTTCCTCTTAATTCTTCCTGTGTTCCATCCAAATAATCTTAAGGTTTTTAGTAATTTTCTTTGGCATAATTATTCTTCATATTTAAATTATGCTGTTAAAACATTTATTTTTTATATTTAAATTTAAATCAGAATTTACAGTTAATAAAAATGGCTTTATTAAAAGACGATACTGCATTTACTCATGTAATTGCAATAGATTTTGGGACTGGAGCATCAGGGTATAATGTGAGAGTGAATTATTTTAGATTTGGATTGGCTCCAAGAATCCTGGATAAGGAAGGCAAACCTAGAATAGAGGTATTCAATCCATGCGATGACACAGATGACCAAAAAACACCAACTGCAATTCTATTTGATAATAATGGTTAATTTATTGAATTTGGATCTCAAGCACTTTAAAAATATGCAAGCATGTTGGATGATGGTGAAACAGCCTATTTGTTTTAAAATGTAAAAAATAATTATAAAATTCTTAGTATAAAATGCATTTGTATCATATGCATAATCAAGCCAGGTCATTGGATAATCGTGAGCTCTCATTGATGCTAATAATAAGAGAAACATTAAAATATATAAGCAATAGAGCAATTTAGAAATTGAAGGAACAAGTAGGTAAAGTGATACCCACTAAAATCAGATGGGTCTTAACAGTACCAGCCTTATGGAGTGAGGAACACAAATAATTTATGAGAAAGGCAGCTGTCGAAGCAGGCATAGTAGATCACTTAAATTCTCCGAATTTATTACTGTGTTTGGAACCAGAAGGTGCATCCATTCAATGTAGAGAAGATGCTGAACAAACACTAAAGGAACAAATGGCAAAGAACTCTGTTGTGATGGTATTGGATTGTGGAGGTGGGACTGTTGATATCACTGTGCATAAATTATTATGCGAATCAAATGAGAAATTCTTATGCAATGAATTAATACCATCATCTGGTGGTTGCGAGTGGGGTTCCAAATATGTAGATCTATATTTTGAGGAATTCTTGAAGGAGTTCTTGGGAGATAAACTATTTAGACAATATTAACAAAATGCTATTGCTCGTTTAGATATTTTAAGAGATTTTGAAATACTCAAAAGGAAATTTAAAGGGAACAAGGATGAAAAATGTATGATAAAATTCTCATATTTGGGGGAAGACTTGAATACTAATAAATTGTAATAGTTAGTTAAAGATCATAATTAAAAACATCCTCCTGAGTATCAAGTGAAATTAAAAGGATTATCAAATGTTGAGATTCCATCAGCTTTGATGGCTTCATTCTTTTAGACTCTATTTGAAAATATTAAAAATAAAGTAGCTTAATTATTGGTTTAAGTGGAATAGAAAAAAGAAAAAGTAAACTTTATATTTATGGTTGGAGGTTTTAGTGAATCTCCATTCTTGAAATAAGAAATTATTAAAAGATTCGAAAATAATACAATTTAGATTTTGGTTCCAAGAAGACCTTAAGTTTCAGTCATAAGAGGAGCTTGTTTATTTGGGTTGAGTCCAAGATCAATTACAAGTAGAATAGCAAAGAAAACTTACGGAATTAATACATTAACAACTTTTGATGCTGAAAGACATCCTATTAAAAAAAAAGTCATTATTGAAGGAGAGGAGTTTAGTGAGGATGTTTTTGATGCTTTTGTTAGGAAAGGAGATGCTGTTGGGTATAATTCTAATACTATAATTATATAGTTGCGATGAAGTTCATACAAAAATATATTGTCCAGTTAGATCCAGACAAACAATTATGAGGATCATTTTTTATGTAACTGAAAAGAGGGAGGTGGAGTTCGTTGATGAATAGGGGGTTTAATAGTTAGGAGAATTGTGCATTGACATTGGGAAGCCTCTGCAATCTGTTGAGGACAAGACTGTGAAAGTTACCTTATTATTTGGAACTACTTGTATATATGCAACTGCTACTAACAAGGATGGTACTGAGATAAAAAACTGTGAGTTCAAGTTCGAATGTGGGTAATGATCATTTTAATTAATAAATGAATAATAATTATATACTTTTTGCACTTTTAACTATGCCTTTTTATATTATTAATAAAAAAACGAAAATAAAATGAAATATTTTCTTATATTTCTGGCATTTTCAGTATCCTTGTGCATCAAATTAGAACTTTTAGAAGTATTTCATAAATCGATCGACTGGTAAGCCAACTATTAACCGACTTATGAAAAATAAATGAAAAAAATGGAAAGACAAATGCAAATTATGAAAGAATAAAGAAGAGCAAAGAATCAACAATGCGATCGCATATAAAGAGGGTTAGACTTTATCGTTAATGAGTAAAGAGTTTATAATAATTAAGAAAGGAAAAAAATGAAAAGTTTACATCATGGTTGACATCTCGTATTGTATAAAACCAGAATAGGGTTGAAAAACTTAATTAAATCAAATGTCAAAGCAGTTCTTCATTTTATGAGACAATGAATGAACAAAACAGAGTGAATAAATTAAACTAATTTTTTGTTAGTTGGATAAGTCGAGATTAGAAATTACTCCAATTATAAGATACCCAAACCTTCATTTAAGAAATGCAAATTGAAAACGAATATTAAGATGCACTACTAATTTTATCTGGTAATTGCAGTTCAATATATTTTAGAATAAATTCGATCATGCAAACTATCACCATTCAAATAATAGACAATTGATAGAAGTGAAAGCTCAAGAAGAGATTTTGAATAAAATATATTTGCTTTAGAAAAGTTACTGACTCAAAATAATGACTAGATGGAGCTTAACGAAGTGAGGGTTTAGGATAAAATCACTAAATTTATTTAATAATTAGACAAGGAAACAGAACAATTATAAATTCATTATGAATCTATTATGAAGATAATCAATAAAAGTCCAGTTGAAACTACGTCAAAATAACGACTAGATCAATGTTAGAAGGATGTGTTGAGCATTGATAAGTTAATTGAAGCCACATAAGAGGCAATAAAACGAATCTAGACTTGTGCTCCAAGTGAAGGTATCAAAATATTGTGATTTTTTGTAGGATTGGCATTTAAGTAGAAGAGAATCCTGAGTCAGATTGCAAAAGAATATTCACAAGGAGTTGTCAAATTTGAATAAAAATGAATTCATAAATAAAGTTCAATAAACAATGCGATTTTCATTTTTTTGAAATTATATATAAATTAGTAGTTATTTAAATTAATCGTTAATGGACACAACTCAATTAAAGACTAAAGTGATCTATGAGTTCACTAAGAAGAATAAATAGTTGTTGGATGAATGGTCTGAAAAAACAGCTTAGGCATACCTGGAGTAATGCAGAAAATTTACAGAGGAGATGTATTAAGGAAACTTGACCATGGTGGATGATGGGTACAATTAGACTCAGGAAGAACTCTTGATCTTGGAAAACTTGTTTAAAAGTACCCTTATTCAAGTGAATTATAGATTACACAAAAACAAAAGGAGACATTCAACATAAGCTTCGTATTGGATATTCGATAGCAAGAAAACTTTACATGGAGAATCTTCAATAGAGAGTGTTCAAGATATTCAGAGAATAAGTGAAATTTTAAAAATACATTAGAAGTATGAAGGTTTATGCAACAAAACATTATAAGTACAATTTAATATGAAAAAATAGATAGCGACTTCCAAGATAAGTGTTCACGAAGTGGAGGAAATTAGCTCACAATTAAACCAGACAAGTCATTTTACAATAGGTGAATAGGAAAACTGATAATGAAATAATGCAAATGCAAAAGGAATACGAGTAATTGATAGGGTAGTTGGAGACTGTGTTGGAAAAGAAATTAATTGAATTGAAGGTCGAGGAAGAGTAGCATAAAGAATTGGTTTTAAGATATGATGGAATAGTTGAAAAAAGGACTGCAGTAAAGCATTGAATTATCTGATTATTATATATTTCTAAATTATAAATAATTGCTATGCCAATTAGATATGTACTAACATTGGAGCAAGCATTAATTAAAGCTGGAAATGGACACAAATTCTAAATCAGAGCCATCGTTATAATGAGCTTGCAGTATATGGTAGCAGGAATGTTTCATATTGCTATAACGGAATTGTATTTCCATCAAACCCAATATAAATGCATCGATTAGCAATATAACTTCTATTAATGCAATGAAGCCGAGTTTTGCAAGTAATATTACAGAGACGACATAGACAAAGAGAAAATCACATTTGCATCCCAATTGGGAGACATAATTCAATTCTTTTAATTAGTTTGCAATGATAAAATTATTATATTAATACTTGTTACTTCATACTATTTGGGTGGATGTATCGGCTCTCTGTATTATGGAGAGCAGATGGAAATTCGACAAGGCAGATAGTATTTATTGATATAAATATTAGATCAATTATGATTGAAACTTTGGCTTTATTAGGTTTCACTTGTTGTCTGACAATCTTAATACCGAATGCGTATTTATTAAGTGTTGCTTTGTTTTTTGCTAATTTCTTTTTGAGAGGATTCTTGAATTCCTCTATGATTTTATTTTTTGAGATATCATCAGAAAATCTGTAAAAATTAAGTCCTTCAATTTTATTGACAACCTATGGGATTGGGACTATTATATCACCTGTGATTATAGATTCATTTTAACTAAATTGGCAATAGAGTATGTTAATTCTATTTGGGGGACCAGCTGTTATGTTTTCAGTTCTTATTAAGTTTATGCAAGAATCCCCAAGAATGCTAGTCATTAAAAAGAAATATCATGAGGCAAAAATAGTGCTCCAACTGATCAGTTAATGTAATGGGAGAGAAATGCCTTAGGATTGGATGTTAGAAGATGAATTAAAAGTAAACGAACTTAAAGGAAAGATTTAAGAAATTGCTTAATAATTTGGCGTTAGGGATGTGGCCAAAGCATACAATTTCTCGTAATTATAATTACAATTAATATAGTTCAATTTTCCGTTATAATTCAACCAGAGTTAGAATGTTCTGTCTTCTTTACTTGTATTCAGTGATCATCATTGGATAATTTCAAACCTCCAAAGAAATAGATGCCTTTTCCAGATTGGATCGATAGAAGACTGAGTTATTGCTATCAACTGTAGCAACAACAGGCTATCTTATCAGTGGATATGCAAGTTTGAACTACAATAGGAAGGACGTCTTGAAGATTGTTTTAGGAGTTAGTGCTTTGTTCAATTTTCTATATGCAGTTTTTCCAATTTTTCAATTAAGTACAAATGCCATAGCCTTGATCTCCTTTTATGATAGATTAATGCATACAATAGTCATGATGATTCTAATTATGAGCAGGTTGGTCTTGAGTTTTGGGTGTGCCTTCATTAATGTAAAAATAATCAATCAAAATTAGATCTACGCCTTAGAAGTATTCCCTACATCTTTGAGACATTATGGTTTTTCTGGAATGGTCTTCTTGACGGAATTTCTATTCATTTTCTAAGAGACTTACGTAGTCTTTTGTCATACATTTGGGTTGAACACATCCATAGGTATGTTCTTTTTATTGTTATTTGGAATTCTAACTTTGAATAAATTGCGAGAAACATATGATCAACCATTAAAAGAGAATGTTGAAGAAATGGAGGATGAATTACTTAACAATGTATATGTATTATGATTTATAATGCAATATATTTTTGATCTCATTTTGTAATTAACAATGTTATAATAAAAATTAATAAATTTTATTTAGCAAAATGACTGAGCACTCTCAATTAGTAATCCTATTGCTTATAAACATTAGCTGGCTGAAAATATCTATTTGAAAAACAAGGTTTAAGAACTGAATATAGAGATACAACAATGGAAATCTCACATTGAAGAATTGTCAATGAAATACTACAAGCTGCAATAGCATAAGATTAATCCAGAGGATCTTTTGGAACTCGAAGATTTAAAACTTTAGTAGCAAAGATACTAGGAATAGGAATTTTAATAAAGTGTTGTGATAAATCAATAAAAATAAGTGATCCTCAATTTATAATCTGAAAACAGAGATCTTATTGATAAAGTAGATAAACTAGAGTAGAAGGCCAAGAACTATGATTGTTTGAAATAATAATATTGGAACTTGGAAAAGGCGAGTCAAAAGTATTTCGAAGAATTGGAAACTATTAAATAGAGACCTCCTACTATCTTGGTTCCTAATCCAGATGTCACAGCACTTTATAGAGAAATCAATCGTTTAAATGCGACTATTTAATCAATGTGTAAAAATTCCATTGAATCGATGTGCGTGACAACAGTAGATCACAGGAGGAATCAACCTGAGGAGTAGATGATGATGAAGAATTCTGGCGAATACAAGAGGCAGAGGATGAATGACCTGTCAAATAGGAAATCTAATGAGATGGAATAATTCTATTGATAATATGTTTATTTTCTAATTACGTGTATATAATTAAAAAAAAATAATTTATAATGAGTTTTGCTGGTTTTGGGCAGAATTTTATTGGTGACGAACTGACAGGAGAATAAAAGAAGGCTCAGGATGGTTGGGATATCGAGGATGAGGATTTTCCTTCTGATCATGGAAATTAAGATCAGCAGTAATAATTAAACAATTTTAGAGATAATCCAAATTAAAATTAAAAAAAGAATGATTGGGAAATCGATGATGATATTGATGATCCCTTCTAAACACCAGCAGAAACCCAATTGAAACAGGAAAAATAATCTTAATTTTAATAAGATGAATAAAAATCCCCAGAATAAGTAGATATGTGGGGAAAAATTACAAGCACTGTCCAGTAGACTTAAACAATTGAAAAACTTATTAGAGAAAGTGCACCCTAAAAACTGAAGCAAACCTTTCAAAATATATTTGGATCCTAAAATAGTGGATCCAATAATATTATTATTTCACCGGAGTAAACATCAAATAGCAAAGTATTCGCAAGTCTTTAGTAGGTAATCGATATGTAGAAACTATTCGAACTTGAAAAGTAAGCATTATAATAATCTAGATCTGAACTTGAAGACCAAATGAAGTTAAGAAGAATCTAAGAGCAAAATGAATTAAGAGAGCAAAAAGAGGAATTAGAAAATAAAATAAAGCAATTCCAAATCGAGAAGGAATAATTCAATCAACAATTAAAGGAAGCCAAATAATTATTTAAATTGACTGAGCTCATAGAGCCACAAGATAATCATCAAGACATTATTTGTAAATTGACCAAAGAAAATGAAAACCTAAACAACGACATCACTAAACTGATAGAAACATAAGAAAAATAGATCAATGATTATGAAGACAATATCGAATAAATGTAGTAAGAGATTGAGTATTACAAAAATCACTTCATTAAATACTAATCGAAGTATTAAAATGCAAAAGAAAAGATGAGAGTAGAGATTCCCCAAATCTAAAATTAGCTAATGACTATTAAGAAATTAGAACTAAACACTTTAGTTACAAATAAACTGACATAATTCTAAAAATACTATAACACCAAACAACAGGACCTATTGCAATATGCATTATAAACAACCTCTAAATAATCCAAACAAATAAGTTCTCTTAAAGAGGAGAATATAAGATTGATGCAACAAGTTGATGAATTTGATGAGTTAAAGGAAGAACATTAATCAAGTTTATATATTATAAAACAATTGAGAGTCTCAGAGGATAAACTAATAGAAGAAAATGAAAGAATCTAAGCTCAGAATGAGGATAAGGAGAACCAGATCTTGGAACTCTAAAATTAATTAAATGATTTGAGAAATGAAAATGAGAAAGAGAAATTTAATTTAAATCAATTCATTACATCTTTACAATAATAGATAGACTAATTCAAAAGAAACTCTGTTGACAAATAGAGTATTAATAAGTTAGAAAATCAGTTGGCACTTATTCAAGAAGAAAAGCGAAATTTATTGAGTAGTTTAGAGAACAAAGAAGCACAAATCATAGTTTTGGAACAATAAATCTAAGAATTAAATGAAGAATTGATTAAGTAGTAGAATGTAGATTCGAATGATATTTGGAAGTAAGAGGATAAAGGTTGGGAATTGGATGATTCTTTTTAAAGAAAATATGATGAATGTAATTTATGAATTAATGTATTAGTGGAGTTATAAATGATTCAATATAGAAATGAAAATCATGAATTAAAATATTAGCTCAAGGAAATGGAGGTTCGAATGCTCTAGTAATAGCATAAGTAAGAGGCTCAGGTTGAATAGATGCATCAATTATAGATGTGTTTAGTTGATACAGAATATTAGAAGAACTTTTAAAATGCAGTATAGTATAAATTAATCAAAATTATTAAGATAAGAAAGAATTTAAGAATTAGAAGAACAAATTTCAATTGAAAAAAGAAAGTTTTCAGATGAAGAAGAAAAGGTGAGTGAATAAAATTTATAGCCAGATGAAGATTCCCAAAGAGCAATTAATTAATTGAGATAAATCGATTACGAGGAAAATGCAGTATAAAGAGAGGATGGAGCTTGGGAATTTGAAGATAGTCTCAATGTTGACATCTAAGAAGTAATCTTATAATATTATGTATTTTAGTAAGAAATTCTTAATGAAGGAGCTGGTGAGTATTAAAATATCTAATTAGGCTAAGGACAAAATGTAAAACAAGATGATTATGAAAAATAAGTCGATGAAAGTTCTGATTTTTAAGATGAAATATAATAGAATGATGATTATGTGTAGGATGATTCAAAATAAAATGATCAATCAGACAATAAAATCCATTAATAAAATGATGTATCCGAAGAATAAGAAGATAATTAAAATGAAATTGAAGAGATTCAATAAAATATAGAGAAGAATTCAGAGGAACTCTCAGAAAGAGAAGGATTATTATAAAATTATGATGAAGAAGATGAAGAAAATTATGAAAACCTTGAAGAAAATTAAGATCTTGAGATAGATTAGGATCATCAATAGAATGAAGAGTCATATGATGATGAAGTGTTGCCAGAATAAGAGTCATAACAATCATCCTAAGATAATCAAGTAGAAGTATAATAGATGAATGTAGAATAAAATAACCTGGATGATGATAATAATTAAAATGAATAAGAAGAAGAAGAAGAAGACAGTTAAAAATAAGATGAAATTTAAAATGAGGAAGAGGATTCTGAATATTAAAATGTTGAATATGAAAGTTAAGAAAATAATGATGATTAAAATAAAGAAGGCCCAGAGGATTAAATGTCATCAAATGAATAAATTGAATCATAAAATTAAGATTAAGATGAAGAATAAAAAGAAAATGATTTAAATGAAGAATTTAATAAAAATTAGGAATTGGAGTAAGAATAAGAAGAAGAAGATTTTGAAGAATAGCAATTTAATCAAAATCAAAAACACTATATTGATGATGAATAAAACAATGATGATAATCAAGATCAAGAAGAATAAGTTGAAATTGATAATGATTAGGATGAATAAGAAATTAATTCAGATGAATAACATTAAGAAGATCAATAAAATATATCTGACAAAAATCCTTTAGGGGAAGAGTTGAATTCATAAGAGGGAGATCATGAACAAAATGATAATGAAAATGAACCCTCATCAGAGATTGAAGGAGAAGAGGATCAATTAGCCAATCAATAATAAGTTGATGATAACACAGAATTATCAAAATAGGATCAAGTTGAATATGAAAATACTGACAAGGACATTAATGTAAGTCAACAGGACGTTTAAAATACTTTATAAGAAGAATCACTACAGCAAGTAATAAATAACAATGATGAATTGGCTGCTGAAGATATCAATACTTAAGAAAATAACTAAAATAATGAAGAAGTTGAGATATAAAATTAAATCAATAAGGAATAAGAGTAGCTAGAAATATAATATTAGCTTGTAGTTGAACCAGTAAGTAATTCGAATTTTGAAAATCAAGTAAAAGAAAAGAGTTTAGGTGATTTGGATGCACTAGATACTCATATTCATGATGCTCAATAGAAAGTTGTTATTAATTCTTCGAATTAATTAGAGAATAATTACAACATCGAAGTAAATTCTCAAAAGAATGCTCCTTCTTCTTAAGATCTTTCTCATTCCTATCAGGATATAGGTGTTTAAGAAGTTATTTCAAAACCAGTTTTATTTTCTGATCCAAGGTCTTAGGAAAAGAGTGTAAATGATTAAGAGGATGAAATTTAAAATGTCTAAGAACATTATGAGGTGGAAGTAAAGTTAAGCGAATAACAAGTTAAAAATTTAGATGTTGATGAGAATGAGCATCCAGATGAAGATGGAGGAAATCAATGGAATGTGGATGATGATATTGATTTTGACAATGAAATAGAAAATCCGCAAGTGCAAGCAAATGAGGAGAGCAATAAATAAATTATTGAAACGAATATTAATAATTCATCGTAAAATTAGAAAGAGAATGGGGAAGAACAATAGGAACCACTTGAAAATTAGAAGGTAAACTAATAATTTGAAGAAGAAACTCCTGATGTGTAATTTGATGACGATCAAGATAATTAAGAAGTTAATAATAACCCACCCGTGAAAAATGCGGAAAGGGTCAGTCAAGGTTAGTTGGATTTTGAGGATGAATTAGAAGAAATTGATCCATGGGCAGAGTAGTAAAAGTAAGGGGAGAATGCAGAATCAGGTTGGGATTTAGATGATATATGATTATTGTCTAATATATATTAAATGTTTATAATTGATACTCAAAAATACAACCCTAAAGCTAAAAATGTGAATACTGTGCCGGAGGATAAAAACAGAGCTGTAAAAAACCCAATTGCCAACTCTTTTGTTAATGCTCTTTATTCTTTTTATTTAGTAAATTAATAACTATCATTTAGCATATGAGTTGTTACATTACAAAATCTGATAAGAAACAAAACCCAATAAATGTTAAGACAATTGATAAATTGCTGTAGTGCTTTGGGTCTATTAAGGGCTAATATGGAGAATATACCATAATTATTAATAATGTATTTATTATATTATTTTATAGTTAATAATTCAAATTTGAATGAGTTTTGTAAACGATTTGGATGATCTATGTGATTTTACTAAATTAAGTCAAAAGTGGAAATAAACCAAAAATGAATAATTAAAATAGCCATCGCCCAGTCCTTCGAAAACTGAATCTGATATCACTTCTAGTAAATGTGTTTCTAATCCATGGAATAAAGGTTTTGTTAATTATAGTATTCTAGAAAACTATGTGCCGAATAACGAAGAAGCAAAAAAGAACAGTAACAAAATTAGAAATCATGCTCCTCAAATAATAGATGAGGACACAGAACAATTTAAAATAAGATTGGAACATATTTTAAATGTATTTAAGACTGAAGCCACAAGTGAATTTATGGCTATGAAGAGATCCATGTTGGAGGACTAAAAATAAACAATCAAATAAGACACTGAAAAGTACCTGTAAATGTATGAATTGAAAAATAATGAATTATCATAAACAAAAGAATAATTGGCTGAATAAATGAGAATTTGTAATTAGATTACTGAGAGATCTGAGAAAATTGCATTATATTGTGGTAAAATGAAGAATACAAAAAGAAGATAATAAGTCTTATCAAATGTGTTAAAAGGTTTAAAGATGTATGCTAAATATTCGTTAAAGAAGAAAAATGTAATATAAAATAAATATTTTAGAATTAAAAAAAAGGGACTAAGCATTACAAACTGTATTTATAAAGATGGATTTTTAATTTATGGAAGAAGCAGTTCAATATTCAAATCAGAATTAATTAATCTGAAAAAATGAAATTGGCTCATTAAAATGATGTGGATTTGTTGATGGCTAAATTTCAAAAAGAACAATAATTATTGGAGTAGAAATTATTGGAAGCTACATCTTAATTAGATGAAGCCAACAAAATCAAATTATCAATGCAAGAGAACTTAAAGAGGGCTTTTATGAGAGGAGTTTGTGCTCTCAATTTTGAAGCCATGAATGTATTGAATGGGGCATCTCAATAAATGGAGTTAGATTCCTTAGCCACCAATTTATTAATGAATCCATTCTAGTAATCAACTACTACATAGTAATAATAGTCAACTCTTCATTAACCTTAATAATTTAATTAATTAAATGATACATTGATTTTAAATGAAAGCAAAGATCAATGGTAGAGATAGCATTCACCTCCTAAAAATATCACTTATCACTAACAAAATAGATTAGAAACAAATGATCATCGTTGGAAAGATGCCCCCATTGTTGGAATGAAGTAATTGTCAGAAATTACTGAAAATCAGAGCATAAATATGTCAATATCGAAATTAGTATAACAAGGTAATTTCAAAATTTATTTAGATGATCTATAATTTGATAGAGATGATGAATAAAATGAAGGCAAAGTTATTAAAGTAACCTTTGACAATCCTTCTACCATACCATCTTAGACCTAATCCATTAAGAAACAGACAGTCCAAACAAAACAAGTCTAAACTAAATAACCTCAAAAATAGACTACAACATCTAGTTCATCTACATTTAAGAAGAAATGAATGCATTAATTATTTTGAAATTAATAATTTTCAATGTTATTAATACGGTACCTTCTCTATTTTAGCTTTGTTATCATAATTCTTTAAATATTTAACAATAGACTATATGTTATTAGTCCCTCCTAAAGGTTAGATTACATAATGATCATTCTCTTATTGTTTTATTTGAAATCCATTGTGCTTGACGATGCTTTTAAATTAATTTGGTAGAAAGCCTTTTCCTTTTGATTCTATAACAATGTCATAACCTGTAATCTCTTATTTAGGTATTTCTATTTGATTCAATTTAACATTTATTTCTTATTCTTATTTTGATTGCCTCCTTGATTGACTCTAAGTAGAATTATATTACGATAAATAACTCTTTTGTTTCTAATATTCTGCCTCCAACTACCTTTCTTGATGTTCTAATTTCTTGTCCCTCAAAGAGTCATGTTTAAGAAAGGTCAGATCAGACGCCATAAAATTAGTTTTACCAGGATGTTTGTGCTCATCGTAATATTTCCCAAGAGTATTAAATAATACACTCTGCTAAGATTGTTTATTTTCAACTTTTATATCGTCTTTTCTGAATTCTGCATTTAAAGTACCTCTTACATATGAGGGCTGTTAATATTGAGGTTCAGTTGTAACTCTGGATGAGAGGATGGCTGATTACTTTTTTTTATTATTTTAATATTGGAGTGCTTGTTTATCATTTCTAATTTAAATTTTTGTATCATGGAAAATATTGCTTTGCAAATAGCTTTGCTTATTCTTATTGGCCAAATATTAATTTTCCTCATAATCCAATTTAGAGTTAATTGGTTTCGATGGTTTGTACTTGATAGCCTCTCCTACTGAATTTGATAACAACTCTTTAATTTTAGACTCTTAATAATATGTTTATGACTTTTTCCTGTTTTCAATAGGATAGCGACTTTCAGGAAATAGTAGCATTAAAAAAAGAAATAAAATTTATATATTTTATCAAACTTTAGAATTAATTCATTTAATTGTTTAGACATTATGTCATGACTAAAAATGAATTTAGAGAACAGGAAATCTCATATGTGGTATAAATGATAATTCAATATCAATAAAACATCTTTTTTTCAATTAGAGACGATCCATGTTCATCATAGTCTGATTTATTTAAGGTCCATTGATCATATATCTATGAACTTGCCACAATGGAAGCTCCCAACCAAGATGCATGTTAACGATCAAAAAATTTGGGTAGGGTTTGCACTTTGCTTCTCGAAGATAATCCAAAAATTTTAAGATTATTGATAGCTCTTTAAAATCTTTCAACCATATTAACTGTGCAACTTGCTCCTCCTATCAGAATAACATTCTGAACAAGTTCCTTTCTATAATCCGAATCAATTTTCTCCAAACTTGTTTCTAATGCTTTATCCAATCCTTCAAAATTTTCAGTTGGTTCATATAAGAATTCTGGATACTTGTACATTTCTTCAGAGATTAACAATTTAGTTTAGTCTGGTAATTCGTAAGCTTGATTGTCAACAGTTGGATTGAATTTTCTTAAAATTAGTAAATATGTAAAATTACAAATTCTCTATAGGTTGATCATATAGTTTAACACACTAATGCTTGATTTCTCTAACTATCTCCAAATCTCCATACATTTACAGAGAGGGTGAGAGCTGACTATAATTTTTAAATCTAGAAAAGGCCAATCCCTATTATTTCCAAACCTCATATAGTTTATTAGTTATGTACTCCCCTCCTATGTCACCTCTAAGAATACCTGAAATTTTATATCATTTAGATTACCTTTTTCTATAACATTTCCATCTAATATAGGAGTAATTGTTGTATGCGATGCTCCACAATCTACTACTAGTACATTATCTTTTCCTACTATATATTATGCTAGCATTGTGTTTCTGTGAAAGAACACAGAGGAAACATCAATTTCTTCAAAAAGCATTTCAATGATTTTGTTTCTGGTTTCCTTTTTGACATTTCCATTTTCAACAAAGAAAAAGGGGAATTGTTTCTCTTAAAATAAAACATTATTGAGAATGTGTTCTACATATTCTTTCCATATATCGAAATCAACTATCTGGCCTCCTTGAAGGATATTCTTAACATCAAATCCAATTGGTTAATATGTGCTATTTTATTCAATAAACTTCATGTTTCCCTCGCTATCCATTAACAAATCAGAAGGCAAAACAACTTCTGGTCCATCAGTTCCTGCATATCCTACTCTTGTATTTTATTGTCCGAATTCAAATATAACAGGGATTTTGTACCCTTTATTTTTTTTGTATGGTATGAACATAAATTTAATATAAAATATTATTGTCATTGTAAATAATATATATTTTATCATTTGAGTTTCTTTTTCTTGATAAGTTTCTTAGACTGTATCTTGATTTAGTTTACAACACAATCATAATTATTCTAAGGTTTAAACTATTAATATATTCCGATTTAATCAATATCAAAGTTATCCCTAAGATCTTACTTATATAAGACATTATCTAAGTCACTATAGTGTTAGTTTTATCTAGAAGACAAAGCTGAGTATGATCTAGAGTTAGATGCTGAAATGGACTTCTTCTTAATATCAGGACTAACAGCACTAGAGACTGTATTCGTTTATTTTTGAGTAGTTCGCCTAACAATAGTAGACGGATTATTTCCGTCTCTCCTTTGAACTTCATCAATGCTGGACATACCAACAGAGCTGATTGACATTGCAGATTGATATGGATTATTTGCTATTGGGATATTCAATAATGAGTTGCTCTCTTCTGAGACTATTGGCAATTGATTTTATACACTTGGAACGTAATTAGTAGAGGATCTATATTAGGGTCTGGACATCGCCTAATATTCGGGCTATGGAGCAGCCAATACTTATTTAGAATTTTATTCATGATAGAATGGATCATATGAAAATGTTAATTTTGGTTGAGCATTTCTGCTACTACTAACTAACAGTTGATTTGTTCCAAGGGGACTTTAAGCATATGTTTTCGATTAATATAAAGATTACTGTGTTTGTTATTAGGTTTGCTGATATTGTTATTGTTTTAATTACTAACTCTTTTGACTCTAATAAGTATTTTATCCACTTGATGATCTGAAAGTATTGCTATTTTAAGTAAACTATTTGTGTTGTAATGGAATGTTGATTGAATCTCCAAAATACAAATCCTCACCTGTTTGGAAACCAGCAGTTTGTAGGGTTTACTTATTGACTTAATGTCTATTAATTTCCTGTTGTTGTTATTGTGATTGCCATTATTATTAGTAATATTACAACTATTCTTCGTTATCAATATGATCATGATAGATGATGTCCCTCAAAGTTTGACCTGAAATCATTTCAACACTTTTCTAAAGTAGATATATAAATATACTCTTGATGGGTTGGTTAAATCTTTGTATGATTATCTACCTAATTGAATTTCTTCATCATCTTCATCTTCATCCTCCTCTTCTTCTTCCTCATCATAATAATCTATTCGATTATTTATTTCTGGTTCTTGAAACATGAATCCATAATTCCTTTTCAATCTCCTTCCACAACTTCGTACTAGTTTAAAATTGTATAAAGAGTTCACTCTCCAATCCCATTTCCTTTCAAATTTCTCTCTTTTTTGTGGGACTGAATATAAATATCTACTGATAACTATGTTTTTGTTTAAAACCGAATGCACTTTATTACATCCTGAACTCAGATGATATTATGATCCACAGACATAACAATTTTGTAACAATAATTCTATTTTATTCATAAATAGCACTTCATTTTTTATGGAATGCAATATTTCTAAATCGCTATTAATCTTTTTTATCGTATCCCAAAATAATGAGTGTTTTATTTAAATAAGTATAGAATTACCCTTACTTCTCATTGTTAGATTATGTCCTTGACTCATAAGCAAATTTTCTATTCCAATAGCTTAGTTTGCAGGTAAATTTTGCAAATAAATATTCTTATCGTATATCCCTATTTCTCCTTGAAGCACTACATACATGTACTCATCTAATTGGCCTTTCTCAACAATTATTTCATTGGTTTTATAAAACTTGAGAGTTGATTCATATCCAATCTGATCCAAAGATTACTTAGAAAAATACTACTTAAAAAAACTGATCTGCTATAATTTCTTGCTCTTCATTAAGAAAAACAAAGGCTTCTATAAATTAATTGGAAGCGATTGCATCAAGTTGTTAACCTAATATAAATCGAACTCTTAGTTACAGTTGCCAATGTGTTTGAATATTGATTTTCCTTCAACACTTCCCTTGTATCCTATATCATTCTGTGATCAACCTTATTGTTCTCTAAGAAGTCTGAAAACATCTTCATTCTAGAATTAACTTAAAACAGTACTCATTTGTGGAGAACAAGAATTTAATGAAAGAGGTCAAAAATAGCAATTAAAAATAGTAGGATGCAATCTGGACTAGTATTGTGTAGACCTGGTTGGATTGATGGTGCGACTCAATATTATGGAAGGGCAACTTTCTAATTATAGTTAATGTTATACACAATTGTTCATTGTCCAAATCACTGATTCGATGTAACCGAACTCGTCGTCTTGGAGTAACAGCCAAAGATTGGCGATGTAGTTGATGTAGATCAAAAATATAAAGGAAAACGTGATTGCATTCCAATGGAACTAGTATTTGATCCCAGTCAGTAAGAGGAGTAACAATACTAATTTCCCTGTATTGCCGAAATCAAAATTAATTAATAACGTGCTTGCTATATAAACAAAATTGCAAGTGATATTCACTCTTTCCAGTTTTAGTTTAAAAATATAATCAATTTATTCGATTAGTAACAATAAGAGGATTAAACCTAAGACCCATAATTACACTGAATTGGTTCCGGCTTACAATGGAACTAGGATATAAGATAGCAATCTAGTGTATTGAAAAAATTGTCTCAAGTGTAAAAGGTAGGAGGGTTAGAGTTACACCTCTTGTTTCAAGTAGTTTTCTTTGAAGTAAGTGTTGGAAACAGGAGATTCCACTATGTTTGCATTTCTTTTAAGTTTCTACAGAAATGTCCTGATAATTTACTGTATGTCAGTTTGCTTTGGTAGCCCATTTAATTCCTTCCATTTTAATTAATAATATTATTTAGTGGTAGCTGTACATTATGGAAGGCTGGGGTTGTGTTCGCTTAAATCCCGTTGCCGATGATTGATTTGAGAAAATTAGGAGAGTCTGGATTTACGTTAACTATAAATTGTTGGATCTTTGACTTCTCCACTGTCACTCAATCTTTTCCTTGATAGGTCGGAGAATTCGATTTTAAAATTTCTCATTTGCTCATCATTGAGGACTGGAGAAGCATGCCCTTGGCTTTAGCATTGACTTTAATCATTCTGATTAGTTCTTGATTTTCTCAAAAGCCTTTGAGACATTAAATTATATATAAATTAATAAAAAAGTTATTTTAACTGCTTCAAACAAAATATTAAAATTACAATACAGTCATTATTTAGTTTTGCTGTAAGATCTTTGTTGTTCCAAATCAGCAATATCATTAATTTATTTCAAGATTACACTGCTATTAACTTTGGGGTATCTGTATTACATATAGTTCATCAATTTATCTGTTTTCTAAAAAAAATAAATGGATGATCCTTACATTTAATTTTATCTGAGATTTCAAAAACATGTATTCTGAATCTCCAATCCACTCGCTACAAAGTTATTTCTTGCTATCCAATAGATTTTAAAAAATGGAGTCCAGCTGTTTCTCATAAGGAATAGAGAATCTTGCTGGAGCCTCAATTTTAACTTATTATTATTATTATTTTTTATGATAACTGATAGGTTTTACAACTCCAACAAAATATTTGTTTGTATAAGTTTACGAAAGAAGTTATTATTATAAGTAGATGTCCTCTTTTCTTTTTATTTCAGTCTTGAGATTTTCAGAATCAAGTTTTCTTTCTGAAGAAGATTTTTTGGTTTTTTATTTTTATTAAAATATTTCTGGTAATTTTGAATTTTAAAAATTCTTTTTTACAACAATTTCCTTTGATATCTATTTGGGTGAATGTAAATCAAATTCATTAAATGAATATTAAACTGGATATGAAATAGTAGTCTCTGAACTATTAATCCAATACATTAAATGTCTTTTCTATTCTAATGAAAATTCGTAATAAGGTCGATTGATGGCCTCCTTCACCTCCTTCATCCTTAAAATCTATAGAATATTTGGTCTCTGATTTTCTCTGATAATCAAACAAACATTAATCAATTTGACCAAGCCAGGCGAGTAAAAGTCTGAAATATTTATTTGGATTCTTCCTCGACGCAATTACTCCTTAATTTGGTTCTCCGGAGTTGATTAGGGAAATAGCAATTTCTGAGAGACCATAAAATATAGAATGTGGCCAATCTACCAAATGTGAGACTTTTGGGTGTACTGGCCATCAAAAAAGTATTCATGTGGCAAGTAGATTGCTGGACAGGGCAATTAACATAATGTCTATCTCGATGACTTATGAAAATCAGTTATTCTGATCTAATACCCTTCAGTTCTTGCCAATAATAGTATGTTTTCTGGTATGAGAACCCTGTGTTGTATACCTAACTCATTAAGTTGTAATAGAGCGTAAGCCATTTAAAGAAATAGTGACCATATTATGCTCTCTTGCATTTTGTAACCGATATGTTATAATGTGAAAGTTTTCAGATCTCCTTAATCACAATATTCTTAAATGATTACTAATTGTTATTCTTCATTTTCCATGTATTCAATAACTTACAATAGAAACTAATTTTTTATTTGAGCCAACATCTTTATAGCATTCAAACCTAATCAATAATCCATTTTGACACATACCTTCATTCTTATTGGACAGGTAAGTTTTCTAAATGTAGGTCTAATTGTCTGCCAATGATCTCACCTTCTCAACCCTCACTCGACCACTTGAATATATTTCTTAAAGTATTTCATAATTAAATTACATTTTTTTTAATAATAAAGAAATCAAATCAATAATTGTAAAATGTGCTGTTATCCTCACCAAATTAAGCAGTCTTGTTTTTTTAATACAACAATTATTATTTCACTTATTTATTCTTATTCGGCAACTGTTCCTCCAATTGCTCTGGCATCTCTTGACTTAATGCTCCTAAAAGTGCGCATAAAATTAACTATCATAGTCACTATATAAACTACCTTAAATACGAAAGACACATAAAGTAAAATTAAGGCTAATCTATTGGGTCCGTTCTCTATGGCATAATATTTATCAGTTTCAGTTGCTTCACTACCCCAAAATCCTCTAGAATACTTGATTGCCCACACCAAATCGCATAACAATGAGATACCCACAGCTACAGAATAGTATATTAACCGCTATTTGTAGAGTCTATTGAATTCAAATTCTATAATGAAGAAGAAGCATATAATTAACTATTTTGGATATAAACAATTTTTACATCCAAAAATTGAGTTTTTCCAAAACAAATAAATACACTAAGTCCCATTACAATTAAGATACTCAGTCGAGTGTATAATTTGTAATCATATTGAGAACTAATATTATTGATTGGTGTCATCACTAAAGTGTTAGGCGGTTAATGGTTTATAGCCAGGTCTTCTTTTTCTATACTGCGAATAAGTTGGACGTAATTTGGAAATGGTTCATAGAGTGTAGCTAGATCTTTCTCAAAATCAATTAGGTCATCTTAGGCAGTTTTTATTTACTCATTCCAGACTTCGATTTAATGACTCAATGATTTTGAATCGTTAAAGATCCATTATGATCTCAATTTAATTTTGGTGTTTGTTTGCTATCCATTTTTATCAAATAATTGACAACAATCTTCAATTTTAGTTTGATTGGTCAAATGGGACAAGGACAAAGTCACAGTTCCCAGTAATTGTGGTATGTTTGGATGGTTGATGGTGTAGAAAAACAATTGTAGTTCTTCGAGGCCAGTTGAAATTTTACTATAAGAATATGACAAACAAAGTATTACAAATGAAGGGTCTTGTTCCATTGAGGTGATGGTCCATTTTGTTATTGGATTTCTTATTTTTAATTTTCCAATTTTAAAATTACTGATACATTTTGAGCTGGAAAATTGATTCCTTCCAACAATTCAACAGTCAAGTGGCTGTCCTCCTTTATTCCATATTAATTAACTCTTTCGCTATCTTTTATTGACTTAATTATTTTCAAATTCATACATCAAATTGGTTTGATACATATTTTCTTTATTTATTATAATCCATAATCTGCTTTTTACAACCTTCGATTTTATTCTTTAAGATCTCCTCTGCTTGGAGAAACACCTTGATAAATTCATCCACAGTGATTTTGTTATTAAAACTTTTGTTCATTCTTTGATATAATTGATCTCCCAATTCTCTATCAAATTGTCTTCTTAACTAAATTTTGAAGCAGTTTATACCTTCTTATCAAGGCATCTATAAAATTACTCAATCGATAACAATTCATCATGATTTATTTCGATTTCCAAAAATTCCTTCCTAAGCACATTTGCCTTTTCAATTGCATTAACCGAAGTTTGCATTTTTTTATTAATATTTTGAATAAATTAATTATGAAGTTAAAGAAATAGTCATCTCAAAAGGAGACGTCAAAAAAGGATTAAAAAAAGAGTATTATCGAATTATAACATAGTGAGAAGAGGATTCAAAGCCTGTAAGTCTTGTGGATTCGAACTTCACATCCACTAAAAAATTTGTAAGAATTGCAATCATGAAAACACATTTGTCAATAAAATCTCCTTCACGCAATCCAAAAATAACACCATTGACTTTTTTAAGAAGATAACTGAAAACTAAACCAAAGGTAATTTTCTGGTCTCACTCTAGTAGAAAATGTAGAAAAGAAAATAAAAAAGGTTCCTCAAAAATTAATGACACGCATTCATGTTTTTAAGAAATCTTTCCTCTACAACAATGAAAGCAATTTGGATGAAAACCTAATCAAATCCATATCCAATAATTCCGCCAAATAAGACAGCATCGATCTAATACAAAGAAATGAATTTAAATTAAACAAAAAAGAAATTTTGGTTGACTCCCTTCCTGTTGAAAGCGGTCAATTTCACAAGTTGGAGAAGGGCTACTTACTTTATTTTGGTTGTTCCCTATTAAATATAGCAATAAACAAAGGTGTCATTTTAGTGAGTATCTAAATGAATTAATATGACAACCAATAGTTTAGCTAGTTGCATTTATATGGCAAGACATACGAAGGCGATGGAGTATTGGGAATCATATAATAATAAAAAATTAGATACATGCATCATAATGAAGGTGCCATTACTCAAATCAAATTCTACCCTTAATCAATAACCACAATAGGCACCATCAATGCAAAGGGCAGCTTCACAATGCTTTCCTTAGTCAACACAATATCTGATAAATTGAAAATACTATGCAAGATCGATATTCCTAATCAAATTCTAAATTGTTTCGATTGGTGTCCTTGCAAAGAATAGAAAATATCGATTGGAGATTAACAAGGGAACATCTACATTATAGAAATAAAAGGAGAAGACTTTGTGATTGTCAATTTCCTTGAATCATATCACATGGGAATCATCAAAGATTTATAGTTTTATATTCACAATGATAACAATTCTCCTTTATTGCTAAGTGGTGGTTATGATGGCAACCTTAAGATTATTAACCCTTCCAATTCTTAAGAAATATTTAACAGACACATTACTTCAAAGGGAATATCATAAGTAAAATGGGATAGAGGTGGAAAATTCATTTTATGCATCAATGATGATCCAAACCAAAAGGCTTTAATGTTTTGCTTCTTTTCTATTATAAAAAAGGATTCAATTCAAGTTTTACAAAACGTTGAAAAACGACTCATCCAACCATTAACTGGGGATGATGAGACTCAAGTAAATATGTAATATTATATAGAGCTGTGCATATAATCCATTCCACCATAAAATCTACTTTGCCTCATAGAATGGAACCATCTATGGAGCTGATATTGAGCAAATTAGAAAATAGGCTATTAAAAAAGAGAAGAAGCAAACGTATTAATCAGCAGTAGTTCACTTTGGTTAAGTTCTTTTAGAAAATAATACAATTTCATACATTACTTCGAAAACTTCAGGAAGCTATAAAAAATCTATTCAAGTACTTCTTTGATATTAAAACTAGTACTATGATTGGAGTTAAGGGTATCATTTTTTGGATGTAGACGAATCAGGAAATTTAATTTTGGGAAACATTCTAGGAGTTTTAATTATGTTATGATGCTATATTCATTGAATATCTTATAAATGATTATATGCTACAAACCATCATTTAGAATGCAGATAACATTAGTCTACCTTAAAGATTATTTCATTTACTACTGACAATTTTAATTATAAATTATTATTGGTTGTTGTTTTATCTAATTAGATATCATATTATTATTTAATGTAGAAAAATTGGGGATTCAAAACAGGGTATTAATGACATTCACTACTTACCTAGTTGCTTAACAATTGCGTCTGGTATAATAATCGGAGCTGCTGGTGGACATAAACCTTGGCCGGTTGAGCAAAAACTAATCTTCGATAGAGGGTTGATGTTCCATTTCTTAAATGGGATTGGAATGATTATATCATCAGTTCAAGGGGTTAGCGTATTGCCATTTTCCCTTTTTGGAACTGGAGTCTTGCTTTTCTGTGGTCCTCTTTATCACAAAAGCTTTACTGGGAAAAAGACATTGTCAAATTACTTACCCCCATTTGGAGGTTTTGCCATGATCTTCGGATGGTTATTGTTAGCCTTAAAAAAGTGATTAAGAATAATATCAAATATTTTAGATGTTAATAAATTGTTCTCTAGTGTTCCTAATTATTATATTTTAAGAATTTTTATTTTATAATCTATGGAAAGTAGAAATTTAACTCAATTTCAACATTATTCTCATAATGGCACCAATCGTTACTCTATTTAGAGAATTGTTTATCCTCAATATGCAAGTGGTTTAGTTTAAGAAGAAACAGTATCTCAGCATCGAGATTCGACTGATGAGGAATAATTTATAGAAGGTGAGTGTTTTATTTATATCGGGGGCTAATAAATATTTACTATCGAGCTTAAGTAGCCAGATTTTGTGCATTAATAATTATGTATTGATTTAACAAAATACCAATGTCCTTTGGAATGCTTAACTGCTTTCCCATTGCCAAATGAGTTTCAGAATCCCCAAAGAATATTACCTTTAAGCACTGGTATATTAGTGGTGAGTAGTGGCAAAAATGGGTAGCAAATCAACTTATTTGATGATCAATCCAAAGAGATTACCATCAATGTGCAAATCACCAAGAGAATAATCTGGATGAATTCAAGATACTTATAAGAGGTTATTATATTAATAGTTGGTTTCAATGATTCAAGTGTCGGTCTTTTCGAGATTGACATCAAGAATAAATAAATTAAATTGCTGCATGAATTCAATTTTGAACAATTGATTATATTCAATGACATTTCAACTCATAATCAAATCTATTACATAGCGTTGACTTCCTATAATGGAATTATTTCAATTTTGTCAATCGATCTCTTTTTTAACATTCAACATCATGTTCATAATATTAATAGAATAACCTCACCTCCTAAACTGTATTTTTAGCACAACAAAGCCAGCTTAATGGTTCCCATATAAAACGGAGAGATGCTGTAATATCTTGAAATAGGAAATTATGGATTGACTAAATGGAATGTAATAAAGTATCAAAATAATAACAAATCTATGATTACAGCATTTGATATAGAACCAAAAAAATGTGATGTTTCTTAGAATTAGAGTGAAGAGTTTGAGATTTGTATGATTCATTTTGATGGTACTCTTAGTTTTTATGATTATGCTGATAACAGTATTTATATTGAAATATCTAAACAATTGAATGGCTCCAGATTTTTTGTGTCAAACATGCAGCTTTAATTCAAACAATTCATATTAATGGGGTCGGATGATGAAGTAGAAATATATCAAATGTCCTTTTATCACATCAATTGATTATATTGTTGTTAATCAAAGACAATTTAATTATTTATAATTAGTAGGAGTATTTGTTATCATACGCACCAATCTTCTATTAAGGAAGTGATTAGATTGTTATCTGTAATTTTATATATTTATATGATAAATTTTTAAGACAAACAAAGATTTTGTTAGATCATTTTTCTGTAAGCTCTCTATAACCTTTCCAATCTTTGGGAGCTTTTCCGCCACAAGAATGAATAACCTCTAAAAGAGTATTGGATGGTCCATCCTTATGTTCAGGTATCATAGTCTAAAATATAGCATATATTATTTACTAATGTCTTTTAGAATATGGATTATGCTTCTCCCCAATTTCCTTTTATGTATTAATCAAATCCTTACTTCCAAGTCTCGTAGAATTACTAAAATCAATATTTTTCATAGTTTACTTAAGTGTATGGTTCTCTAGCAGCTGACAATTCATCATCCTTTTCAAAAAGATCAGTAATACTAATCTAATTATTCATCACTTGCTTCATCTATTGATCTCTCTTGAATCTATTCACAACTCTAAATTTCTTTGATTCCTTTTAGGTCATTGTAGAAACGTCAAATTTATCTCTAAGAGTCTTGATCTTTGCTTATAAGTTTTTGATAGACATATCCACAGTGTGTAGTTCTAAAAATAATGTGATTTCATACCTAGAGGAACAATACTTCCCTTCACTGTAACAATATCAATCATTCTCATCTATTTTTAACATTCATCAGTCAAATATTACTTTAGAATACCACTAACGAGAATAAGAGCTCCAAATTATTTTGTTGCTGCTTCCAGTCTTGATGCCATATTAACATTAGGACTGAGATAAGAGGCATCGATTTTAAATCCAGAACCTATGGCTCCTTCAATTCCCCAACCCATATGTAAACCGAATCCCATTTTCACAGAGTAGTCCTTCATTCTTGCATTGAGTCCCTCATGCTTCTTATACTTCTCAAGCTTTTTAGAGATAGAGATTGCTGTGATAATTTTGAGAAATGCCATCACTGCCATGTCTCCTTTCTATTTAATGTACCTATCGGTTTTGAGTTTCAAGTTTCTAGGGTTGTCAGGGTCAGGATGATAATCATTGGGAGAATACTTCCAAACAAGTAAAAAGGCATCACCGATATTTTTATTAGCTGATCCACTCATAGAATCAACAGTCGAATGGACAATTTCAGCAATTTCATTGACAAAAACCATGACTCCTTATTATAATACTTCAGTTGCCTATATATTTATTACATTTTTTTTACATCAGTAAAGTTTCTTATATCACAAAATCCAAAAATTGCCAATATTTTCTTGCCAGGTATCATGGGATCAACACTACCACCTTTTTTAATGTTTTCAGCTATAATTTCAGAACCTGCTTCACCAAACCCAACAGCTAACAAAGCACCTACCTTCATTATTAACCTTTAAAGAACATATGTTTCCATGTGTTTTTCGATCTCTTTCTATTTTAATTTTTCCACATCCTAAGATTTCTCTAATTCCTCCATAATGAGATCTTCCTATTCTTCTATATTCACTGCCTCAAGTGGATTTGCTGCTATCATTTCTATCTTCTACATCATTCCTTCAATCGGATCGATAACTAAGTCAGAAACATCTTTATTAAACATCAGAGCTGACACTGCCAACACTATACACACAAAGATTGTTTAAAATATGGATAAAATTGCATTAGTTTGATTATAGGCCACCAAGTCAGCTGATGCGTAAATTTGTAGATATGATCCATCCGATTTAACATAATATTGCAAATCTGAAAATCTATATTAGTCTTTTGTTTCATAGGCAGGCACTTCAAAGATTTCTGGATTAGTGTTATAACTCCATTCATCAAGATCTGTATTGCTGCCTCCTTTTAAATTAACATTCACACTATAAATTGGATAAATCTCCCCTATATGGAATTGAGAGTATTGATACAAAAGGGATTTCATTACCTCAGAATTGTCTTTGAATTAATAAATTCTATAAATTCCTGAATCGTAGCTACTGATTGTTTCTTAATAAGTATCTAAGGAAAGAACAGGAATACTTATTAAGATAGCTAAAATAATTGTAATTACTCTTCTCATAACAAGATCTGATAATTAAGCTCCTACAATAGATTCTTTAATTTAGTTTTCTGCTTAAGAAGAAACTTAAGATGATTTTAATTGAGAGTTAGAACTTCTATCTGGTGTTTTGGCAGCTTCAATTTCATTTTGAGAATTATTTCTAGATTCATCATTTTATGGTATAATTTATTAGATGGATAAATTTTACTCTTATTATTATTATTATTATTATTACTATTATTATTATTATTATTATTATTATTATTATTATTATTATTATTAATCCTAACTCTTACTTTATTAAGCTTGTCTTAATAATTCTTGAAGTAACTTTTTTTATTATTCCCTTTCCATTTACTAACGAGCATGTTTATAGAGTTTAACCAATCTCACAAGTCTTATAACTCTTATAACCCTAGCAGCCTTTCTTGCAGCTCTAGATGCTGTACCAATAGATTTAATCTATGAAGCACTTGTTAAATCTCCTGAATACCAAGTATCAGTTATCCAACCTAAATCTAAAATCATTGTTAATGTAGAAATAACATCCAATATAAAATAAAACTAAAAAAATTGATATTAATTACATTCAAAATATATTCTGGTTTAGCAATACTGGTTAAGGTAATTTCGATTATAAATGCAACCATGCATATAACAGTTAGTACAAAAAAGACATCATCTCCTTGCTTATCCACTGACAATATTCTAATATCATCTCCAAATAATGCATATATAGTGACAATGGCCATGACTATTGAGAATAGGGTGTTTTCTGTAATTTTCAGTATCTTTTTTGATATATCTGACTGCTGCTTTTATTAAGAGAGTCGACTCTTAACTCTACTGTTCATTCTTTTAATGCGTTTCTATTGGGTTTCTTATAAATTAATAACACATGTACATGAATGATGAGGAGATTTGGTGCCTCCTCCTGAACTCTTAACAGAGATATCATCTTAACTATGGTGGGCAGACCCTTACATAGGTCTTGGTTATTATTTTGATTCATCGGCTGCTTGATCAGGCTTCTTAATTAAAGGTTAAGCTTGCTATTTATCAGTTAACTACATATATTCATATATGTACCAGAGGAGCTTAGTTTTACGCATTATTTTCTGATGGGGGCTTAACTGATCTATCAGATGGTAACTGTAGCTATATTATAAAGTGAAAAATACAGGATGAGGTTCAGCAACCATTTGATTAAAATTCTTTACAACCTAAGCTGGTACAAATACTTCTCCTAAACCTTAATCCTCTTAACCCAACTTTTCTTGGTCATTTTATGAGTTCATATTTTAATAAAATAATTATATGATTCATAATAGGTCATATACTCACCCTTATTTCGACATGAAAAAAGAACTTAACAGAAAGAGTCAGCCGATTGTCAAATTCTATCAAATAATCATTAATCAAGTGATGCTACAGTGATTTTTAAGTGTGCTAGTTTCATTATTTTATAAAAACATATAATACTTTTGAAATATGAAAAATTGTTACTTTATTTAAAAAAATTACAAATATTCTTCTCTTCAGAATCATTGACTCAAAATTATTTGTTCCATTGGAAATTAAAAAATTGAAGATGAATCATTGCAATGATTAGGGTTAATAACATTAAAACTAATTAATTTGATTTATGTAATTCATAAATAACCAAATTTATCAAAATTTACTAATGTTACATGAAACTTAACTTTTACATATCCTACTGATTTCACTCGAGTCACCTCTCTTCCTTCACCTGAGGAAATTACTTTGTCGAAGTTTTTGAGCTCAGCAGTGTTTCCCAACAGATAACCTAAGAATCCTGTGAATCCTGAGATTGGAAGAGGCTTGAATATTCGAATTACTCTTTCGTGACTTGAAATATTATGGGCAATTCATACTATCCTGGTTGAGTTGGAACATGAACAGATCCATAACCTTTAGCAACGCTTCTTCCCATAAAATCGGGACCTGAAAGTCTTACTACTACCTAAGGCCACCCGAAAATGTTTTTAGTTTAAAAATTGCATTCAAAAGGGAAATTCCAAACAATGTTCCTTGAATGCAAATTTCTGGATGTACTTAATTAGGATATCCCACTTGGTTCTGCATCATCAGCATTATTCTAATTTTATTCTTAATCATACACTAGTTTTCAAATATGTCCAATCATCGCCTCCATATTTCACAGCATATTCAATTCTTAATGATTCCTCATCTTCGCACTTTATTTATCAAAATATCATTTTACTTCGCCACATTCAAGAACTCCACTAAAATTCAAAAACATCGAATCAGGCTATATATTTCTTGGATCCATCATCTCTTCTTAAATCCGTGAAATTCCATCCTAAAATTGCTGAGGTTATGAATATCCAAAGTTTTAATTAGTTTATCCTTTCACTGACCCTTAATCTGATATATCCTTTTTATAATTTCTTGTATTCATCATTATCAATTGTTTTTATTAATAATTAAATGAAATAAAAGACATATTACAATTCAAGGATTGTCAAAATAACTATTCTATTGTGAATAATCGATTATAATTAGATGTGATTTCGAAATTACATCATCATTAAACTTAATTCCTTGGGTATTTTTAAAGATAGCAGAAAATATCGCTAACATTGACTTATCTCAATTGAAAGATGAATAAATAGTAATTAGAAAGTACTCATATTTTTTTCTTGCATATATAGCAAAAAGTTTAATCATCTTATTAACTTAAAATTAAACTGGTTTACTATTTGAAATCTCTCAATTCCATTATAAATAAATTTATTTTTTAAAATAATTGACCAGTTGATAAAATTATCTAAACTTGAGTTTGATAAATATATAGAAAACTAAAACTAGAATAGATAAAATCGGATGATCATTCAATTATAATATATATATTATTGAAATTTGATTCTATTTTTGAGAAGTTGAGATTCTTAATATAAATTACATCCAAACTTTAGAATAGAATTACATAATGATATAAAATACTTATGATGTATTAAATATTTTTGAATGTCAAAATACATATTCTTAAAAATATTACAAAATAATTAATTAGATCAATGTTACAATTAGTGTTTAAAAGAGAATGCTTCAATATTATTGAAGTGTAAATTTGCATCATCTTATGCTAATAGATCTAAATCATTGAATGATTCAAACTCTTGTTCTACTTATTCGATGGTTTTCATCCTTTCATGAAAATGTTTACTAGTCTCTTTGCAGAATGTTGATTATTGTTTCTGCATTACTGTTTGGCTTTTCTTTTGATTTCTGGGTAATTATTATTGCATAAACCTCCGATACTTATCGACCTCAACGATATTTTTTTGACTTTATTGATAATTTATCATTTTAGAAGTTCCTTAGGTATGCATGCTGACTCCCTAAAGAAATGAAAAGGAGCAATTTTTACATTTCGACTTCGATTTTCCAAATTTTCAGGTTCAGGAATGACTAAATGAGTGGAAGGCTGCTTTTTAGGATAATCAACAACAGCAGAGGATCTTTTAATAGTACTTCTTACAACTGGAGGATTACCTAATTAATTTTGGAGAGTCTATTTTTTGTTCTTAACTTCGGCTAATTTCTCCCAATCAAACATATAGAATGATTCCTCACACTCTTTTTCATTAATGGCTTTTCTGAATTAATCCTTAAGAAATGCGTAATTAGGAGATTCTGAAAATTCCCTCGATTTTGCATGTTACAACAATAATAAATAGCACTAAATAATATATTCAATTACCTGAGGGAGTCCTTCAGTCAATTCTTCTAATTTTGTGTTTTTCTTCATCTCCAATATAGTTTAATATTTCTCGTGCTTATCAGCTATTTATAGATTCATCCATGGAAGCTTTCCCAAGTTTAAATAAATCAAGACATAGGCTAAGCTTTCTAAATCATCTTTTCTAGATTGCTCAAATCCTTAATGAGCCGCTATACTAGCGTACCTAGCAGTTCCGATGATTCCCTTTTTATCAGATAAAGGTATATGTTATCCATTACTATCTTTAAAATATTTAGCCAATCCAAAATCAATCAGATAGACAACATGACTGTCGATGTACCCAATAACCATGTTTTCAGGTTTTAGATCTCTATGAATGATGTTTTTGTTATGCAGAGATTCCAACCTTTCAATTAATTAAAGAGATAATTTAAGGCAAGACAATTAAGAAAAGCCTTTGCTTCTCCTTAGTAGGTATTCTAAATTATGACCCAAATATGTGATCATGCAATAATTGTAATTTTCGTCTCTTCCATAATATTGGATCTAAGGAAAGCCTTGATAATAATTATATAATTATGATACCATCGACTCCACTTAATTCTAGCAATACCTTGATTTCTCTGACCAGCATGCTAGCAGTGCCATTGCTGCGATTCTCTCTTTTCTCGAATTTCGTAGCCACTATTTCTTTCGTTTCACTATTCTCGGTTTTAAAGATATATCCAAAGCTACCTTGGCCCACTTTTTCCATCAATATAAACTTGTCTGCAATGATGGTTCCTGAATGAAGATGGGAGGCGGAATTGGTTTGGAGCTGAGTTTGATGTTTTTTTGTGTTCCGATTCATCATTTGCCAAATTTAATATAATAATTTATTTCTTACAAAATAAAATGATATGATTATAGTTACTTAAAGTACGATTGATGAAACCACTTTAAGTGCTATGATTTTATAATAAAATAATAATAATAATGAATCGTTTTAATTTTTATAATTTGCATTCTTTTCAGATTATCAAAAGACTTCAGTAAATATTGGCAATTTTGATAAGCAAATTTCTATCTTGACAATAAAGAAAGAAAACAATGGCTAATTAATTTTTAATAATAGGCTAGTTCTCACCTAATCAAATCCCATTTAAAAGTCAAATTAAACTCAAAAAGATCATAAGCGTAAATTAATTAAATGAGTTAACTTAGTTTTGTAATTGCTAATGCTTAAGAAGAGATGATCTAAAAAAGAGTCAAATCTCTTAAATTTCAACTCAAAGCTCTGGGACAGAAGAACACAGTTCTGCAATAAAAAATAAAGGACGTTAACAGAGCTAACTTAGACCCTACAAAATCACCTGTTTCTTAATTGCAAGAGAATTTACACTTCGATAGAAGATAAGTAATAGAACTATTCAAACCAATAATTGCGAAAGAGGCAATCTACATTAGAAATGAGAGGTTTAAGTCAGAACAATTCATGATGTAATCAAAGTTGAATGAAATTTAACAGAAAAAAATTAGGGCTCGATAAATTGAATAATTCGATGCTGACGCAATCAGAAGAGTAGCTGAGTTTAAAGAGAAAAAGGTTACTGAAATTCGCTAAAGAAATATCACAGAAGTTGAAATCAACAAGTCAACAGTTCTGAGGAAGCTTGAACACATCTCTGTATTGGAAAATGAAGAAAAAGAATTAATGAACATGATCTAACAGTAATTTTCATCCATAACCTTAGAGCTAAACTAAACACTACATAATTGCAGTAAAGATTTAGCAGAGCCATTACTTAAACAGACGAAAGCTCTATTCTACCCAATATTAGAAAATTCAGTTGTAATTAGAGATTTGAGTCCCCATTTAAAAATCGAACCCCCAATCACTATTCAGATAAATTCTTAGATCAAAGCAACACCAGCAATAAGAAATAGCCCCAATACTTCCTCTGTCGAAGATAATCAAAATCAACTAACAAATTAATTAACACTAATCAAAATGACTCAAATGGAACACCACAATGGGCAATTGACTTTAGATAATATTACAATTTGAGTAATAAGGAGAATTTTGAAAGTAAGGAAGATTCTTAAGAGTAATCGACATAATAGTGACATTTTTATTTGTATATAAATTCATGATTCACCATTTTGCTTTTCTAATTAAATCATTTTAAGAATAGAGAAAAAAAACAATAAAAATATTACTATTATATATTCTAATCAGGTCAGAGGATGGAATGCGAATTCAATGTCTCTATCCTCTTTCAATTGGAGTATGGACTCCTTCAACCACTTCTCAATAGTAGTAAAAGCATCCATGTTATGTTTGATGTCCTTCACCCACAAAGCCATTTAAATGAATCCTTTCTTTGTATGGCAAACTATGCCATTTATAAATTCATCATAATCACAATCCGCCCCAACAAATGAGAGCAACAATTCCTCAAGAATTTAATTACCAAGACTTTTTCTGACTTTGAAGATGAATCTCCCTCCGAATTTATTTTATGGATCTTCCCAAACAGGTGTGATGTTCTTTTTGAATAAAAATATTTAATTGCCCTCTGGTTATTATTCTGGCCTAACAATATGTTAATAATATGCCCAAAAATCTTCTGCAGTAGAAAATGATCCTTAATTGTCAATTTGCAAACATACCAATAACTTCTTAAACATATTGCCCTTATTTAAAGGTTCCTAACCAAAAAGTGAAATCCGAACCTAATTAAAGCATAATTTAATAATAATATAAATTTCTAAAAACTCATTGGTTTACAAATATTAAATACTCCTGAAAACATCTTGGAAATCTTGTCCATTATGACTCATCGAGGCATCATTAAAAATTCCTTATTTTACAATAATAATGGCAATGATTTAAACAATATATTTTTCTATTTATTTTCTATTAGGATGAAATTAAAATTGTAAGGAATGGCAGAAATACCATATGTATCTCTACAAAAATGATTGTATCTTTTAAAGCAGAAATAATAATAAATTATCTTGACTTTAATCATGTTTTACAAATATTATTAATATAAATGGAAAAATACCTAATTCAAACACAAAGCGTATTCCTAAAGAGCTTCCATTTGCACCTAAGGAATAATAGGTTAATTCCAAATATATTAGTGCCATTTTTATGTGGATTAATATTGTGGCTATCTTACTTTAATTCATTGGACTTTTTAAAATACTCATAAACATTGTAATTTATTTTCATGTCATTTTAAGTTACATGCCTTTGGCTGTTTGTGGAGTTATTAGAAGTTTTATGATGATGATAGTAAATGAGAAGAAGGAAAGGTAGAAAGAAAACTAATTGATAATGGGGCTGAAACTAAGTGCCTATTACACAGGATGGATTCTATCATGTGTAATATGGACCTGCATATGTGCATCGATTTATATTATCATGATTGCAAGTTTTGTGGCATTGCATTGGCACTACTTTGCATTTTATTAATATGCAATCTTTTATGTTCAATACATGTTTTATTCATATGCAGTTGTTGGATAAATGCTGATGATTAGCAGTCTATTTTCAGATGGAAGGAAGGCTACTGATGTTTATGCAGTAATTTACATGATCATAGTGTATCTCTATTATTTCACAGATTGGTCCAATAAAAGTGAGTATTCAGAATTGCTTTTGTCTATTTTTCCATAAAACCTGATAGTTTATTTCTGGTTTTAAAAAATCACCTTCAGTGCCATATCAATGAATTACATTTATACTCTAATCATATTTAGTATTCAAGGGACAATGGGAATTCTTCTATATGTGTACTTAGATTAAGTGATTCCTGATGAGATTGGGACACACAAGTCTCCTTTCTTCATCTGCTAATGTTTGTTGAGGAAAAAGAGAAACTAGGTAGATCAATTCGAATTAGACTTAGAACTATAATAATAGAATAATTTGGGATCTGAATTGTTAAATCCTCAAGATCAAATCTAACCAATAGAGGCTAATGAAAATTAAGTATTAAAATTGACTCAATTAACCAAAGTGTACAATGGATAAGCAGTTGTGAATAATATTAGTTTGAATCTGAACAAAAATACGATCTTTAGTTTGTTGGGTCATAATGGAGCAGGCAAATCTACCACAGTTAACATGATTTGTGGTTTAATTCAGAAAACAAGTGGGTAAATTAATATCAATGGATATGATATTGACAAAAAGTTAGATGAAATCAGATAGATTTTGGGTTATTGTTCATAGAAGGATGTGCTTTATGGGGAGATGAGTGTTTATGATCATCTCTAATTTTATGGTCGTTTGAAATTAATTAATCAGCTGTAGTTGTCAGGGCAGATTGAGACTGTGTTGGATATGTGTTATCTTCAATAAGAGAAACATCAACTTGCTATGTATCTCAGTGGTGGAGGCAAGAGAAAACTATGTTTGGCTATTGCTTTGATAGGCAATTCATAGGTTCTTCTTTTAGATGAACCGACCACAGGCTTGGATCCTATTAGTAGATAGCAAATATGGAATATTTTGAAGGAAATCAAATAAGATCGATGTGTTATTTTGACAACTCATTATTTGGATGAAGCATAAGAACTTTCAGATTATGTTGGCATCATTTAATAAGGGAAAATGACTGCTTTTGGAACCGTCGATTCCATAAAAAGACAGTTCTCTGTTGGTTATAATATTCTAATTGAATGTCAAAATGAATTGCATTAGAAACAAATATTGGATTAAATTTAATCAACATTGCTATTAATTTGCAAAAACGATATTTAGTTCATTCCCCAAAATAGAAATCTCAAGTTAAATATTCCCTTAAGCAATAGTGCAAATGTAGCATCTGCTTTGGAATATTTGGAAACTGTATAGAATATTAATATATCATTTGAAATGACAACTCTTGAGGATGCTTACATTAAAATCCATTCTTAATCTGATTGGGGCAATAATCAAATTGAAACAAATAATAATGCTCTTTTTAATAACATGTTTTTTAATTTTACTCCACATTTTAGCTTTTATAAATAAGTAAAAGGACTATTTATGAGAAGAGTCTGGATAGCTGGACAGAATAAATGGCAGTATGCTATGTTTTTAATTTCTTGGATCTTATTGTTAGGATGTCTATTCGGCTTCAAGAACATCAATCAAGAAATCATCATCTCCTTATACGTTTTGATCAAGTTGATATTTATCAGTCAGCAATCCTACTACCCTATCTACGAGAAATAACACAAGATCAAAGACTCTTATGTAACTCATGGAGCTAAAATAATTTCATATTGGACATCAGTAATGTTGTTTGATATTGTTGTTATCGTTTTTGAATAGTTTATATTTATAGCATTGCTTCTAATAGCCAAATAGATCGATGGCCAAAGACAATACAGACAATATAACTTAGGCGTTTATTTCAGCATCATATTAGTAAATACTATATTCTCAATTGCACTCAATTGTCAGACATACGTTGCAACATACTTCTTTAAGAGTACATCCTCATCAAATGTTTAATTGCCATTCCTTATCCTGACCTTTTAATATTTAGGATTGGTTATATTTACAATACTATTTCAATGGAATGAGATCATAGGAGTCATTATCCCTCTAGTTTCACTTGGTAATGGGTATTATTGGATCTTTTCAGAAAAATACGATCGTACCTATCTGGAAACACAGCTTCCGTCTCTCATATCAATCGTAGTCTTCTTCTTCCTTATAAATTACCTAGAAAATCGATTGATCAGCAGGAAATCAAATCCTTCCAATTTTTAAGGAAATGTAGAATTAAATTAAGTGAACTATAATATCGGAAATAGACCCATCTTGCAGAATGTTAGTTTTTCAATTGAATCCAGTGAGATTTTTGGACTTTTAGGACCGTATTTATTTATTCATATTATAGTAATGGAGCAGGAAAGACAAGCACTTTCAAGATGATAACAAGGGAAGAAAAACCTAGTTCAGGGCTTGTTGAAATAAAAAATGAGTCTACTTAGGTTGGATTGGTTCCGTCCTTTTCGCCTCTCCATGAAGATCTGTCATTGGTCTAACATCTTAAAATATATGGTAAATTAAAAGGCTTAGAGGATTGGAGGATTGATAATTTCATTGATAGCTACACTTCATATATGGATTTGAAAAAAATCAGAGATAAAAAAGTTAAGGTGTTGAGTGGAGGTGAAAGAAGGAAAGTTTAAATGGGCATAGCATTGATTGGAAATTCTTCAATTTTATTAATGGATGAACCTACTAGTGGAGTGGATCCCGTTTTTCGTTAGCAATTTCAACAATTAATATTAAGGAATTGCCAATAAAATAAAAGTTCAATTTTGATTACTACTCATTCAATGGTAGAGGCTTAAAGAATTTGTGAAGTACTAGGGATTATCATTAACGGTTAGTTGAAATTTAAAGGAACTTTAAACCAATTAAGATAATAATACGATAATAGAATATAATTAAGTTTCCATCTTAAAAATAAAGAAGATAAAGATTAATTGCGGGAATTAATTGTGTAAAATTTAACTAAGCATATTTTTGAACCTTTGGGACTGAGTGGAGATAACTTGACTGTATTTGTGGATGATTAGTCAATAAAGTTTTCATAACTATTTAGATTTTGTTAAATAAGGGCAGTAGACAATCTAATTGAAGATTTTGAAATTTAGTAGGCAACTTTGGATTAAATATTTAAACACTATGTGCAACAATAATAAGTTAATGATTATCCTTAATAGATAGTGGAAGCTTAGCGTAGAAATTTACTTGGGATATGCTGCTGTTAAATTTGATTATTTTAAAATAATATATATAATATATTGTCATAATAAGATCGAATTATAATTATGCAATAAGACACCTAATTGAGGATTGGAGATTGGACTTTTGATTGCTCTGTTGAATTAGGAAAAGGAACTTATGGATTAGTTATACCTTGTTATAAAAAAGATTAAAAACCTGATGAAAGGTATTGTGCAAAAATAATTCCTAAAAATAACATTTATTTGAGAGATGATTAACTATAAAAATCAATGTAGAATGAGAGAAATATGTATAACATATTGTCAGATGTTTAATGTGAAAATGTAGTAAAACTTATTAAAAAAGAAGAAAATAATGAATTTATGTTTTTGGTTATGGAACTCTGTGACTCTGACCTATAGAAAGAGTTTCAATTTCTAAAGGAAAACAAAAATTGGTATACTCCTGAGTAATAAATAGATATGATTCAATAAATTACAAAGGGAGCATGCTTTTTAAAAGAAAATAATATAATTCATAGAGACATCAAGCCTTCTAACATACTTGTTAAATATGAGAGGGATGAAAATAATAGATTAAGGAAAGTTTATAAAGTAACAAATACAATAAATAATCTAGCTAGCAGATTTCAGCCTTTCTAGAACTGTAGATAATATGTATTAAAAAGCAAATCTTACCTTAGTTGGTTCCTTTAACTATTATGCCCCTGAAATCTATAATCTTGCACAATTTTCATCAAAGTGTGATATTTACTCTTATGGTTTACTCTTCCATCAAATATTATTTAATGGAGCACTACCATTTAATGAAAAAGAAGGTTAAATGAAGCATTTTGAAGAAATCAAAAAGAAAAATTTTGAATGCAAAAAACTTGATAGGAAATATGGAAGTCTAATGACCAGGCTTGTTGAGAGAATGATTGTATATTCTGAAGAGGAAAGGATTAATTTTGAAGAATTATAGCAACTTGAAATTATGAAATTGAAAGTGGAAATATCACAAACTTCTATCTACGCGCCAAATTTTAATAGAAGAAGTAAAATTGAAAATGAAGCATTGAATAGTTAAATCTAACAATAAGAGAAGGAGCAAATCTATAAAATATTAGATATTTACTATCGTAAATCTCTATTATGTCAAGATGTTGTAGACCATTTGAAATAAAAATTTTAATCTCCAGATCAATATCTGCTAACAATTTAAGTATTAATTCGCTATATTGGATTTTATTAAATAAAATATGCACTTTCTCTAATTATTTTCACTCATGCTGGTTTGGAAAATGAGATTTACAAATAATTTACTACATTAATACGTTTTTAAAACATGGTAAAGGAGTATTTAAAAGAAGAGCAGGTAGAGAAATATTTGCAAATGAATTAAACAATTAGAAAAACATTTCATTCATTAGGACCTCAACTTAGAACAGAAGTCAATTAACTTATATAAATGAACTCAAACTTGAAAGAATCTCAAAAAATAAAATAAGAATACTAAATTTTAAATGCAAAACTCAATGTAATACTATAATCAGATGACAAAAATATCGATTGTAGTATCTTTTTTGATGAACTAAATGATTTGATGAACATCTAAGCAGTGCCTTACAGAAACAAATTTGATTAAAATGGTATATTATATGCACTATATTCTTTAGACTATGATAAAATTAATCGAATAGCAAGTCTCTAAAAAATGTTTCAGATCGAGAACTTTAAAATTATTGATGTGAATTTAATCTACAATCCAAATCAATTTTGAGGTTATTTAAAATAAGTTAACAATCATAATACTTAAAACAATTCTGGCTAGAATAAGCCATTAGAGTTTATTATTAAATTCACATCATCTACAATATCAGATAATCTTCCTTAATCTATAAAATCAGCTACTAAAAAGTTTGGCATTTTCGAGCATTTGAAATAATATTATAAAAATCTCTATCTCCCATGATTGTATGAGTTGTACTTCTTCTTATACGAAGAATCTAACCTTCATATTTAATATCATCTTACTTTAATGAATTTTCTGGGCAATAATGAATCTCCAAAAAGGGAGACAATATTTCCCCAGTATCTTCATTTGTTTTGCCTCTTGCTACTTCACCATCTTTTACATCCTTAAGAGGATCCAATTCCCAATCAACTTACGCACTCAATGAATATGAATAATAAGTGTATTTTTATAGTTCTCCAAATATTTATTCTTTTGGTTCTATGCAAATTAACAAAGTCTATTGGTTCTCTCTGCACCAACCTAAAGTGGGAATCTCACCATCTTTGTCAATCCTAATCGCCCTTTGATCTGCTCTTATTTGAACAAATAAATTATGCAACATAATACTCACTAAAAGGGGATCCCAAAACTTTGTCCCATTTCTTTTACTTTTGCACATTAATTTGCTTTCGATTTTTAATATTATAATTTCATAAGGGTTTTTAAAAGACAAATCTACAATCTCTTTTAAACGCACACTTGCTTTTTCTGGCTTTTTGAATCCTCTCTACAATACAGTCAATTTACAATTAGAACGTCCATCAGGTTCATGAGCAACTGATATCTAGAAACAATAAATTAATCTACTTCAGGACTGTAACCTTCCTAATACCAATGCAAAGGTACCTTAAAGTGTCGCGCTCCATATTTTTCAAATTAATCAGTAATAGTAACATTTTATTATGCATAAGCCCACCCATACTCTTTCGACATTGCACAATTATGAGCACCTACATAAGCAATTTCGTTTAGTTTTAGCTTCTCATTAAGATGCCCATTGCTCCCTGCCATTAACTTTTACATTTATTAATTTATTTCTATAAGTTGCCTTTCTATGATTATTAATTTATCACTAACGTATAGTGAAAAATGACTTTTGATTAGAATCTTCCTTTATTAAGATGTGGTTATTAATAATTTTCAATGTATTTTTCCACAAAATATCAATATATTTATTTCAAGAAACTCTCCTTTTAAAATGGAATCATTGATAAAATCGATTATTACATTTATTTCTCAGGTAATTCATTAAAAAACTCATGAACCTATTCTTAAATTGTAGAACTAAATTAACAACTCTATTATACTTCAGTTCCAAAGTTTATCTATAGGAATTAATTTTTGATAATACTCTGTCATGAATATCTACAGAAAAATGAAAGGTTTATTGTTTTAGCTTGCTAATTACTACAGTTATCGATAACAATAATAAAAGATTCTTTTAAAATTATAATTGAAATTCCAAAGGATTCTTTAATTAAAATTCATTCTTCTTTTTACATTGTTAATACTAAATACTTATTAATTTATTATTCTATATTCATGATTCTATTGCTTACGCTTATTTTATAATACTTTAGTTTGAATTTTAGAGGAAATAGTTTCTTAATTTTTTTTATTAAAATGCCAAAAGAAACCAAAGGTCAATAAAAAGGTGCAAGATCTAAATATGAAACAACCGAACAAACTGAGACATATAGACAACAAGATGCTGTAAATATTTGAAATCTATAAGATAGAAAGAAAAGAAAATTCTGGGACCTAAAACCAAATTAGATTTAGAAAAATTAGAACCTTACTTCACCTAAAATAATAACTATGTTGGAATGTTCAAGAAGGATGCAGGAAAGACAGACAATAGTACAGCTGTAGCATATTCTGTAACATTTCATCGTAACTGTTAGCATCCATTAGATAGATTGGGAATAGTAGAGAATGAGTACTGCTAAAAATGCAAGAAGGATAAGGGATTCTGTCCTCATAAGAAGGGTACTCACAACACCGTCAAGGACCAATTCCAATTTCCTATAGTAAGGTAAGAATATTTTAAAATTTGCAAGCTCAGCGGAAATTGGATGGAGAGAACCCATTGACAATGTGAATTGGGGATATGGAGTTAAGCAGTCTTTCCCAATTTTCAATGCCGATTTCAGAAACACCACTAAAAAAGAGGAGAAGGAAAAGAAATGATTTGTAACATCCATCCTTTTAATAAATATGAAATATTATAAATTTCTTGGGTGACATATGTGGGACTATGCTTCTTTTTGTTCAAATTATCACAATTAAGGCTATGTTTGTATAATAAATTTATTTATCGTAAATGCAGGAAATTGAAGCTAAGAAATAATTGAAAGCAAGTGAAGGAGCTCACTTCTTTTACACTTTGATCTTCCTTAGTGCTTCTGGCATAATAGAGACATAATTTATTGATCAGAAATGTAATTAGAATTTAGCTTTGTTTATTCATTTGGTTTTCTATGGATTGATTATTTGGGGAACTTACATTTTGATAACTTTGATACCCAGGTTTGCAATCTCATTTATATAGATACAAAAATCCTGCAATAAACTTGTTCTTCAATTTCTTGGACATCTGTTTTGCAATTTACATCACCTTTTTGTTAATTTATGGATACCAACTCTATTCCTCACAGAACGATTGTGCAGTTGAGGCTCCTGTGCTTTACCTCTTTTTGGAAGTATTCATGCTGGTATTAAATTATTAATGAATCAGGTCAATGGGATCATTTTCATCATTTTGGGTCTTGCCTTTATTTCTTACATCTTGAAGAGATTCTCCAAACATTAATAAACATATGCTCCAGGGGAGGAGGAATACTTAGATGCATGATTTAATTACATAATGATAATAACAATCATCCTTTTTTTGAAACAAAACTATTATTTTTGATATAAAATCTCCAAGGTTTATCCTTGTATTCTTCTGCATAATCAATATTTATTCGACTAGAAATCCCTATGTCATATTTCGTTGAGTTATCAATTAGATACATTCCACTGTTCTTATCACATAGGTTTAATCCATTATGACTCTTGTCAAGTTGCAAGCATTCTCCACATTTTCCAGGGCCATTAGATAGTTCTTACAATTTAAATGACTTTATCTTCCTGATATCTTTAACGATATCAAACTTAAAAGGTTGAATAGCTCTAATGAGAACAGCTTCAGGGTCATTCTTTGTGGCTGCTGTGATATTGAAGCAATAATTATTCCCATAAATTGAATAGATATACAAATGTCCACCATCTTGCCAAAAATATTGTGTCCTTTCTGTCTTTTTATTATTATATGCATGGCAGGCCTTATCCTCAGGCGCTAGTTTTATTAAACTATTTACCTTTATAGGCTTCTGCTTCAACAATCAATGCTCTTACCTCTCCCTATGGAAGGGTTCTTACTATAATTTTACCAATCAATTTCTAAGCCAACTCAATAACATCCACTTTATAAAATGCGGAATCCAACATTGTTTCTATTGGCTCATACTATTCTGCTGGATTGTTTTATTTTTATCCTTTAAAATTGAAGCTTTTCTTTGTGATTTCATTCTTTGGTTGTAAATCTTCATTTTTATTTTGAATTTATTTTTCTGTTTTCTCCAACATTACAAGAAATTATAAAAACAATTTTATATGTAATCGAAATTAAATAAATCTATTTTTATAATAAAAAAGTTAAAAATCATGAAAATGCTTTATGACATAGATTTATTTCAAATTATTTCTTGAATTTCAATAAATGTTTCTTATATTGTTATGTAAATGCTTAAACTACTTAAATTTTTTTATATTCCTAAATTTATTAATAATATTTTTAATAACTTTATATAAAAATTTCCTTAAAGAAGTTAATACTAATTAATTAATATTGATAACTAAATGATATTTAAACAAATAAGACATTGAGAAAATAATTATTCTTACTATTTTATTCAGTTAAAAAACAAAAAGGATTTGATATTTTCCTAGTTCCTAAATCATTCAGAACACTGATACATATTACTTGAGATGAAATCACAACATGTAAATTTTAATGCACAATCATTCTTTGTAATTTATGGATCAAAAGTGAAGATAATCAAAATTTATTTTTATTCCACAGAGGGATGTAAATTGGTTAATTTGCTTGTAAAATAAAAGATAATAATTTTCAAAAGATATAAAATCCTAACATAATTCAAAAAATGAATGAATTATAATTAATGACACTTTGAAAAAGTATTTATATACTTAATGAACTCCATATTAAACACTATAATATTTTGAATAAAATTAGTAATTTTTACTTGATATAGATTATTAAAATGATGGTTGCTCCTAAATATTGAGTTAAGAAACATACATGCCAATGGAATTTCCATGCTTATTGTTTAACTTCTAATATAAAAATATATATTATCAGAAATTATGGTTATACCGCAGAACTGATAATTTTAAAGCTAATTGTATTCATTTCATTTTTATAATAAAAGTTTATTTTTAGAAATGAATGATCCTATGGCGTATTCTTAATAAAGAGCTCAGACAGAAACTAATTCCATTGGGTTCTCTCGATCCCTTGAAAATTTAGATACAAATAGTTTGAAAGAGGATCTAAACAAAAGCATTGAATTGGGGCGCAAAAAGCGAAAACAGTTGACTCTTGATAATCCTGAGTTTAACATCAAGCAAGAAATTGAGGATTAGAAATATAACATTAAGGTGCAAACCATCATTAGGAGGGGAATAGCAGATGCTCTAAAGATGCAAGAATTATGTACAATATTAATGTTAATTAATAAGTGAAGTTGAAGGTTTCAGCGAAAGACAACAACAACCCTGTTCACAGTCTCTTTAGATGGTGCATGCTAATACTTTATAAGGAGAATCCTGAAATATATAATTGGTCGGAGTTTAAAGTAAGAATGAGTTTAGATTTTATTAGAAAAAAGTTCTTGAAAAGGACAATGGTCAAGACCTTCGCAATCGTTTGGGATATCAAAGTGTTATTCACATAACCTAATTGGAAGGAGAGAAAACAAAATATTTGTTAAATTTAAAAAAACCAATTTTAGAACAAAATAGTAAACCTGAGGAACTGTAGTGGGTACTATTGAAAATATTTGATATTGTTGAAATAATCTATAAAACACATGAGCACGCAAAAAAAATTAATTAACTTGTTGATGATTTGTTGATGGTAAATGAATTTCATTAATCAATCTATAGCAAGAGAGCAAAATCAAGCAATATTAAGAGGAAATCGACAAGGTGAATTAAGAAATTCAGGTAGCCAAGACTAGCCTGAAGAGTTTGGAAAGCAAGTCTTTGAATGATGATGAGATCGTTCAAGAATGATATTATAATTATTATAATTGTTCTTAAAAAAAAGAATTTTAATCAAAATATTGATACTCCAAAAGGAGAGTCAACTTAACATTGAATGAAATTAACTATTTTATCAATAATTATAAAAATCAACTTAAAAGATAGTTTTATTATATGTGAGGGTGAATGCATAATTTTGACTGATTATTATAAAATTAAATATATATAGTAGAGATTTAATATATATTATAAAGGAACAACATGATATTAGTAGTTAGTTTGTAAATGTATTTATATGATGAATAATAAATTATATATTGCATTGCTTAAAACGGATACTCATTAATTAATTTTAGATGAAATAGCTAGTCGTATTAGCATTAATGCTAAGCTTGGCTTTGAGTACAAGCATAACATCGCCTTAACTATTGGTGGAATTGTAGGCAAGAACTGAAAATGTGATAGACGATGGAGTTGATCTATTGGAACAACTTCTTGCTACAACAGAATAGTAATATGAGCAAGTCATCCAAGAGAATGAAGCTGAATAACAACAATTAAAAGATTAAGTGGCTTCAAAAGAGTAATAACTTTACGATCTTTAAAACACTTGTATGGTGATGTCTGACGACTTGGCCTTGCTCAAATAATAAATTGAATTACATGGAGATGACACAGCATACTTCAGAAATGAAATCGTAAAAGACAATCGTAGAATTCAAGTGCTTGAAGAGCTTCGTTGCTAATAAAGCAAGAATTGGTTGAATTTCATCAAATCAAGCAAATACATCCTTAATTTGATTGAGTTTTTAAGAAGAGCCATTTAGAATTATGGATCATTCGCTGAGATCTAAAACTTCTCAGTGATGTTGGAGACACTAAGCAAAGAAGTCGATGATAATGAACTATTGAACTCTCTTCAAGCAGTTAGTAAATCAAGAGCAATCACTCCAGTTAGATAAGAATTATTATAATTGCTTGATTAGATTGAAGAATCCATCAAAGCCAAGATCAATACAAGTTAAACTGATGAAGTAATTAATCACTATTATGTAGATTCTTTCAACTTCAAGAATTGCTGATTATTTACATTAGCTCAAATAAGAGATCGCTTGGTATGAGAATGAGGTTGCCAAACTCAATGAGGCTTGGGGAGATTCACCAGAAGAAACAGTAAAACAAAGATAGAAGGAATTGGACACATGTGAAAGTGGAATCAATGCTAAAATTGAAGAAGCCAAAGAATTCAGAAATCACGTAAGTGAATAAATTATTCATAATGAATCCAGATAAGCTCGTTTCTTAGAGTAAAAGGACTTAGTTGCCTAATTGATTGTTGAATATTAAAATGCTTTCAATAAAATTGGAGAAACCTATAAGATCAGAATTGATGATTATGTTGAAGATGGAGTCTTTGATAAAACTGCTGATTTTGATAAAAGGTATTTATATGCTATCTATTAAATAGATCACTAACTGACCTCTATGGTGACAAAGAGAATAATTTCGAATAATACGTAGATGATCTAGTGAGTGGTGTTGCTACTCCAGTTGAAGTTCCAGTAGTTGAAGAAGAACCAGAGTCAGGTGCTTTCGAAGGTGGAAGTGAATCAGAAAGCGAAGAAGCTGAAGCTGAATCCACTGAAGAAGTAGAGGAATCTGTTACTGAAGGAGCACAAGAAAGTACTACTGAAGAGGTAGTTGAGACCGTAACAGAAGAACCAGTTGAGACTACAACTCAACCAGAGGTTGAAACTAATAATGAGGAAACCAATTATTTTGAATAAGGCGAAGTTCAACAATCTGTTTGATTCTATTAAAATAAATAAATATTTATATCAAGACACAAAAGTGTGTGCAAAATTATTCACCTATGGAAATATAATATCTATGATTAATCATTATTTAAACTAGTATCACCAGATGTAATCTTGTTTTAAATGAATTAGAATTCATAAATAATTTTTATCCAGAATGGTTATCATCGTTAAAAAATATTTATGCATTTTATTAGGCAAATGAAGACCGTGTCAAATATTTAAATAGAATTAAAAAGACAAAAAATGATAAAGTAGATATAATTATCTATTTTTATCTAGATCACTTCTAATTAAATAAAAATCAAGAACATAATAGCTCTAATTCACTGTAAGAACTTAAACCCTTAAGCTACTGAATCCAAGGTTTTTTAATTCAAATCACTTTATACAATCATTAAATATTAGAATGTTCTTAAATGCAATCCTACCTCTAGTATTGTTATTTAAGTTATTTAGACTAAGACAAAACAATTTTAACAGAAAGCTATTACAAAAGCTAAAAACAAATGCTGAGTTGGGTTATTTTTTAAAGTTTAAAATACTTTAAATAAACACAATTTTAATATTATTAAGGAGAAATTTTAATTTTAAAAATCTTGAATTTAACTGCTTAGAGATGATTAGTTTTTTATGGTTTAAATAATTTTCAGTAGACAGACTAGATAAAAGTGAAGGAAAATTAGCAAGACCATGTTTATTAGGCAAATACATGCAGATCATTTGGAGAATAATATTAATTATATCATCAAATGATAATAATGCATTATTACCCTCTTTCCTCTAAATTCATTTTGTCAATTACTTAAAGAATTGAAATTAAAGCGAAAGAGGTTATACCATAGAGTGTATGAAGGATATCTTGGAAATTAAGATATACTCCTCGTTAATTCAGAATTTAAACAAAGGTTACCATAATAAAAATAATCATTTATGAATTTTCTTGTTTTAATACCTAGTATTCTAATTTTTGCTCATAATAATTCTAGATTACGTTAAGAAATATATCAAAAACAAAATTATCAAAAGCAATAATTAAATTACTATTGTAAATTAAAATATAGAAAGATTATTAACTGATACTAAATTTGATGTATATTTTATTGTAATTTCAATAAAATGGTATTTGATAATTATCACATTTTAGTTTATAAATTAAATAAATATAATAAAATGGGTTAGCCAAGTCTTAGGTACTCTAAACCTCCAGATGATGCTTTGCAAATTTCCTTACCGATTAGAAATAGTCTAGAAGTAAAGTTCAATCCTAATAATTCGATAGGCTGTTGTAATCAGGCTGGATCGTTCAGCATAATATCCTCCTCTAGACATAAAGGAATGGGGGTAATTCATGTATTAAATTAATCTTCCCTTGGATAAGAAAAATAAGCTGAATCTTCTTAATGATAGTACAAAACCTTAATAATATATAGATTTCAAAGCGCAAATTCTATATTAGTATCTAAAATCAAAAAAGAAGAATGTTGAACCTGCCATTTTGGGGACCGAAGAAGGACTAGAAGACTTATTGGTTTATTTGCGATCATTATCAAAATAAGATTTATCCAAATATATTGCAGAAAAGAATCTTATTGAGAAATTAACAAAGCTATGTCAAACTGATTGCGAAGGTCATCACGATAAAGAAGTACTAAATAATATTATTGATAGTGTCTTATTTTAAATATCATATTATTGGCATTAGAATCTGATAACAATCTCGAAATTCCGACATCTTCGCTAAACGAATTCTGCATGATCTTGAATCCCCTTCACATTGTAAACTTTTCATTGATTCTTGAAATTTATGTGTTGATTTGCAAATTCTAGACTGATGAACGCATGCTTTAAATAGCATTAGCATGGTTGGAAATGAAACGTCAAGGATATTGGAATTATCCCATTGAACCGTTCATCCAACTGCTTTAAACAAATAAAAGCGTGTTTGCCATAGCGAACATGTGCAGATTTCTGAATTACTTTATGGAAGCCCATGCAGACCAAACTTATAGCTATAAATTGAAGAAGAGCTTCATCTAATACGGACTAAGAATCTTACTTTAGGATGTGAAGAGCAAGATCCAAAGTGGAAGCTATTAAATGCAAGATTGCACATATGCAGCTATGGACTAGCAATTAATGGAATAATACTTGATGCTAAAAGATGATCCCACAAGAAAACGAAAAGTATTACCTCCTGATGGAAAACCTGTTGAATTGAGCATTTGTGCCAAACTTTGCCATGACTTATTTATCGACTTGAATAACACTAATGCATCTACTAAGTTCTAGAAAGTATGCGAAGAAGCTACTGCACAAATAGATGCATTTCTGTTTTTAACTGAAGACATTAATGAAGAATTAAAAGGTCACAAGGGGCCAACCTAAAATGAAAATAATATTAGCCAATTTCGAAGACAACAATCTATCTCCAACATTTATGAAATGGAAGATTCATAAGAAATTAGAATCCCCAATTTAGACTATAATTAACTTAACAATTAAGTGAGAGAAGCACCCACGATTTAAGAGACTGTTAAAATCCTTGATGACTACATCGCTTAACAAGCCAACGTTGGAGTAAATCCAGTATCTTAACTAATTTAAACAACTGCTTAAAAACTCTTGGAATTAAAAAAGAATGATCCTACACAACTAGAATTAGTAGAAGCTGAAAAAAAATGCACATAACTGGAAGCATAACTAAGAAAAATCTATGAATAAAAAGATAAGTATTTTTAAGAAATGAAAGAACTAGAAAATAAACTAGAATAACAATCTAAACTTATTGAATAATTACAATCAGCAGCCCCAGCTTCATAGCTAAATACTACTAATTCTGCTCCACAACCACCTTAAATAGCTCCTCCACCTCCTCCGCCACCACCACCACCTCCTCCAGGAGGTTTGTTAACTGCACCTCCTCCTCCTCCACCGCCTCCACCTCCTCCTCCTGGTGGTTCATTAGCTCCACCTCCTCCTCCACCACCTCCTCCTCCTCCTGGGGGCAAACTTCCTCCTCCACCTCCTCCTCCTCCCGGTGGAATGCCTCCTCCTCCTCCTGTGCCTGGAAGAGCTCCTCCTCCTCCACCAGGAGCAGCAAAACCAGGAAAATAGAAATGCAATCCAACTAAGCCAATGAAATAGGTTCCATGGGTGTTGATTAAGGAAGACAAGATAAAGGGAACAATTTGGGAGAAATTAGATGATAAAAAGATTAAATTAGACATAGAATTACTAGAGGAGAAGTTTTCAAGACCAGAACCAACTTAGAGACAACAATCTACAATAATACAACCTGTGAAACCACAAAAGGTATCTCAATTATCCTCAGAAAGATGCAAAAATGTAGAACTTGTTATTTCAAGATTAAAGCTAAGTGCTTTTACATTGAAGGAGGCACTTTTGGCAATAGATTACGATGTGCTAACGGAAGATAAAGTTGGCATGTTAATAAATGCTGTTCCTGAGAAGGAAGAGTAGGAACTATTTTTACATTATTAGCCTGAAGATATTAATTTAGTGGCAGTTCCAGATTAATTCTTTATGGATTTAAGTCCGATACCATAAATAAAATTGAGAGTGGAGGCAATAACAATTGCATATGAATGGAAAGAATTAGCCTAAACAATAACTGCAAAATAGGAGAAGATAAAGGTTGGAATTAAGATGTAGAGAGAAGATGAGAAACTACCCATTTTATTGGAATATTCATTGGCACATGGAAATTATTTGAATGGACAATCAGCGAAAGGAGGAGCTAGTGCATTTAAGTTAGACATTATGTCATAATTGGATGATGTTAAATCAAATGACAATAAGACAAATTTATTGATCGTGATTTTGGAGAAGATTGAAAGGGAAATTGGGTGTTTGTATGACGTTGAGTTTTTGGCAAAGATAGATTATGAATTTCTATCTAAAATTTCATTGTAAACAATAGGATAAGATTTGAATGAATTAAAAAGAATGTAAAGAGTGGTTGAAAGAGCTTAAAAATCTTAAGGAGAAGATTCAAATGACAAAGCTGCCGAAAAGTAAAAATTCAACTAAATTTTTAATTTAGATTCAAGATTTTATTTGATCAATTAGAAGAGGCTTGTGGGACAATTGATAAAAATAATAAGGACCTAGATTTGGTATACAAAGATTTGTTGAATCATTATTGTGAAGATCAAAAAACCCAGTCTGATGAGTTTTTTTAGAAAATCGAGAGAATATGGACTGATTATAAAAATGTAAGAACATATTGATCATTAGGCCAAAGCATAAATGGACAGAACTAAGCAAGCTTAACAAAAGGAGTAAGAAAAGTTGATGAGATCCTAATCTAATTTAATGTAGTCATAAACGCTAATGTCTTCATAAATAACGTAGTTGAGTCAAAACGAACCAATTAAGTAAGAAGAGAAGGCCTCACCAGCTCCTGTAACGGAAAAGAAGGATCCAAAGGAAGTATTGGCAGAATTGAAAATGTTACAATCAAAGAAAGCCGAATTAGCAGCAAAGAGATAATAACAAAAATGAAAATGATTTATGTTAATATATCAGATATTATTAAGTTTAATAATAGATAAGAATAAATGGATACTTTACTCATGCTAAATTATTATTTAAATCATGATATTTGGAATTTTTGCTTTGTTATCTACAATGATTAGGGCTGAAACTGCTACAACAGAAGTTACCAGAGATTATTGCTCTCTTCCTGATCCAATTTATGCGGACGGTGTTTCAGCAGCAGATTTTGGTGCAGCAGGTTGGAGTTATGCTAACGCTGCAAACTGGGCAGGTATTTAAGGATGATATATCAGATTTTGTTGTAACGTGCGGGGGTAGTTTCTAATCTCCCATAGAAATAGTGACGAGTGGAAGTACTCAAGAATCTGTCCAACCACAAATCAACTATAAAAGTAAGGACGCTAATACTGCTTATGAAGAAGCAAACAGTAATAAATTTGATGACATAATTTTAGAGCCATACACCAAAGAATATGAAGGAGAGTACTCAGAAATAGAGGTAACCGATGCTTCTGGCTCTGTTATTCGTTATTATGCCAAATAATTCCACATTCATACACCCTCAGAACATACCATCGATGGTAAATATTATGATTTGGAAATCCATTTTGTTCATCAAGTAAATACAATATCATTCTAGGCTATCCAAGATGATGAATAAGACTGTAATAAAGTGAAAAACAAACTCACTGTATTCGGAATTATGTTTTAAGAAACCGCAAGTGCTACAGATTACGAAGTATTTAAACCATGGTTCGATTCCAATGCTACAGGAGAAGTCGAATCCTTCGATTTAAAGTAACCATTTTATAACCTAAATTAGTGATTTCTTCTCCAAAATGTCTGATAACACCTATTATCATTATAATGGAAGTTTAACCACACTTCCTTGTTCATAAACTGTCAATTGGGTCGTGTTCTAATAAGCCTTACCTATTTCATCAACCTAATTGAAATAGTTTTAGGATTTCCTTAGTGACTCTACTGTATTCCCAATAAAACACAACAACAGACCCATCTAACACTTAAATGGAAGAAAGATTTTGAAAGGAGTAAATTTAATTCATAATATAATTAGACTGCCATTGCTGCAAGTGTCACTGAGATACCAGATGTGGAAGCCTCGTTCGCCTAGACACTTGCTATGGCTATTTTAATGATCGTCTTTTTGATTTAATGAGAAATTATAAATAATATAAATTATACAAATTTTATAATATTTATTATAAAAACAAAATTAAATTAACTACTCTAATTACATTAAGCTAAAATGAATATTTTAATAAATGATGACCTAAAATATCAAACTCCTTTTTCTGCATAAACATGATTTGTCTTTTGAAATAAACACACACAAGAGGTCATCACTACTCCAATAAATAAGCCTATGATCCCAAACACCAAAGCATGATTTACATTCACTCTCGACATTTTTCTCATCTCGCCCAATTTGATGCTCAATTCAGCAGTTTTCTATTGTAAAGTCTAGATTTCCTTTTCCACCCCTTTGATTGTCTCAATAAAAGTATTGGCTTCTGCAATTTACAATTAAATAGATTTTGATATCTGTATTTCTTCTTCCTTTTTTGTATCTTGCTCTTCGAATTCAATTTTCTTCAATCTCTCTAATTCCATCATCTCTTTTAATCGTTATTCTTATTATTCCTGCTCCTTTAACATCTTCTCCAATTTTTATTATCCAGACTCTGCCAACGAATCAATCCATTAAACGAAGAATTCAAACCTCCTGTGATTCTGAAACTATGAAGTCGGTCTATCCTATCCAGGAGGAAAGTATAAAATTGTTGGAAATGAATGCACTCCAAAACGATGACAGATATGCCTATTTTGTTACTCATCACAATTCATCTTAGCAATCAAGATATCTGGCCTTGTTGCCTTATAGTGTTCAAACACCTAATTGAATTCTCCTGCCATATGTTGACAATATATACACCAGGGAGTAAAGAAATCTAATACAACCTGTTTCGTTAAATACTTACGTGTTTCTACTTTCCCAAGTGTTATTGAAGGTTATTCGCTGTCAATGTGAATGCCAAAGTGCTATGGTACCAATCTGCCTTAACATCAAATAGTAATATTAGCAATACAATAATCATAATTATTATTTTATCAACTCATCATGAAAATCCTGCTTGAAATGTCTGTCACTATCCAATCGATTCCTTCCAACAATCCATCCCCAGTGACTGCTGAACATGCAATAATCCCCCAATGTCTTGTTTGTATTAGATCTAATTCCAAATACTCTCTTATTTATTGAAGACTTAAAGACTTAGGCACATCCTATTTATTGCAAAAAATCAATAAAGTAGCTCCTATCAATTTCTCTTATTTCAACAAATTTTATAATTCCTTTTTGCAATCATCTAAACGAGCCTTATCAGTAGAATCTACCACCCATATTAATCCATCTGTCTGTTCAAAATAATTCTTCCAATATGATCTTATTGTCTATTATCCACCAACATCTAGCATAATTAAAATGTGTTACCCCAACAATTAAGCTTATAACCATTATATGAAAGTGTTTTGATATTGAAACCCAAAGTAGGTGATATTTGAGAAATGTCTTCACCGTTGAATTTTTTGAGTATTGTTGTCTTTCCTGCATTATCTAATCCCAAAATTAATAGTCTCATCTCCTTTTCTCTCTCCTTTGTCTTTTTGATAATTTTCAAAAGTCCCATTATAAAAGAAATTAATTATATATATATTTCACTACGAATATCATTTATTTCATAGTCAATCCCAATGCATCGTAATTTCAATATCATTAACCTTTATTATTTATTCGTTATCCAAATAGTAGTCTTTATTTTGCGCCATTTCCAACCATGTTCCATTTTCACTAGTATTCCATTGAGTAGACCGAAAATTATTGCATTACCCATCAACAATTATCCATTTCTTTATTTTCTAANGTATTTCTTCTTCCTTTTTTGTATCTTGCTCTTCGAATTCAATTTTCTTCAATCTCTCTAATTCCATCATCTCTTTTAATCGTTATTCTTATTATTCCTGCTCCTTTAACATCTTCTCCAATTTTTATTATCCAGACTCTGCCAACGAATCAATCCATTAAACGAAGAATTCAAACCTCCTGTGATTCTGAAACTATGAAGTCGGTCTATCCTATCCAGGAGGAAAGTATAAAATTGTTGGAAATGAATGCACTCCAAAACGATGACAGATATGCCTATTTTGTTACTCATCACAATTCATCTTAGCAATCAAGATATCTGGCCTTGTTGCCTTATAGTGTTCAAACACCTAATTGAATTCTCCTGCCATATGTTGACAATATATACACCAGGGAGTAAAGAAATCTAATACAACCTGTTTCGTTAAATACTTACGTGTTTCTACTTTCCCAAGTGTTATTGAAGGTTATTCGCTGTCAATGTGAATGCCAAAGTGCTATGGTACCAATCTGCCTTAACATCAAATAGTAATATTAGCAATACAATAATCATAATTATTATTTTATCAACTCATCATGAAAATCCTGCTTGAAATGTCTGTCACTATCCAATCGATTCCTTCCAACAATCCATCCCCAGTGACTGCTGAACATGCAATAATCCCCCAATGTCTTGTTTGTATTAGATCTAATTCCAAATACTCTCTTATTTATTGAAGACTTAAAGACTTAGGCACATCCTATTTATTGCAAAAAATCAATAAAGTAGCTCCTATCAATTTCTCTTATTTCAACAAATTTTATAATTCCTTTTTGCAATCATCTAAACGAGCCTTATCAGTAGAATCTACCACCCATATTAATCCATCTGTCTGTTCAAAATAATTCTTCCAATATGATCTTATTGTCTATTATCCACCAACATCTAGCATAATTAAAATGTGTTACCCCAACAATTAAGCTTATAACCATTATATGAAAGTGTTTTGATATTGAAACCCAAAGTAGGTGATATTTGAGAAATGTCTTCACCGTTGAATTTTTTGAGTATTGTTGTCTTTCCTGCATTATCTAATCCCAAAATTAATAGTCTCATCTCCTTTTCTCTCTCCTTTGTCTTTTTGATAATTTTCAAAAGTCCCATTATAAAAGAAATTAATTATATATATATTTCACTACGAATATCATTTATTTCATAGTCAATCCCAATGCATCGTAATTTCAATATCATTAACCTTTATTATTTATTCGTTATCCAAATAGTAGTCTTTATTTTGCGCCATTTCCAACCATGTTCCATTTTCACTAGTATTCCATTGAGTAGACCGAAAATTATTGCATTACCCATCAACAATTATCCATTTCTTTATTTTCTAAAGGTACACTATCGTACCATGATAATCAGAAACTTACTGAGATTTTAATACTATATCAGATAGTAAATTTCTTCCAATAGTAAAAAAACATAAAGACCCTCTAGACTTGTTAATTGATAATGCATTCCTCGATAATTAAACTGGTAATGATTGACCACGCCTACTATATAATTATGCACTATTTTTTTCAAATGAGGGATTTCTTTTTGAGTTTTCAACCAGCAAATAACTTTGATCCTAATCTATTTTTATATATATACAAGATTTAGAATAATATTCATCGAATTCCTTAAAAATATACATCAATACTTACTTTCTTCAATTTTATTGAATTCAAAGTCTAATAGAATGGTCGCTGTGCTATTTTCCCCTTAAAAGATTATTTAAATAGTTCATCCATACCAGAATCCAACCCTAACACTATGGCCTTTTTTGTAATATCAAATAACTGAGGGCTATCCAAAAACTCTCCAAAAAGTTGATTATTTTATTATACTTTTAATTTCGATGTCCTGCCAATAACAAATACATTGCTTTTGATTAGCTCTTGATTTTCACATTTTCTTGATATGTTTATTAAAGTTGGATATCCTTGTCTACCAGAAATATCTTTGAGCTTCAATTTCTATTTATCAATAATTAAAAATTCTCCAATTTTAGAAATTATGTGCTATTGAATATCACAGCTCCTTAGAACTTAATGGTATAAATTTTAGAATTCCGAAATGCTTTTGGGTATCAACAACCAAGAAGAATCAAGCTCGAATAAATCTCTACGCGGAATATCTCCAAAAGGTATACATACATAATTATTGCCGTTGCCTTCTGAACCCCGTATTCTATATTCTAAATATTCTAAAATAAAATACTGTGATCATCTCCGAGAATTGGAATTACTTTCTCAAACTAAAATGAGGTTGAGTTTTGTTCCTAAGGATTTTTGCATGGTTTTTTTTCATACCCAGCTCTAATAGTAATTTTACTATATCCCTTCTATCAAAAATATAGAAATACTTTGTAATTCATCTGTCTATGAATATTAAAAATTAATTTATAAATATGTATTTATCTCATTTTCATAAATAACAACTTAAATAATGCCTTTATAATTCATTAGCATGAACCCATAAATTAAAGATAAAATAGCTAAATTGGGATATTCTATTTTCAAACTTTACTAAAAAAATTATTATAAATGAGAAGACTCTCTTCATAAACAGATTTAGATCTGATTCATTAAAAAATCTTACCGCAAAGGCCTTCAAAATATGGATTTCAATATTCAATTTCTTACTCTTCAGTCAGATAGAATTTATAAAATAATAATTTATATTATCAATTTACAAATAATAAAATAGACAATTAATATGAAATATTAAAAATTCATTAGTGCTATATGGTATTCCTTAATTAATCTACTAAGATCGAATAATTAACACTTAAAATACTTCACTTGCTTGAGTATCTTCAAATTTAGTCTTCAATTCCTATTCATTGAATAATTTAGATATAAATTAACAATAAAAAGTAAAGGTCACTCTATTCGACCATCTTATTTAATCTTTTGCAATCTTTTTCTTGAAAAAATAATTGATTTTATGTCATCTTTAATTTATGATATTTAGTTTTTTTAAACTCAACATGATTTTGTTTAAATATTAATTATATATTTAAATGTTATAATCTTTCAATAATTTATGATGAAATTACTGACAGAACACTTTTTAAATGTAGAATTCAATCAATTTAAATTAAATATTTCAACTTAAATCAAATTTATCAGAAAATGCATTCCCGTAAATATTTAAAAAGATGTGTGATATATTATTAATTAAGGAATTTTAATCAATTAAAATGATAGTGAAAAATGCAAAAGAACAGAAGGATGAGTATAAAAAAGAGGAATAAAGACTTAAAGGTTTAGCTGCGACATTTTGTGATTTAGATTCATAAAATTTCATAACAGAATTTATACCACAGTTTTTGGAATATTATGTTAGTTCATAAACAAGAAACCAGCATGCAAACAAATTGCCATTAGTATCTATACCAAATAGTTCATTTAGAGACATCTTAACCAAATTCGATATAAACTTATTATTTCCTGAGAGGATTTGGGAATTTTCAATGACTAGTACTTTACCATTAAAATCTTATAGCAACCTTCCAAGAGTAACTTACTAAACATAGATTCTTAGCCTAAAAACTACCATAAATATTATATATGATGAAATTGATTTTAAGAGGACATTTTGAATTTCGACCAAAACAATCTTACCCTAATGATTTTGAGTCATCTCATTATTATATGTATAGGTTTATAAAGATGGAATTTTAATCAAATTTAAGTCAAACAATTTATGATGTCTATAATTAATTTAACAAAAAAGAAAATATTGCTGTACAAATAATTCCAAAATAAATATTTACTCTAAATTCATAGAATCAACTTTCTACTTTATAATATGCTGATACTATTGTGTTTATATGTTATTCATATGGTGACGGTGATAAATACATTATGCAATATTTAAGAGAATTAGATGAAGATCCTTTTCTTCATCAGGATTTATTTCTTAAGTTTAATTAGAATATTAATTTACTATATTATAAAAAATCGAAGAAAGGAATGTCAATAAAAGTTATGTTACACCCAGAAAATATAAAATTAAAACTTTTAACCAGATTAATTTGAATTTTCCTAGAAATATCAAAGATGGATTAAAAAAACTGATATCATTAATTATGAAAATCGAATTTAAATGTAGAATGAATTGGAATCATAATAGTATCTATTGAAAAAATACATATTTACTCCTAATTTTGAATAATATCGGAAGTTATTGAGAAATATTAAAAGCGATAATTTTTAGTTAAATAAGGAATAATATAAAGATATTTCTGAAGAAGGTGATATAATTTTAATGGGCAGAAGTGGAACTGGAAAAACTATTATCTCATTGTTGAAATTATTTATCACCGATGCAATATTTATGTTGAGGTAGAATCTAAACCTCTTTAAAGAATCCTCTAAAATTCATCTATAATATAATAAAGAACTCTAAACTGGAATTTAATTGAGGACGTTATTTTTAACATCAAGCCCTTTATTAGCTTAATAAATTAAATAGAAATATGAAAACATGGTTAAAAATGTTTAAGAGAATTTAAGACAAAAGAACCAAGTTTAAAGGATTTTAGAATAGATATCAGATAACTTGAACAATAGCACAGTGCAGATCCTAGATATGTTAGGAGAGTAAGATTAAAATGAGGGATAATTTGAGATTGAAAATGAAAATGAACATGAAAATGAAGAAGATGTTGATCAATATGAAAAAGAGATGGGATAGTTTTAAACTATTTCAGATATTAAAAAGTTTCCTGCCTTTCTTACTATTAGAAAATTATTATTTCTTATTGATTCTTCGCTACATAACTCTTTTTTTAAAAATAAGGATAAGATACATAGATCAGCTTAATGGCATAATGAATATTTTGGAGTCCTATCTATGAATTAAAATGTCACTAATAACAATTCGGAGAAGTTAGATTAAGAAGTTCATGATCTTGACTCCAAGGAAATAATGTACCACAATAAATTAAAGGAAGTTACTTTGGCAATTTTTAAGGAGTTTGTCTGGCCCAAAATCTTGTAAGAAATTGTCCTAAATGAAAAAGAATCCCTTGATTAGCTAGACCCTATAATAATTTGGTCAGAGATCATCACAATAATAAAAGGGAATTAAAATTCATATAAATATCCTAATCATTATCTAATTGAATAGGAATATTTGAGAAGGTATAGATATTTTAGAAAGCCAGGCCCAAGCTTGGTATATAAAATATTCTTAATATATGAGAAATTAAAGTAAAGATTTGACTATTATGATATTCTTGATCTCATAAATAATATTAATCACTAATAAGCTAATTGTTTTGATACTATTTAATATATGCACTATATTATACTTGATGAACTATAAGGTGTTCCAAAGGCTTTGTTAATACTGCTCAATAGAATGACTCATGTTTAGCTCTTTTTAGCTGGTGACAATGCTTAAAATATTTTTAAAGGTATTTGGATGTCATTCTCTAATATATAGAGTTGTCTCGAGGAAGAAAACAAAAAAGTATAACCGATTAGAAAGGGTAACATAAGATTTCACTAATGAAATTAGCACAGAATTTCAGATCTAGCAATTAAATTTTATAATTAGGTAATACTTTGGTCAATGCTCTTGAATTATTGTTTGATGGTGAAATTGATTTCCTGCAGAAAGAGAAATCAGATTAATAAGGACCAAAACCAACTATTATTTAGAGCTGCGAAAATAAGGATCTGTTGAATTATTTACTACAATAATATAGAAATAATGAAAATAATGTAGAACTCAATAGCAATTTGGTGATTATTGTAAAAGATTAAGATTCCAAATAAAAAATTCCGATAGAATTATAGAATGCAATTATTTTAACTATATATGAAGCAAAAGGATTAGAATTTGATGATGTAATACTTTTTAACTTTTTCTCCTATACCAACACTTATGAAGATGAAAATGTCATGAGCCTTTTTCGCTATATAGAAATAGTCAATGTCAGGATGGCTAAACAAGAATGGGAGACTAAACGTATAATCAATTATTCTATTTCTAGCCCATAATGTAAAATATTTAAGTTGCAAGGACATTAATTAGTATGAGGTGGAGTTGACAATCCTCAAATAAATAAAAAGTAATAGAAAATAACATTAGGATGCCATTAAAAAAAATCATAGCAAGCCCAATCTTACTCTATAATATGAATTAAAATAGCTCTATGTGGCTGTAACCAGACCAAAAAAAAAATTAATAATATTTGATTAATAGTTATAAAATAGATAGTATATTCAGAAGATTTGGGAAGAATTGGAGATAGTAGAAATAATTTATGATACTCAATTATAGTAAAACTATGAATAAAAGTTTGTATTACCATTTTCAATAGATAATAAAGCTAATTGGAAGAAGTAAGGATATAGAATGCTAATTATGATCAAGCATATAAGTGTTTTATGTTTGCTACTGAAATAGAATTAGCAAAGAAATGCATGGCCTATCATTTAGCAACGTAGGCTACTCTTAATTAAAATAATATATATTAATTCATTCAAGCGGCATAGCTATTTGAAGAAACAAATCTAATAAAAAGGGCAGCCTCCTGTTACTTTTCAGCAAAGAATTATTAGAAAGCCTTTCAATTATATCAATAATTAGATTGCAAAATTGAAATGGCTGAATCTGCTTACTTCATGAGGTAATATAAGCTTGCAGGTCAACTATTTTCAGAATTAGGAGAAATAAGAAGATCTATTGAGTGTTTCAATAAATAAAAACTATGGAATGACTCCTTGGATTAAGTTAACTTAAACAAAGACTAATTAACGACTGAAGAAAAATTAATGTACTTAAGTATTATAATTCCAAAATATTTGAAATCGATAATAGAAGATATTGAAAAACAAGAATTATTACAATACGAATAGGAAAAACTTATTGGAAATTAATCTGAATCTTTTTCAGTTTATAATTCTAATGTTAATGACAATTTAATTGAAGAACATAATAATGAAGAAAAAGATCTGGGAATAATTAATCCTCATGATGATTCTCAATCATTTCAAGTAGTATTCGATACATCACTTGATCACTTATCTTTTTATGACCCAGATGATGAATGGCTGAAAGTTGACAATAAATCTTTAATTAGATCTATTTCATCTTCAAGTGTGGAATCAAAATTTTCCCATGTCTTACTTATGAATTAACCTACAACTACTCCACTTCTTAAATCTAGATAAAACATTTTTATCCAAAATAAAGTAATGCTACATATGTGCAAAAGATTTTAATAATTTTAAAATGAATTTAAACTATTGTTAGAAAATTAAAAAAGTTAAAGTGCATTACTGTCATTTAAAAAAACCGAAGAGAAGGAGATAGGCAATTCGATTACTTTATTTAATGATTTAGAGAACTTGGACTTAAAATCTGTTTATTTTGTTTTGGATATCCTAGAGCATTGTAAAAGTTATAAACTTTGTATCTATGTTTGCAATTAATTTTAATTGTTCTAACATTTAGGTAGATATTTAATTTCCTTGGGGTCCCAATATACTCCTATTAATAAAAATAAATTTTAATTCTAAAATTGGATTATTGGTATCAATTTATAAAGAAAACATTTATTAGATCAATCAATCTTAGCCTAAATGACATTCAATAATATTTTAGAATTTATCAACCCAATTTATTTAGAATTTAAATATGATGATACACTTCATTATTACAATAGTTTTGGAATAGAATGCTATAAATCACTGATCGGATTAGGGTATTGGAGAACTATAATTTATTAATTGAACTATGAAAATGCTGTTAAATTATGTTAATCTTTTAATAACTATTAAGATTGGGTGATCATTATTCAAAAAATCAAGTAATCTAGAGTGAGCTAATTGTTAACGGATGAAGAACAATTTTAATTAATAAAAAATTAATACTTCATTTAAGTAGAATAACATTTCCTATCAAATCAATCTAAAAATAATATAATTATTGATGAAATGTTCGAAATTACTATTTAATGTGCATCCTAAAGAAAATTAAATAAAGCTAATATATTAAAATTGCTCAATAATTCAAAACTACATCAGGTTAATCTAACAAGTTAAGAAAAGCTTAAATAAATAGAATCTATTATCTTATGTATGTTTTGCTTTATAGGAATATTAAAGTTAGAAACAGATTCCTATTGCTTATTAATTGATTTAGTTAATTAATAGTAGTACTGCATTAATCAATTGCAATTTGCTCATCTTAAACCTAATATAATTGAAGCCCTTTAATTCTTATTCAAATTTTCTTTCCCAACTGGAGATACTATGATTGATTATTCTTAATTTTGTATTATTCACATCACATCTAAGCTGATAAAGAATTTTAATGATCAAATGATCTTTATAGATATAGCTTATGAATATATCTTAATACCACTTGAAGTCTTAGGTTAACTTTTTAAGTAATATTTTTGCAATTCCAAACCAATAGTTATATTATTTTCAACTATTTAACATAAATAAGATTAACTAGAAATAAAAAAATATCATTTATGGCTTGAAATAAAGGCTGCAATATTAATTTGAGAATATACTTCCAAATCTCACATAGTTTTAGAAGGACTAAGTAGATTATTATTCAAAAGTTGTTTATGGAATTCGTCAAAGGGGCCTTGTAAATACAATTGATGACCATGAAACTTCAATTTTACATTTTACTAAATCAGATGATTTGAGAATTATTCATAAATGGTTATTATAAACAAATTTAAGAATCTTTAATATGGATAAGTAAATTAGATATTATTTAAAAAATGAATGCATACTTTTTCGAATAAGGATTAAAAGATTTAGAGTAAAAACATGGCTTTTTTATTTTAGCTTTAAATTTATTACACCTATAAGATAATATGCCATTTGCCATATTTACATTATAAAGTATGAAAGAAAAGGAAGAATCAGAGTATTATTTAAAATATCTAGAATTCTTAGAGTGTCAGCATTATGATATTATTGAAGATTCATTCGATTGTTTTATTGCATATAATTAATATTTTGACAATAAAATATATTTAGATGAATGGATAAATCATTTAATCAGAATAGGCATAAAGTTACTTTTGGCCCAAGAAGGAATAACTTAGATCTGTATTCCATAAAGGTTTTAAAACATCATATCTTCTAAATTGGAGCTTCATCAACCTCTATTCAAATTATCTAAAACTGATTTCATCTTAGAAGTTATAGAATTACTAAAATATTATATAGAAACATGTAATTCAGAGCATTATGAATATCAATCCAATTTACTTTTGATTGTCTTAACGTTGATTTTTTGAATCCCACTTTTGAAATAAAAGAGAAACTATGCTAAATCTATTCGAATGATTCTAGATATCCATTTTATATAAAAATACACTAGTGTCTCAATAAAAAGAATCCAAATTTGTAATAGGAGCTAATTAATAAAATGGGTGTATTTTTAATCAAAGAATATTTTGAAGAAAAGTTACTCACTGTATAAATTAAATAGGATGTCTAAAATCTAAACTCTTAAGATATATACTAAATTTGTTTAAGTAAATGGGAATGCTACTTTTAAGAAGCCTAGAAAATAAGAAAAAATGGAATAAATTTATTAAAGAAATGGAGATAATTTAGAATTCAACAAAAAAAAAGGCAACAAATTTCAATTACATCAATTCCTTAAGTTATAAAATTTTGCCAATTCAATAAACTATAATTTAAGGATATTTAAATGTTATTTAATGGGATTCAACATGAGAGCCTAATTATCAAAATCTATAAATTTTAAGAGTATTTATATTGTTTATTTTTTGAGAACTAGTGAGGCTGAGATAAAACATTTTAAGAGTGGCCGATCTTTAATTTATCAATTAGGTCTTAAATAATTTAGCAAGGATATTAACAGAAATAAAGAATGGCAATCTATAATGTGAACGCTTTGAAGAACTAAAATTATAATATTAAAGTTGGAAGGATGACATAAATACATTTGAAAAAGATGAATAAGAACTCCTAGAAAGGAATAGATAAATTCTCAAATTGAAATGGTAGAAAGTATCAGCAGGAGTTAAAGTATAAAGGAAATTTGATTCTCACCTAATGAAAACTGTGGAGGAACATTCAGATGAAGAAGCTTGAGATTGAAATAATATATAGGTATAGGATTTTCTAAGAAATGATTCTAATAAAATGAGAAGATTTATCTTATTATTTATCTATTGTCTAGATATTTAGGGCATAAATTCTTAGTAATTAATGCTTTAATAATCAAATAGAAATTATTCACATAATCTTCTTAAATAATAATTCACATTATTTTATTAAATTATATATAGAGTTGGAATTTTACTTATGATTTAGTAATCATATTCTTAAAGAATAATATAAAGAGGATTGTCAAAATAAAATATAGAGCCATATAAAAGGAATCTAAAAATATAATTAATTATAATTTTGATTATTTTACAATATTATATGGATCACAATCTCAATTAACTGATAAAGAATTAGTTAGAGAATATATTTAATTATATTGTTATCTAGATAAGAGTAGCATTTGATTTTGTTGTTAGAGTTTATATATTTTATTATGTATACTTTAGTCACAATTAAAAGGTTGTTTGATCAATCGAACAGTTCAACCTCTGTAATATATGATTCAGGATCGAAATTTAAGAATAGGGTTTGAAGTTCTTTAAATTTCTCATCTCTTGTCATAGGGTTTTCAGGTCTTTCTTGATTTTCTTATTCAAATTTTGTAAGTCTATACGTGTTTATTCATTACAAAATACAAATATTTTCTTGGACTTCGGGAATTTGTTAATGAAGATGCTTGCTGTTAAGTACTTTCTTCAAGCATGCTAGAATTTGAACTTTACCAACTGGAACTAGAGGCACTCAATGATAGCTTCAATGGAATTGGTGTATATATGATGGAGGAGTTGTATGATTAAGTATGTTAATTAGACATATAATAATTAATTTATATGAATGTAAACGAATAATAAAATTTCTTTTATTCCTTAATCAATTAATCTTCTCCCACTCTTAACTACTTGATTCCATATAGAATTCAAACGCTGAGGAAAGCAAATATTGACCTTATAAATACATTATTTATATAAACAAAACTGATAATGGAAGTTGCATGTTTCTATGTCATATGTAACTTGAAAAAGGCAATTCTTAAGTTTTTAGGATTGAAAAGAGTCAGAAATACGAAATAAATAAGATTACCACTAGTTGGACATAATATTTATGGATAATGCTTGTAGAATCTGAATTTATATTATTAAAATGGTATAAAATCTTGAATTTAAAAAGTAAAATAGAGAAGTAACCCAAGAGATTCAATATGATTGTAGTTGCATATAAATGTATAAGCTTCTTTCTGATAAACAAAACATTAAAATAAAGAAATTGAATTCAAACTATTTTTCATTGATATGGTTTAGTCTATTTAAGAATTGATTTAAGGATTATTTCTTTTTGGTAATCCTCTATTTTTTTATTGCTACTAGATTTGATGTGAAATTTCTCCTATTCTTGAGTATTTGTACATTAAGAAATTGTGTCCTTGATTGATAGTACTTCCTCATCAGGATTAAATACACAAACGGTGACAAAATTATCAAAGGCAATTCCATAACCAGTGCCTTTAAAAATTTGTCTGCCTTTGACATCAAATCTAGGTTAATTGTATTTCATGACTTTGATTATTTTCTGTTTAATTAAAATAGGAGAGGGTTCTTCAGGGACATCTTCGTCGTCATCTTGTTATCTAACTTAATTCTATTAGAGCAAGACTTTTGGACCAATATTCATACTTTTCATTTTATAAGGCTATCCTTATTTAGCAATTATTATTATAATAAACGATTTATTTGGAAATTTGAAATGACCATAAAAATTCAATAAAATCTATATTAAGTATTAAAAAACATTCGAGTAATCATGGTTGATTAAATATGACCCTTTTGGCTCTTTTATATTAAAGCTATTTAACAATTTTAAGAGTGAAGGATTCCAATTGTGATTAATTATACTCTTGTCCAAGTTTATACTCCTTAATATCATATTCGATTAAGTAACATAAATGATACAATTTACTGATAATTATTAATAAGACTAACAATTCAATAATTATTAGTATTATTAATAAAATTAGATTCATGTGATCCAATTCAAACAATACGAAGATCAAAATTTCTAGTGTAATCAACGAGCATAACAGCGAAAAGCTCATTAAAAACGCGAATTTTTCTTTTGTGCTTAAATTTGAAATGCTCATTCTTGATAGTTTATAAATATTATACTTTTCATTGATTTCAATAGGAAAATAGTCATTACAAATTTAACATCTAAACAAATTAACCCCTAATTTAGGATAAAGATCTGCATAATCTAAGATACAAACTATGTGGTAATATGTATCTAAGCAATTGCATAATTTGATTGCTAAACTCCCTTTCTCACCTTTACATTTTATGCATTCACTATTATTTGTATATATTGCATTTCTTGATTTACTGACTCTAGCAAGATCACCTTCAAGAAATGTTTTTGGTTTCAAGGCTCTCACTTTATATTTGTGTTATTCAAAAGATTCCACCTTCGGACTTAAAAATGGTGACTCATTGTAATCAAAACAAGTTTAGAATTGTTATCTATTCTTAGAAGTTGATTTTGGACTCATTTAATATAATGACTGCATAAATTAAATTTTATTAAAAAAATATCATTTTAATCCTAAAGTTGAGAGTCTGATAAAATAAATAATTTCATGCTTACGAGGAAATGCCATTCTTAGGAGGTTCTGAAATTTCTGTTCACCATATACTCTTCTTTACACTATTTCTAGTTAAGTAATCAAAATAGCTGTTTTTTATTAAAAATATATCAATTAATTAATTAAATATTTTATTCATTATTATTTTAACAATTCTAGTTTTTTTTAGGCTGCTAAGACTTTCAACTCTAATTGATTCAATTATTCCTTTAATTATTGATTTTCCTCTTTCAAATTGCAATATAGATTTGTGAAATGCTCATCAATATTAACAATTTTTTATCTTTATGTCTTAACAGTCTAATTTTCTGCTTGGTACCTGGGTGTGTCAAATGGATTTGAATTCAATTTTCTTTAAATATTTTATTAAATCTAAAATACTAGATGAACAATTTACTATTATTGGTTAAGATGAGAATTTATTACTGAGTAATAGCTTTTAAGATGGTTAATAGTACATAAATTAATTAAATTAATATTAAAAATAACTCATATATCAAAAATAAAATAAGAAAAAAAAAAAGCTCAACTTAATAATAAATTCCGCTGATCTTAATATAATTTTGTGTTTGAGTCTAAGAAAAGATTAATAATTTCATGAATTTATTAAAATATTAATTCTTGAGTAAATTAAAGAACATTAAATAGTTTAGAAAATTTTTGATTACAAAACAAGAATAATGTTAGAATAAATTAAGTTTAAATAACTTGTAATAAAGAATAAATGTTCGGCATAAAAGTGTTTGATAAAATAAATAAATTAAAACAGCACATACAAATTTTGATTGATTTTTTTGTTTTGAAGGACAGTGAAGTAAAAGTTAATAAGGAATTAATTAATTTTTATTATTTGAACATACGAATAATTTATATTTAGAATTCCCTCTTTTGTTCTCAAATTGTCTTTCTAAAAATCTAATTATATCTAAGAATTTAAGAATGGCTTTGATAATTTGATAAATATAAAAAATGGCTTTTAGTTAACCAATCGATCTATTCTTTTAAAAAATGTTGAATTTATTCTCAATTAAAGCATTTCAGACATCATTATCAAATAGAACGATGCCTATCTATTCGATGGATAAGTTATAATGATATAATAAGTTTAATTAAGTTTTTTCGAAAAAATGACAATTTTAATCACATAGTAGCTTCATCTCAATATTTATTTGTACTTCAAAGCCGAAACTGTATTCTATCAAATAAAATAATCAAAATTCTATTTCTTTAGGATTGAAGTTGAAATCTCTACTCTTTTCTATTATTGAAGATAAAATGTTATCAGTTATTTCTAATTCTTATAAAAAGGATTTATTGTTAGAAGAGTATTTTGAAAATTAATAGAAATCTGTTGTATGAATTAGTTAGATCATAGTTCCATATTGGAGTTTTGGAAATATTAATAACATGGTTAAAATGATAACTCAATACTATTTCAAGTCATATTTATAATCTAATTTCGAATTTCTATCTGGCATAACCTTTAGGTATACTAAATCTCTATATAAATATAAGTATGAATTCAGAAATTGAATATGTTCAACTAAAATGACTTTAATCCTTAATTGAAATACTTAATTAAATAGAATTAAATTTATCCTGTTTGGGAAGTATAGTGAGAGATCAACACTCAAAGTTTATTTAGCTAGAAGTATTCATTTTGAGCAACAACAGTTCAATTTGAAAAAAGAAAGGGTTAATTGTTTTTCAATTCATTTTAATTATTGATTATAATATTATTATGCTTATTATAATTTCATACAGCATTCTATTCATAATTTATTTTTCTATTATAGTGACAGTATTGCAATCTATTAAGAAATCAAAAATGTAATAGATTTAAGTAAACACAGAATGTTTATCAATAATAATGTTCAATCCTTGCAAATGTTATGTCGAATTTGCTAGGGACGAGAATGGTGGTTAGAATTTCGGAATATATTTATTATATATTAATTTTATTATAATTTTAAGATTATATGATTCTGGGAACCGTAACTAAGATACACAAAGTAAATTCTACAGTTTTAGGTCAGGATAGAATGATAAGGTAATGAAAATTTAACAATTAGGACTTACACATTTCTGTTACGGTTCTTCAAATTGCATTTGTTAAGGAAAATGAAAAGTGGTGAATGCCTTATGATGTGGTAAAACAAAGTTGATATTATATGTTCACACTTTTCTATGACTAGAAGAGTATTGCAAATCAATATTTTAAGATATTACGATGGTCACGAACAGCATTCTATATACAGATTCTAATGAATAAACTCAAATAGCAATCGAGCAAAAATGAATTAAAATATTACAGAAATCTAAATGATGTTTTATTTTATGCTTACCNTTTCAGACATCATTATCAAATAGAACGATGCCTATCTATTCGATGGATAAGTTATAATGATATAATAAGTTTAATTAAGTTTTTTCGAAAAAATGACAATTTTAATCACATAGTAGCTTCATCTCAATATTTATTTGTACTTCAAAGCCGAAACTGTATTCTATCAAATAAAATAATCAAAATTCTATTTCTTTAGGATTGAAGTTGAAATCTCTACTCTTTTCTATTATTGAAGATAAAATGTTATCAGTTATTTCTAATTCTTATAAAAAGGATTTATTGTTAGAAGAGTATTGTGGGAATAATTAGTATGAATTAGTTAGATCATAGTTCCATATTGGAGTTTTGGAAATATTAATAACATGGTTAAAATGATAACTCAATACTATTTCAAGTCATATTTATAATCTAATTTCGAATTTCTATCTGGCATAACCTTTAGGTATACTAAATCTCTATATAAATATAAGTATGAATTCAGAAATTGAATATGTTCAACTAAAATGACTTTAATCCTTAATTGAAATACTTAATTAAATAGAATTAAATTTATCCTGTTTGGGAAGTATAGTGAGAGATCAACACTCAAAGTTTATTTAGCTAGAAGTATTCATTTTGAGCAACAACAGTTCAATTTGAAAAAAGAAAGGGTTAATTGTTTTTCAATTCATTTTAATTATTGATTATAATATTATTATGCTTATTATAATTTCATACAGCATTCTATTCATAATTTATTTTTCTATTATAGTGACAGTATTGCAATCTATTAAGAAATCAAAAATGTAATAGATTTAAGTAAACACAGAATGTTTATCAATAATAATGTTCAATCCTTGCAAATGTTATGTCGAATTTGCTAGGGACGAGAATGGTGGTTAGAATTTCGGAATATATTTATTATATATTAATTTTATTATAATTTTAAGATTATATGATTCTGGGAACCGTAACTAAGATACACAAAGTAAATTCTACAGTTTTAGGTCAGGATAGAATGATAAGGTAATGAAAATTTAACAATTAGGACTTACACATTTCTGTTACGGTTCTTCAAATTGCATTTGTTAAGGAAAATGAAAAGTGGTGAATGCCTTATGATGTGGTAAAACAAAGTTGATATTATATGTTCACACTTTTCTATGACTAGAAGAGTATTGCAAATCAATATTTTAAGATATTACGATGGTCACGAACAGCATTCTATATACAGATTCTAATGAATAAACTCAAATAGCAATCGAGCAAAAATGAATTAAAATATTACAGAAATCTAAATGATGTTTTATTTTATGCTTACCTAATACTGACGGATGTGAATGATCTAATCTTTTGGATGTGTTAAATTGGATTGTGTAGAAATGTCAAATTATTGTTAATAACCAAAGAAATCAGTCCAAAATTTTACTTTGCTGAATGTATAGGGTGGTTTATAACTCTTTGTCTTGAATATAGAGTTAATCAATAAGAAATCTACAAATCATAATTGCAAAACGATCCCAAGAATAAAATTAGAACTCGATAGATTCAGATCTTATAGAATTTAGTAAAATACAGTCTAGATATACCAGTGTCTTATTCTTATGTGAACACAAAGGCAATTTCATAAGAAAAAGCAGTTATTTTAGGAACTATTTCAAGTTTCATAAGTTTATATCAAACTTTTTAATAACATTCTGGTGGCTATTAGTGATTAAAAAATTGTTACATATTATTTTATATAAATTATTATTATATATTAATATGCATGACTACTTATAGTTATAATCCTCAATTACAGAGTTTACTTACTATTTGAAAATATAATCGAATATAAAATGAGTAGTGGGTTCAATATTGTTAAAAAAAGGTAGTAAAAAAAAGCAAATGAAGAAAATAAGAATTAAGGACAAATAGTCAATAATTACTAGATAATGAATTAATTATTAGATATCATCAATTTTTATTTGAGTCATATAATTACATTGATTAATGGTTAAGTTTCTTTTTCTTTTGACTATCCATTTTATTATAACAACACATCTATAGACAATTATTGCAGGATATAGAGGAGTTATCGTTAACCTTCTTCATTGATTATGAATACCTATCGATTAGATATAATTAATATTACTTTTCATAAGTGGTTTATCCTGACAACAAATTCATTGTTTAAATGTATAAAAGAAGCCAAAGAGGAAAGAGAAATAAAAGCATAATAATGATGGAAAATAAGGAGGGAACGAAAAGTAAAATATATGAGTCTGTTATGCTTCCATCAATCTGAATCTCTTTGATGACAAAGTAGAACTGGAGTGCCAAAGTAAAAGTAATATCCAAACAAAGGAGCAACACAAATATGTAAAATTAAAAATGATTGTTTTATCCTATCTTAAATAAGAATCAATAATTACACAATTATCAACCCAAGGGCAATGATGATCATATACTAATACACAAGATTAACAAATATCACAATGTTTAGATCTTGGTGCTTTAACACACACGCATTCAGGACATATGTCTTTGGCATCATATCTTTGTAGAATTTCAAATAGATTTTTCAGAAGATCTTATTCTGATTATTCTTAATTTACGATTTATTTGCCAGGATTACTGAGCCAAATTAGCATTAATAAAAGCCAGATAATCAATTGCGGGACTCCATAGTAAATGATGTTTTGATAAGATTCTCCAGCATAAATATTTGAATAAATAATGATTGCTTGACAATAAATTAACATAGCAGCAAATTTGAACATTTTACTTTTGCTTCTGTCGACCTTCTAGAATCCTTAACTGATACTAAAGTAGGTAATAAAGAAGTTTTAGGACTCTGTAAGCATTTTATAAATGGATTGAAAGGAGTTGGATTTAGCAATATCAGCCGGAGTTTATCCTTCATTATTTTTAATCTGTCGATTAGCACCATGCAGCAATAATTTCTTAACTATTCTACTATTACCACTCATAGTAGCTAAATGAAGTGCTGTTAAACCTTCTAAATCCTTGACATCTAAAAATTGATCTGAGAAGGACAATAAATAATTGACTGATAATTCACACCCATAATAAGATGCCCAATGTAATGCAGTTCCTCCTTTTGAATCTTTTTAAGCAAAGTCGAAACCGATTTTCTTAAAATAGACAACTGATTTTGGTTAGTCTCCTTGTGCTGCCAAATGCAATCCATTCATTCCTTAAGCATTTCGAATATCTAGATTGGCTCCACACTTTTCAAACTCGTGAATCATCTCTAGATTTCCTCTATAGGCTGCAAAGTGAAATGCCACAAAACCATCTTCTGTTTATTAATTAACCCATTCTGTAAGAATAGACTAGCAATTATGTTTATGCTGTTTTTTAACATGATTAATCAGCATCCTAAACACAGTTCATATTAAATAAATACTTCACAGTATCTAAGTTGTTGTTATAGGCTGCTAGATGAAGTAGAGTGTATTTCTTATGATCAATAATTGATTGAATATTGATGTTCTCTACCTCTTCCAATAAGCTCTATATTTCTACTTAATCATTATTCTATATGATTTTAATGAGATGTGATTCTACTCCTTTTGATTCAATTAATCCAAGCGTATGTGATTTAGCTTTAAATCTTTCAACAACAATTTCAGATTAAATCTTGGCTGGCGGAGGAGACAGCAGTTTTTTAATATCTGAATAAGATACAGCAATCAAGCGAGGCTAATCTTCATCAAACTCTTCATTTAAGACTGAAATGTTTGGAAACATAAATAAATATGTATTTATTTTAATGTAATATATGTCACTTCAGATTTTTTCTATGGGTTCAATACCAACCAAATAGAAGCATTGCAACAATACCATTTTCACAGCTTCGCACAATAACAACCTTGTTTGGGTGTGTTCATCATTCAAAATACGATACTAAATTTAAGCTTAAAATATTACTTAATTATATGCTTCTGCTATCTTCACACAAATGTCATAAATATAATCACATAACCAATTAATTGCTAATTAATCAGTGACTGATTATAGAACATCAACGAATCGCAACAATTAAGCAGCTAAATGTCGTTCATGTTGATGCGTTATTTTGAATTTGTGATCTGCTTTAAAAACTTCAAAGTCTTGGATACCACTCTTTCGTAAGATAGATAGCATTCGAACATATGAATACATCAAGTATACAGCAGTATTACCCTTTGGATCAAGCATCTTATCATAATCGAAGTTGTAATCAGATATACGATTCTACTTCAAATCATAGTATTTGATAGCAGCTATTCCCATTCTCTCTGCAGCAGTTTCAAATTCTTCTGGAGAAAGTGCTGTTCCTGTCGAGAACTCTTTTCCTTACTAGTTTTCTTGAACCCTTAATTGGATTTGCTTTAAAGCCCTCTCTTTGGCTTCATCCAATAAATCAATCAACTTGACTGTATCACCTGACCTTGTCTTAAACTTCTTGCCATCAGGACCCAATACTAAACCAAATCCCATATGTTCCATTGATGTATTTGGTGGTTAATGCCATCCCATCAATTTGGCACCTTCAAAAACTAGTTTAAAGTGATTCCATTATCCTACATCAGTTAAATAAAGTAATCTGTCACACTTCCAATCTAAAATACGAGTTTTAGCTGCAGCCATGTCAGTTGTATCGTAATTATAACCACCATCCTTCTTCACAATCATTAATGGAACCTTTTCACCTTTGACCCTGATAATCTTGGCTCCCTAATCCAATTCAACTATTCCTTTAGCTTCGCATTCCTTCACTATTTCAGGTAGAATGGGATTGTAATAACTCTCTCCATATTCTGTTATCTTCACATTCAACCTCTGATAAATCTTATTGTATTCCTATCGACTTAATTCACATATCATTTTCCAAGCATCTATGCAGACTGGATCCAAAGCTTGTAATTTTACAACGAATTGTTAGGATTTAACTTTAAATTCCTCATTTGAGTCGAACTTCTTCTTTGCTTCCTTGTATAAGTCTTCTAATTCTTTCAGAGCTGGTTTGTTAGTCTAATAGTCAGGGTATTCTTCTAATAGATGATTAATCAACATTCCAAATTAGGTTCCCCAATCTCCAATGTGATTTACTCGGACAACTTCTTGACCTTAGAATTCCAATATTCGGCATAAGGATTCTCCTAGGATGGTTGATCGCAAATGACCAACATGCATTTCTTTTGCAATGTTAGGACTTGAGAAGTCTACAACTACTTTCTAATTTATTGTAAAATAAGACTCATACTTGTTTCTTCTCTAATGGGAATTTTAATCCATTTGTCAAGATTGAGTTAATTTCATCTTCAATGAATTAATTATTTAATTGAATTGTGAGGAATCCTTTCTCAATGGCCTCAACTTTTTAAATAACGTTGTCTTAGCATTCTGTAGCTGCTATTTTCTATGCCACTTCAACTTCTGATTTCAAATCTATATTCCATTAAAACAAACATCATTACCTCCAAATAAGTTTTACTTTTTAAATTGATTGTAGATTCTTATCACTGTTGGTGTCTTGTATTCAAAATTTAGATTGTTTGTTATTGCTTCCAATTAAATCTCAAAACTATTCTGTGGGAGATTTGGAAATGCTGTCAAAACCCTTGTTTTCATAGCTGATTTAATCAGCTTTTGTACACTTCGCATTGTGTTTACACCAATCTAATCCATAAACTAATTAAATTAAAAATATAATTTAACTCTTCAATAATAATTCTTGTTTTAATATACATAATTTATTTATATACTAATAAATACAATTGTTAATTCTTTCATAAAATCTCATAAATTGATATCTTAATTTATACAATATAGAATGAATCTCAAAAATCCTGGCTCAATAAAACACTAGTACTTGATTTTATTAATAATTACAATTACATTCTGAATAACTATAACTGATATGATCATGATGGTTCTTTCGTCAATATTATTTCATTTAATTTAAATACTTCAATCTAGATTTTTCATTACTTGATAACATAAATTCTATCATTCGCTTATGATAATACTTTAGACATTCATTAATTGTTAAACACATAATGACAATAATAATCGAAGAAATGAATTTTATCTTGTTAAGATAAACGGTTGTTCCAGATGAAGGTGCAACATTTGGAATAGTTAAATAATTAAAATTATTTAGTTTCTATGATCTTCAACACTTCTATGTTAAAGTTAATTTTTATAATGCTAAGAACACTTATTAGGATAAATATGTTGAGCATAAAAATGGTTTAGAGTAATTAATTAGAAGGAAGATTTTATAACTATGTTAAATAGATTGAATTGATGATATTTACACTTAATCATAAACAGGGAAGAATACAAAAAAATTTCAAATGAACAATCAAAAGTTTATGATGCATTTAATATAATTTAGAGTTATTTGGGATTGCTATATGAATTTATATATTATTAAGTCGTAATGCTAATCTTTTGTTCTAATTTCGCAGGATTTAGACTTTTAATTTTAACTGTAAGCTAATGCTAAACATATTCCTATAGCATGTAAAATATACTCGACTAGTGAATTTAAGTTTTGGATGCTGAAGGAACCACTAAAACTCAACCTTAGATTAGAAAGTGAAATTAGTTATGGATGGCATTTATGAAGTTCATTTAAATTTTGTGGCAGACTTACTTCTGTAAATACCATATTGAATGACATGACTTATGCTTAAGCATAGGGATTGAATAACTAATCAGTTTATCAGTTTGTAACAAATATTATATATTAAACAAATTTTTATTTATAAAGAATTGTGATAGGGAATTTCATTGTTTAACTTTTTTTGATGGTTGTTGTTCCTCGTCTGAATTATTTGTTTATTCTTCTTGTTATGTTAATTTGACTTTGGTTTTTTCAAATCGCTTTTTATAAGGTTCTCTTTAATCATCTGGCAAGAATTTCCATTTCTGTAGGACTAAATCATCAATATCACTTTGGGATAATGTTTTATCTTTCTTTAACTTTTTGGAATACCTCTCCTTGAAGATCTGGAAAGCATTTTAATATGTTTTAGATTTTTCATTCATTGTTAAAAGTAATTTAATTCTGATTAAATGATAAATAATATAGTTATTTGATTTCGATATGGATTGGTTATTTAGTGTGTTTTGATTAATAATATTGGCAATTGGAAGAGTAATTGATAAAATAATAGTTGTAAAAGCTGAGTATTTCAGAATTAGAAAATTTGCTTAAAATAATTTATTTTAAATCTTTAAATTGATGAGTACAGGACTTGCTAAACCAAAAAAGCTGAAACTCACAGATTATGAAGTGTTTTAGACCTTGGGTACTGGTATTGTATTTGTGTAATGCTGAACTTTAGGCTCTTTCGGTAGAGTGAAACTGGCAAGGAATAAGCAAACAAATAAATATGTCGCTTTGAAAAGTTTAAAGAAGGCCGAGATCATTAGACTTAAGCAAGTCGATCACGTGATTAATGAAAACACCATATTGGGAAATTTGCAACATCCATTCATTGTAATAATTATCTTTTATCACTCTAGGTGACCTTCGAAGGTTTCTGCTAGGACCCAAGATATCTCTATTTGGTCTTAGAGTTTGTTTCTGGTGGAGAATTGTTTACCTATTTAAGAAGCATCGGAAGACTCGATACACAACATGCTGCGTATTGCAATCATTCGAGTTTATAATAGGTTTTATGGTGCTTAAGTGGCCTCTATCTTTGAGTATCTCCATTCCAAGAACATCATCTATAGAGATCTCAAGCCAGAAAACTTATTGATTGCAGATGATGGATATCTCAAGTTAACAGATTTCGGTTTTGCAAAAGTGGTTGAAGGCAGAACCTATACTTTGTGTGGCACTCCTGAATATTTGGCTCCAGAGATCTTATTGAATAAAGGACATGGCAAAGCTGTTGACTGGTGGACTTTGGGAATTTTGATTTATGAGATGAATGCAGGAATCGACCCTTTCTCTGATGAGGATCCCATGGCCATTTATCAAAAAATATTGAAGGGCAAAGTCAAATTCCCCAAGAGCTTCGACAAGTACGAATTTCTTTTACTATCCAAGAAACGCTAAATCTTTGGTAAAGCACTTGCTTGTTGCCGATCTTTCGAAACGATATGGAAATTTAAAAAATGGTAATATTTATTCATCCTATCAATAACAGGAGCTGCTGATATCAAAAATCACAGATGGTTCGGAAACTTAGATTGGAATTTACTCACCCAAAAGAAGTTGCCTGTTCCTTACAAACCAGTAGTCAAGTATCACTTCAATATCATACTCTAATAGAGCACCAAATGACACTTCTAATTTTTCATCATACCCAGAATCCGACACACAAAGTCCAGCTCTTAAACCAGCCGACGATCCCTTCTTAGAATGGTGATTAAATAGAGAAATATATATTATATAGATTATCATATATTTTAACTTCCTTTTAAAATGCATTTCTCCCACCCCTACTTAATTCAGGCAAGTAGTTCCCTAATGATTAATCATTACCTATCAAAATGTGCAATATTACTTAATTCTTTTTAATAATTGTATTACTGGATTTATCATCTATATATTTATCTGTATCTTAATTTATAGATGAAAATAATGCTAACAATGGAGACGCTATACAAATATGAAATGGAAGGCTAATTTGTAAGACTATACGATTATTTTTGCAATACCTACTCTTGATACTATATTTATAATGGTCAGAATTGATTAATGTATTTAAATAAAATTTTATTTTTATTTATAAAGTGATGAATAGTCTTAAATAGTCATGTTTGATTAAAAAAAAATTAATTAAAGTCGTAATAGCTTTTATTTATTTATATAAATTGGTATTCAATTTCTATATATTCACGGGGGTCTAAACACTCTTTAATATTACATCAAGCTCAACAGGGAGGGAGTGTCAATTTGGCATGTGAAACCAAAAATTTAAACTTTGAAAATTTAATCTAAAATAGGTTTAAGGGGATAAATAACGTAATCGGAGGGGAAATACATAGGATACTAAAAAAATGGATTAAAGAGAGTATTAATTGGATTATTTAAAAAAACTATTTAAAAATATTTAAATTTAATTATTTTTATTTAAGAATAGTCATTAAACTTTGAATACGACTTTATAAGAAAATTTTACCACAAAATAAAAAGCAAAGAATAATTTCTTATAAATGCCAAAGGATAAACTTCACGTAAATCTCGTCGTTATTGGACACGTCGATTCAGGAAAATCAACCACCACCGGTCACTTGATCTACAAGCTCGGAGGTATCGACGAAAGAACCATCAAGAAGTTCGAAGATGAAGCCAACAAATTAGGTAAGGGATCCTTCAAATATGCTTGGGTGTTGGATAACCTCAAGGCTGAAAGAGAAAGAGGTATCACCATCGATATTTCCCTCTGGAAATTCGAAACCAACAAGTATTACTACACCGTCATTGATGCCCCAGGACACAGAGATTTCATCAAGAATATGATTACAGGAACATCATAAGCCGATGTCGCTTTGTTGATGATTGCATCACCTGCAGGAGAATTCGAAGCTGGTATTTCAAAGGAAGGATAAACCAGAGAGCACGTTCTTTTGGCTTACACTTTGGGAGTCAAATAAATGATCTGTGCCACCAACAAGATGGACGAAAAGACCGTCAACTATGCTTAAGCCAGATATGACGAAATCGTCAAGGAAATGAGAGATTACTTGAAGAAGGTCGGATATAACCCAGACAACGTTCCCTTCGTCCCAATCTCAGGATGGGTCGGAGACAACATGTTGGAAAAATCAGCCAACTTCGGATGGTACAAGGGACCAACACTCCTTGAAGCTTTGGATGCAGTCACCCCACCAAAGAGACCAACTGAAAAACCACTCAGATTACCATTACAAGACGTCTACAAGATCGGAGGTATTGGTACAGTCCCAGTCGGAAGAGTTGAAACTGGTGTCTTGAAACCAGGTATGGTCGTCTAATTCGCCCCATCAGCCATCACAACTGAAGTTAAGTCAGTTGAAATGCATCATGAAGCCCTCCCAGAAGCCGTCCCAGGAGATAACGTCGGATTCAACGTCAAGAACATTGCCGTCAAAGATTTGAAAAGAGGATTCGTCTGCTCAGACTCAAAGAGTGACCCAGCAAGAGAATGCAACTCATTCAATGCTTAAGTCATCATCATCAACCATCCAGGATAAATCCAAAACGGATATTGCCCAGTATTGGATTGCCACACAGCCCACATTGCTTGCAAATTCTAAGAAATTCTTTCAAAGAATGACAGAAGAACAGGCAAAGTCATTGAAGAAGAACCAAAATTCGTCAAATCAGGAGATGCTGCTATGGTCAAATTAGTCCCAACCAAACCAATGTGCGTTGAAATCTTCTCTGAATATCCCCCACTCGGTAGATTCGCCGTCAGAGATATGAAATAAACCGTTGCCGTCGGTGTCATCAAGGTTGTTGAAAAGAAGGAATTAAAGAAGAAATGATTTAATAAGTGCATGTACATTTAGTAGGAAATTTAAACATATAAAATTATATTTTTTGGTTTATTTTTTATCATCCTTCTATCTTATTATCATTAAAGGATGCTAAAGACTAAGTTTAATTTTGAGCTTAGGTATATCTTTAAACTATTATATATTTTAATTGATTTAGGGTATTCTTAGATTTCCTCTTAACTAATCGCAAAGTTATTGAAAGTATTCAAAATATCTATCCGTATGTTATCCTCTATTGATTCCAATAAATTTACTTATATATTGTACTAAATCAGTTATTATATTATGTTAATTTTATTATCATTCTCTTATAGTAAAATAATATGTAAAGAAACATTAATCAAGGAAACACGCATTTTCTTTGTTATTTTGTATTAAATCTAGCTGTTCATAAGCGATTCCTACAAATTAGAATTTGAAATATATTTTTTTTTTTTCATTCTTATTCAAGTGATTAGAAACTTAAATTGCATTTTAACGAGACTCGTAATCGAATATAATTTATATGGATTCAATATTAATAGACATTACCAAATATAATCAAGAGACGAGAGTGTAGTAAATTTTTAAAAATCAAATAGCCCAAAGTTTCTTTTGCCAAGGGCCCAAGATTAAGTCAATAAGCCTTTTTGAGGATTATTTGTGGGAATTTTCAAATAACTTCACAATATAGTTTTTGGGATAGATTTGTAATGTCACATAGTTTCCAATTTAATTAATATTAAATGAAGATTAAATTTAGTATAAGTTCAATTTTAATGGTTGATTACTAGATATCTGATTTCTAGATTTTGCTTTTATTCAATTTAGAATAAGTATCTTATGTTTGTTTTTCGATGCTGAATCAACATAATCTTAAAGTGTTACAGCTTATGTTTGGTCAAAGTTTTTAAAAAAAGTTTTTGTTTTTCTATCTGAACATTATAAATTTAGGGGGGCAGGGCATTTGGAATGAAAATTGAAAAATTCAATGAAAAATTACGTTTGACAGGTATATGTTCAAAATTAATTGGCAAAAAGGAATAGAATACTTCTGGCTTTAATTATAAGAGTTTATGAAAAATAAAATTATAATAATTTAAATTTTCAGAAAATATCCTATTCTTAAAAATATATAAAGATAGTAGATTACATGTTCAATAATATGATAAATTAATCCTTATGATTTAATTTTTTATGTATTTATAGCCTTCTCAACTTATAAACAATATTTATTAATAATCTAATAATCCAAACAATTAATAATGGGAACTTGTGCCAGTAGAAAAAATCCAGGAATGCTACAAAGAAGTGTTGCTTAAAAACATATTGAGATAGATTTCGAAAAGCTGCTAAAATATAACAAAGAGAAGGAAGCCAAGGAAGGAAAAGAACATCTTCAGCAACAGCAATCATTTTGTCAAATATTCCTTCAAGAGAACAAGCAATGTGCCCCATATTCTTTAACCCAAAATTTGGGACCCTCCACTTAATTAGAATACAAAAGATAGTGAGAAGTACACCTATGACATTGATCCTTATATACATATTACTCTGAAATAACATATTTTATACGTCTTTTTTGTTCTAAATTCTTTAGTTGAAAATTGAGAGCATTTTAGTAGGGAAATCAAAGAATTTCGCTTAAGAAGCATTTATTTGTTAAGAAATTAAATGGTGCTTATAAAACTATACTCCTTATCCTCTCCAGGTTAGTTAGTTTAAGAGTTTATATATTTTTGAAATATTATGTCATCAAAGTACAATATATCATAAGGGTTGAAAATTCTTTATGAAAACAATTTAAAAGCGCGTAATAAGGACTGTGTGCCTCTTCAAAATACAAATATTTGGGTTATACCAATATATTTGACGTCGAAATTTGTTTAAGTTACTGGGTAATTTTGTTATTCATAATAAATAGTATAAACATCAGAATTATTTAAATTTGTGAGAGTTGAAGCATTCTTAAAGAAAGCTCTTATAAACTATAACGAATTTAGGAGAATGAATATAAAAGTAAGTGATTTTACGAACTCTCTTATCCATAGCTTCTATATTAGAGTATATTATTAAATTTTATTGGATGATCAATAATAATTATTAAATAACTTGAATATCTAATTAAATAATATGAAAAGTTGAGTTAAAAATACATTTACAAACGTATTTAAATTAATATTAATTTTCTTGTCTTTACCTTAAAGTAAATTTGGAAATATAGATATATAGAAATATAATTTATTTAATATAGTTTTATATTGAGAAATACATAATTAATATAATGGATTTTAATAATACTAGTTTGAATGCTAAAATTCCTACTTTAAGATGTATGCATGAATCTATTTATTCATATTAGAGGCTGAAAGCTCTTTTTAACGATACAGAAATCCATTGAATGAATGTTAACACAAGAGTGAATCCAATTCTTTTGAGCATAAATAAGGAGATATGCAATATCCAATTCAACAATACACATTCTTTCAATCAACTCCCATTTTTCCAATATTAGGTATTGAATAATGAAATTATGAAGGCGAACCAAAAAATGAGTTTATTGAAACAGCAAATCAATTTATTAAGAATGGCATGTAAAATAGCTTGGCAAGCATGATTTAAAAGTAGAGCATTGTTTAAAACGAATTCAAACTGAATTAAACTACATATGGATGCAAAAAAATGTGTGAAATCGATTGCATGTTGGTAGAAAGATATTTTAATCAAAAATATTGGGTAATTGTTAATGTTATACACAGATATTCTAAAATTCAAATTAGAAGTACAAGCTTGATTAAACGAAAACTAATAATACAGATTGGCTAAAAGCCAGAATGCAACATAGATATAAATCTTAAATCTATGATGCATTTTCTGAAATGATAGATTTAATATTGAAGGAAGGAGAAATCCAAATGAATTCTAGAACTCAGGTAATTAAAATACAGAATCTCAAAGGATTCTAGAATCTAGAGAGACAAATCTAGAAAGCAGTTAAGGCAGAGAGAAAGTTTGATGCTTTTCTATTCGAAATTTAAAAGGTCTTAGCAGATTTTATATTTTCAACTATAAATTGATTCATATAACATATATATATTTAACTTAATCATTATAGATAATAAAAATCCACAATATAATCAGGTCCTAGCTAAGCATTTTTAAGTAAATCTAATCGTTTATCTTCATCTGTAAAATTGCCTATAAGTCTAATAAGTTGATACTAACCTGGTAAGAAAGAACAACACTTCTCTGTTTCTGGTATAAATCCCATCAGTTGATAGATGTAAGCAATCAGTTCTGAACAAAAAAACTTTTTTCTCGTGCTCTTCTTAAAGAATTTCATCATGCTCAAAGAGTAACCTTTCCCAATTTGGGCTTCCGCATAGGCATGCATCAGGATACGATCATTCTCAGACACATTCAGCAAAGGCTTGTAAAGAATCCTTTAATTTGAAAGAACTATTACTTTTCATAATTTTCGTAAGATTTGGCTTTGACAAAGCGTTCTAAGGTTATCACTAAAAAGAATACTATAACTAAAGGAGATGACTCCATATTAATTGCTAGACTCAAAGAGCATTGGATCTTCCCAAGAGTTCTTAAGAAACATGACAATGTGATCATAGTCACTTCTAGTGATAGATCTTTACAAATTTTAAAGTGTTCCTCTTGTTCGAAATATCAATAAATCCCCTGTTTAAGCCTAATTTAAAATTTGAGGGTCCAAAATTCGTTCATGTCTCCAAAATCTATGATATCTAGACATGCTCGTTATATTATTTTGACATCCATATGATTAATAGATGTATTATTGAATTAATTGAACCCACTATTTTGACTAGTCTCTGGTTCTAGTGGGAACTACAAATTCGAATTTCTTCTCACAGCCTTCTGGCTGTAATCTTTTATATTTAAATATATACATGAAACTCTGAATGTATTAGTCATCCTTTGATTTCACAAAAGAAAAGATGTATTTTTAATAATCAAAGTCCAAAATTCCTAAAGGTTTATCTTTATTTTTTATGTTGTAATAAGTAAATCTTTTTTATTGTAAAGTGCAATAATATGTCTGTAAAATATATAATAAGCTTTACAGAATTCGTTTCCAACAAATGAGGACTAACTTTATAAAATTCACCCTCTAAAACAAGCTATGGTTGTTGCTCATTTTATTTATGTAATTAGTGAGCAATTAAATGTAAATGACGTTCTTATCTGTTCGCATCTGAAGCTTAATTGTTTTATTCTGGTGTTTCCTCTTAAAATTAATCATCATTTAGATTTTGAACTTAAAATACTTAAAGCAATAAATACTGTCAAGAACAGATTAAAATTCTAGATTGTCCACGATGTTATTAGGCTAATCATCTTCTTGATTGCTTTAATTTTGCTGCATATTTTAGAATAATATTTATTAAAATGTTATAATATGAATTAGACAGAGAGAATTACAGTAATTACATTTACAATAATTGATTATCTCTAACAATGTTAAAAATAAAAATCTCCTTTTTAAATAATCTATATTAATTCCTTTAAAATCTTTAGCAGAATTGAACAAATTTGTGTGATAAACATATTTGTCTATAATCAATTCTATCAGCTCTAAATGCAGAGCTTCTTAAGGAAACCTAACTAATTATGGAGTTCCCTTGTTTAGAAGGTTTTTCAAAATGAGGTACGCTTTAAAAAGATATAAGGGTTTCTAAAATTTTTTTTATATCTCCAAAAAGGGGCTTATTAAAATATCAATTTCATTAATATTTAGATTTTTTAGAAAGCTAATCTTGTTAATAAAGGGTTCAGTTTAATAGTTCATATAAATATTCTTTATAATCAAGGAATTCACTGTTAAAAGTTTGTGTGATAAATAAAACAACATAATTGTAATCTAAAAATTGATGGAATATTGAGTAAACTAATGAATTAACATCCTAAATAATAAGAATGCAATATTATCAATTGAAGAAGTTTTAGGAATTGTGAAAATAGATAAAATAATTGAAGAATGTAAGATATTTATAGATGGAAATAGTGGATTACCAGAATAATGACAATATCGGATAATACCAAATAAACTTTGCTTTTATAATTTATTTCATTTTTTCAAATAGACTAGGATGGTAGTCATATTGTCACAACCTGTTCCTTAACTTGTATCTGGGGCTAATAATTAATCTAACAAATCTTCAGCAGCCCTTCTCAATAATTCCTCAGTCACTTATGCTTAGCCCAAAGTGGAATTAACTTATTTTAATAATTCTGTATGATTCAAAGTTTCGAATACACCATCACAACCCATCAGGATAAATCTAAGTTTAAGAGTATTGACTACTTGTCTTATGGTCCTAGTTCGACTTTCTTGACGTCTGGAATAGCAATAATCAATTATTCATTAACTCTTAACTTGCTATCACGTTTATATTCTAAATCACCCAAGGCTCTTGATAAATTGAGGTTACCTAGATTTATATTGTAATAAATAAATACCATTAACTCGACCATCACTAACGAAACCGCCTGCTCTCTCAATTCTGGATTTCTCCTCAGGATTATCCGGTTTGTGATCAACACTCATGTCATAATTAATATTATTTCTGCATAAAACTGTTCTTGAATCACCAGCATTGGCAACATACAGAGTATTCTTATGAATCAAGGCTACATTGGCTGTGCATCCAGCATAAGATTCTAAAATCGAATGAAAAAATTACCATCGCTATCAGTTGCTTTGTATTAATTTAATTCTTTCTATCCTTCTGGAGTCAATAACAATTCGTCCATCTTTAAAAAGGTTTCTTTGAGAGCCTCTTCAAATTTTTGATCCTTAAAATTTTTATTTTTAAGTAATTCATCAATGAAGTGCTTTTCCACAAATAAGGCAACTTCTCTACCTCCATGGCCATCAAACACACCAAAAATAGAGATGTCTTGTATAACATCAGGTTTATGAATATGAGCATCCTCCATAGTGTTTCTCCAGCCTAAATTGAGTCATCAATTCCATACCTTGCATTTCTGAGGCAGCAAATATCACAGACTTTCCTTATCCTGTTGTTGTTGTTTTATCTTTTTTTGGTTAGCTTAGATATGGCCCCATTTAATTTTATTTTATTTTATATCATTTATATCCACTTATTTCTATAAATACGAAAATTTCAGTATCATCCTAATCTTAAGATTATTTTCCGATTATTATATTATTTTCCATATTTTAACTCCAAACCACTATATCCTTCCTCTCTTATCAGAGTGCATATCGAATATCCAAAACCATTGACTACCTATCTGACATCATGAATTGACAAAGACCTCGTAGTACATTTTAGAAAATTTTAAGAAATAATTATTTAATCAATTACTAATAATATCCGCCTTTAATTGGATTACAGGGAGAGAAGTCTCTCAAGTACAGATATTTTACAACTATAGATTCATAATAATAATGATGTAATGATATTTTTTATAATGGATAGTTCATTATGGACCCTTAACATCGGGCAATTAAGTCTCAACATAACTCTTGTTCAATAATTAAGGGTAAACTATGGTTGGTACTTATTGAGGATACTGTTGATATACTGGATAACCAGCAACAGGTTATTAAGGAATTTAAGTATTTTGAACAGCCTATTATTATTATTGTAACAATATTTGTTGTTGAATCTACTATTATTATTATTATAATAAGGCTTCTTATTGTTGTTTTTGTTGTTTCATCCAATTTTGATATTGTTCGTATTAATCAACAGGAACAGCATAGAATTAAGGTTGTTAAACATTGTCATGCATTGGTTCTCCAAAAACCACTGCATCTGATAAGTTATTGTGGCCTTGCTTTTTCATTCTTTTCATTTGTCTTCTTTTTCTTATTATTTTTCTAATTACCAGAAAAGCCCCAACTGCAAGTATGGAAAACAAAACCCACTTAAAGACTAGGTTATTCTAATTTATTTACCATGTCCTTTCTTGTGCCTCTAATGATTATTTCTATTATGGTGTGAATCTCCAAGAACCAAGATTAGGAGTAATGCTAAAATGATAATTTATTTCATTAAATAATTAATAAAAATCAAATTTATAACCAACAATTAAAATAGCCATTTTCTAAGCTTTTAGAGTAACCAATAAGATCATCTTAATAGAATTAGAATGGGTGTATATAAAAATTTAGTGAAATAATGTGTCTATAGAAAAAAATCATCATTTTCAACTCTATTTTTCAACAATTAAGCTCTAGTTGCAGTAATTTTTAAGATTAATCTTTGATAATCCTATTAACGAATAGTTCGAAGGATTAGCTGATAAATAAGAGCCTCTTTGAGCACTTTTGCAATTTTTAGTCCTTTCGAAGTCTTTTGCTAATTTATCATAGTTAGTTTTTAGTTTGATATAAGCTTCGTCCTTTTGAATAATTGATATTTTAAGCCTTTCTTAGTCTATTTTACCTTGCTATATGATCTTTAATTAATCTTATATTTATAATCTTAGTTATAATATATCATCTTAATATTTTTAATTTTCATGTTCAATAGACTTGACATTCTATAAGAGATCATAAATGTGTCTCTACATTTTTTTATTATTCTCTTAAAAGAATGAGTGCTATGCTAGTGAATAGAAATGAGTTTTTTACATTTTTATTGATTTAGTTAAATGACGATTGGTTTGTTGGGTTTGAATTCTTTATTTTGTTTAACCAGAGATTAATAACAAAGAGCATCTCTTTTCAAATTCTCATATTCTAACTTTGATACTGGACTAAATAATCATTCGATATACTTCTAACAGTGTCATCCTTGATTTCGAAGATTGAGTCCTAGCTTGGATGTCTATTAGTATTATTCGTAGGGTTTGTAGTATAATTATCTTCTTTCTTGGAATCTGAGGAGAAATGACATACCTAATAAATAATGCATTATTTATACTTCCTACTGGAAATCAGGTAAATTTGCACTTTATTCAACCTCCCCAAAAGAGGGGATTTCTAGTTTTTTAACATCAGTTGTTTTAAGTTCGCAAATCTTAAATAACTCATGGATTTAAGTCTATGTCAAATAGATGTTAGAAGACATTTCAGTTTTAACAAAAATAATATTTTATATTAATTCACGAACTACATAAAAATCTTAATTTTTATTTATGAAAACCAGAAGGTTTTTGTTGAGATTGGACCTTAATTCACTCATTGCGATTTAATTTGATAAGATTGTCCATACACACTCATGACAAGGACACAAGAGATATTTAAAAATAAAATGCCTTAATTGAACTTAGCGTGGATGGTTCTCTGTAAAAACAATATAGATAGGGATAAATATATATATATACTGATATTATAGGTGGAGGAGGAACCAAAGATGGGAAAGAGAATCGGTCCAAATAAATTATTTATAAACAAATACTTTATAAAATGAACATGATTATTGCATCATCCATTCAAATAATTGATGCATAAACATTTTATTCAATTTCCAGATGGTTAGACCCTCTTAAAAACTTGAACTTTCCATTGATACCCCAGCCATCGTTCCATGAATTTACTGCTTCCCAATAAGGTACTCCGTTCTCAGTTCCCCACCCAATAATCTTGACTGCATGTCTCCCTCTAAATGATCCAGTTGTATGTTGATAAACACCAGATTTATAACTTAAGAAATCATCTTCGACTATAAACACAGCCTATACAGGTCCATTCAAATAGATCTCATTTTTAATTTGCTCTTAATCTTGAACAAGTCTGTAAGGGGTCTCTCTTGATCTGATCTTATCAATATCATAGGTTCTTGAGGATTAAGAATGACATTTTTTGGTGCATGAGGGAGTATTGGTCAACAATAAAATATCCTCATCACATTTAGAATACTTTCCAGAATTATTCCCATGACTGCAAGGAGGGAAAGAGTAAGATTTACAAAAACTTAAATCATCGTAGGCACCCCCTGTGACTATTCCTTCTAATTTGAAATACTTCCATGCCCCAACAGGTATACCACCATCACAATCTCCACAATTAATTCCACAGCAACTTAAAAGATCTTCAGCAGAAATCTGTCTCTGATCTGTTTGACTGGAGGCAATACAAAGACGATCACTCATTGTAGAGGCAGCTGATACTGCCCAACAAGAACCACAGTTCCCTTGATCTGGAATCGATCCAATAGATGGACAACCAGGCCATTTTTCTGAAGCTGAGAAACTTGGTGGCAAGTTTTCTAAATGCTCATAGAATTTGAATTCGATTGGCTCGCTGTGATCGACGATAACATTGAAGTACTTGGAGTAAAACTCTTCTGACTTATCGTTCCATCTTTCATAATTGGCAGCCTAAATAAATAGAGGAGGAAAAGTACAGTCCAAGTTGTTTTGATTGAGTTTACAAATGCTGTTATAAATGGGTTTCTCGCAGATACCAAAGATATTATTAAGCATATAAATTATAACATTTTTATAAATCAATTATCCAATTCCGAAAGTAGTTTTTTAGTTTTAGTAATTTATTTCAAATTCTCAATAACACTCAGAATTGATTATTCTTCTATCAATGAATCATCGGATTCGTTTTCATCATCTTCAACAACAGAAGATAAACTACTGATAGAACTCTATTTTTGAGGGTCGATCAATTCTTGATTCTTCATATTGATAATAGCATTACCCATGGATAAGACTTCAAAATAGTTGTGTTATTGTTTTTCTGCATCATTTTATAAAAGTAGGACTTCAATTCATCGTAGTTGATTACTTTGTACTGATCAAGATTGGACAACTTAACATTGTAATAAAATTAAATTATTTCTTTTGGCAGAGACGGAAAAGCCTTCTCAATTATCAGATTCATCTTTTGTAACTCGACTTCCTTTATCTTATCGCTTTTCGTTTTCTTCTGCTTCGTCTTAAATAGTCGACCTCCAATATAAAAGTTTATCAGAATGTAAGCCAAAGATTCTAGATCATCTCTAGGACACGGTTCTTGATTTAACTATAGGCTTACTTATCCCTAAATGCAGATTCAGACTTGAATATTTATTTAAAGCTAAGGCATATTGAAATTTGTTTTTCGTATTCTGATTTAGGATCTACCTTAATTTGTATTTCTAGGCAAATTTTAGGTCAGTTAAAAGCAATTGAACTCCTCTATAAAGCGTCACAAATTTCTTGGGCTTCAAATAACAATGAACTATTGATGCCTAATGCATTTTCTCCAACGCAGATATCTAGATTTACATTCTCAGTATTACCGCTTCGATTGCCAGAGTAGCAAACACTTAATCCGAAAACTTCCGATTTTGATGTTGAAAACATAGTTTAAGAGATGGCCCGCATCTCTCCTTTATATTATATCGATATTCCATATTCTTATACTTATAAATTCCGGATTGAATGGTCTTTGGAATGAGCTGCACTAAAATCAATGTATTTATAATTAGTACAATCATGCATTTTCTTTACAATCCTTTCATCACACACAAAGGAATTGTACTACTCTTAACTATCGTTTATTTAATTCTCTATACCTTTTCATTTCCACTAAATAGTAGGTATTCGGATCATCCTTATTTAAAGCTACACTTCCTATTAGATTTACCTAATTACCTAAATACAAGTTGTGACTCCTCCCCTTGTAAATCAAACGAACCAGAAAATATTTATGGTCCAATATTACGGCATTAGCATTTCTTTCGAAGGAATTTGACTCAGTTATTGAATCACTCATTTTAATTAAAAATCTTAATAATATAAAGACATATAAATAAGTAATTAAAATCAAGAGTACAAACGAATAACCAAATATTATTAGAGCTGTATTACTGTAATCAAATTTTATGGCTTCCATTATGAAAACTAAAATATAATAAAATGACCATTACTTAAATTAAAAGTCTCTAATTCTTAATTTTTCGATTGACTAATAATTTCTTAAATAATGCCATTTCAACCCCTGTGTAAATATCTTCTCGTTGTATTGCTTATGAATTAATTAATTCTGTTCAACTTACAGAACTTATTAGGATATTTTTGAAATCATTAAATCAAACATGAAGATGAAAATACCAAATAAATACTATGTAATAATTAATATTTATGTATAATTTCTGCATCTTTATATTTATGACTCCTTTGAATTGGTAATTTGATAAAATTATACTCTACCTTTTCTAAGATTATTTTGAGATGACATATTTCTAATCACTTCAATTTATTTTGTAATTTGTAAATCTTGAATTAAAAATTATGAAAAATGATTTTTGTAAAATAAAGTAGTGGAAAGCACTGGAAATCACTTATTTTATTATTTGTTTTGGGTTGCAAAAATCATTTTTAATAACAAGGGGTATCTAAATATAATTGTTCATCAAGATTTAAACGATGATAACAGCAGGTTTAAAACTTTGATCAATATACATAACATTCTGAAAATTGTCTAGTGATGTAGAAATTATCAATTGAAAGGATGCTAACTATTTAACTATGTAGAAATGCTAACAAATAGAAATAACAATTATTAAGAAGTGAGTACCTTTAAAATTATTAAATTATTTAAGCTTAATCAATTTTAAGGAGTCATAAATAAATTGACTATATATGTTGTTTTTATTTGTAATTTGGTATTTAATTTCTAATGGTATCAAAGAGGGACTATTCAATCATGCTAATAATATTATTGATACTTGAGTGATAAAGTTTGAGATTACCCCTAAGTTTATTTAATATTGTAATAATATCCAAATAATTTCATGTTTTATTAACTTTTTGAATTTACATTACCTTTCTTATTAACTCATTAATAATAAGTTGATTCAGCAATTTTTTGTTGATTTCATTCCAAATAATTTAGATTTTAATAATCCTTATTATAATTGCTTGCTTTTTAGCAAGATGATAATATTGGCTATTATCAAAATGCTGATCCATACACATAGAATGAGTTATTTTTATTATGCGTACTTTTGATTACTATTTTAGGGATGATCATTAGATTATGGTATAAATTTATAAAAATAATAAAATCAAACTTTATGATTATATTATCTTTAGATCATCGCATCTTCTTGTATATATGTACTCTTATAATAATTGTCAAATAATTTTCAATTTAGATTTAATCATAATTATAATAAAAAATGTGCAGAAACAACCTATTGAAGAAGGAAGCGAAATATTCCTTGAACTATTTCATCTGTCTCATTTTTTTGGGTTTGGAAATTGAACTTTAGAATGATCTAAGTGTTATTCAAATTCTTTCCATAATCATAATTGTTATTTCAATTACCTTTAGAGTGCTCTATTCATTTTAGAGGATTTCATGGAAAATAGGTACACCACATCATAATATTAAGATATCTCGCCCATCTTCTTTTGGTTACTAACTCTTGCAAGAATTAATAGTGCAAACAATTTAAAATCAGAATCCAATTCCTTCCTATTTTATACTCTGGGCTTTATGAGTGGACAATATAACAACACTTTTAGTATATAGAATGAAAACCCCATCATATTTAAAGGCAAAATTTGTGTTCAAATTATAATATTTATTGCTTGTTTATCTCTTACTAATTCAATTAAGCTTGGAATTATATTTGTGCTAATCATGCTATGTATCATGATTGGATTGAATGAAATCTTTTATAGATTAACGTTGAGTGAGTTTGACATTTAGGCCAAAGAAAATAAAAATAATAGACTCTTTAATGAACTATCATTTCAATAAATTTTAAAATCTTAAACCAAACCTTCAAATGAAGAATAAATTTTTATAAAACATTCAAGAGGTTGTCCTCTTGAATCAATTGCTGAAGATGATGAATTACCTGACTCAAAATAAAAATAACAGAATGCTTCAAACTCTACTAAGTCATCCCTTTGGGGCAATTTTGTTTTCTAATGCGATGATTACATAATTAAATTTTCATTTAACGCTTATTAAAATAATTCTCTCCTATAAAACTCTGTTAGCAATTATTCATTTAGTAAATTTCTTTAGGATAATAACATCACATTTGTAGATTTTCTATCAGAAATGAAGGTTTTCAACGACATTCATTGGACCTAATTTGATATTCAAAGTCCAGAATTTAAAAAATAACAAAGTCTTTATGATTGGCTATAATTTCATCTAGAACAATATAAAATGATTGAGTAACTGCAATCCAAGAAGTCCTTCAAATAACTAGACGGTGCAGATCCTTTATAGCTTAGCAATCTTTCCAATCAGAAATCCATTTTGATGGACATTATTATGGAGAAATCTATAATGGGGTTGTCATCAATCCCATACTAATAGAGTTCATCGGAGGCATTGAATCTGAGAAATAGTAAAATGAATCTGTTTGGAAGAATAAAAACTAGTAGGACTATGTGTGACTTGTAGATCAAATTTTACATCTTTGAAGAAGTACTAAATTTGTTAAATCTAGGAATCTGATGGTTTGGCCATAGTATTTTTGATGAGAGATATTGATAAATTGGTGTAATCGATTAGATAGAATGTTAAAAATGTTGAATTGTTGGATATTGCCACAAAATTTATATAGAATCAAGCATGTAAAATGACTGAGATCCATAAATGGATTCGTGAAATAAAGAGTCCATCCTGTTTAATTGAGACTGATTAGTTGAGTCGGTTGGGCACTTCAGTTCGCAAGAGAACTTATTCATTGAGTTCCAATAAAAATAGTGTAGAAGAAGGACAATCTGATATCTCTGAGAAGGTTTAGATACGCAAGTCAAATCATTTATAGTAGTTCCTATCAAGGTTGCAATTCGATTTCTGTTAAGTTGAATAAGATAACTTCAATTTTTTTGAGGTGTTCTAACAAACAGAAAAAATTTGGTTTGACAGGAAGAAGATTGATATATCATAAACAATCCACTTACTGTTTGAGTAATTTCAGTATAATCAAATTCTGATGAAATACGGAGTGAAGTTGATGTTGATTGACCATAATCTTTATGATAAAAACATAGTCACAGATGCAAGGTTAAGATATCATGTTATTTTTTAGAAGATTCAAATAATTATTGATTAATTTAATTAACAATTCTATTCAAGCATATTAATATGAAGAGTATTTGTAATAGCCGAATGAAGTTGAGATTACAGTCTGGAACTATTATGAGGAAATCCACTTCACAATTACAGACTATGGTTGTGGACTTACTTAAAATAATCTTAATTAATCAAGGCTGTAAGAATGTAAATTGGGATTGGCAGCATCCTAACGATTATTGTATCAATTAACTGATGGAAAAAAGTAGTTAACTATATAATGTCTGAATTAAAGGACGAGTTTATCCTTCCAATTGCCAAGGATTATGCTGGAGGATAAGATAATGTAAAATAATGAATTTGATTATGAATATATTAAATTTATTAATTCTTGAGTATTTTATTAATTAAAACAAAAAAAATAACTCATTCATGTTTATCTACAAATAAATGCAAAACTTAGAGGTTTAATTATAATTGTCTGAGACAGGAACCCAAATCTCTCCCTAGTAGTTTGAAGACGAGATGCTACAAGAATACTTAGAGATTGAAGTGTAAAAGTAGGGCTTTTCTATGTTATTCGAAGAGTTGCTTGTTTGCTCCAATATTCCTTAGGAAGAACCATAACGTCATAAGAAGTAATTTAGTAATCTAATTTAAGTTTAAGTAGGAATACAAAGATCAACTAATTCAGACGAAGATCTCACAAGGTTGTGAAGAAGTAACAAGAAAGGAAAAGAAATTAAAAATCAGCATAGACTCTTCTGTAATAAAAGTAGCAAAGAGTCTTTAATGAATTTAAATTAAAGGAATTTTAAGCTTAGTGTATTACAGAAGAGACTTAAGGGGAATAAGGGGAATGGCAAGGAGATCATTAATGTCAAGTTTAGGAGCATGATGTCATTCCCCTTAGTTTACTCAGAGAAGATGAGAGTAATTTGTTTGAATATCTTATATTTTAGATTTATTGCTCCTGAACTTGTGTAATGATAATGTCAATATCAATGACAATTGTATTGAATTAAATAATTATCAAATCAACAACAAAAAAATTGAGATGAATGCATATATGATACCAAAAGCACTTGCACCAAAAATACCAAAACTTTGAGTTGACCCCTTGTTTCTGAGATGCTCAGAAAAAGGGGTTGAAATAAAGTGCGATCACTTTTGAAGTGACAATGCTTTCATCAACACCTATAAATAATATCATTTTCCAAATATTCTTTCATTAATATTATAAATGAAATTGTACATACATTCTGGAAACGTCGTGGAAACTTATGATTCCATCTAAGGAGAAACCATAGATCAATTATAAAAAGCATTGGGAAGCGAAGTGCTTTTCAATAACAGGTAATGCATTAGAATTTATCAGCAAGGACAATTTTAAACACTTCGATGTTGGTCAATAGTTTTTTCAATGACAATGATGATGTGATTGTACAAAAAGTGAAACCCATCCCAGTTTAATAGAATGCTTAAGTGCCTCCTTAAGTACCTGCATAAAAACCCATCCATTATAACAATATTACAAAATTCGCATTTTATGATGCTGATGAAATGAATGTTAGGTAATTTTGTATACTTATACCTAAGAGTTGTAGTTGAATTGAAGGATATTGCAAAACATCCATTAGAAAAGTTCTAGGCCAGATTTTTTGAAAAATCATTTGAAATAAAAATTCACGATTATCAAAATAAGAATTGGACATTTGGAGTGGCCAGAACCTAATGCAAATTAGATGCTGCAAATAGTAAATTCACTCTCAAGGGTGATAAGATATTGATTACATTAAGAAAGGTGAAGAAGGAGGATAATTGGTTTTCCATTCACAAGCAAAAAACAATAGGTGGTGACGATTCAGATTGAATATATAATTATAATAAGAGTGATTGAGTATTAAGCTTATTGGTTGCTATTCTTTGACACTCAGAGTTTTAGTTCAAACAATTAAATTTGGAATAAATTAAATAGTAATTTATTTTTATTTATTTATTATGAATCAAAGTGAAGTTAATGAAGAAAACTCACCTCATAATTCCGATCATGCTTCATAGAATATTTCTCAATACTTGTAACATGACTATTATGAGAAATTCAAGCTGGGCTAGAATCTTTATGAATAATCAATTACTTTATCAAGATTATCTTTGGGAGAAAAGACAACAGAGGATCACAATAATATTACTTAAATAGGATTGATACAAATTTAAGAACGCCTATCGGATGAGATTTGCAAGAATCAAGTAAATTGTTGACTACAATTAGCCAGCTATTAGAGAATAAAGTAACATAACTCAATAAGGATCTTTAAGCTGCTATGGAACATACGATGATTCTACAGAAATAAAATGAGAATTACGTTCAGATGTTGTAATAAACCAATACACAATTACAAAATTAGATTAGGAATTATGAAATAGAAAAAAAGTTAAACTAACAATTAATGAAAAAAAATAAAGAATTATTAGAAGTAAATAAGTATAATCTTAATCTAATTAGTAATTATTAGAAATAAGTATAAAGTTTAGAAAAGAAGAAACAAATCTAGAACTTTTCAGATTGCAAAAATACTATATTATCCAAATGTCATTAAAAGTCGAATTAATCCATCTGTTCTTCCAATAGGAATAAAGGGAAATTAAATCCAGGGAATACAGAAGAATCAACTGTTAAGGATTCTTCCTTCAGTGAAATGAAATCCAATGATAATTAAAGATTTGCTGAATCTGCTCAACAATTCTACAAATCCTAAAACTTTTGGTCTCCAGTAAAATAGTCTTCTCCTAAAGCTCACAACCTAAACCTAGAAAAAAAGATTGAATCTACTTTAGCATAAATAAGAGCAATCAAAATGCAAATTCAACAATTAAATTAAAAATGATATATTTTTCATTTTTTTTCATTATATTAGAAACATTCCAAAACAATAAAAATGCTTTAATTCTAACATCTCTTAATAATTTATTTGATGGCGTCATTAGTAATAAAGATCTAATATTTATAATCTGTAATCATTACCTTTATGATCAATCCATAATAATTACTTATACCACATAATTCCAAAAATAGCTTTTAAATTCCGTAAACTTAGTGATAACATCCGTCTTCTTGATACATGTAATGTTTTTCATTCATGTCAGTAAGTTGGGTAGTTACCTATGAATTTTTCCAATTAGGCTATTTACCCAGACTTTATCACAATTATATACACTACATTATCCTCTTTTTCACTTGTGAACTAAATTTCTACATTTTATTTTATATAAATTTAAAATTACACAGTAGAAAATTTATCCCCAATTTTCAGAGATGTATCTTTAAGGATTATTTACTTACTTTAGCGTATTAACATCTGGAAATAAAAAAGTATTTAGATCAAAACTAATAAAAAATTTAATTTATGTATGTTTAATCAAGAGTCAACCTTGTGAATCCTATTCAAGTATTCTCTGATAGCTTTGATTCTCTAGATTAAATTTAAGGGTATCATTGATAATAGGAGTGTCGTCCTTCTTATCTATAATCATATGGTAACTAAAATTACTTCGTTATTTATTTTATTTGCTATTGGCCACCAAAACAAGAGATACACCAGCACAAGAACAACCAAGAACACTATGAATATTGTTACTGTTGTTGTAGTGTTGGTGTCTAAATCTTTTTGCAAACTTTCATTAAAAATAACAAGTAACTACTGAAATATTGATCTTATGTATATGTCTTGCATTTGATCTATTAGAAATATTAAAACTTATACTTAATTCAATAGCAGAAATGTCTGTGTACATAAGTGACAAGATCTTATTCCGCTGAGTGTTATCTGTCAAATTATAAACAGTTCCAGCTATAGCGGTTGCAGAGGAATCATTCAAGAGCGAATCGTATACAGTAAGTAAATACCTCAGGTTTTCAAAGTGCCTTGATAGTGCTAATGCTAATGACTCATCGACAATTCCTTTAACGAAAGCCTAACAAGTAGCCAAATCTACTCCGGCAACCTTGATGACTTCATTACAGGCTCCAGCTTTCATTATTGTATCAAAGTAATCATTATAAATTGAATTGTGATAACCTAAATTTAGTGAGTGATCCTTTTGCATATTCGTATTCAAGTTGTAGAGATCTTTGACAAAGTCTGCAGAAATAGTTTTGGAAACGTTGTTTTTCACAGGGAAGTTGGGATCCCATAACATTTATCTAAATACATTGTTTGCAAAGGTAATAGAGGGAACAGCCAATGAGGTGGCGTTCATTTCTTAGATAAGCTACTACATGGAACTCTACAAATTGGTTCCAATTAAATAATGGGCTATAAAGTAAGCTATAAGTAGCCCAATAGAAATAATGAATTTAATGTAAAAATTCCTCTTGTCTTTTGAATCATATTTATACTTCTTTCTTTTCTTTCTCCTTCCAAATTCTTCCACCACTCCTTCTCCTTCCTCATTTTCTTCAAATGACAACTCATTCTCTTGGTTGGCATCCTCATCTTCCCCAATTTGGAGAGTGTTTGAAAAAGCTTCACATTTGGCAAACAGCTATTTAACCTTAGCTAAGGGAATCTCAAGAAATAGTTTAATGACTTCCTCCTAATTTTGTGAAACTAAGTTAAAGGTACAAGCAATCCAAGGTATTGAAATGAAAGTAAATACGCATGCTACTATCAACAATATTAATAAAACATTTGAATCATAAGCCAAATTTATTAATTAATTTGTGTAGAGATCAACACTCTCTAAAGTGGCTTAATAGTAGTCATTCAATAGATTATGTCTAATGAAATATATGGAATCAGCATCTGGATCAAAACCTGTTATATCATAATTCATAATTTCAAATGCTTTCGATATTATTTATGATGTTCCTTAGTTGATATCTACCAATTGATTGCTTTCACTTCCACTGTCATCTCTACTAATCATTTTAATGGAGTTAGTTGTCATCAATTCATCTTGTCTTCCGCTGACGCCTGAGGATGATTAGATTTTCGATTGAATATCTTTCAGATCACTAATAGTAGTATTCATATTGGTAAGTTAAGTTTTGACTTTATCATCTGTACCAGCCACATTTATTTTATTTAATCTACACAATTCCATTATTTACCATTGGATTCTTTACCCTAAGGCAACTCTTATATTGGAATCTTGCATCATAATGTATCCTTCTTGAATATCCTAAAATAATTTTTACGTTAAAACATAATCCAATAAACCCAAGACACCCAAACAGATAATCAGAAAAGCTGCACTCCATTTAAAACAAACCATGCTACTTTGATTAACATTTCTGCTCTCTGACAAGAATTAGACAAAGGTTCTTCTAGATTTATAGATATTAGCATGTCCTCCTTCAGCTTCTTCTTCTTCATCTTCTTTTTAAACTTATTACATTCCAGTAGTTCCTCCTTTCTTTTAGTCATTTTCTTCTGCATCCTCATCAGAATCTTAATTTTTAAACTCATCAATATCAAATAATTGCCCATTGATGTATTTCATGGTCCTTATTCCTAAGGCCAAATCTAATTTTTCATCTTTTTCCCCAATATTTGAAGTGGGAGTCTTTTCATCTTCCTTAACTGGTTCTCTCTATGAATAATCAAAGGTTTCGTCTTATTTGACACTTGAAATAGCAGACATCTAGAAATTTTAATCTTAAGTATACTCACCCATATAGATATGTTACTATTAATCAAATTAGAAATAAAATTTGACTTATGATTACTTTTTGATTTGAGATTATTCATTAGGATTTAGAAAAGATTTATCTTACTTATTATTTTCAATTTTTATAACATAGCCTTATAATTTAGAATCCTTGAACATGATTTCACCAGCAGTAATATTAAATTTACCTTAGACTGTCTAATCTCTATTTTTAAAATTAATATCTGCTTCAGCTCCTGTTTTATTAAGATATTCAGTGATGTTCTCTTAGAAGTTTGATATGATGTCACTTACTTTCATCTTTTTCTTTGTGATATAATTCAAATCTACATGAAACATCGTAATAAAAGTGGCTGATATATTTTCAATCTCCTGAGTGGACCCATTAACAATCATGAAAGCCACGTTCTTAAACACTTTTTCTTGTCTCATGGCTCCAAAAAACTATGCTCCATGGATAAATGAAGGGACATATCTAACATAGATGAAGAAGGGAAAGATGTATCCATTTTTAGATTTACCTATAATCATTCTTTCTCTATTCATGATTCTACTTTCATAGGTTTACAAATAGGCTTCCATAAATTAATCGTGTGATTGAGCAAATACGTTGGGCATCAAAATATTGACTTTCCTGTTAATTAATTCGCTTTTGGAATAGCCAAACATCTTGGATGCAGACATATTGAGTCCTATGATTCTACCAAAGGTGATATCTTCAGCTGAAATACTGATCAATGCAGTGGATTCATTAGGGAAATCATTGATGTTGTTTGTGATTTTGCCTCTGTCCATATTGACAGAATAGAAATTCTTCAATCTTTCCAAGACTTCTTCAGCGGATTCTTTGTCATACAAAATGTCAATTAGATATTTGGAATAGATCATCATCAAATTTGGTGGAACATCCATATTCATTTTAATGATTCTCTTCCATGAATCTTCCAACATCTTGTCGACATACATCATTCTGGTTCCCACATCATATAGTTTCCCCAAGTCTGGAGTGTCTTCACTTAATTGCGACCAAAACTCTATATGTTGAGAAGCTGATTTCTCGATTTGAGCCCTGATGTCCCTCAGATTGTTCTCAGTGGTGAGTTCATTAACAGCATCAATGCCAGCAGCTGGGTTTTTGGATGACTTTGAGTTTTCGAACATTTGTTCTTCAATCAGTTTCTTTAATCTGTAGATGATGAATTGTTCGTCCATGTATGGTTTTTCTTGTTCGGCAGCTACCAACTCTTATAATGCTTATTAATTTGATTACATTTTTTCCATCAAGAACAAGGAATGTGCAATTCTCAATTCGGTGCAATTGGGAAACCTTGTTAAAGACAGGGTGAATATTCTTTCCAAAATATACACGAATACAACATATTACTCTTTGATTTCTTCGTCCTGGTTTTGGAGTTTGAAGTTCTTCTAAAATTTGGCAATCTTCTTATTTCCCATGTTTTTAGCCTGACAAGGACAGTCCTCTCTTTTACAGATGGTTCTGTGGTATTCAACAAATCCATCGAGGAGAGTGGCTATGTTTCTATCTGTGTGGTAGTAATTCAAGAATTTGGTTAGATATTGCAATTGTTGGATGGCTTGATTTAAGGAATCGAATTTATTCGAGTCTATCATCATAATGTCATATCGGTATTCTTTTCGTAACATCACAATCAACAATAATAATGGACTGCCGAATACCCACAAATATGGAGCGCCTTCATAATAGGTATCCTCAACTATGATGCCGAAGATGATCATACAGATTGTCCACATGATGACGGCATGTTGTGAATTTAACACTTTGGAATAATAGTAGTTCAGATAGACACTGGATTTATTGAATGAGAAGAATTGAATGACTGCAAAAAGAGTGATTATTATGACAACCAAAATCCTCAACTCACTTACGTTCAATAGAGTAAAACACAATACTAAAATGATTTTGAAGGTCAAAAATTTCATGTCGTCTCTCCCTGAAATCTTGCACAGAGGATTGTTAGGTTGAAATCTGGATTCATAGAATGTCATCGTAACCAATCCACTCACGCATATTAATATTAAGGCAGCAATTGCAGATAAAAATGCGTGTAATAAATAATTACCAGTGTAACATTATTAATCACTATAATATCTATGATAACCTGTTCCTGAGTCACAATAAAAGATAGTCAAAAATAAATGGAGTGTTGGCATGAAGAAAATGTAGTTGAGAATTTCAAAAAATATTTTTAGCACAAACAATGGACCAGTCAATTTACCCACTGATGTTGTCTGGGCTTTTATCGCTATAAAGATAATCAGGACTATCAATAGAAAAAATAACCCCATTACAACGTATAGTACCAGGATAAAACTTGGAAATTGGACATTTTTCAAATATGGAGATATCATGAAGTATCCAAAAAATGATTGAAACGATTCAGACCATGATTTGACCTTCCATAATGATAGGAACTAATTTTATCATATTGAATTACTTCGTCACTGAATGCAAAGTAAAACACTTAAAAGCTTTCGATCAGCACAAAGAAAACGTAAAGAAATAAGGGAAAGTTCTCCCCAGATATCAAGTAGTATATAATCTCAAAAAGGAGATTCTTGAAAGAATTTTACATCTTATCAATGGCTGACTTATCATCATCAAAGATTGAAATTCCTTGCATAATAATAATAATTCAAATAATAATATTCATTTCACTGCTTATAAAATTTCTCCTCCAATAAATTATTATTTCAAGTTAGGGTATTTTTATATGATATCCATAGGTATCATATTCAACATACCTTTAGTTCTCCAAATCTGCTTCGATAGATTATTCAAGTAGGGAGTCCAACAAAAGATAAATGCCGCAAACATCACCACCAAGTACACACTAAATTTCATTTGTTCTATAGAATCACTGTAAGATAAGAAGTCTGCAATGCCTGACATGAACCGATCAGTTAAGTAATCACATGCAGGCGAAATATAATACAAAAGCCTATGCAATTTGTCGTGATAAGTCTAATTGTTGATGGTTGAAATTAGGTCTAATTGTTATGATAGATATATCTATACCTGCTCTAGTTCTTTCAGTGTTCTTCCAAAAACTGATCATATCATTTGTGCTCAAGGCCACTGAAACAAAGGCAGTCTTCAATCCACTTGTAAGTAAACCTGAATCTACCGCTGCACATCCTGATTAATCAGTAACAAAGTTGTCTAAGAGTTACGGTTACATATTTACTTATGGTGAAATCGTTGACACATAAATTATTGTAAGTAAAAGCCTAGAACTTCGACAAGTATGTATCAAATTAGGAAGGGAATGACTAAGTCAAAGATTAGAACAAATTCCTTTCATTATCATACAACCTGCTTTGGAATTCTGTTCTCATATCAACCGAATCTTCCAATTATGTCTTATTGGTCACAACCTCTTCGAATGTGAAGTAAACGTTGTATTTAATGGAAATTGGTCTTTTGGATGAATATTAAAGATGATCATAGACCTTTTACACATTATCCAAAAAGATCAGTTCTAAATTAATATCCAAAATAAAGTAAGAAATAAAGATTAGAGCAAAGATCAGAAATTGAACTATGACTACTGATTTATTATTATCCTTTGAATTTAACAATTTTTATGAACGAAGATTCTCAATTTCTTCTTCATTTTCCTTTTTGTCTTGTTCTTATTGCTATTGCTATTTTTAGTCATTCTTGGTGGCACCTTAAGTAAAAGCAGACGGTGTAGCTTTGTTTTCAGAAGGTTTAGCTGTGATGGATGTATGTATAGCATTAGAATTAGGTTGGCCAGTCTGCAATACATTTTATCCACTGCCATTTGATCCATTTTATTATTAGGTTTTCTTTTTATCACTCCTGTCTTCTTCTTCATTATTCATTTCAAAAACCTCCTTGTTCTGTGTTTTCTCTACCTCAGGAGGTTGGACATTGGGCTAAGGTGGTTTATCCTCTTTATCAATTATTTCTTTCTTTTCATTTTTATCCTCCAAGAATTCAGACATATAATTTTCACATTTAGCAGCTAATTCCTTTATTTCTTAGATTGGAATGATACCAAACAGTGACATAACCATGTTATTTGTTTTATGCACTTAAAACACAATAGGAATGAGGATCATAGCAGATACCACTAAACAGAATATACCAACACCCATAATAACAAAGAAGGTGACTTAATAATTCTTGATTTCATCTGAGTAAAAGTCGAAGAATCTTTGGGCAATATTCTCTGACCCATTTCTCAATACGAATAGTCCATTTGTCATCACGTAATAAAAATTCTTTTAAGTATTGTCTACTGTGGTGACAGAACCGTTAAATGAAGCTGCCGAAGAGTTCCTGAGTGAAGAAGCTGATGTAATGATTTAGAATAATGCGTCATTGAATATATTGTCGTAACTAGAATAATAATAATTAAATTAAATACATTTTGGTTTCCCCAGATGTCAACAAAAACGAAACTTAATATGTTTCTAAATTAGTTGATCCAGTCATCCTTGCTTCCATTTTGATTCTAGCCTTTATGACATCAAATTAAACTACCTTTAAAGTATCTACCAGATAGGATAGCTAATCAATAATAACTTAAAATTACATTGGCCTTTATATACGTGTCTGCAGTTGCTGTAGTGTATCCATGTTTATCAGCCAGGTAAGTGCTGTTTCCTAACATTTACAGCAATCTAGTGTAGAAATTGACATCTGCCATTATATTGTGTCTCAGGTATGACAAATAGATGGCATCTGCACCTTCCTAAACATCTGAACTTTGAGTCATCCTATATCCCAATATCAATGCACTCAAAACAATCAGTATGAGCATAATAAACCATACAGTTCGTTTCAGAATACGGATATATTTTGGTTCTGTTTTTTCAGAAATCAAAGCTTTGAAATCTTTCAATTATCTCATATCATCATTTACTGATCCACCAGATAAATTGGATTCCCCCTCAGATGCATTTACATCTTCTTAGACTTACTATTCATCTTTCATAACAGTTTTCATTTAATTCTACTGTAATTCCTCAGCAGCTGGTTCCATCGATCTCTATTGTTTAACTTCCTCATTCTCATCAACCTCATAGAATCTGATAATTTATATTTTTTAATCGCCAAACTCTGTCTCATCTTAAACAAAAGCCTTGATCTTATATTTTTTGTATCTTTACTACTTTTACAACTTCTTACTCTTGGCCTCCTCTATTTTTGAATTCTAGACTTGTTATGATAAATCAACAGCAGTTTCTTTATATTGATGATTCTAATTGAGCATCTAACCTAAATTGGAATCTCCAATCTTAGACTGCATTTATGAAACTTATTATGGAGGTTCATATATATTTTCTTCCTCTTCCAATGACATTTCATCGTCACTTTCACCTCGTCCCAACAGGAAGTTTTATTGGAGTTAAGAAGTATCAATAGTAGTAACCAAACCTTGAGATTTGAGATCATCCTAGTTTTTAATATCCACTAATTCTGGAGCAATGGCATCAATAGTAAATTCATTGGTATTTGTTGAATTACCATAGACCAAAGAGGCTGGAATACCATATTTTGTATAACAGGATTGAGTAATTCCCAAGATGGCTTGACTATTAACATTGATGATAATGAAATGCCATTCTTAATCAATTTCTTATTCACTTCTCAAATATGAACTTCCAGGTTCGATGTCTTTCAAGAATCCCACTATCTAGATTCCTTCATCCAAATTAGGCAAAACCTTAATCATTAGTGTGCATGGCACCAAATAATTGTTCTTATTCTAAGCTAGCAATATTCTTTCCTATCCAATCACTTTGGAATCACTGGTTTCTAAATAGTTCTTCATGAATTGATCATGTTGATCTGCATATACTTTTGGCATGATTCTATTTACATTCTATCCAATTATGTCTGACTTAGAGAACCCTAGGATTCTAGTGATTTCATTGTTGACATTGGTAACCACACCTATATTATTATAATTGCCTGAACAAGTGATGATACAAGTATTGGCATTTTCACCATACTTCTATCTTTCTTAGTCTAATCCCAATTTGTTGACAGCAGTGCTCTTTTGTATATATTCAGCCTTTTCTAAGATTCTTTATCCCTCCACATCATCATTAACGATATCTTTCAAAAAGTTGCCGTATACTTGCAGACATTTGATATGGTTCTGATTCATCTCCTGCAGTTTTTTGTAGAAATCACTAGTGGATTCAACTGTGTTTGTAATTTTAGATCCAAGAGATTACAATTTCTAAATATCTGGGTTTTCTTCTAAGAGTTCTCTCCAAAATTCCATATGCAAAGTAACACTTTTTTCTATACTGCTGAGGAAATTGACAAACTTGTTTTAGAATACTACGATGATGTTGACGTCGACTCCTTTGTTTTCAGATGTCCTCATATCATTCTCGATCATTTCCTCTTCAATCAGATTCTTATATCTATAAATGCTAAATTCTTCTTGTAGATTTGGTTTATTTTCTTCAGTGATCATCAATTCAAATAAGGCTTTGAATTTATTCTTCAATTTCTCATGATGTATGTAAGAATTCAACAAATGCAATCTTGGACATTTTGGATACCTGTCCAGAGCATCAGATATAATGCTCTTTATTAATTGATACCATCTCTTCAATTTTTGAGGTGTTTCTTCATCCTTCAAATTGTCAGCTATCAATTGTTGACATACACAACTTTCACTTGGTTTTCCACAGTTCTTCAAATGCAATTTCAATACACCTTCCAAAACAATTCTGCATTGAAGAATTTCACGATTTTCAATTAAGTCCATCAGATGATTTATGTAGATCTCAATGTCGGTTTCCTTTTTGAATGATTTAATTGGGGTTCTCAGGAGCTGTTATTGTCGGAAAGTCAACAACTGGAAGTAAACTAAGGAAATCAAGGGCATTCCCAAAATCATATAAAACAACCCAATATCGTCGACTGATCCGAGATCAAGAAATGCGGTAATGACTCCAACCAAGCTAGCCCAAAACAGTAAGACCTCCTGTACGACTATGAAGGCATAGACGCTCTTGTTGTAGTAGGGGGGAGATCGGTATCTTTAGACCAACAATAGTAAATAGAATGCTGCCAATAGAGAGATGTACACTTTAGATATTTCGCCATTGAAATCGAGAGTCACGTAGAGTGGTAGCACGATTTTAATGAGTTGTCTGACCAATGGAGTTTTGGATTGGGGAGACGAGAATGGAATGGGGGAACTTGGGTTGAGTTCGGTGTAAAGCAGTCCAAAGTAGAGTACGTTGATTAGGAATAAGATCAAACCTATTATCTAGAATGATTTATTATGTTACAGCCAAGGAAATGTGCAGGAAGTGCAGGCCAGCATAGCATTCTAAGCCATCTGAAAAGGGAGCATCTGAATTGCAATAAATGGTGGCGATGAAGGAATTGAATATGGGGATTGTCAAAATGGTATTCAGGAGTAAGCCATACAATGAAAATATTTTTAGACAGTAGGTGAGGAAGGTGCTTGGCTTTCGCTTGTTCGATGTGAGTTTGAATGTGATTATGATTAGTAAGAATAACATGAGAATCTGAATGCCAAAGGCCTAGAGATAATAGACAAATCGCACTTACAATGTACATTACTATTAACAGCACGTTCACTCCACCGTTGAATATGATATAATTAACTTAAAAGTATTGCAATGCATTACGGAAGTACTCCAACCACACCGTCTTGAATAAAAATTCTAGGTTCGGATGAATCGAATAGTACAGCTAGATAATTTGTTAATTCAAAAAATACAAGTTGGATGAGCTCGATCAATATTAGGAACTTGAACAAGAATGGACTGCAAACCTAATTCTGCAGCAATTCATGTGTGAGTCCATAGGTCCAGGTTTTTACTCTGTTCTCAAACCGTTCCCAAATGGACTCGTCATAAAACACTCTTCGATTATTCATAATCATTTCGATATATAATAAAATATGATTAATAAGTAAAACCAATTACCTAAGCACCCTAACATCTCATTCAAATAATACTGTCAATAGTTCGTAAAAGAAAGTCCCAAAGCTAAACTCAACAAGACCTCCTATGTCTTGGGAGACCTACCACTAAACAAACTAAGAGAAAAGCAAAAAGAATAATTCAAATCTTTTATCCAAGATCACATTTCATTGACTCGAAAAATCAGAGACGATGCAGAGTACGATGCCACTATATACATGGGATTGACATCCAAATGGCAGAGAGCTAAAAAGGATTATTTCAAATAAGAGATCCCTCTTATCAAATGTGAATTGGATATGCGTCATATCAAATAGAATCAAGAGCTCAATTTCGATTCCTGGAGAAGGATCGATTAAGTGAGTTAAAAAAGAGTTCGAGGAATCTCAGTCGACTCAAACATGAAAAAAACTAATCGAAAAACGCACACAACCAGTTTTCGATTTTGATAATGGTCACTTTTCTATATATATATTTTGCTCATAACTCTTTTACATGATGTAATCAACAGTCAATTTATTTTATTTAATTAATTTATAATTCTAAAACAGTTTCCCCAATTCATTCTTTCCTGCATATCTTACATTGCATCTCCCCATGCCTACACTTGTAGAGAATCAATATTAAAAAGTGAATCTTTAAAATACTTACAAATTTGTGACGAAATAGACCTTTCTTGTCATCATAAGGTGATAAATTCTAATATTCGACTCTTATGTGATTTCAATATGAAGTCTCATTGGCATTGATGTGAAGAGTATTGATTAGCAAAATTGATTATAATTTTATATAAGTTTGAAGCCCATAAAATGAAAATTATTAAAAATTCGTTAAAAATATAAATGGGCAACGAACCGTCTTCTACCAATGGCAAGACTGATTTTCTCATTCATGATTCAAGGATCCTTTCTGAACCTACTTTAATAAATCAAATGCAATAAAATCAATGGAGAATTGGATTGCAACATCCGCATCTATTATAGACTTTGGGAGGTTAACCTGAAGGAGAACAATATAGATACTATTTTGAGATTTGTCCAATCACATTGGCCTCATTGCTATCAGAGAGATACGGAACAAAATAATACTTCCCAGAAGAAGATTTATAAGCATTACTATTAGGGATTGTTAGTGCTTTGAGTTTTCTCTAAGAGAAGGGGATCTCACATGGAGGTATTGATTCATCTTTATCATAAGATATTTGCACATAAGAAATATTTTTTGATTCAAATAGTTCTAGTTTTAAAGTTCTAGACTCCAATTTGATTAATGGAAGAGCAAATGCAATTCAAGAATTCATAAATGGTAAATTGAAATATTTGGCACCAGAAATCTTAATCCATCCCACCCAGCTAATGTCAGAATATTAATTACATAAAAATGATATCTGGTGTTTGGGCATGGTTATTTTAGAAGCCGGAACATTAAAATCAAATGATACATTATATAAAAATGGATTGCAACCAAAACTCATTTAAGATAGAATTAATGAAATTAATACTATATATGGAAAGCAGTTTGCAGAAAATATAAAAATGATGCTAAATTTTAATCCAAATGAAAGATTGGATTCAGTTAATTTATTTAATTTCCTCCTTGAATAATAGCGTATTGCAAATGAATCTGAATAATAGATTTAATAATAATAATTATTATTATTGTAATAATAGTAATAATAATAGTTATTAATGAAACAATAATAATAATAATAATAAGTAATGTATTAATAGTAATAATATTATTATGAATAAAAGATCTCTCATTAAAGTCCAGTTAATAGATAATAATAATAATAATAATCATAAAAGAATTTGTAATAAAATCAATATTTTTCTTAATAATAGTAGTTATAATAACAATTCTAATTTAATTAAACTCAACAATCATCACCCTTTAGGAACTAGATATAAATCTAACCACATATTAGCAACTAATAGCAAAGAACAAATTGCCATCAATAATAGCCTTCCTAAGACTTCCTGATGATACAACATGAAAGAACTGTTTCAATCGAAAAAATGCCTAGTAGAATAATTAAAAAAATCATATATCCAGATTGTAAAGTCGGCTATTAGGACGGTTCCCATTCATCCTCTCGTATGGGTATGAATTGTAATTTTATGTTTTAGTACAAAATTAGTATTGGCAATAAAAACACACTCCATAAAAAACTCAGAAACAATCAAGCCCACTCCATAGGTAACAAAACTCCCCCTATTAATCATAATTTATGTATCAGAAATATAATGTGATTGGCAACAAAGAAAATCAGGGTCCATTAAATACGAATGAGTAGATGAGATGGAAATAGGATATTGGGTAGTCGAAGTTGGTAGTCCAATAATATAATTAATAAAAACATTCAATTATTGAGGAACCGACAAGGAGAGTAATAGTTTAATCATAAGCTTTAAGAGATAACTTTGTGTGAATTTATTATATAAATTATTATTATAAGATGTTGCCAAAATTACATTAAAGTTCCTCTGTCTAGGCAGTGAGAACATCTGAAGATTTCAGTTTAAATGAAGTCAAAAGAAGATAAAAATAATTAGAGTTAGAATCTTAGACCGTTGAGAATAGAATCAAATAATTAAAGAAAGAAAATGAGAAACTGTCAAAAAAAGTAGAGATGGCAGAACAATTGGCTCTTGATGTGTATGCTTCACGACTTGCATAGAAGATGAAAGTAATTATTTCAGGTGTAATAAATAAAATAGAAAGAACAGAAATAGCATCAACTATCTCTGACTGATCCAACTAAATATTAGTAAACCCAATATGAGAGAATGCATCTCAAAAAGATGAAGTAGGATGTAAAGGAGATGAAACATTAAGATGCTTAATTGATGAAAAATTCCATTAAATTCGAATTGATGAGAACAAATGACGAGCAAATTAAAATTGCCTAAAACTTGAGGTTGAGAGCCACATTGAAGAAGGAAGAGGAAAAACTGTCATAAGCTGTTATTCAAGAAAAGTTATATGAGAAATAGCAGAAGGTGAGATTGGAGTAGGAGAGGGAGAGATAAAAGATAATTATGGAAAATGAAAAACATGAATACTCAATAAAGCAATTAGAAGCGTAGGAGTTGAAGTTAGTTGAAAAACTACAAGCAACATAATAAAGAGAGTTGGCTGTTAAGGAGAAGTTGATGGCAGCTACGAGATTGGCTCCTGAAGATTTTGATAGAACGTATTTAGGGGGACAATCTATTATTTGTGATCCAGAAAAACAGGTAAAAAATGCATATTAAGTAAATAAGGAATAAAAATAAGAAGAGCAAAAAGAATAGTAGGAATAATAGGAGGGCGGTTAATAAGGAGAAGGAGGATAGTCAGGAGAAGGAGGTTAAGGGACATAAACTGAATGAATTGATTTATAACGAAGAAAATCAGTATATATATTTGCATGTGTAATTTTCGTAATTCAAAATAATATTAATAAAATGGATAGATCAACTCATTCAAATGCTAGGCCTGCGAGTGGCAGCAAAGATAAAAATGACTTAGGGAAGAAGGAGCATGTCATTGCTTAGTTAGAACAGATTGTAATGGAACGTCTGAAAAGTACAATCAAGGATATTGAGGTAACTGATTTTTGATATTTAAATCAGGTCGAATAAGAGAGATAGATGAAGCAAAAACAAGATCAAGGGAAAAACGATTAAGTTGCTGTGGCCTTATGGTAAAAAATTAAGGGTTGGACAACTGATTAATCATTTAGTAACTGATTTAATTTAAATTTTTATAGAAAAAGCAGCAAATCAAATCACAGAAAATCAAAAAATACCACAAGAAGCAAGATAACGATTCGCTAAACCATTTTTGGATTAATAAAAGTTGATTATGAATATAGAATAAGACAAGTCAAAAGTTAAAATTAAATTAAACGAACACTATTAAACTTTGGCCAAGTCTACACAAGACAATCTTAATTCTGTTATAGCTAGTCTAGGTAGATTGGCATAAGCAGGTTGTTGTGGAAAAGGAGAAGCTTTGAGGAGTTTTGAAACTGAATTTAGAAAAATAGAGTTGGACTTTATTTAATGGTAAGCATTGCCAAATTTAGAAAACAACAATGTTGATATTTTCGTAGTTAAAACAAGTCTGAATTATGAAGAGTTTAGATAATTCCTAATTAAATCTTTAAATGATTATTTTCCAAGCGCAGCAGGAGAAACTAAGATAATTGAAAAACCTGTTGATAAAATAGTCTATGTGGATAAACCAGTTGATAAAATAGTCTATGTCGATAAACCAGTTGAAAAAATAGTATATGTGGATAAACCTGTTGAGAAGAAGGTCATTGAGTATGTTGAGAAGGTTAAAGAAGTTCCAGTTTATAGGGATCAACCTGTTTAAGATGATAGATTGAGAATTGCACATGAGATGCTCTATGGAATTGGAAGGCCTTAAAATGTCACTGAAGCATTAAATTTGTACTATGAATTGGCTGAAGTCAACTAAGATGTCAATGCCTTTAACATTATAGCCTAAGTGTTTTCTGAAGGCAAGATCTTCCCAAAAGATTTGAACAAGGCATACACCTATTGGGAGAGGAGTGCTGCATAATAAAATGCGGAAGGTCTCTATAGAATAGGTCGTTTGCTATTAGATTAAGTAATTGACGGATAGATGTTGTCTCAAGGGAAACTATAGACAAGAGATGAATAGAAATCGGAAGCTGTTGTATTCTTTTAATAGGCCAGTGAACAAGGTCATTTAGATGCTCTAGTAGATTTGGGAGAGATATTTGAGAATGGACTCAAAAGTGAGGATGGTGAATCATGTATATTATTAATCTCATAAACTTAGATATACAAGAACCTAATTTGGAATCAGCTGAGTTCTATTACACTTAAGGAAAGAAAGTCAGATATCCCAGGGCCATCAATGCATTGGGACTCTTCTATTACAGTCATACAGACTTTTAGGAGAAGGTCGTGGGAAACAACTATCGCAAGGCTCTCAAATATTTTGAAATAGCCAAGGACCTTGGTTATGCTAATTCACTCTATTGGTTGGCATAATGTTATGAATATGGATATGGAGTAGGAGTTAATTTGGAATAGGCTAAAAGTTACTATAAGGAAGGAGCTTTGAAGGGGGATGTTGCATGTAGACTCCAATATATGCACTATGTGATGAAGGATTGTAGCAATTCAGGAAGATAGGAGGATTATTTGTTCGCTCATTAATACTTGATTCAAATCATGATATAGAACCCAGAAATTACAGAGGTCTATTTCTATTTAGGACATCTCTATGAATGTGGCTTTGGAGTTTAAAAGGATCCTCAAAATGCTATTCATTATTATTTTAAAGGAGCTAAACTAAAGAACCCTACTTGCATGACCAAATTGGGAGATTGCTATCATAGTGGATTTGGTGTTCCTCAAAATTAGAGAGAAGCTCTTAAGTTCTATAAGGAGGCTGCTGAATTGAAGGATTCAGAAGCATTAATTAATATGGGTCTCATCTATGAATAGGGATATGAAGGAGTCAGCATAGATTTCGCCAAGGCTTTCAATGCTTATGAAGAGTCCTCTAAATTGGGTAATGCTAAAGCTGATTTCCATTTGGGATTAATGTATGAGGCTGGGAAATATGTGAAAAAGGATGTCAATTTTGCTATACAAAGATATTAGAGAGCTGCTCAATTAGGATGCCAAGAGGCCAGAGACCTACTCAAAAAAAAATAGATTCCCATGTTGTATGATGATTCAGGCAGTGGAAATACCTTCCAAGATCTTGGTATGAAATTAATATCTATTTTAGGCATTCATGCTGCCAATAGAGATGCCATTATGTTAAATTAAGTTATTCCCTAGATTCAAAATCCTTTAGTTATTAATTAAGGTAAAAAAACTAATTAATCCATCATTGCTTACAAATCTCAGCATTAGGAAATGGGCGAAGGAAAAATGGTCAGTATTTTAGCTCATCCAAATGCAAGTCAATCTAATTACGTGCAAAGCCAATATTAGAAACCAGGATTTTAGCATTGAAATCAAAGCAAATGATAATTTTATATTATAATTAGATTAACAATATTATGTTCTCCCTCTCAATAGATTAACATTCTATTCAACGTAAACTCCATTGAAAAGCATACATATAACTTAGTAATTAAATAAAATTTCTCTTTATTCTAAACAAATATATATATATTTCAAATGTTTCAAATTATTGAATGAATCATAATTAGATAAATTTAAAACTTATAATGTAGGAATTAGAAGAGTTCTTAGAAAAATAAAAGGATTTAAACATCAAAATGCTGACAGACATCCTCCAAACCTAAAGTCTCATCCAACATAATTTGTCTATTGGATTAGACTCTCTAAAAAAATGCGTCGAAAATTTACCTACTAAAATTGTCCCTAAACAGGGGTTGTAATCCAGAATAACCATACATAGACAGAAGTATCAGGTTAATTCTACTTAGTCAACATCAATTTATTTTGAGTCAATTGAGTCATAAGAATTTTATATCATACTTGAATTTAGAAGAGGAGATCAAGGAAATCTATAGAGACAGAATGTTCAATCTGTCCGTTAGTTTGAGAGACATGAATGGAGATCTTATACAGGATGAAGACTGTCCTATATTCTTGAGAATGTAAAATTACCTTACAACTCAGATACACATCAGAGAAATTTCCAAAGGAAGTTGATTCAAACATTAGAGGCAAACCAATATTAAAAGGCTAAACAAAAATACTTATCAGAGGAAAAGCTGAATTTTAAAGAATCTCAATCACTGAAGTTTTAACATCACATAAATATTATATTAGGTTTCCTCTCATTTCCCTTCAGGAAAATTTCTTTTAGTGATATTTTCTGAGAAATTTTACATCAAACCCTTCATAATTGATAATTTAATTGTTAAAGCCAAAAAATTGCTCAAATGAATTATTATAATTTTATATAAAAATAGAATAAGAAGTTGTTTTATTTATATTAAAATATTTCTCTTAATAAAAATCTTATAATAAATTGCAATAAAAAATTAATTAATTAAAATTTTGATTAAAATAAATTAAATATAGAATATTTATAGAAATGTCAATTTGAGGAACTTAACTTTAGAAAAATAAGATTAACTATTGGATTTTTATGATAATGTTCGGTTAGTAGAGCTAAATAAAATAAGCTTTGTAAAGTTGATATTTCTAAAGCCAAATCAGCAAATGTATTAATAGGGATATTTATTAATAAATATAATTATTCATTTTATTTGAAACTTGAATAACTTATCAATATATTATGTTTTAAAAAGTCTGAAAGTTTTTGTATTATTTCTCTTTATTACTTTTACAGTTCTCTATAATTTACTTAACAACTATTCTTGACATATCAATAAATTTAGTACAAGTTCTTCCAGGGAGGAATTTTGGGATATAAAAAATTTTGTCCAACAAATTATCCCCCTCAAAAATGATTTAAAGTAATAATTTTAGTAAGAACATTTTCCTATAGAAAACCAAAGAGTGCATGTAATGAAGAAAAAATAGAGCTCTTTTTTAGATTACAAAAAAATATTTATGTAAAGAGATTTTGAATTGTGAATGATTCTATAAAAGAATTGAATATCAAAGTGCAAATTGATTCAGTTAATTACAGAATATAGAGTGTTTTGTAAAATCGATCATAATCCTTATACTTTACTGTTATGCTGTCATATTAGTGATAAAATAATAGATGCATTTATTTCATTAGCGCGGTGAGCGAATAAATGTAGATTGTAAATATTGATAGAAAATTTGTACTTTAAATTACAGTATTTTATTTTATTTTAAAAAGAATAAACAATGAAATCGAAAAAGAAAGAAAAGTTATTAATAAAAGAGCTTGATGCTATTAGATCATTAAAAAATGAAAGCATTGATTTGAGAGAGTTGGAAGATAAGATGGTTAAACTAATCGAAAAAGCAGCTCAATTTTATCAGGATTAATTGGATAATAATATGGCCTAATATTATTTTGAATATGGGAGCATTTTAGTTTAAATATTGGAGTAATCCTAAGATTCTGTTGAAAATTCATTGAATTGTGTCGAGATATCCAGAAATGATAGGGAATTGAAAAATACATAATTGGCTTTTGAGAATCTGGAAGCTGCAAAAACAATCATACGAAATAGGTTGGATAAGCAAAATATAGAGATGTATAAATTATAAGACTAATTGCAATGTAATAACTTAAAGATATTAATAGAGATTAGATAGAAGATCAATGAGACGGGATTAGAAATGAGTTTGATTTTGATTAGAATAGGAGACCTCTAGACTTGGAGAGAAGATTATAAGGATGGATTATTAAATTTTAATGCAGCATTAGACATATTGAAAAAGTCTTACAATTATAAAGAACTTAGTGCAGTACATTTTAAGATAGGGAATGCGATACTTTTATAAAATGAAAATGGGTGTGAAAAACTGAGTTTGAATCACTTAGAACAATCCTTTCGTTATTGTTATTAGCAACTCTACAGTAGAGAATGTGATCTAGATTTGAGCGAAAAGAATTTATCAAGGGTTGTTCTTGATAATGATTTATTAAAAATGCTGGTAGAGAAAATGGAGGACACCTATATTTAGTTAAATGAAGTGAAGGCCTGTTAGAAGGAGATAGAGAAGTGGAAAAGGCTAGAACCAATTTTATAACAGGAAATATAATACTTAGGAAAAATTAATAGATAATCAAACGCAATAAATGGAATTCAAATAAAAAGAAAAATTTGAACTTTATTAATTATTATTTTCTGCTTTTCATTATTAATTATTAAATCTAATGAATATAAATGGGCTTGAAAAAATTTGTAATTAAGCTACAAATTTTTGGAAATAATAATTCATTTCATCATCTAAATAAGATTAAGACGTTTCAACTAATGTTGGGTCGAATATCTTAGAGGAATAATCTATTTTTGAGATATCTGCCAAAAAATCTGAATAATATTTCTTTCCTGATATAGAAAGATATCACTTAAATATCGAAAAATGTGAGTCACAATTTCCTTAAAGCGTGATCCAACAACCTCCATAATTAGAATTGGAAGACAATTATGAAGCCAGTTGTTCGCAATGCTCTGATTGTTAGAGCAAACGAAGAGATAAAAAAAAATCAAAATCAAGATCTTGCAAGTCAAGTATTCATCTTAATTATATTTTTAAAGCAAAATAGAGGTTTACCATATCCGAAGAAGCATTCATTATGGAATAAACAAGAAAGGGAACTAGCTTCACAGATATTGCTTAATAAATTCCAGGTTCAACTGTGAATTAAGTCAAACATCATCTCCTGAAAAAACTTAAAATTTGTAATAAAAATACTGATCTTTAAGGAGACAATATTACTGAAATTATCTTAAAAATTTAATAATTATAACAGTAATCAATATTAATATTTTAGAAATGAGAACATAGACAATGCTATTAAAATTCAAGAACTCAAATAACATATATCTTTAGTAGAAAATCATTTGCATCAAACTAAGCAAATCATTCTTTAAAAATATATGATATTATTTCAATAATAATGACAATGAGTAGATAGATATCTTTTATATTTAATTATTTAAGTAGAAACACACAAATATTTCATAATATATTTTATTTCTTAAATTTCAATTTCTAAGAATGGAAGTTATTTGATCCTTACAAAAAAAAGAAAATTACATGAAAAACGTAAATCTCCATATACTATAAAGAATTACAACTTTAATAAGGGTTTGATATATTATCTTTACAATGTTATTTTTTAAAAATAGTGAAATAAATTTCAGAAGAATTCTAAATAAACTCTTTTGGTGAAATCATTAGTTCTAAGTTTTGAGAAGAAATCCTTTATTTCATTTTCGTTGGTAAAGAATCTACTTTCTGATGAGACTTAGGCTAATTATTTGAGATAAAGCATATTCATATTTTAGTTGGCTATGTTGAAAACTAGTAAGTGAATATTCTTTTTTTCGATTAAGCTCTTCAATCTATCTATTGACATTTGATTATAATTATGAACTCCCTCGCTAAATATACAAACGTATCTAATCGTATGCTCATCTTTTTCTTCGTCAATATTATCAATATCAATTTTATATTAATTCTATTAAAGATTATCTTCAATTCTTACCATATTTTCGTTTAAACTAACATTATCAAACTGCTATTCTTCATATTACTTCATTGCTTAGCTGAATCCTCCTGAAAAGGTCTTGCCCACCCTTGGAGAACTAGTTTTACATCTAAATTCCATATCAGAGCATCTGAATTCCTCCTATTCTATTTGTTATTTAATCTAATTAGATTTCAAATGCAAAGACAACTGTTTGCTTTATTCAGGCTTGTCTTTCTCAAATAGGGATGCTATAGTAATTTCCAAAGCTGAGAAGATGTTGCCCTCACCTCCTGGCTTTATCAATACCTTCTCTATTGTAGATTCTAACAGCTTTTTGTATGTTCCCTTTAATTATAAAGGAAATATCTCATGCAAGGATTCATTGAATGCATATAATCCAACAAATGAGTCATCATTTAACGACTAGACTACATTCTGACACATGTGATGTGACAAGGTAAATTGTTCAGTCGTCATTTCAGAAGAGTAATCAAGTAGAAAGATTAACTCGAGTCGTTTCAATTAGTTTTATTGTGAAAATTTGATCAAACAATTATGATCTACATTGCATCTTTTAAATATTTTAGTTAAGGTCTTCAATACAAATTTCTGAAATCCCGGATCATAGTGGCCTTCAGCTTTTAGAATAGAAATAAATTTATAGCAGGCTTCAACATACTCTCCTCTAATCATTAATAATGACGCCTAATTCATATATGTATATTACTTCTAAGCCAGTTAGTTTTTCCCTTAGGATTTCTAAAGGAATTTCTCGAAAAATGTCAACAAAATCACAAATTTCAAGTTGCTGAATTTCAGTTTTATTGGCTTATAATATTTTTAGTCTTGCTTCAGCTTCCTCCAATTCCAACCTTGCTTTTTCTAGCATTCCAGCTCTGGCAAAACAAAAAGCCTTTTTGGTTAGAATGTTTATTTTCATATATTAAATAGAAAATGAATCAGGTAGATTCTAGAGATCATCCATTATATCATTAAACTATTTAACGCTTTCATTTAGAAATGTTGATTGGGACTTCGTCATACTATAATTGTAGAGAATGCAAGCTAATTAGTACTTACGAAAAACAATTTTGTGTTCGATAATAACTTACTTTTTTGAGTATTCTTCATTACTATTTATTTTAGAGATTGGACTAAGTTTCTTTGGAGTTCCCAAATTATCTAATCGTTCACTTGGTAAATCGGAATTTTCTTCTCTAATCGGATTTTTTTCTTCTTAGAGAGGCTTTCTTAGCCAATTAGAAGTTTATCTTGGTGTTTATTGACGCTAAAGATGCGCTTCGGATTCAATAGAACTCTTTAATTAAGTAATTTCATTTTAAGTTTTTAATTTTTAAGTAGTTGCTCTTCTGACAATTCCATTTTAAGAATTTTATATTACTTTGGTTTTACTCTCCAAATCTTTAATCACTTCTTTCATCACCTTTTCCTCTTGTCTTTGGAATTTCTATAAAACATTATTTTTCAATCTTAGATATAATTTAATTAGTTATTAATCATCTTAAGGTTATGCTGCTTGATTTGCATATTATTCCATTTCTTTTAGACTTTGTAGATCTTGATTAGCTATTAGAACTGATTCCTCCTATTCATTCATGGCTTCTAGATATCTTTGATTTCTCATATGTATTTTAGCAATATTATTGGCACAAATACCAACAGCAGGGTTGTTATAGTATTTTTTATAGAATCTCTTAGACATACTTAAGATGATTAAAGCTTCAGCTTCATCCATATCTTTAGATCCCTATAATAGTTTATTATTTGAATATTTAATACTATTCAAATAGTTGATAATGACTTCATAGAATTTCCTTATTTCTTTGTTGTTAAATAGATCCTTATAACTCTCTAAATTAAAATCCTGAACTTCGAGATACTTCATATCAACCTTCGTCAATTTAATCAATTAATTAATAGGAACCTCTAGAGAAAGTGCAATTACTACGCCTTTCCTCCAGAAATAGAAAATTAATACTACATGTAAGGCACAAGCAATAATGATTTCATTCATTAAGACTGTCGTTGCTTGATCATTTTGACCTGCCAGTTGTAGGTAATATTGCAAAGACATCGATTGCAAGTAGATCATAGAGCATTTAGTAATTATTTCTTTGGTCAAAGTAATGTTAGGGTAATTTGGATGAGCAAAATAATAGGAAGAAAAAAAGACAACCCTTTGTTCTCCCATTCCATCATATAGCATTCTCCATTGCCTGAATTCTATAGGGACTGTAACTAATGTGTAGAGTTAATCAGTGAAGTCACTGGTTTGATTTGCCCAAATTTATAAAGCATCTTCTAAAGTGCTATTGAGTAGTTGTCCATCAGAAATGATATTAATATTCCCATTTGTTAAAAATGAATTAATTACTGGTCTGCTCGAATTAATTATTGCAAGTTCTCTTTTCTTTTAGGCATGCAATTTGCATTCATATCCATCTTTGCCAGCTCTCATTCTCCAAACATCATTCTTTAAATCCAACTTAGGAAAGGCAATCTGTGTGGAATATTAAGAAATATAATCATAGCAATCATCGTATGCCTTACAATTGGAAATAGAAGCATCATACCAATTTAGAGATAAGTTAGCATCTTCTCCTTAAAACGATATGCCCAATCCATTTTGACATAAGAAGTGGAAATGATCAAAGGCATTATTTTTGACATAAATTAGTATCAATTTTGACAAGGGTGAATAATACTTTAAAAGTTCATACTATGCAGGATGGTTTCTTTCCAGTATTTACAAACTAGTAACATTACCAAAATGCCAATCGATTTCAAGCAAGCTCAGATCATCTGATTATTAATAATCTTCGATGTAATTTATAATATTTGAGATTGCATAGAGTGAATTGATATTAGGTCTATTGGATCTTCCATAGTAATACCTGGCGAATCTTATTTTGCTCTAATCTAAAATGATTGACTAATACCAAAGAAGTCTCATTATAAATTCCCTGAGAGAGTTTCTCGCTCTCAACTCTATATTCTTCATCAAAATATTCACCTAATAACAAAACCAGACTAAACAGAAAATAGTAGAGTGATAAAAACACAATCATTAAGATAAGCTTAATTCTCAACTTCATTAAATTTAATATATTATAAATTAGAATAAATTATCTCAAAGCTCTTATTTTTACTTCTTAAAATTTTGATTTTTAGATTTGATATCGACCTAATTGATGAATGATCCAAAATCTTTGATAAGAATTTACTATTCTCTAAAGGAATTTACATATGATTTTCTTAAAAATCCTCATCGAAATTATTTAGATTTTTATTATAATTGGGTAGATTCTTTAAATAAAAAAATCCGATTTATATATATAGATTATTATAAATTGATCATAATTTAGCTTCATTTTAAATTGTATACATTTCCATTACTTCTTCCTCTTACTTCTTTGAGCAGTATTTATAAAGTAATATAGTCAACACGAAACTTAATACTATGAAAATTGCAAGAAGCCACCAGATGTGTTCTTTTTTATTATTATTTGAATTTGGACTAATTTGTTAATCTTACCGATCATCAGATTGTGTTGTAACATAAATAGAGACTTGCTTATTCTCAAACAATGAATTAATTTTAGAATGATTGAGTTCACTAACATTGATTCTATAAAGAATTTTATTTGTATTTTGAATTACGTATTGATCATATCGATACTCATAAGTGTTATTTATTCTACTTTGTACAAAATATGATTGAGGTTAGAGTTTTGGATCAGGGTTTCTTTGAGTTTTGAACTATTTAATATCACATTGATAACTAATTTCAAAGAGATCATTTTTTGTGATATTTGGAATTACAAAACCCTGATTAAACTGATCCCAAATGCCAGTGGTATTTTAATCTTAAATGATGCTTTTGTTGTCACTTCTTATGATAGTTAATTTAGAAACTGAATAGCAACCACCAAAATTAAGAATGAGTTCTTTTTCTCCATCCCACTTTGCAATTAGATATGGTTTAGCTAAATCAATTAAAGATAGAGAAGCCATTAGATTTCTATTAATGTTACCATACCCTTGTTGATATTTACTTAGTAGTTTTTAATCATAGAAATGTAGAGGAGGCCAATTTTCTAACATTTGATTAGTGGTTTCAATAGTTCCTAAAGTATTACTTTTAGGCTATTTTAAGAATCCAGCTTCAATTAAGTAAGTCAATGCTCTAGCATTCGAGGATGGTTTTACATATTCGTCTGAATTTCTATTGCCACAAGTATTGGTTTTATCCCATCCAGCTGCATATGCCCAATCTTCATATCCACCATTAACTTCATATACTAAATCAGTCATTCTGCCTATTTTATATTGTTGGATTTGTAGATTAGTATTTTCAGCAGCAATATCTTTCATAATCCTTGCAATCATTTCCATAGCACTATCATCCGGTGATTCAGTGGCCATTCCATTTTATTTATGACTATACGTTCCCCATGAATAAGAGATACTCTAAAGTAATAATTTAGAATTTTACATTATCCCCTCCGTGAAAAGTGATCCCTAATTAGATAATATACTTGTTATAAACTTAGGCTAAACCTCGAGCAGCGTTAGTCTAAAAACAGATGCTAGATGGATTGTCAACATTGAAATCTCGGTTAGCATCCTTACCCATTTCCTCCCTTACTTTATGGTAATAGCCATAAGGATTTACCATAGGGTAGAGTAGAATTCTCCTATTATTCAAAAATTCTAATTTTGATTCACTTGTTAGATATTTGGCCAATTCTGTGACTACATTTTGTCCAATCACCTCATCTCCATGAAAACCTGCAGCTATTAACACAGTTGGTAAATCAGTGGCATTAAAATTCTAAGCAAATTCGGCATAAAAAAATTGGCATTCTTCATCTCCGCAATCCAGATATCTCAGGTTATCTAGATTCTTGGTTGGATAGTAGAGTCTAAAGACATCAGTGTGATCTATTTCTAGTTTTTTGAAGGTGTCTACGATTTCCTGATATGAGTAATACTAATATGCTGAAGTCAATGAGAATAGTGTTAGAAATAATGAATTCATTTTATTTTAAATATTATACTACTCTTCATTTCAAAAGGAATAACAAATTAATATCAGATAGATTTAATTCCAAAATGTAATAACTAATAATAATATCTATAAAACCTGTTTTTAGGTATATAAATGGCTCCAAATAAAATGTTAAATATATATTTTGATCCTTCGATAAATCATTATAAAATTAATTTGCTGCATAAATTTAATTAATGATTGAGGAAGAATACAGACCTGAAGACAAGGCTTCCTTCAAAAAGAAATACAAAGTATTTTAGACTCTTGCTTCAATGATTCGATAAAGAGGTTATTTTGAATCCACTCCTGCTAAACTTGTAGAGGATGAGTCTTTCGAAATATTTGAATCGAAATATCGCGATAATTTACCAGAGAAAATAGTATGTTTCAAAGTAGACAATTTCATTAATAATTGAATAGAGAGAGGATGAGACAGACAAATTGCTTATCATCTTTTACACTAAATAAGCAGCTCTCACTTTGGATGAAGCAAAAAAAATCGTTTAGGATTTCTCCAACAAGTAAGTTAAGAGGCTCATCATGTTATTTCCAACTGACCCTTTTGCAACAAAACCATAAGTGGTGGATAAAAAGGCAAGAACTTTTATCGATCAAGTTAATTCCCTTTAAAATTACTCATTTGAGTTGTTTGGAGAAGATGATTTAGTCTATGACGTTACCAAGCATGAATTAGTGCCTCAACATATTATCTTGAATGAAAGAGAAAAAGAAGTAAAACTATATGTGATTACACTTAGTTATTATTAAAAAAATATGGGTTAGTAGATAATCAATTGCCAAGGATTCTACAAAGCGACCCAATTGCCAGGTTTTTGGGACTCCATCATGGAGATGTAGTAAAGATCATAAGAAAAAGTGAAACAGCAGGATTATATGTTACCTACAGAATAGCCATATGATTTGAAATATAAATTAGCTAATGTTAAATACCATTTAAGTGTCAAAGTTATAATTCATTTTAAGGCCATGTGTACAAATTTAGAAGATTCAGAACTAAATTTCACATGTTTTGGAGTTATTTTTTCATCAGAACTCGAACTATTAAACGAATCTCTGTTCTTTAAAATACCCTTTCTCTCTATTGATTCCTTTGAAATATTCAACTAACTTGTATTTTTATTAATAGAAGCATCTCGTTAACGACAAAATTTTGATTCCTTCTAAACTGCCTTAATATCTCGTTGTTTAAGTCTTAATGCAGAACCAATCTCCTAATCCAGCGGACTATCTGACTATATTATTTAACTAGGAGGACTTTTTAATGCCTTCTCAACATCTGCTTTGGTTTTTATATCCAAAGTCCCCAACCGCTCGTAATTTTCAAATAATGAAACAAAATTCGATTGAATCTCCAAGTCTAAATCACTTGACATTAATTAAAGATAATATTTAATCTAAAAACCATTATTAAAGATTAGAAGAGTAAACTTAAATATTGACATACAAATGAATAATTATCAATTACAATTAATATTTTATGGTAATTAATTTTGAATGCTTCCTATGTCAAATAATTTTGAATAATTTAATGTTTAAGCTTTTATGAAAATCAACTCGCTATACTTCTTCAATTATTTAAGCATTTTTAGTAATCTAAATATGTGCAAATCATATGAATTAGGCAAAATAAACTTAGATCAAGAGAAGAATCAATTTTTTTGATATAGAATTTTTCTTCTTTATCACAAAATCCCATAACAATGTAATCAACCAAATCACTCGCTAATTAATATAAATCTAACAACTCTACAAAAATAATAGTACGAAACCTATCTATCCAAAAGAGGGAACTTTACTTATGCCTTAAATTATTCACAAATACTTACATGATAGACAAGCAAAAAGGAACATTCAATTCCTATAATCATTAAAAAATACCAAAAGTCTCTAAACTTTATAAGGTCACTTCAATGTTAAATTTGATTCATAAATGTCTTCAAATAAAACCTGACTCCCTTAAATATACCTATTATAATAATTCTACCATTCATTTTAATCAATCAATTTCAACACCTTCTAAAAATTATTTTAATAACAATTATATTTCTCCTTTAATTGTTATTCACTTATTTCATTTTCACATTATATCACTATAAAGTAATCAGAAAGTATTCTTCAGTAGTTAGTTTTCCTAGCAATATTATTATTTTATTTCAATTTCAATAAAGCAACATCCATTAATATCAGTTGATTATTAATCTTTTAGCATCAGAAATCATGGACAAGGGTAATGTTATAAAAGCAGTAGGGAGACTAAATAAAGATTCTGTTTAGGCTAATTTTTCAGGTTCATCATTTACAGTTAATACTATTTTTTGCCACTGATGTTAATCAAACTATTTAGTGCCACTAGGAAGTGATTGTAAATTCAGCATAATCGCAATTTCACCTTTATCCTCCCCCATCAATAGAAAAATATATTAATTTGTTCCAACTGCCATTCTCATTGCCATTTCAAGCTTTTGTTTGATAAAGGGATGCTATAGAAAGAATGATACCCTGCTTAAATAGTAATTGGCTTTTAGTATAAATCATCACAAGTAAAAGCATCTTTCAGAAGATTATCTTCTTGAGAGTACTTCTCAACAGAAGCCATTTAACATATTCACTTTAACCTACCCGCAAAATGAAAAATAAAAAACGTCATTGATAATAATTTATATTATTAAAAATTCTATAGCAATCACTATTTTGTTTTCAATTTCCATTATTAGACAATTAATGAATTAGAGAAATAATATCACAATTTTAAACTATTCTGAAATACTATACAATATGACTTAGCTAGATAGAATTTAGAAAGGGATCAAAAGTTTTTTTATTACTATTTACTTTTAATATTAATTGTAGGTCTGAAATAAAAATGATAATATGAAAACTCTTAAATTTTATTCTACATTTGGATTACAAAGATCAATCATTCTGATATATTTTATATTATTATAAGCAGATGTAAATAAGTAAAATTACAAAAAAAATTTCTTTTTTAAGTCTTTTTCTCCTAAAAATATAAAAAAATATATTAGATAAATAAAAATAAGTGATTATTTCTAAGTTTCTAAAACCCTTAACCAAATGGGTTTTCATTGTATAATCATCTAATGAATTCTTGATTGTTTTAATAATTAATGAAATTATAAAATTTTATGCAATATAAGTATAAAGAAGTAATTTTCTGATTAGAAATTTTCTATTAGATAAATGATTTAAATTTTCAGAGTGATTTATGTCTGTGGTGGGTTCGGCATCCATTAAGAGTGTGTTAATTCATTTTAAATTGTTAAGTAGATATTAATTGTTGAAATAAAGTAATAATATAAAGTGTTTTTTAAGTTTAGACCAAAAACCTTTGGATTTTATTCTAATATAAGTTATAAAATATTCATATTTTACTTATACCCTAAATATTCTATTTTAATTTAGACTTACTGAATTCCAAAATTAGTGATGTATTTCGATTAAAGCGATTCCTATAACTTCTATTAATAATTAGGAAGCAGAAATTTTATTAATATTTTGAAACGCTGTATAAAATAGAAGAAAATCATTTTTAAGAAAATATTTTTAGAAGTAAGTTTATGGAATATATAATTATTATTTTCAAGAACTATAACTAAAGTATAATCTCGATTAAAATTTATTAATAGCTTTTACGAATATTAATAGCACTTAATTAATTAATTATTCTTAAAAGCTACTAAAACAGTACTTTGTTAATGATAATCAATTTCTACTCCAAATACTAAAAGTATTACTTATATACCTTTAACTAATGAAGGATCTATATATATGTTCATGAATTTGGTTATATAATCTAACAAGGAAACTGAAATCTATTTTTTTATATTTTATAATTACACAGTACTTAAGTTATTTTTATTACTAAGAATTGACGCATTTATTAATAAAATGAGCAAACAATATAAGAGCATAAACGATTTGCCAGATTGGGTTAAAATGATCACAGGTGGTATTGCAGGTAGTGTAGCAGAGGCTATTACCATTCCTATTGATACAGCTGTATGTTATTTATTGATGTTTCAACATAGAAGGTGCGTCTCTAAATCCAAAAACCAGATGCTAATGGAAAATACAGATATCACGGATTGTTACACACAACTCGTTAAATATATAGTGAAGAGGGAGTTTCAAGTTTGTTTAAGGGTCTGACAGCAGGTATTCAGAGACAATTGGTTTTTGCATCTATCCGTATTGGATTGTATGAACCTGTAAGGAATAATATTGAGTTTCAAGATGCGTGATTTCTTCTGTGGAAAAGATTTCAAAGGAGACCCTCCTCTGTCAAAAAAGATCTATGCAGGTCTAGCAACAGGTGGAATTGGTATTTCAGTAGCAAGTCCATTTGATGTGATAAAGGTGCGATTTTAAGTGGATGGTAATCTACCAGTTGAACAGCGTCGTTATAAAAACTTGACTGATGCATACATAAAGATTTACAAGCAAGATGGGTAATAGATATATCGAGATTTATAGGTTGCATGGATTTTGGAGAGGAGTAACTCCAAATATAATAAGAAATGCAGTGATAAATTGTGCTGAGTTGGCTACATTTGATCACATTAAGGAATCTTTAATTAAGACTGGGTTATTCCATGAAGGATTAACATGTCATTTTGCTTCGAGTGCTTGTGCAGGATTCATAGCAGCTGTAGTTGGATAACCAGTGGATTTGATAAAGACAAGAGTTATGAATCAAAATGTTGGTGTTTTGACAGTTGTGAAGAATATCATAAAAAATGAAGTAAGAATTTTAATCTATTATGAATAATAGGGACTGTTAAATCTGTATAATGGGTTTTCAGCAAATGCAGGGAGAATCATTACATGGAACATTTGCATGTTTGTTACATTAGGATAGGTTAGATTGTTTGCATTAAATAATTTCTATAAATCACCTGAATGATCTAATGTTATATATAAATCATGAAAAATAATTGAATAGGTTTTCAATTGGTTCCAATTAAAATAAATTAATTTTAGAAATTTCTAATATTTTTTAGAGTCCTTTGAATGTATCTTTGCTTAAGTAAACATTTAGTCGTTTTTACGATTCTTAAACTGGGGTTTGAGCCTTTTGCTTATCTAATAGGATATCTATCCAGCACCCTTGAATGGAGGCAATATCCAAGGTTTTATAATGAGAGAAGTTTTGCAATAAAAACTAAATCAATCGATAGAATAGATACCTTAATGTCCTTATGAGTAATTGTCAATGATTTGATAATGACTTTGTCAACAAGAACAGTTGGAAATTTCATCGAAGATTTCAAATCGAAAGCATTTTCTAGTATGATTGTCTTCAATTTCTTGTGATTTGTTAAGTCTACTCCTTTTTTGAAATCCAAATAGAGCACTTCTAAGTCCAATTATTATTATAAAAAGAAGTTGAGTGTCTCTACTATTCGAGCATCCACAATAGTAATTTTCAAGTATAGTTTCTTAAGTTTCAGTTCTATAGATATCAATTTCTCTATGAGTTAATTTTGATCGTTTCTCACTTCTAATTTTATACAGGTGATTTTGTGTTTCATTAGTTCAATTAAAGCCAAATCAGAAATTTGTTGTTCCTTAATTATTATTTCCTCAATTGATGAATTTAATAGAATTTCTTAAACTTCCTAAGGTATTTATGGATTATTAATTTCCCTGAAATCAAATTTCAATTCTAAGGCTCTGAGTCCAGTATTTAATTTCATAAGGTCAGCAATATCTTCATAGCATCGAAAGCACAAATGAGTAATTTCTCTGATTTATGGTCTCTTCTTTTTGCCCACCAAAGAAGTCATTTAAACTCGCTTATATAAACATGGATATATTAAATATTTTAGGTTGGTGCATTTTGCTAAGTGTAAATGATTAAGTACCTATAAATGGCTTGAAAGCTTTCATTTTAGTGTTTTGTGCTTAAAAATTTAAGGATTCTATTGATTAAATGGAATAATAATTAAACATCCTACAAACAAAGCGACACATCAATTTTTCTTTTGGTGTTAAGAAAGCAAATATTTTACAAAACACAATCTTAGAAGATTCAACTAAGCATTTCTTCTTTACTCTTGTCTTTCTAATTTTCTTGCTTATTTAATTCATAATATTTATAATTATATCAAAATTAGTGCAATTTTTAAACTACCTTCTTAAGATTTGTAAAACAATCAATATACCAATTATCCATTTCAAGAGCCATAGAATATTTACAATTGAAGAGAAAATCCGCAATGCCATTTTCATATGTGTTTGTTATTTTTTATAAACACTTTTTTTTCCTTGTGACTTCCCCTTCTTCAAACTTTATTCTATGCATACTTGACCTTAACATTCGGGTATTTCGTGAACACTTTTAAAAGCACTTTCTTTATTAAAGGATTATAATAGGATTCAATCGATTGTGACCATTTATCCTGTATTTCAATTTCCAATTTCTTAATTTGATTCTTCTTATCTATTAATATTAATTATTATGGATTTAATATTGATAATTTTTACACTTGGGTACTTGGTGTAACATGCTGGGGCTTACTTCTTGATTAAATACATTTATGAGAAAAAGAATATTATAGGATTGGCCTTAGAAACCTAAGTGATGTATTTTATTGGAGCTGTGATGCGAATCCTCTATATCAGTGATACCAGATTATTAAGCTTCTTTTTAATTTGGATTGAGTTGGTCATCTCCATTGTATTGAGTGCTTTCATTTTTTATCTTTTCCATAAATACAGGTATACTCCTTTTCATCTTTTATAATAGACATACACGTTTCCATTAAATATCTAATCCATATGTTTCATATCAAACTATCATCCCCATTTGTTTAGTTTTGTCTTTCTTTTTCCACCCTGGAACGAAGAATGAAAATTACTTTACAGTTCAAATGTTCGTGTCCATGAGTATGTTTATCGAAGCTTGTGGCTTGTTGCCTCAAATTTATGTGAGGTAATTCTTTTTAGAATGCAATTAGCAAAAAAATCGGATCAATTGAAGCAGACATATCTAAATATCTTGTTGCTATGGGATTTTCCAGACTACTTAGATTAGTCTTTTGGGTTATGAATTACATGGCTGGAGAAAAGTTTGTGTATTTAATACTTGCAGATGTTATACATACAGTCATCATCGCCGATATCATGTTCATTTGGATTAGAGATAAAAAAAAGGGAGCTATTTTGATATGATAACAATCTGCTTAAATAAAATCAATTGTACATCATTATTACACAATATTAATAATTTTTATGTTATTTTTAGTTGTTTTGCATGGCAACAATTCTATCATCATCAAGAAGATCTCTTATCATTAATAATACAAATACATAGGTGAGAATCATTTCAAAGAGTTGACCAGAAATGCATTCATCACCTTAAATTTAAAGAAAATTCACTAAAATCTGGAGGAGCAATAGTACAATAGATCCTCATGAGGATAAATACTAATGTTGTTTTTATGCATTATATAAGAATAAAAGAATACTCATTTTTTATGATTCCAAACTAAAATAGTATTATTTAATATTAAATAAATTTAACATAACTTACTCTTTTTCTATATATAAAGATGAGTTATATTATTAGTAACATAAAAAAGATAACTAGCCTACTAAGGTTTTATTTAACATATAAAAAATTACATCTATATTTTGCGTAAATTAATGTATCTTAGAACCTTATATCTAAACTATTCCTGAATTTGATATCTTATATCTATTTCATTTCTTCAACCATTCGATACTTATTTAAGTAATATCATATCCTTTTTTAACAAGTATTGCAGATTTCTCCAATATTAGTATAAAAATTACATAAAGTAAGATCATTTCTACTATTAAATCAATTTTATAATAATATCTCTATGAAATAAACACATCATATATCATGCCAATACCAATGCTCATATAGAATAATGACCAGAATTCCAAAAAGTAGTAAACTCGCTATTTTTTTGTACTTTAGGATATTTTACATATTCAGCCTTGATATGCTTTTATTCAAAAGACACCTTTTGAATTTAATGAATTAAATACTTTCAAAATAGTTTCATTTTTTTGTGCTGTATTTTCTCTTTGTTTCTCCAAGAATTATTAGATTTATTTTTCATTTTCCTCTTCCAATTTGCATTTTGTTATATCCAAGATATTAGTAAAAGCCAATAATGTTTCCAAGGTTGGAATGTCCAAAGGTTTCAATTTAATATATGTATTATTTTCAATTACTAAATAATCAAATCTATGTCTAAATTGCGTATTCTAGATTTGATCATAACAAGAGAAGGCATAGAAGATGCGAAGTTCTATTTTAAATATATATTGTATTACAAGGTAGTTTGGTAACAAATGCATTAAATACATCTTGTTTTATGCTATTTGATTCGTAAGAGCAAAATAGTAGTTCTAATATTTCAAGGTTTTTGATGGACTCCAAAAAATGTAAAAAGTTTTAGTAATGTTCTTCTTTAAAGGTTGGTCCCCACAACTTAATTTTCAATACCTTTAATTATTCTAAGGGTGGAAAATCGCTGGTCGAAAAGAAGTTGTTTATCTCTTAAACATGAAATGATAGAGAAACTAAACTTCTACAACCTTCCAAAAAGGTTTTATCCTTAATTTCCATTACAGACGACAAATCTAATTGCTTAATATTCTCGAGGGGCAACAATTTGAGTGATAAGAATTTATTGATTCCAACAGAATTGATTGCTATATACTTTTGGAAAAACTCTTTTAAATATTCTTGTTGAGATGATGAATCATTCAAGAAATCATGGAAGATAATTTAGGTCAGATACTGTGGGTTTACCTCGTCACATAATTTGTGTTGATCTGATGAAATTGGAGGCAACTTTATTTTGGTTAATGATGAAAATTGTCCTATTATTATTTGCTATAATTAAAGTACTGATAAAATTATTGAATTATTGGAAGGTTCCTTTTTACACTTATGTGACCAGAAACTTTTTCATACATTGTAAAACCACAACATTGCATTGATGAGAAACCAATCTCATTTACAAATGCTAAAAAGGTGTTAAAAATTAGAAAATCAAATCCAGGATATCAGGTATCAAAGGAAATACAAACGATTCCTCATTCTCATTCAATTTTATTATTCTTCTTCCCCTACTATAATCTTCCTCCTCTTCTTCAAACTATTGCATCAAATTATATTTATGCTTTTTATAATTAATTAATACACTCATTCATTTTCTTGAATTCGTTTTCCATCAGTCCTCTATCGTTCAACAATCGTATTATAATAGTAGCAATCTGTTATTCGAAAACACACAGTTTTATAACTCACTATTGAATTTGTTCTGCTTTTTCTATAAAAATAAAGGCAATGCCTTTTGATTCTCGAAAAGAATGGAGTATGAACGATATTCGTAATTTATAAGTATAGTTTTTAAATATACATGAATAGTAGAGAGAAACGATTATTTTATTTAGCATCAAATAAATTTAATGAGTATTTCATTGTCTGATGTGAAATTATTCATTGTGAAAAACAAAGAACCAATCATCATCAATATCTCTCAGGGCCTGGAATCAATTTTTCATCTCGAAACATTAGCGGGTACACTAAATTTAAAACAATTAAGAGCAATCTCCCATCAATATTAATTTACCTTTGGTGGATACAAGAGATCCTTTGAAAGTAAGAGTCAATAACAAATTTGCACAATTCAATCCAAGTGAGCTCGAAAGCTTCTAATATTATAAGTTGCTTCTCTAAAATGGGTAGTTAGTAGAAGGAAAGATTTCATCGAATGATGACTACGCTTTCACCTTTAAAATCAGACAGATCCCAAACCCTATGACTAATAATTCATCCATGTTATCTAATTCTCAATCTGTCAAAAACAAACTCTACTCTATAGAACGAGGAACATCGGAATACCAATCTGCTTCGTCTTTGAGACATAGCATACCCGAAGTCTCCTTTAGTTAGGCTCAAAGGTTATTCTATCGACATCTATTCTAGATTTGCAAAAGAGTACCTCAATACCACAGAATATAATTACAATGTGCCTGGTACTATAGGCAGTGGTCGAAAAGCAAGTTTTGGATATGGATCTAAATAAATTGCTCACGGATATGTTCAAAGAAATGCAGAATAGAATCCTCCCCCGAATGCTTACTTTCTGGGAAACCCCATTTTGTTCCGTAAAGAAAATAAAACTAATTTGCCCCAAGACGAGAGATGGAAAAATTAAAATCTTGTGACCTTACCAGGCCCAGCTTCTTATGAAACCTCAAATTCCATAGGATCTGACAAGGTAATTTAGTTTGAAATTGCTATATAGCCCGCAGCAACCATTGGGATAAGGTTTAAACCTGTAATTACTTTTAAAGATTCAGTGCCAGCTCCTAATTCTTATGAAGTAAACAATAAACTCATTGAACAATCGAGATTTAATAAAATTTCATTTGGTTATGGATAAAAAATTGATTTCACCAAAAACAATCAAACCCCAGGTCCAGGCGCATATGACTAGAAATCAATATTTAAAAGAAACACAAATTAGATCATTAAGAATCTTACACAATTGCGTCATAACGATTGATGAGTATAATAAAATTAATCATTTATATAAATTATCTGGTTAAAGTTCACTGAAACTAAATCAGATAAAAATAACTACAGTAGAGTTACATTATAGTTACAAGGGGTTTAAGGATGAATAGATTTTTTAAGTAAATTGAAATACTGTATAAGTTATTGCTAATTTTATCACTGAATAATTAAGTCTATTGAATTTATTGAAAAATAATTGTCATTTATATTTATCTGAAACAAAAGAATATCTTGATAATAAGATCTCATTTGATTATTATTATTCAATTTGATAGCAAATTTTCATTTGTATTTTTCTAAAGTTTAATTAGTAACTAATTTCTTGTTGTGTGTTTGGAGAGATAAATGAAAAATTAGGATTCATTTTCAATTGTTAAACATGCAATTAAGGATTTAAAGGAAAATAGATAACAGTTTTTAAATTATATATATAAAAATTATCTAGAAAATAATGGATAAATTTGGTACTTCCTTTCAGTCTGTTGAGGGTCCAACTGATGGGCCAAACCTAAAAAATGCTAGGTTGGTGGGAGTGTACATTGGAGCCAATTGGAGTGTTCCATGTTAAAGATTTACACCTTCATTGAGTAACTGATTATTGTATTGAGCAGTCGAGTTTTACACTAAGATAAACGAGGACATTCAATAATTCGAAATAATTTATATTGGTATGGATGAGAATGAGGAGAAGTATAAAGAGACAGTTACTGATATGCCTTGGTTGTTTTATGATTTCAAAGAGTTTATTAAGTATTAAGTGTATTATGAATATAAAAAACATATATAAGGTAAGAATACAAGTAAGACTATAGGTGTGCCTTGTTTGCTTATTTTGAACCCGAACAATGGCTAAGTGATTACAAATCAAGGGAGAGGCACTGTTGAAAAGGAAGGCCAGGGTGCTTTTGAGAAATGGTTGACTCAGATGAGTTTCAAATGATATATATAAAGATAATATTTTTGGATACTATTGTATGATTGTATTCAACATTTCAAATAATCTTCCAAACTTTCCTAAGCATATTGGCCAGTTTTGGCAATGTCAAACACTTTCTAAAATTGCTAATGACACTTTGCATTCCTTTGACTTATAAATAGTAAAGATTGAATACACTCCCAAAAAGCAATCAATGAATGTTATTGCACTATCTTTGCAAAACTCTGGTTCAACATGCTTTCCCAAGGGTGTTGATCTGCAAAGGTTAAAACTTTTCCTTTGGTCCTTGCACACTTGATTACCCTTAATAGAATAGATCATCAATTATAAGCTACACACTATAATAATAGATACTGAACCTTTCATCATTAGTATATGTATACAAATCTTTTGCAATAGCTTGTGAGGCCATATTTATTCTTATAAAATATAAATATAATTAAATATATATAAATTAAATATATATATATGAATAATTGACAACGAATCGAAAAAAACTAAATTGATAAACTTTTGAATTACGAATCAAATTATTTCAGTTCATTATTTACAAATAACAAAAAAGCATCCTAAAAAATAGAATTAAGTTTAATGTAAAATTACCTCCTTGATTAACTCTGTAAGGAACATTAGGACCGAATAGTGGCTGTGGCCTTAAACGATCAAAGTGGTATCAGCTAAGGATTGTGTCTTAAGTGTTGGCCCCAAAACTGCAATAAGAAGGTGGTTCTAATTGAAGACTTGTTAGATATGACAAAGAACATTAAAGAAGAATACTAACAACTGGATGCTGACACAAGAAAGAATATAAGGACTCTCTATTAATTGATTTAAGAACTGGAAAAACTTAAGGCCTTTATGAAATAATAAATAAATGAATCTATCAAAAATGTCAATGACTGGATAAGGTACATTTCTGATCAAGATCAATGTACAAGAACTTCTCTTTCAGTTCTTAACATCGATCTCAACACATCATTATAGAATGCCTAATTGTAAGTCTAAGAATTGTAAAAAGAAAAAGAAAAATTTCTTTAATTTATTTCGTAAAAAATATAAGAACTTAAAGATAATGATCATTTTAATTCTTGTAGTTAATTACTGACAGTAATCGATGAAGAAAAGTTAGATCTCCCGTAAATCTAAAACCTTCAACCTTTGATTGATAAATCAATGACAATATAAAAAAATTTGTTTTGTTAATAACATAATAATCAAGATATTGTCATGGTAGACTTAAACAAAAAACCTAAGATACCTAAACGATTGGCATGTGTCTATTGTATTCAATATAATCCCACATAATACACGGCTATTAGGGTTGCTGAAAAGTAATATAGGAAATTAGAAGCCTAAAAAATCGAAAATCTAAATAAGTACTCTAAATCGATCGATCAAATGAACCAAACATTCAAGTATAATAAAATTATTTATATAGAAATGTAATCGAGGATGTTACTAGTTCTTTATCTAAAAAAAAGGAGAAAATTAAATTAAAAGCTGAAATCTATCTAAATAATCTTAATGTCGATTGGGATACTTTGAAGTATGATGAAGTCTCAGATTTTGCAGAAAAATTAAGTTAGAATGGACACCAAGATTTTGCAAAGTCATAAATTTATTTGGATTTTCTAAAAGTCAATTAGGAAGTTAATAAAAAGATTAATGATGCATTTGCTGAAATACAAAGCATCTAAAATTAAGGAGAAATTCAATTTAAATAATTGATGAACAAGGATTCTTTCAATTCAAATGAAGTTTAAACTGATTTAAATAGCAAACATAATTAAAAATAAGAAAATATTCAGATAAACAAAACTCCAAAGATTTAATAAATCAAAGATGTCAATTCTATTAAACAGAAAAATCAATCTGAAAATAATCCTTCAAATAATGATTAAAAAAAAGAAGGAAAAAGTAAAAAGAACAGAAATAAAGAATAAACTTCAAATTAGAATACTTCGAAGGTTAAATTAAGCATTTCCAATTTAAAATAATCTGACATTGATAATCCAATTGGTGAAGTCAAAAAAAATTAGAAGAAAACTGATGCAGAAAAAAAGTTTTCATTTGTGTTAAATTAATACTCAATAAAGCAGGAAGATCCCTGTAGATCATTTGCTTTTAATTATAATTCTTAATATCTAATTGCAGCTTGTGACAAAACTATTAAACTTTTTTCATTCAACAAAGAAAGCCTGACATTTCTATAGAATTTGAATAATCATCCAAGTATGATTGTATGTTGTACATTCCTCAAATGTTAGGATAGATTTATAGCTGGATGCTTAGATGGATCCATGCTAATTTGGTCAAATTGGAAAGGAAAGGGATAAGTATGGGAATGCGATTAAACTTTGAACGGCCATACTGATTACCTTGGACAAATTATACATGGTAAAGTTGAGAATATGATCATATCATGCAGCAATGATAAAACTATAAGGTTTTGGAAGAAATCTTAGAATTGGGAATTGCATTAAATCTTAGAAGGTCACAATGAATATATATGTAGTATAAGTCTAAATGAATCCGAAAACAAGTTGATATCCGGAGCTTATGATGATTAAATATTAATAAGCGAACCTTAAGGGTAAGATAAAAAATGGACTATAATACAATTAATAAAAGTAGAATGGGGAAGAAGATTATGCTTTATAACTGATAATTTATTTACATTTTAACCTTGTAAAAAAAAATTCATGCATGTTTATGAGTAAAAGGATACAAAAATAGGCTTTTTAAAAACAAAGGAAATCGAAGTTCAATCATTAGGAGACGAATGTTTTTGGCTATTCCCCCAACAATTTAGTAAAAAATAGGGATTATTAGTAAACAAGAATTGTCATTTAGTAAACATTATTAGATGGAGGAGGAAAACGAAGTTTTTTACTGATTAGGTGATATTTTTCGGTACAAAGGAAATTTATGGATCAATAACAGATGATGGCTAATGGCTAGTTACATGGGATGACAAATCCAAGGAAATCCAATTAAGACATTTATAATGATAAACATTATCATCATTATATATAATTTGATTTTTCGATTCTTTCTTATTCTAGTTTGTAAAATATTATAATTTTAATTTCATAATGCAAAATAAATCATTTAAAGATATTTTAGGTTTATTAGTAGTTAAAGTCTCACTAGTTTAAAAACCTACAAAAGGAAACAAAGATGAACCAATTCATTATGGAGTCATTGTAACAACAACCGAAAAATAAGAAAAATACTTACTTCATAATGGATATAAATTTGGAAAAATTTAAGATTTTATTTTAACAAGCGCACAAAATCTTAGCAATGATTGGATGATCACTTAAGATTATGAATTAGAGGCACCAATAAAATTAAATGTATTATTTTAAGCTGGATGCTGCGGGCAAAATATGAGATATCATCCTTAAATGAATAACAGCAAGCATGCTTAAGATAGAATAGCCAAAATGGTTAATGATATAATTAACTCTAAATAAAATATAGCCTGAAAGAACCTCATTTTCAGTAGTTAAATGTTTTTAAATATATAATTTCTACGAAATAAACTTGATAGAGTTTGACTTTAAAAATAACTTTCTTCTTTTTCAACGCCCAAAAAGTATTAACTCATTTTAATAACAATCTTATTTAGCTAGTTGGATTTAATAGGCCTTAAGATAGACACCAAAAATATACTGAAAATTATGATAAATATAGGAGGAAAAATTTAATAACTAAATTTGTAATCATACTTAATAGTTATAGTCTAAGAATGTTAATAGGCGAAAAAGTAATAATAATTATAATTCTCATGATTTTATAGACCTTGGATTTGTATGGTTTTCTATATCTTAAGAGTTCTACTAAAATGGTATTTTGTGAAAGAAATATTTTTATATAGACAAGTAGCACATCAATACTACTGAAAATATGAAGTAATAATTCTCCATTATCATTGCAGGCATAATATTATCAAATGATTACCCTATGACCATTATTATAGAAATGCAATGCACTATAATTAAGGAAATGTAATAAGCTATCTTCATGTATTTCCTATAATAAATATTGCAATTCTTACATGACTTTTTATAATGCTTGGCTTGAAATTTAAATCCTACAGCAGGATTGAATTACTATTATTAGGATAAATAAGGACAGAATTAACCAGTCTATTAAATTTAAGAGTTTGAGACTTTAATCAAGGGTAAATATTTTAATTCTGTATTGACATTGGACAAAATCAAATATATAAAGTGGCATGGATAAAATTGGAAATATGCAACTAAATACAACTTGATTTAATAAGGGAACTTTGACCTTTATGGGTAAAGTGTTTGTAAATTCTTAATAGATGATGTTCAATATTCCAACTTTGCATGCAATGTAAGCAATTTAATTAATATAAATGAGCGAGTGATCCAATCCTTACAATCTACAAAAGCTTTATTAATATCTAATTAATTCAATCAAATTTAAAGTGATATTTGTTCCAATAATTATTATGTAATATGTAAATAAAAGTTTCCATCTACAATCAACTGATTTGTCTACATAATATTGTGAAATATTAATGCTAGAATAATACATAAGTTATTGCTCAAATTTATTCAATTTCTGTGATCTTTGTTTGATTTTTTTCAATTTTTAATTATCATTGCAAACCATAGAGTGAGATTATTCAGTATATTCTTACAAATTATGTGCGATATGCAATTACGAGTTAGAAATATCAGCAATTTCTCTTATTGTAGGTAATCTATCCTAAAATTCTTTAGGTATTCTGAAATTATTTTTTATAGATTATTAATCAAATACCTCTACAATTTTTCTATTCTTCTTTGTTCGCATTATTTCAACATCTCATTAAACCTTTACTCCTCCAAAATCTAATCCAACTACGTTTCAGATTGAGTTTATTGAAATTCAAGTTCAACAACAGTTTCATTTTCAGGGCTTGTTTTTAGTGCAACATTTTCAAAGCTAATTTATTCATTATTTTTCATATAGAAATTTAGATATTTTAGAAAATTATTAAACAATTGGGAATTATTATTAAACAAAGCCTATTCTTTCAATTGATCCCAAATAAATCAAACAACAAAAACAAAAATATACTTCTGAAAATAAATTGATTTATCTCCCTGTATTATTCAATTTGAACCATAATTTTATTAAATTTTTATTTCAGTTTTCAATTAATTACTCTGGCTTTGTTTCATACCCTGTAAAGTCTTGGCACATAAAAATTAATGAACATACACTTAATAAATGGAAAATCACATTGTATATACTATAGTTATCAGACTTATATTCATTTAAATATTTGTCTCTAATCATAATGTTAAATTAATTCATATATATACAATTTGTTTATTAAAGTTGATCATTCCATTCATTAAATGAGTCAATAATTATTCATTTTTTAATTTAATATATACAGATATTAATAAAGGTCTAATCAGTTATTCGTTAAAAAGAAGCCGACTCAATATTGACATAATAAAGAACAATCAAATAATAATTTCTAGATATCTGGAAATAAAAAATTAAAGATTTTAACTATATTCAATGAAATCCTTATATAACGAAATGGATAAAATACTTCCTTAAACCAAAACTACAGGAGCGTTATGGTTAGGGAATATCAAGGCAGCTTAGAATATAATTAGGCTCAACCAAGAAAACATTAAAACAGTACTCACAATAGCCAATAACACCAATTTATCTTATCCTTAACATCAAAGAGTGAGACATAAGGTACTTAATCATCAGCTATATAGGTTTTCGAAATAAAAGACAATGATAACGTGAACATCGTTGATTTGATTGAAATAACAAATTAATACATAGAGGAGTCGCTCTAATAAGGTTCTGTGTTGGTTCATTGCATGGCAGGAATTTCTCGCTCAGTTTCCTGTGTTTTAGCCTATTTGATTCATAAAAATAACTGGAATTATGAATAAGCTTTTAAGTTCGTGAAATCTAAGAGAAATTGTTCCAAACCTAATGAAGGTTTTAAGAAATAATTAATCTAATATGCAGAGTAAACGTTCCCAAAGAGTTAGACTCACGATAACCAAGAAAAATTGTTAAATGATTTGAGGAGGAAATTGTACCTCTCCCCATATGATGTTGTTAAGAAAACTTAATTAGTGAAGTCGCCTTAGAAATAGATTACTTCACTTAATTAAAATTCAACTGCTGAGGAAAAATAACAATATCGTTAGTAAATGGCATAGAAGTTGTTTGTGAGTACATTTTTCAAAGACAGCTTACATAAAAATAGCTATTCCTTAACATAAAATAAGATAAAGAGTGCTCAACCTGTGACTAAAAGAGCTCAATTGAGCATGTACCATTCAATACAGGAATCTGACTTTGGGTTTTTATCAGATAGATTGAATAAAGCATGATTTTTTTGATCATTTTTTATTTATTTTATTCAATCCAATAACAATGCAATGTATCGAGTTAGTCATTAACTATTTTGAATTATATGGACTATACAATTTCAGATAAGAATATTTAATAAATTAAATTAATTTGTTCTATTTTAAGATATAAGAATAAATTTATTATCATTAATCCAATGAATCCATAAATTAAAATTGCGAATGTTACTTTTAATTAACTCTTTTTCTTTTCCAATCATCTACAAGGTTATTCGAATTTAAAAACTCTAATTTATTATTCTAATTAAGTTAATATTATATACAAATTGCATTTGTCTTATTTGTTCATTCTGAAATTAATCATAATTTTACTATTGAGCTTGCCAGTAAAAATGTTGTTACTTAGGGGAATTGTTGTCCAAATTAGAACTGCAATTCCATTAAGGAGATGTAAAGGTATTTTAATAAAATTGAAATTACTATGTAGGTGTATAGGTCATTGGAGTTTGATTAATCATAGAGATTGGTGATATAGTATTATAATTAGATTAAAATTGTTTCATATATTATTCCATCATCATTTTATATTAAAGTTGATGGAATTCTTCCATCTAATTTCTATAACTTTGATAGATCAATTAATTCTAATTTTATTATTAAAGATCAAATTATTATTATTATTATTGGAAAATTGGCAAAAATAGATTATTTACAGCATAAGGAGTTTAAATACTATTAACTTCAGGAATCTAAATTTGTTATTATGCTTATTATCGTTAATCGGAATGATGAAAATCATTAGGTAAGCCAGGACTTTAAACATTACGTTTGATTTCATTATTTTCTTTTAGATTGATTTAATTAATTTAAATATCAAATTCCTACTTATTTGATTCTGTTAAATTTTTGAGGGATTTGAGATGATTTTTGTTAAATTTCTTTTTCTTGCCTATCTTTTTAAGTTGCTTAGATTGATTATGGAGTTTTTTTGGTTTACATTTGATTTCTAAACAAGATTGGTTTTTTTAAATGAGAGGATCTCCTGTAACTTGATCAGAGGGAACTCCTAATTTCTTTAGATAATCTTGGATAGCTTGAAGTTCATCTAATTCATCATCATCTTCATCCTTGAATATCTTCTGCATTAAACTTTTGAATCTTTATTTATATAAATTTGAATACCTGTTCTTCACTTGATTTTCAGTTCTTCCGGTCAAGGCAGCTGATAATTATGACCATCTCTTACCGTTTTTCACAATATTTGTCAACAATTGAAGGTCTTCAGTTTACGACCAATTGGCTCTAGGGTATAAATGCTCATTCTTACTTATTCAATTTTGGGTTAAGATAATTCATCCACCTTTCTCTAACTTATTTGGGAGTTCGTATAAATTAACCACCGTTTTTATTGTACAACTCCAAGGCAATAAATGTCCATATATGTTTCTCGTCTTATTCACTATATTGTTTTATACATTTTTACTTCATCAAGGAACGGATGATGTCATCTTCTTGAGAATCCCAATTAATACTCTTTTGAACAGGGTTTATTAGTGTGATCCATCGTTGTTTCAGAATGGTTTCATCAGTTTATAAGATACTCGCAAGCTCAACCCATTCTTCTTTGTTTGGGTTGATGATTTTTTCATTTTTCTATTGGAAGTACTTGCTTAGGACCCATATGAACATCATTTTACATTACTTATCCCATTTTCTCTTTTTACTTTATTTTTCCTCTTAAATCAATCTGTTGTTTTTATATATTGATTTCTTACTTTTATGCAATACCATCGAAATACTTGCTGTTCGGATTTATGAAATTTTCTTTGATTTTAAATTGATTTCTAAAATAAAAAGGAATTTCAGCATTTTTGATTGTGCCAAGTTACGAAATGAATTTCTGAAACATATATTAATAATAATTTAATTTTGAAATACTGGCAAAATTCATTACAAAGGAAAGTTTTAATATTAAATCTCAATACCTCCCAATCCTAAACATTGTTGGTAGCTTTTTAATAATGAAATTTATGCTTTAAATTAAATGTATAAAAGTTATATTAATTTTTTAATATAAATATCATTAATTAATATATAGAGCAAAATAATTAAAATAAGTCCAGTTTATAATTTACTGATATTATAGGTTTTAATAAATTATAGCTCTAAAGTACTAAATCAAGTCAAATATGAAAATCCCGCAAGTGCAAGGGGGCTATTTAAAATTTTGTTAAATTTTGAATTTGATTTATTATTCTGCTTCATCGAACTTTTTAATACAGTTTTTGCATCCATAGGCGAAGTCCCCAATTTTCTTTGTGAAACAACATTAGCCTACTCCCTACTCAATTTTCTTGAGATATTGATTTCTTCATTCAGAAATGTATTTTTAGGTGGAGAATTCTGAGATCTTGAATTGTTCAGTTAAGAACTATTTATTGATCTCGAATTCCTGTTCTTTAGTTCCCTAATCTTGTCTTAAATGTCACTATCATTATAATCTATAATACCTTGTGATTGAACCCCCATATTCTATTTTGATTGGACTAGCATAATTTTGCACTAGCGATATTTGCAGAGGTTGTAAAATATTGAAAAACCTTCTGAAATCCTAATAAAATTGAGCCTGTTTTTTTGACAATTGTTACATTTCATCCTACATTTATTTGAACAAGTTCTTTAATAATGATTTTGATATTTACAAGCTGCTTTATTGATAATTATTTATCCTGTACTATCCCATCGACCGTGGCTACTAATTATTTGAAAGTGTATATATCTTAACTATCTTGATTTTTCAAAATTGCTTTGATTTCATTCTTAATTATACTCATTTCTTCAATGTCTAATTACTTAAACTATTTCAAAAGATTACCTAAACTTCTTCATCTTTAGTAAGTTCATTCAAGTAAGTGGTCTCTATATTGGATAATTGGTTCTGAAATTCCTCTTATTTTGAATCTAAATACATATGCAAGGCCTTGAATTCTGTGTCTATATCATTTTTTTATGTTTAACATTTGTCCTTTACTTACTATTTATCGAATTGAATGTTTCTGATCTTATCTAAACTTCTTTCAACTGCTAAATTTAATTTCTCCAAACAAGGATGACCTTTTATTGTAGGATCCTCCTAAAGTGGTTAAACATGCTATCGTTTCTCTGTTGTAAAGGGTTTAACATTGTAATTAGGTAACGTCTTCGAAGCTTGTGATTATGATTCTTTTGTCTATTGAACTGCTTATAGTGATTCATGATCTAAAACTGTTGGAGCATTGCATTTTAGACAAGGTACTCCGCTGTCATCTTTGTGAATAGCATGTGAAATGCAATATAAACAAAATTTATGCTCGCAATCCAATATAACAAATTAAGTTGGAACAGTTTAACATTGTTCACATATGACTTCATCTTCTTCAGACATTTTGATGTTATTTTATCAATAATTTTATTTATTAACAACTTTTAATTTTAAATTATAATAAATAATATGCAGAATCAATACTTTGTAAAAGGGTTAGGATTTGCTTAGAAATAGGAGCCTTAAGAGACTCGATCTTATGGTCGTATTAAAAAAACTCCCTATTCTGCATATAATAATAGAAGTTATAATTTAGTATAGAATTCATTTTAAATTAGAACTATCACGATATTAGAATGTGTCAACATCATATAAAAAAGATGGTGGTTATTCTCAATAGCGCGATTAAGAATTAGGCTGCAACAATGTTCAAATATTTGAGGTAGTTTTGTCAACTTGAATTAGTATTTATGTACAAAATAAATAAGAGGAAGAAATAAAAGCCTAATTAAGAGTAATCTAAGAAGGGTTGTTGAGATTCCAACATGCTATATCATTATATAATTAGAGATTAAAAGGAACTGGATTTTTTAATATTGCAAAGGTGGATGTAATGTCCCATTTGAAAAAAGAATTAAGAAATCAGCATTCCTTATAGTACTAACCACTTACTCATCAAATATTTAGGAAGTGGTTGAGGTTGACACTCGATTTGAAATTCAATAGAGTTCTGAAATAATAATAATAGAATATGATAGGTTTTTATAAATTCACTCTGTGCAAAATAATAACAAAATAAGACTCATTAAAAGTATGGAGTTTTAATAAATTAAGAATTACTCAAAGAAAATCAAAATTAAACAGATTAATAATTAACTTAGGTTTTCAGTATTTGAGACTTAATCTATATAATGCTGAAGAAGCAACATACTAACACTTAAGGAAGCCGCACTTATTATAATAAATAGAAGCATTCTAAAAAATAAAGCATTATAAATATTTCAACTCCAATCAGCATTACTTTATTTTAATTTTAGTCAACAAATTCAGTAACAACATTAAATTACCTAAGATAGTAAATTACATGTATTGAGAACATTGTTCTTTTCATCCATTAAAAGAGTTGATCATCATTTAGAGTATATGGTACCAAACGAATAAAAATAATAATTCGACATAGAATTAGCTAGATAGTTAGTTCATTGCAAATTAAAACACTAAAAACTATAATAAAGATTTATTAAAACATCAAATTTGCATGCTCCAATTGGAATCTTTGAATCAATCAAAACCATATTTTATAAATCAATGATACCATGTTTCATTCGAATAAGAGGATCTCTAAAATAATCTTAAGCACAAGATATTGAAGTTTAGGATGGAATCTCAAAAAATTTAGTAAACTTTATAATTATTCAAGAGTATTTTAGCTAGTAAACTAAGCTCAAAAATTAAAACAAAAAATCTAAAATCTTAAAATTTGGAAATTCATTTAAGACTTGAAACAATTTTCAGAAAGAATTACATTTATGAAAGAAGACTAATCTTGAAATCTTTAAAGAAATGGTAAATTATCACATTTCCTGTCTAATTATATCATGATTATGAGATGAGATTAAAAGTGTTGTAGAATGAAAAGGTGAACTTTTAACCTAATATTTATAGGAAGTTATTATGACTGACATTGAATAACTAGAAATATTGAACAATGAATTGATGAATACCATGAATGAAGTTAAAAAAACTTTTCTATCAGATGAATCCAATCTTAATACTTCCAAAAAGAATGAACAAAAACAAATCGAAATCCAAAGATTTGACATTTTAGATAACTTAACCTCGCAGAAAGAAATCAAAATTGCCTTTGAATATGTTGATTACCTTAAAGAAGATGTATTATAAATAATTTTAATTAGAATATTGATTTAAAGAAGTAAGTTCAATTGAATGAGTAACTTATGATGAACGAAATTTAATAATTAGAATAAGAACTCTAAGTAAGATATATTCTAATATGAAAGGAACTCAAAAATTAATTATCAAATTGAATTTTTTGTGTTATTTTCTTATTCATTTATTTATAAATAAATATAAGTTTAATTTAAATACATAACAACCTATAAATGATGTAAATTAGATAGTAGTAGAGTTGCTATTATAATTCAAATTCCCTAAGATTAAAATCAAGAGTGATACTCAATCCCATAGTTTAATCAACTTCAGATATTAAATCCCCCGTAAATATCTCATAAACTAGTAAAGTTTAAGATCAATAATTATAACTCCAAAAAGGTTTGAATAATGTTATCGATGAAACTATCTAATCTAATTCTAATTGTCATTCTAATAGAAACTAAAAAGAGACATTATTTATTGTCAAAACTTCTCGAATCAATGTTGGAAATGATTAAAATCAAAAGGTTCACAGCACAAGTCTGTAGAAATCTTAACCAAAAGGCATATTGAAATAGAAAAGCAAGTTGACTCAATAAAATTTTGATATTAGAAATTTTGATACCAATGATATCCCATTATTGAACACCAAACGAACTAAATTTTAAAAACAAAAGCCTTCTTTGCCATCTTAAGTATCTTTCCATCCTTTTTTTGCAGAAAATAATTCACCAAAAAGAGTGTCTTTTAATGATTAGGTTTATTTTAAAACGATTGATGAATATATCTCCATCAAACCTAAACGATATGTATTAGCAGATCTTTAATGATAAAAATTGATTAATAATTAAATTTCGTTAAATTGTAATTCAGTATTTTTATATCTAATATAACATCATGCTGCAACAAGAATTGATACCAAAGACTTAACCCATATTTCCTAGAATTTGTTTAAGTTTCTTAAATTTATATATATGAAAATAAAAGAAAAATATCAACTTGTAATAGATAGTCCTAAACACTCATTTCAAGTACATTTCTAAAACAATATCGCTTTAGACATTGCAAACTCATAGTTCTTTATTCAATTAAACACTAATCTATGTATAATTTTCATTTATAAATGATTTTAGTTTTACAAAAAGTGTAAAAGCGAATTAAATTTAATCAAATACTATATTCATCATTTCGAAAGTAATGCAGTCAAGAGCTTATTACTTCATTGATCAACTTAATTCATATAATGATCCCTTTTTGGGATACAAAGTCTATAAGATTTTGGTTATCCAAGAATAGATCGATTATTCTCAATTATATAAGATTTGTAGATTGTATAGACGTAATTGTAAACCATTATAAGTTAGAATAACAAATATCTTAATATATTTAATGTAAACTTGAAGAAAATTATTATGTAGAATAAGATTGATAATAAGAATTCTGGAATTTCTTTCTTATAAATTCTATATAAGTACAGCATTTAAATACTACCATTTTTATAATTCTTATTTTTTAAAGGACATAAATAGATTCTAAAAGTATATTCACAATTAAATTGAGAATAAGATTAAAGAATTTGAATCACATATTCCAGTTTTTCTTTGGTTATCTAAAGTACAAGTTTTAGTAGAAAAAAAGTAGAATATCAAGCCAGTTGCTTAATTATTAGATAGTTTAATAAAACATAATGTAATATTTTGAAAATGAGAAATAATTCTACTTACACCTATTTAAATAAATGATTAAAAGAAAATATTTATCTCTATTAAATATCATAACCGTATAAAAACAAGAAGGGTGCTTGTAATTAGGTTTTTCGAACTTAACATTATCAAAGGAGGTAGATGAAAATGAATTATAAGAAAGTAAAATTATAGTTAAAGGAGAATTAAGTTAGATAATAAGTCAAAAAGGATCTTCGTATGATTGTTCATTAAAATATTAATTAATTTGCTCTTATTCGTATTTTAATTTAAGTCCATGTTTAGTTCTATTCTGTTTTAATTTAACTTCGATATATATTGATATTGGCAAGAATTCTTGATACAAATAAAATAAACAAATTCGATAAAAAATATTGTGGTAGACAAGAATTTAAAAAATGCTTAACTATCATATCAATAAGATGCAGTTTCATATCATTATCTTTTAAGATATGCCTCTAAAGAGAAATCTTCATTATTTGTGTCAGTGCTTTCAAATCCTGCATAGCAAAAATCATTTTAGTTTATTGGCATTTACTTAAGTTTTCTTTGAGTTGTACTTTTATTTTGCTGTTTTTCTAAAATAACCGATTATTTGAAGCATTGTGATAATTTCAAATGGTTAAAATCTGATTTAACAGATTTAGCAACTATTTTTGGAGATTAAGTAATAGCTTTATTCTGACTTATAACAGCTTTTTAATTTTTCGTGCAATTATCCATTGAAATTGTTCTTTTTCTCTCAACAAATAATTTGGGCAACACAATCCTATTAGGCAATTATATTTTGGGATCTTGTTAAATTGAAGAATACTTAATGACAAGGATCGTTTAGCTCTATATGTTAACTATATAATACAAGACATTAATATTAAATATGCACTGATAAATAATAATAAAATAAACCTTTTTGGTCATGACGTTATAAAATCCTTCAAATATCGTTTTTCCATCTTGTTTTGGGTCAAGCTTCCTCAGTATCTCCCATATAAATTGTTCCATTCTTTGGTTAACAAACTCTTGGTTTGATATCATTTGGTAAGGCATTTCGTTGCCAAATTACCCTGTAATATATTATTATTAATTCTAAATCTGATTATTAGACTACGTTCTTGCTGTTATTATTATTTTTTAAAATTTAGGATTGTTAAAACATAAGACTCATCTAAATATTTTTAGGATTATAATTTCATTATTGATAAATTAGTCGAAAGACCTTTAGGAATGTTAGATTTGAATGGTTATATATTTAGTTGTTTAAATTCTCCTCATTATAATAACAAATAATCTGTTTCTTTCTTTTAAAGATATATATTAAAATAAAATGAATTTTTAAATTGTTTATCCAAATGCCTAAATTTTTGATCTAAAGTCAGAATTTAAAATTAAGAAATTAAAGATTTAAACGAAAAAATACGAAAATCTTTATTCATATTGTTAAGCTACAAAAAATCAATTTTTTGGATACGGTTTAATTTAGCCAAAGAGTTAGCTATTTCAGAATCAAAGATTCTATAAATTGAATTAATTTTCCTTCTCATACTATATATCTTTATTGATATTGATCGTCAATTAAATTAATAGAACAGTAAATAATTGTTAAAATCAAAAGAAAATATTATTCAAATTTATTAAACTCTCTAGTGTTATTTTCTTCTTTACTGTTCGTCAGGTAATGGTAGCTATGGTTTTGATTCTAAAGGTTATAAATTAACATCTAAGAATTAAGCTGGAAAGTACTTTTCTTATTTGTTGGCGGTGTAGCCTATGATAAATTGCTGCTGTTTGTATTGCTATTAAAACCATATTGACTATTGAAGTTAGGCACTGTGTTTCCTCGATTATCAATGGGACTTAAGATTATTTTTGAATTAGGTTTTTTCTCATTAAACTACTGATTGGAGACTTCATTCGAGTAACGTTACTTTCCTTCTTTTTCTTCTAGCATTTAATAATTCATCTTTATCTTCTCAGCCACCAATTATGCTCTGTCTAACTGAGGTTAACTGATTCCGTTTTATTTTTGTTGAGATTCTAAATAGTAATAGAGGTAGTACCTTTTCTTTGTGGCATAGGAGAAGTCTTTCTCTAATTGTAGTCAAGATCATTGTAACTATTTTTATCAGTTTATCGAGAATTAATTTCAAGCATTCGATCAGCCTTTTCTTACTCAATTAAATCGATGGCTGGATAAAATAAGAATAATTACCTTATTTGTATGGTAGATTAGGAAAATTGACTTTTTTTGCTTTAAAATTGAATGGAGGGATCTTATATTCTTAAGAATCATCATCCCATTCACATGCTGCTTGAAGAGATTCCAATTCAGATTGATTGAACATCATTTTAACTATGCCTGAATACAGTTTAATTTCTTTCTCCTAACTTCTAATAGTATCCAAAAGATCTTCTTTTTCATATTCAACCTCTTGCTTCAGATCTTTTTATTCATTTTAAGCCTCTTCCAATTTCTTTCTCAAGTACTTGACAAGCTTCCTCAATTTATCAACTTCCTCTTAAACATTTTGATATTTAGTTTCAATTTACAAAAGTTCCTATTATTGCTATTCTTATTAACTAATAAGTGCTTCATGCTCCTTTTTCTATTGATCAATAGCTTGTCTCAATTTTTTATATTTCTTTTTCTCATCTTCTGTACCTTTTCCACCTTACACCATCATTTGTTCCTTTTCCTTCAATAAATCTTCCAATCTTTTCCTAGCCTAACGCTCTTATTCTGCTTAGTATTCTTTTTCTTTTACTTCCAATTCAAATCTCTCCTTCTCTTGCAACAACTAATTATTTTTCTCTTTAAACTCATGTAATTCTTTAAGTTTCTCCTCAGATGGACCACCACCTCCTGCTGAAACTTATTGTTTACTCTTCTCCTTCAATCTATCATTTTCCTCTTTCAATCTTGCAAGTTCTTAATTGTTCACTGAATTCCCAGCAGGTTATAAGATATCAAAAGATATTGGTTAACCTGCTGCTTATTTTGATAGCATTTCCTTAAGTCTTTTGATTTCTTCAGCCTACTCTTTTAATAAAGCATCCTTTGGATCTTCATTTACTTTAGGTTGATTTTTGATCATTTTGGCTCGTGATGCATATCTTAAACTAGACAAAGTTTCATCAAAGTTAAAATCAGAAGGACTGATAGCTGTAATCATTATGGTTTTTGTGTTTCCTCCCAAAGAATCTTATAGCAATCTAGTTAATTTGGAATCTCTGTAAGGAATATGCTGTGTTTTGCCATCAACAAGAGCTGATATAACATTACCCAAAGCAGAAAGTGATAAATTGATTTTTGTTGCTTCTTTTAATCTGTCACCTGTTGCTTGGGTTTTTGATTACCTCTCACTACCTGCCAAATCCACCAAGTTTAGTTTACCTGCAGTGATTCTCTCATTTCCTTTTTGATCTGCAACAGAACATTCTATGTATACAGTGAAGATGCAATGACTACGACTAGATTCCTTATTCATGGCAGTTGCTCCAACTGATCTGTTTTGTGTACCCAACTACATGTATCGATCCATTTCTTGGGTTGTCCTAACCACTGCAATGTTTAAATCCTTAATAAACACACCTTGTTATCCCTCTTTTAATTCATATTTTTGCTTCACGTCTTTGCTTAATAAATCATGTATTTCTTCATTGTAAATTTCTATGTATGAACATCGAAGTAGAAATTTTTTGTTTGAGTCTGAGTTATTATTAATTATGCTGATGATTTAATCAAAAGTTCTGGGGATGATTCCCTTCATCGTTTCCTAATCATGAATAATATTATTACATTTGATGGATCTCCAATCATAGTGAAAGTCTTACCACAACCTTTATGATAATTGAATATTAATACCTGTTTAACCATATGCGAATATTGTTCCATTGTAACCATCAGCTACACTCTCCACCAAATTGAAAGCAGTTTTCTGATAAATAGATAATTGAGGTGTTTCTGCCCCAAACACGTAATCATATGTATACGATTTTACATCATTATCTTATGTCTAGTATACGAATGTTTAAAAAACCATACATTACGCAATTCCACAGTGTTCGTGTCTTCATAAACTACAACACATGGCTTGCTTCCATTCTCCTTTTCTCTTTGATTGAATGGACGCATTCTTACAATAACTTTGACACATTCTGCTGGCATTTTTTTATATTTTATTAATCAATAATTTAGTAACAGTTGACAATTGAAATTTATAATTATCATTTCACAGTTTTCATCAATTCAACCACACCCATCAAAATAACAATTAAGTCCCTCATTCATTTCCCTACCCGATTTCAGCATATCATTTTATTCTTGTCTACACAGTCTCTTGTTTTCAATATTTTTTCACTTTATCCTTTTGCGAATTATGGTTTTCCCATTTGAGACAGCATTAATTATGATAATTATAGTAACTAAATGGTTACTCCTAATTTAAACTGCACATTTAATAGCTTCACAAAATTAAGGTTGTTAAGATGAACGCTTTTAGATTGAAATATGAATAGATTCTAATATTTTCAATAATTGATTTTGATTTAATAATTATTATTTCTCATACATCAATATTCCTTTTATTTTAATTATAATATGTAATCATAATTACCATTTTATGATATCAATTCATTTATATTATATAACTTCCCATTATATTCTATTGTCTTAAAAATTTCTATGATAATTATTTTGCGTATTCGTTATCATTCATTCAAATTTGTGAATCAATTATTGATATTTCAAAAAACATACAAATTCTTGAATTAATTAATTATATTCTGAATTATAAACAAACAATTTTAGTCCTATTAGATTACCAAGAATTTATTATAAGCAAAATAATCACTTTTACATCATTTTATTTAAGTAATTGCAAGAATTCATTGAATTATTCATTTTAATTAACTATTGAATTGTAGATTAGGTCAAAAAACAATGCTTAAATACCTCAAAGTTGAATTTACATAATATAAACAAAAAATCACTTTCTAGTTTCAATAAGTTATCCCATAATATTAATTAATTTTAATTAAAGCTTATTAGTATTTAAGAATTATGTTATAATTATATGAGGATAAACTCGGTCTCGTTCGTCTGAGATTGATGAATCAAACGTCGCTATTCTGATCAAATTATTAATTTTTACTATTAATCAATTCTAACTCAGATAAATTATTTTAAGTAAACAAAGAATATATAATTATATTTATATTATTTCAAGGCTCTCTCTTTCTATTTTCAAATATCATCCATATAGCATTAGCATTGGAATTAGATTACCTAAAAGCATACCCAAAATCCATTCGATATATTATATTAAGTAAATTACCTATATATGGAGAGTAATTGTTTATTACTAGTAGCATACATTCAATATTTATATTTAACCATACTGCAAATAAAATTCATATTAATTCATCACTATTAAGGAACAGACATTTTACAATTTATATTTCTTTGGAATTATTTTTTGCAGATAGAAAAAACAATCCTCAATATCTTTCAATAATTTCAAAGCATGTTCAAAATAACTGTTTTAGAATTCTACCATCAATGTAATAGATATATAAGCATTAAAATTTTCATAATATCATTTTGATAAAATCTTATTCTTTACTACTTCTCCAATAAAATCATATACAGAAGTATAATAAGATAACATTCTTATTAGGATGATCACAAATTAAAAACTTATTCCCCACCTTTAGATTAATTTCCATAAGATGATTCAATTCTCTTTATTGAGTTACTCGATAACAGAGAGCAGAATTGACTTAAGTAAAATAATAGATTAATACTAATAATATTTGTTATATTGTCATTCCTTTTTATCCTTTTTGGGGGGTTCTTCTTCTAATGGCTTTGTAGCTCCACAACTCCAGGACCTTTTAATGGACGTCATTTGTTTAGTAGTCAGAAAAACAGATCTTCTCCTTTAAATCAAACTATTAGTTCGCTTTCTGGGGTTTAATAAATTGGAGATTACTTATTCTCTTGCATAATTGAGGCAGAATGGATAATTTCCCATTTCTTTTCTTAATTCTTTTATAATGTGGAATCTTTTCTGGTCGCTGCAGTTTCATCTTCCTCATGTATTATCTATTTGATTTGAACTAAAAGGGAAATGAAGGAATCAATACCTACTTATTCATGCAATTCAATTTATTTTTTCTTATTGCTATTACCAGATTTTTGAGATTGCAGATCAATTTCAGGTTGACTGAGAGAATGGGTCAATTTTGATTTGCGTCTTCTTTCTAGACGCATTTGGAATGCATCTGATTAATGGGCAATTTCATTTTTGATGAGACTCTCAATTTTCATGACTTAATTTGTGTGACTGTCAACGATTCCTTTAACTTGAGCCTCAATCACAAAATGAATAGAATACCTCTTTGGATTCAGTTTGACTGTAGATGAGATCCAGTTCGATCCTTTTGGTTTATTCTTGAAATTTGGCTCTTTTGATTTGATTGTCATCCTTGGGTTTTTGGGATTCCTCGTATTTGTTGGTTGCATTAATGAAGGTGGGCTTCAACATCAAGGCATTGAGTTTTCTCTAAAAGTAGAGGTGTCTTCTATCCTTGATGGATTCATAATATTCTACTCCTTCCTAAATGGAATGAGGTGGGATGATTACCATGTAGAGTGAGATCAAATCTTGTATGAGTTCAATCTAAACTTGATCATTCAATTCGATTTCCATTTCAAGATTGAGAATTTGATCAGCGAAATTCTTGGGCAAGGACTTTTTGGTGAATTTCTCCTATCCGAATTTAAACATTTAATAATAAAATTATATAAATAAATGTTCATCATACCTATTGACTTTGATTTAATGTATCAAAAGCATTTTGGGCATCCTTCTTAATCTTTAATCTTCTATACCCACGCTTGCATTACTTGATGGTTTCTTAACAACCCAACAGCCACAACAATGATCCTTCGATCGCCCATAGCACGAATGAAAATGTTATAGCTACAATATCCAAAGCTCTTTGACTTTCAATTTGATCTGCAAATCTACCATAAATAGTCTGTATTGATCTTAAATTACTACTTCTTCATCTTTAATGCACTACATCCCCCAAAGCTAATCCAAACTATCTAGCAATTGCTTCCCATAATCTAAATTAACAAATGATAAATAGGTCATTGTGCAAGATAATGCCAGTCTCAGCAAGTAGTCCAAATACGTCAGAGTCTTGAAACTCAAAGGGCCTGCATGCATACACAAATAATACCAACGCATCTAAAGATATATGGGATCATGGGTATCCCATAATTGCAGATTAATAAATAGGCAATCACCAATACGAAATTCGCATATTCAGTCTATCTATAACTTAAAAGTGTATCTTGTTGTTTTTAAGCTATCAGAAACATTTCTCCATTACAATTTTGATTCCAAAAAGGATATGGTTTATAGAACAGGGCTATTTAGGTAGTATACATACTTTTTGTTCCATCTGAATCAATGAAGATGTCTCCAGCATTGTTAATCTGAAAGTATAATTGATCTGTAATGCTATTTGCTTCAACGTACTCCTTGTCCAATTCCAAACAGGACTGAGGTTATTTATCTAAATTTTCGTCATACTCTACTTCTGGTTAGGCATTAGTTTCATTTTTAGTAGCGCAAGGTATATATGAATCTATACGAATGAGACTAATGGGCATATTCTAGTTGTTGGTTTCTTTGTTGGTTGTAATCACCTAGATTTTTCCATCATTCATTTCGAGCGATATACTATTGATTGGACAAGTCAGATCAGAATCTATACAAAAATACATCTGGTCTATTCCACAGTCCTTCATGTTCCTATCTTCGCATGTCTCTGTGGAATTGACGGTTTCAATCACGTTTTGTTTTATTTATTGTCCACACAAAATAAAGGCAGTTTAGTATTCAGTAGTACTCCAATAGTGAAAAGTCTCTGAAGATTGCTTTGGTATGAACTCTCCCTTCGAATTGTAATGCTCCTTGGTACCAGGCCAATCGAAGGAGGTGAGTAATACCCAGTCTTCAGGACATTCACTTGAAGAATAAGCTTGAATGGAGGAGAAAGGATACTATTCCCAAGCCCACATTTCATTGATAAAAGCATATTGTCTATTTTATAATGATTTATCTCCATCCACAGAGGCCAGCCAAAAGAAATAAAAGAACAGTATTCTGCAACAAACATTAGCTAATAGCAGTGTCACTCTTGTTGCTTTATTTGCAGTATTCATTATAAAAGTAAATATTAATTTTTGGAAGTTAATCTTTTAATAAATAAGAACAAAAACATATTTTATTCATTATATCTGTTGTTTATTCCAGTCATAGAAAGATTATAATGCAAGTTATATCGTCTCTTGCCAAACTATTCTAAAATTAAGTCTACATTCTTACTCTTCTCCATGCTTAGATAGCTTCACTCACAACTTTCTCCGCAGCATGTTCTGGGTTATCCTTCTCAAAGTATGGAATCACTAAACTCATCACCTAATTGCTAAACTAAATACCTCTTCATTGCTCATGTATTCCCAAACTCCGTCAGAAGCCACAATTATAAATTGGTCATGATTAGTCAAAGCAAACTCCTTTATTTCTGGAATGGCTGTTACACCTGCCTAAGCTCCCACCTTATCTCCAAAGGACCTCGACATTGCCAAACCCGGGGCTTGTATGTATTGCAACCAAACTCTGAAAGGTCCTATGGGATTCCCGTGATAATCTAAATCCTTTAAGTTAATTTATACCTCTCTATTATTCAACTCGACCTCCAGCATCTATTATATTCTTTATTTCTTCAGGATCATCAGGCTTATGATCTCTTGTTAATGGTACGATTTACCAAACTTAATCGAACTTACATAGGATTGCTCTTGAATCACCAACGTTTGCTGTGTAGATCTAAAAAAAGATAGTGTCAAATTATTGTATTACAATATCTTTTGTGATTAGAACTGATGCCGTCGTAGAACCAGAAAGATTTGTGTCTGTATCTGAGTTCCAAATTTCTCTATTTGTAATTGTAAACGCTCGAGCTATTTACAATTTAGTTTCTCCTTGATTATCTCCCAAATACTTGTGCAAATGCTTAGGGAGAGTTTATTTAATAAAATTAGACACATGATGGCCATTCAGACCATGTCCATCTGAAACTGCGAATAACTTATAACCTATACTATTGTGTAATCACAAATCTATACTTCTCAAGAATTTTAGGACAAATGATGGCAGAATCCTAATTGATTTTTGTTGCCTTATTAATTTGGCATCCTGCCTTAGTTCTCATTGCATAAATTGCTGTTTATCTCCTCTGATATTTTGGTGTTATGGACTTTCTTATCTCAATCTTCTTACGTTAGAGCTAATCACTTGCTGCCAAATGATTTTATAACTAAGGTAGTCGTAGCTACTTCTATTTCTCTGTAAACACACTACTCTACTCTATCATTCTTATCTGTGGTAAGAAGAACTTTGACTTGTTGTTAAAGTCAGCACTCTCAGGATATCGTCCTGCTATTTATAATGGTTTTAAACGATAATCCTTTCTCAGATTATTCAGGGATTACGATTAATGGAACATATAATTTATATATTTAATTAACTCATCATGCTTCATTATTGCTTAGTTTCTCAATCAATATTCTTTGATCCTATTCCACTTTCTACAAACTATCAAGTTCGATCTAATATCTGTCCAACTCAGCCTTCCTTTCATTCAAAATATTAGATAACTCCATCAACTTCTTCTTTCTATTTTCCTATTCTGTTTCCACTTTATTACGCTAGATAACCCACACACTCAATACCTCTCCAATTGCTCTCAACTTCTCAATCTCTATTTTTTTTGAATATTCTTCCAATGTCTCATTCAAATTTTGAACCACCTCATCCAAAGCAAGCACCTTCTTGATAAAATCCATGCTCTCTATCTTCAATTGCTCTGTCTCTCTGTACTTCTCAGCATCCAACACTCTAATTTTGTTCTACTCATCAAAAGTAATTGAAATCTCTTCTGTCATTATTAATAATAATGAATTTGTAATGTGAATAGCCTTTTTAATATAAAAAACTTAGATCCCAATCCCTCAGTCCCTACAACAATTCCAATTTCATAAAGCAACTAAAAAAATAACTACACTATCCTCCCCAAAAGGCAATGGAATTATAAACTTTTGAGTATCTGCAAAACCAAGAATAAATCGAAACCAATATAATTGGCTCAGGTAATTAACAGCTTGTAACTTACATAAGATTCTATGAAATACTATTCCAAAACAATCAAAAGCAGAAAGAACTCATTAATAATTGAAACAGACTCTTATCCAATCAATGAAAATGTCGGATAGAGTGTGGCAATCAATCAATTCAACCACTGCACTCCAAAGATTGTAATAGTTAAGAACTTGTAACAGAAAATAACCAGGAGAAAGCCACTACCCATAAACCCTATCAATCCCCAAGATTGTAACGATGAAGAAACCATTCAACATAGTATCGTAGTTTAGAGTCAAAATAATGGGTCAACAATTGAAACGAAAAGAGAAAACATAACCATCCTACCCCAAATTAAGAAATCCAAAATCCTAATGGGAGAGGAACAACCAATCAAGAGATCAGCAAGATACGAATAATTAATGGTATTAAAATACTAAATTAGAAAAAAACCTGTGATGACCAACTCAATGAATTACAATCATTGATTAAGAAAATGTAAAAATAGCCAATCATAAAGAAGGAGAAAAAAGTAACCTTTCTTATTTGAAAATACATTTATTATTATTATTACTTACTAGCAATAGAATGTTATTTTAAATTCTATTCAAAAAATTTAGACGTTGATCTCATTCATCATATTTAACCATATTTAATTAATCTACTAAATTATTTAATTATTATAATTAAAATATAATTATCCTATTAATCTAGTGATTAAACGATTAAAAATAAAATCCAAAACAAAAACAAGTCAGATCATGTCCATTGAGTAATAGATTCCCTCAAAATATATGTAACTCTTATTGTACTCTAAATTTATAAATAACATTATACGCATGTCTCTTTGAATTTTCTATCGAATCAAAAACTAACTTATTTTTATCATTCTCCTTCTTCTAATAATTATTATCTTGCTTAAAATCACTTCATCATTATCAATTGATCCGCTTAACACACACATCAACATTATCTAATATTTCTTTTTGTGATTAGTTTGCCAAATATCATGTCATAGGACGGATTACTTAACTTACAGATCCATCAATGTAATAGCAAAACTTCTTATTTTATTCTATACAATAAATGCATGCTAATCTATTCTCTTTTGCTCTTTTAAGAGTTCAAATTAAATGCTATAATTTCTGTCTTATGCTTTTAATAATAAAGATCATTAAAATAGAAGTTGCCTAAGAATTAGATATTTATTTAATACATTATAATTTTCATCTGAGGCCTCCAACTCTGATTTATACACAATCAATGCTTATATCTCATTCTTAAGTTCTTTTTCAATACTTTAAATATTAATCCATTTATAAATTACTCTCCATTTTGGTTATTTATGAATTTATTGCCGTGAATACTGGAAATTGGCGATCAAGTAATTTTTGGGCTTCTTCAATTTTATCTAATTTGTAGATATCTATAAATTAATATTTTCTTCTATTTATTTTTAGATATTTAAAAGTCTCATAATCTCATTCTCGGTAGTACTGTTAATATCATCTAAAGTCGTAGCAAGAGAATTTTGAAAAGCTTTTGTTATCTGAAATTGTTTTAGCACTTCAATGTTTTACTTTGTTAAATTTTTAATTCGAATTCAGATTTCATCTCAGTATTGGTATGAATAGCTCTGTCATTAATCTTTAGCAAGAGATATTTGCTGCAAAAGAATCGATTCTCTTCATCAATGAATCAATTAAATACTTCTAAATGATTATTAGTAATTAAATTTATAATATTTATATAAATATATAAAAATCATTATAAATTAGGCAATTTTTACGACAAAATAGTATTTGACCATCCTCCTTGGGAGTGGTCTTGAGTTGAACTATAATTTTTATTTGATCTGGATGAAGAAAGAAAATTAAATTGAGACAACTCTTCAAGAGGGATTATTTTTTATAATTTGAGTTGACGTTCTAAAAGACTTTTATTTTTAGTAGAATGACATTTTTTAAAATTGAATTAGATTGGAGGTAAATCTTCAGTCACAACACTGAGTTATTTTTTATGGTACGAAACCACTTTGGGTAATTCTCTTTAAGTTAATAATTCTCTGATTTCTTGATGAGCCTATAGTTTTCCCATTTTCTACGCTTACTTGACTACTAGTTACAAATCACTTGATTCGATGTTCGATAGTGAGTTTTCTTCTACTGATTCAGTCACAGTTTGAAAGGTCTCGTAATTGACTTTGCTTTGCATTTTAACCATTTTAGCGAGATCTTGAAGTTCACTAGCATCTTTCATAAGCATGTTTTTGAACAGTAATGGTTATAAGCCATTAACAGTCGAGAAAGATTTTCTGAGTTTGATTGTTAAATCTACTGAATTTTACCTTTTCAGTTTCCTATAGAATTCTGCTTGTGCTTTGAGGAATAATGAATAAGCTTCGTCCGCTATAGTTTTTTTTTCAGTTTCTTAAATTAATTAGCGAAAAGCCTAGAATTTGATTGAAATGCTTTATTCACTGAGAATCATTTTTAGTTACTATTCTCTTTGAACCAAGAAACTCAGATGGCTTAGCATTGCTCCGACTGATAATGGAACATACTTTTCATCATATTCCAAAGTTTTCAGAATCTTCAGCATCATAATTCTGAATGCTGACAAGGCTTCTTGATTTTCTGTCAGAGCTTTGAATTCATCCAATGATAAGGCCTTGTCCTTGTTATAATCGATAAATTGGTAAATGGTTTATAAATCGTTCACGCTCACTCCATATCCGTAGTGTTTGAATAGCATAAACAGATGAGCCAAAGAAAGAACTCCTTCATTGTTGCAATCTAAAGTCTATGAGAGTTAATCAATCAATTTACCCTGAAAATCTATTTTAGTTCCATCTGTAGTTTTCTTTCTTCAGGATAATAGAGATATTGGGGTCTCACTTAATCAGATCTTCTCTTAAACCATTGGTTGGTAGGAAAGTTGTGAAAATGATTTCGATTATTCAATTGATCTATGTAATTTTGGCTAGCTTCATCAACGATTGGTACTTAGTCCCATTTAACTTTGTGATATTTCATTATTAATTATGATGAAATTTTTTATAGTATCAATTCTATTCACAACATTACTCTCATGCCAAGTTTAATATAACAATGACATCAAATTTGATTTCAGCAAAGCATAAGCAATTAATTTGGCATATGGAAATGATGGGAAATCCTTATACATCACCTTGTGCGGACTCTTAAATTACAAATGCGAGAAGCCTAAATCCACTAGAATTTTAGAAGAAACTAAGTCTGATTCATCTAATACACCCACTACTAATACTAATACTGAAACCACAACTACAAATGAAAATGAAAATAAAACAAATACAGATGCAGCAATTGATACAAATTAAGATGGCAACATTGACAAGAGTAATACGACAACTTCAACAGATACTAACACTCCTGTATTAGATGATAAAACAAGCGAATCTCAAGTCATCGAAAATAAAACAAGTGATGATAAAGATGATGATGCAAATGTTCTGAAATAAGTAGATAATGATTAAACATAATCACTTATTGTTGCAGAAAAGAACACGTGTACTCCTTATTCTGAATAAAACAATGTAGATGCAAATCAACTAACTTTATTGGTTGAAAATAAACCATTTTAAGGACTAGTTATTGAAAGAAGAGGAATAGTAGAAAAGGAGACCTTTAAATTATAATTGAAATGCTCTGAATCAGATGCAATGACAGTAGTAGACACTGATAAAGATGGATATCTATTCATCCTAACGACATCGTCTGCTTGTCCAATCTTAGTTTATAATCCTATTACTTAATTCTTTATTGATTTCAAATGGCTATTCATCGTAATTCTTTGGGTGGTTGGAATATTCTTCCTACTTTTAGGATACTAATTAGCATAATTGTCATCTATGATTCTTGCTATTCTAATGGGTTTTGGATTCACAACCATTGTCATTGGAGAAGCCACATTAAATAGCAACTCTAGTCATGCAGCAACCTGGGTTGTCATAGGATCAGGAGTATTAGTAGCTTTCATATACTTCAATGCTTCGATGTAGAGATTCTTTTTCCTTCTATTTAATTTTGGATTCAGTGTTGGAGTAATCTTATCTTTGATGGTTCAATCATTGTTTTATTATTCAATAGAAACAGACTTGATGTTCTTCCCTTTATCAATCTCCATCATTGTTTCTGGAGGCATTTTAGGTTTGCTTGGTCTCAGATATAACCTCTAAATGGGAATTGTATCTACTTCATTAGTTGGAGTAAGTATATCATCATAAATTAGGCTTATTGCTTAATAAGACCTATTTGCTTTCTTGTAGGAGGTTACCCAAATGAATTATTGTTGACTAAATAGGCTGAGTATGGATTTGATATCAATATCGGCTATTCAGTTTATGTTTATAATGTTGTGATCATCTTAGTGGCCATAATTTGTGGAGTCTTTTAAAGAAGATAACATCTAAAAAGAGTGGCTCTAGACGATCAATTATAGGCTGACATCAATTATTATGAAATGGGTAATGTAGAAGATGAAGAAAAATAAGTAAATTGTGTTACCCTATTCAATAGAAAAGATAAAGTAAAAATAGTGATAAGAATGTGACTGTCATTTTTGCTAAACATCTTGAAAATTAAGGAGAAGAACTTTAAGATAAGAAACGACACTCTCATTTAACTGGAAGTGATATCAATGAATGATGATTGTTAATGTCGATATTTTATGTAAAAAATTTAATTTTTCTCTCATTATTTCTAGTATTAAATCTAATTATATTTTGATTTTCCATCTTATATAAACAATTGCTACATATTGAAATTCCATTTCTATAGACTTGAAATGAGATTGTTAATCCAACCTGTATTATTCTATTCAATTTTATTAAATGAAAAATTTAATTTTCTTCAAATTTAGATTGAAAACCAATTTTATCAACTGTTAAACAATTCCAGTTACCCAAAACTCAATTTGTAGATTATATTGATTTATGTAGCCTTCAATAATAACAATCATTTCTTTTTTCACATTATCTAATATAATCATTTAATAATATTGCTTGGTTTTTGAGAAAGTTTGTTATTGATTTTTTAAACTCATCACATAAGTTTCATCCCATTTTACTTCTACTTAAATTTCTTATTATAAAACTTCTAGTATTAATAGAGAATTAATCCTAATTTAAATAATTCTTCTGATTTTTTCTGTTTCTTCAATTCTTTTTTAGAGATCACATTAATATAGGTTAATCTATTCACCTGAGCTTTCCGAGGGCGAAGATCAGATCTATATTTCGATATTGATTTTTGCAATGTATTTTCAATTTTGTAATAATACCTAATAAAATTATGATGAATAACTCATAATAATTAGGGATTCTAAGGTTTATTTTTCTAAAATTCGACTTAATAATTAATTTCCTTTTGTAAGAATATAAGCATTAAAATTTAAGTCGTTCTCTATTTTGATGATGATATTTATTATTTGGATTATACTTGTAATTATAAATATCCTAAATAATTTTAAGAATATGTAATATAAATTAAAATTATATTAAAAAATAAAATTGGAATTACTGAAAGATGAAAATATATCTGAAAAATAAATAACTTTAAATAAAGTTTTTGAATTTTTAATGTTCAATAAATTTATAAATATCAATTAATTCCATACTCTAAGAAATTTTCTATTTTTTCCTTAGCTTTTGAATCTAGCTCAAAATATCTAATAAATCATGAACTCTACACAATCTCTACTTTGATTTAAAGACAAAATAGCAATAATTTCCTTACAAGCCATTCTAATTTGAGTAGAATTGTAGGAATGTGTAGTTACACTAAATTGAATAGTTATCGATTTAATATATTAATTAAATGAGTGAATAAATTTTAGAGTAAGTATTAGAACAGAGATTAGGATTTGGAAAGCATTATTGGAGATAATTCTTCATAATAAGTTTCATTGACTTCCTGGATGGTGCTGAGTTTCTTTATTTAGCATTACTAATTCCTGCAATAAAATAGGAATGGAATTTATCAATAATTGAACTTTCAATATTTGGATCATCTTTTACCTTAGGGTTAACGATAGGTTCGATAATTTGTGGTTTCTTAGCAGATAGAATGGGAAGGAAGACTATATTAATAATAGGAACAGTTTTTCAAGTATTTTAATTATGTTATAAAGACTGCAGTCGTTTTTCTTACAGTATTTACCAATAACATAATTGAAATGATCCTGCTTAGACTAATATATGGGACTGTAATAGGCATGAATCTTCCGATTAGTTCAATATTGATGATTGAAGTTACTCCAAAGCTTCATAGAGGAAAAATTATAGTGGCACTCTAAGTACTTATATTGTTGGGACGATGTTGGATAATGATATTAGGCTATATTTTTATGGAAAGTATTTCCAAGGGTAATTGGAGAGCCATCTCTTTATGTAATAGCATTCCGTGTTTGCTTTGTATAATTGGAACAATTTTCTGGATTCAAGAATCCCCAAGATTTTTGATTTTAAATGAAGAAATTCAAAAAGGAATTGACAATCTAAATCAGATTGGATAATTTAATAATTCATAATATTAGATGTTGACTGATGATGAAATTTAGAGTTTAAAAGAATGGGCATAATTGCAAAAATAGCACCATTAATAATAAGAAAAAAATTCTATTAAATAATTGTTTAATTAAGAAAATTTGGCAATTACATGGATGAACTATTCAATAAATTTCTTGTTTATGTTTGCAATGATGGCTATCTTTAACATTTTACCATTTATTTTGGATGATGAAAACAAGACGTTGCTACATTTATATATTTTAGATATAGGTGAGATCCCAGCTATATTTGTAATGTTATATAGTATCGATAAATTTGGTAGATTATCGACTTTATTATTTTCTACAACAGTCCTCACCTTAATTCTATTTTCTACGTGGCATTGGAAATTGTATATAATCATTACAGGACTTGCCATCTTTAAATTCTGCTGCAAGATAAATTGTGGAACTTTAAATGTCTTATTTGCTGAATCCTATCATACCCTATATCGATCCTTAGGACTTGGGACAACAAATGCAATGGGAGGGATAGCAGGATCTCTGGCACCATTTGTAGTCTTCCCAATCTATTTCTATAATTATTATTTGCCATTCTTAATTTGTGGTGTGTTTAGTTTATTCACACTAATTTTATTAATTTTTTACCCTATTGACTTAACCAAAAAGCCCTTAGATTAGCTAAAACAAAAATGATTTATAAAATATATTTAATATAAAATAATGAACTTGAAATGCTTGTAATGCACCAACAACGATGTTTCTTTTTGGTGTTTGGACAAATTTTGTGAGAAAAATTTGATATGTGATCAGTGTCAGGTTAGACATGGGAATGTAGAGAAAATTTTTAATCCGGTAAATTAATTAAATTCTGATGTTTAGAAAAATAATATTAAAGCATGGGTAAAAAAGATGATGAAACAGATGTTGAGTATTATGGAAAGAATTAATAGATATTAAGAAGAAATTGAAAAATTATTTTCTTATACACAATAGAATTAAAATCAAGATAGAAATGCATTGATTAATCAATAATAGAATTAAAATGAAGATGGAAATGTATTGATTAATCAATAATAGAATTAAAATCAAGATAGAAATATATAAGTTAATCAACAATAGATTTAATTAGAAATCTATTAAAAAAGATTAAATCGATACTCCCAATATCTTCAATTTAACCCCTAGATCCAATCTACCTTATTTATTTTAAATAATCAGCTAAATAATTATTTTTTCCCTTAGAGTTACAATAAAGATGCAGTAGATAATTTACAATAATTAGATAATTGTAATAATATTGTATTCATATTAGGCAAGAAATTAATACATGATAAATATTATGCCAAAGCTTCATAAGAAATATAAAGTTTAGACCCAGATGACTCTTAATACTTTTAAAGTATATATTTAGAGTGATATGTTAGTTGAATTACTGATCCTTCAAAATAATTTGAAACATGCATTGGAATTGTCAGAATAAGCTGTTAGGTCAAATCCAACATTCAAATTGGAACTTTAACAAGGTTAGTATCAATGTATAATATATAGCTAAAATTCTTCATAAATAAAAATAATACGCTTAGGCTTAAAAAATTTTGAGGAAATATGAATCAACTCAGGGGGAAAATGAATAACTTTAATTACAACTTGGTAAGGAATTTATTAAATTCAAGCAAAAACCATAATAAAATGTGGCTACATTGATTTAGGGCGTTAGACAATCAATAATATTAAGGGGAGGTTAGAAAATGAAAATAATAATATATCATAGGAAGGGAGGGATTTTCTTAAAAGTATTGAATTTAGGTTGGCTTATGGTAATCTAAAATTTAATAAAAATAGCAAAAGCCAACCTTTAGGCCATTAGTGATGATAGATGCAGTCAAAATAGTTCCTAATAAATGAGTGAAGACCAAAATCTACAAAATAACTAAAATATAAATGTAATTATTTTCTTTAAATTCAAAGGATGTGAAGACTACTTATGAGAAAATTTTAAAAGAAGAACCGACAAATCAAAGTGCTCTATATGGATTAAGTATATATTATTCTAAATTAGGTTAAACTTTAATTATTTAAAAAGAATTAATTAAGGCAAGAGAACTGTTATATCAACTCATATAATTAAATCCGAAATACCGTAAGGCAGGTAAAAAGCTCTTTAATCTTAGAAAGGGCATTAATGTTCATAAAAATGAAATTATTAGATCAACAATAAGACGATTTAGAAGGATAGTTTGACACCTTTGGAGGAGTTATGGGCTATGTATATTAATTTTGCTGTTCAAAATTTGGAGGAGATCAACAATAATAATGATAAGTGCAAATTTGATTCATTTATCTGAAAGATTTATTTAAATAATTATAGTTATTTTCAATTACAAAATATTTTGTTTATTGAGAAATTAATATTATGGAAATTGAGTAAGTGATTTTTTCTTGTGAAGTGATTAGAAGACATATAATAGTGAATAAACATTATTGTCTACAGTTATTAAACAACAGAATCTTGATTAGAGAGAATGTATAGTATATAAGATCCATAAATTATTAGTTAGAACATCCTGCTAAGTATTAGATTGAATTAAATCTAAAAGGATAAATAAGTTGGAAATTGGCTGATGATCATAAGATTAAAGAATTTGGTGTTAAATATAACAATAAGCTCAAATGGTTTACTGGAATATCTGAATAGTTACATTAACTCAAGCACCTTATTTCAAATAAAATATTCATGACTGGAATTTCAATTTTTTATTCGTCACATGAATTACTTGGAACTGGAGCATCTTGTAAAGTTATTCTGATTAAAGATTATGCCACTCATCTATGCTATGCAGCTAAATGCGTTAGTAAGGATTACATTAGAAAAAAGAAAACATCTGATAGATTTGATAGATTAGTGAATGAAATTGAAATATTAAGATCCTTAAAATCACATCCTAATTTAATAAAATTGCAGGAGTTATATGAAGGTGAAAATAGTTACTATTTAATATTTGATTATTTAGAAGGAGAGACTCTCCACAAATATATTAAGAATAGTGGACATCTCATGACAGAACCAATTGTAAGGAGTATTCTTTAAGTAAAAAAATTCAATTATATATAATAGTAACTACTGTTAGGAATCAAAATGTGCCATCAATAAAATATCATCCATAGAGACATGAAATTAGAAAACGTGGTACTTACAAAAACTAATAAACCAGAAAATATTAAGATTATTGATTTTGGATTGGCCATTTTTAATACTTAGAATCATCCTTTTTCCATTTGTGGAACTCCTGGTTATATTGCACCTGAAATTTTAAATTATGAAGATAACAAATATAAGTCAGAGTAATTTATTTACACTCCTTAGATTGATATGTTTGGAATTGGAGCCATGCTTTATAGAATGTAATTTTATTCTCTTGAAATAGAATGACAAGAGAACCTTTGTTCAATGCCGATAAAACTAAAGAACTCTTACATAAGAATTAAAAATGCCTATTTATTAAAAGAACAATTTCTCAATATTCTTATATTCTGAACTAAATTCTTTACGGATTGCTGGAATTTAATCCAAAAAAAAGATACTCCGCTGATCAAGCCTTGGAATTGCTTTAATCTCAATAAATCAATTAAATTACTTTGAAACATGAATCTAACAGAAACATCAATTTATAACAAGAATTTCAAATACCTACAGACTTGGATTTTATTTAAATTCCTTATTTGTTTCCGAATAGGAAAATCAAAAAGGAAATGGGTTTTTATCATTCATATCATATCAACGAAGATATAATGTAAGGATTTAGGAAATCTTATCTACCTTCTTTTAGTATAAGACAGAGTCTGGATGTTGATCATGATAGTTTAAAAGAGGAAACTGACCGAGATTAAGTTTTAGAACTATGATATGATTTTCAAATTATATTATAATTTATGCAATAATATCAAATTTAAAATCATTGTTAACAAATTTAATATAAAATAATTTATAGTAAATGAATGAATTATAATTCCTTTAATATAGATATTAATTGAGAATAAGAGAATAAAAGTCGGCAAAAGACTTATGGCTATCAACTTATTGCTGCTTTTTGTATATGCTACTAAAAGCATTCAATATTACGGGGAAGATGGCAATGATGCAAATTTATGATTTCATTTATTCAACCAATTTTCCATTAGATCCTGATCCAGGACTAGTAAGTTTTGGAAATATTTAGTACAATCAAATATTAATTTTCGTAGATGGTTTTGTTACGAAATGGCTGCTCCTTTTAGTTTACCTATGATTCCAATGCTCTTATAAAAAGTGCAGTTCAGATACATATTCTTCTTTTCCTCATTTGGATCTATTTTGTTCATATTCCCCCTTTAATTTGCAACAATTTGCAAGGATTCTCAAGTGTCAATCTGCAATATCTATGTTATGTGGACTTTTACTATAGTGTTTTCATTTATTTCAGGATTTTGTAAGACTTTGCTGCTTTTTTCGATGCTCTATTATTTGTCTAATTTGGCTGGTGGTCGAGAGAAGATTATTTACTACAGTTCATTCTATTTTATGTATGTATATAGATTTTATATTTAAAAAATAGACATCAATTTTAATGGTTGATTGGTAGTTTGATAGGAAATTTGCTGGTTCATTTTTGCAGCAGAGGGTCACTAGTAGAAACATTAAAGCATGTTTATATTATATTGATAGTCAGTTCTTTGTTTTTATGTATGTTATTCTTAACTATTCCGGATGAAAAAAAGAAATCTAAATTTAAAAAGTTTAACAAAATAATCACCCAATTGCTCATTCAAAATGGAAAAGAGAACTAGAAGGTGCTGAGATTGGAACTATAAAAAATGAATTAGAAAAACCAAACTAATTAATTATACAATAAGTTAATTGATGTGGACGAAGAGGCTGATGAAAAAAAGAAGATCAAATAAATTATGGATTCGTAGGTGCAAATGATGCAGACTTAATAGTTCTTTACAATTCAAAGTTTTTCATATGAGGAAAATAATTTAGAAGACATACTATCAGAAAAACCAAAGTCATCTGAAGATTTGCATTGGATTTATGCTAGTTAGAAAACTATATCAATTGAGGAATATGTCAAAAATAATTACTTTGGAAATCTATATCTAACCTTATCTGTTCTATGTTTGGATGGATTCTGTTATTTCATAATATTGATTTTCAATGTTGGAAGTATGCTGTCCTTTTTATTGTTGTAATTGCCTAATTTATTGACAATCAATTCAGTATTGGATCCAGAAGTCAGAGCTGCTACAATATATGAAGGATTCCTGTATGTTGGAATAGGTTAGATTTTTGGATGCTTTTATATGGGGTTGTTTGGAGACTTCTCTTAAAAAATCACGTAAAGAATTTTGTAATAAATTAAGAGGGTTATATTATATTCTTGGAGTATATCAGTTGGGTTGTTTTTTGGCCTGGGGAATCTATATCTTTTAAATAGACTTTTTAATATTTTCAATGTCATTCATCTTGGGATTCACTTGTTCAGCCATGATGTCAACTACTATATCATTTTAGATAGTTTATTTTCATAAAGTATAAATTTATATTGAAAATAGTTCATCTACTCAGTAGATTTGATGTATATAATTTTCAGTTTCTCTTTCTCTGTCACCTCCATATTATATATTATTACTAACTTTTTCGGAAAATTTAATGGTTTGATATTGCTATAGATTTCAGGGATATTGGGATTATTATCCATTTGGAGGATACATAAGAAATTGAAGGCAAAATTGAATAAATTACAATGACTAATTATTATACAATAACGAATGAATAACTTTCTTCAATTCTTCAAGAATGTTGTCAATGAGTCCAACCATTAGATATACAATCTTTGTTCCTTATCCAATGAATAATGTTCAATGAATGCTCCCAATTCATCGTTGATTCCAAATCCTTTCAAATAGTCTACCAAAGCCAATTGTAATCTCTAAAAAATAACTATTATAATAACCTCATCTAAAGTGATGAAATCTGGACCTGAATAATCTTACAATCCTCTTTCAAATCTTGGAATTTTCTTATGGGCCTCTAAGTCCTTAATCAAACTTACTAAATTAACATTAACCTAATAGGATTATTATAAATGTTTACTTCTCCTTATGATGTAGTACATTCATAGCATAAGATTTATCCATTGCTCTTTTATAGATAAACTGTGAAGTCAGCATAATCATTTTGTGATTCTTATTGTTCTTCTTCCTCTTGATTTTACTATTTGTTATTTTATTCTTCTGGTTCTTCCTCATCTGCTTCATCTGTATTTGGTTGTCTTTATTGGAATTGGACAATGACTTTGACATCACCTACTTTTTTTTCCAATGTGACTTCATGATTGCTATCGCTGTCAATCAATTAGAAACCAGCCTTCTCCACAAATTGAATAGCTGTATCATCCTCAACATAATTGGTTTTTTCGTATTTCAATTCTTTCTCTACGATTTTCACTAATTTTTATCCAGCTATTTTATTAATTGGTTGTATACTTTTATTAACCTTTTCCAATTAGGTGCAGAATGGAGCAAAAACTCTTGTCACATTCATTGGTTTGATGGTACTTAACAATCTAAGAGGTATTTTGGAAATCATGCTATAAATTTTTAATTGTGATAATTTATTTAATAAAAAATGTCAAATAATTATTATTTCATTCTAAATTATTAATGAAACAATAAGCAAAATACGAAATAGTTCTTAATATTCAAACAATAATATTTTATATCAATTTATTTAAACTAAAAATGTACTATTTTTTCCAAATATTTACTACATATGATATACAATATTTCTATAGGCTAAGTAAAGAAACAAATATTTAAGCTTATAATTAAACAAATGAATTATATATATTATTCCAGAAAAAGAATTTGAGAAATCTTCGTATATATTATAATTTAAAATACAACCTAGATATTTTAAGTCTATGTTACTTTAGATCAATTAGTATCCTAAAATTAAGCCATTCTATATAGCTTTTTGAATGTTGCTTATAAGAGTAATCATAAAGTAGTTTACAATTCAATAGTTCCCTCTTTGTTGTCACTATTACTAAGAGAATTTTTCTTTAGAGATAATTTGTGCTATTATAAAAATATAAACAAATCAAAAAAACTCTTCCTTTAATTTCTTCTCGCCCCACATGTTAATTATATCCAACTATTAATTAAATTAGAATCATTACTCTTCTGATCAAGGTTAAGATTTTACGAACCTTCTTATTGTCCTTAACCACCTCTCCTAAATCAGTTAACGAAGTTGACCAAGGATATGCTTTATTTCTCAATAGTAACTAAAATGAGTTTTATAATTCTTACTTCAATAATAGGAATGTTATTTTCTTGTATAGCTAAATACAAAGGAGTTCTATTCATGATATCAATCGCATCAACATCTGCGTGATACTTAATTAATAATTCTGACATTTCATACAATCCCTTTTTACTAGACCAATGCAAGGCTGACATATTAAAGAAATCAAAATCAAAAACTAAGTATTAATTTTTATCTAGATATTAACGAACCTTCTCTAATTAATTCAACTTGACAGCATGAATGAATTCTTGTGAGTAAAGCTTTTGATAGGGCTTTTTGGAGAAGATTTATTTTTAGAGCATCATTTTAGTTGTGATATTCATTTCTTTTAATTTTTTTAAAGCTCTAAGTAAACATTACCTTAATTATTTTTTAGTTCTTTTTGCAGGTTTAATTTACTCATTCAATAAATTTTCATCGCTCGTCGAATTAATAACATTTCTTGTTTTCATTACTGAAGAATTTTCTAATCGATTTTCCTGTCCTGTTGGGGACTTGATTGATAACATAGTGCTTTCATCAATATCAGTCTATTGAAATGCTCTGTCTATTCTGCTTGTTTATATTTGTATCTCAGTTTCACATATATAATCTGATTCCAAAGGGATTTTACGATTTCGAAATTTAGATGTCTAAGGAGATCTTGAGAGTGTTGTTCTGTTAGTACTTAGAGGACTTGAAACAAATTTTATTCTGAATCGAGGAGAACTGTTTGTGCCTTTTTAATTCTCTAATTTGATCGGAGCAATTTTTCTTATATTATTTTCACTCTATGAAGCTTTCTTTTCTCTTATATACCCTTTCTATCTCTCAAGGTATTCCTTATAGGAGAACTTCACAGCTCCATCTTAAAGAATAATCATAAAAGTACTTTAATTTGCAATTACTGTCATACTTTGAACTTCCATCAATTAAGGTCTAGGTTATCTAGATATATCATTATATTTTATACCTAAATTCTGCTTGTATTTTGCAATAGCTTTAACCCATAGATTTCTTCATTTTCAATTATATTATTTAAGGTTGGTAGTATATTTTTATTATAAAATAATAAATAAGTTATAATAATAATCTTTGCTGAAATAATTATTGACATATTTTTAGATTAGATCAAAAATTCTGAAATTTTACTAGTAGAGAAATCGCTATTTTTAATTTATTAAATAGCATTAAAACCATTGATTAAATACTTAATGAGCCAGAAAACACATTAAAAATTAAAAAGCTTTTGAATACCTGAACTTAATAAAGCTTTGGAAATAAGAATATCCTTAGAAAATTGTATTTTCTTAATTATTATTTATTCTTATTTTAAGCACTATTTTAGTAATTTTTATAAATCTAACATAGTAAATGAAAGGATATTTCTTTTTCTTTAAAGTGCCAATCTGTTTAAGAGATTTCTAGATAGTAGCTAGTTAATAATACATTATTGATGCTAAAGAGAATAATTTTTAATTTGTATATTATAATTTTTTATTATTGAAAAACATTTAATTAAAATAGATTATAGAACTATAAAATTGAGATATCAATGATAACTTTCTTAGTCAAAGTGTTGTCTATTGCTTACTAATATATTTAATTATCTATAGATTATTTAAAATCTACATATTCTTTTCTTTTGGTGATAATTTCTCTAAAGAATAAAAATTTCTAAATTGTTTCGAGAATCTTTAACTGAAGGCTTGAATTTTGGATTATTAACATACTTTAGATTTGGATTAGTTATTTAAGAAATAATTCAAACTAATTATTTTATATTCTAAAAATTCTCTTATTATTTTTTTGGGAAACTAAAAGGAATTTGAACCCTGTTTTTAAATACTTGAGTTGAGAATACCAAAAATATAATCAATTAAGTATTAGAATAAAATAATTTTTATACAAATTAATTATCATATGCATAAAAGTTGAATTTGGAAATATTTGATTGGGTTAGTTTATTTCAATAAAATCAAGTAATATGGTGTCAATTAAATATAAAGAGAATCACTTTAAAATTAGTAAACTTTCTGTTTAATGATTTTTGGGTATAATGATATCATGCCCCCCTTAATTGGATATTTATGATGAATTTTAGAAGGATTTTCATAAAGTCATCATTAGTACATAAAAAGCAATTATCCACTTAAAAAAATATGAATTAGTTTGAGAGTAATTAAACTGGAAGCAGCTCTGATTCATCAAGTAACAAATAAAAAGAACAAAAAATTTTAATGACTTTGAGTTTCTTGACTTTAAAAAATATAGTCTTTCCAAAGATATTAAACCATTTGTTCTTTTCTGAATAGAAGGGCAAAATCAAAATAAGAAAGACAGATTAATTATTAAAATTATTGACAAAAGCCTATAATGTTGATTTAATTGAAAAGTTTACAATAGATGTGCCTGAATATACAGAGCTGGAACTCATTATTAAGATTTTGTAATTGTGTCTAGAGAATTTGGGTTCATTAACTGAGGAAATTCTGAATAGCAAGGCATTTTATGCTTTTTATTATAAATTATACGATTTTTAGAAAAAGAAGTAGAGTAATAACGTAAACAATAATATAATATTTGAATAAGTGCAACAAATAATATAGCAGACTCCAAATATTTATGTAATAACTGAAGATTTCAAGTATTTCATTTAATTTAAAGCGTAAATGATTGCAATTATGCAAGCTTTAAAAATAGGAATTCCTTTGACTTCATTGCTTTTATGCACAAGGTTCTATATGAATAGAGATACCTAATAATTCTTTATTGAATTCTTAATTACTAATGAGGTGTATAAATAAATATATCATAAAAGATAACTCTCAAATTTTAATTATTTAATGAATATAGATTAATTGATAAATTAAAGCACCTTAAGTTTATCTGACATGAATTATTATGTAGAGAAAATATTCCCCAGATATGAAGATGAATTGGTTGAAACAAACTTTAATATTTTTTAAAGGAATCTAGATCTAATTTTAGAATAAAAAAAGTATTTGATGATAGACTTATAGCATTTGGTTGAATCAAATAAATTCATAGAAGTTTATTCTTAGCTTGCAAAATATCGTCATTAAGTCGATTAAGCTGAACTATTTTATTAAGGCCTGTCTTAAATCATTTAATATTGTTAAACAACTGAAAAATCAATATTGGATTTTCGTCCTGTTAATATACCATCTTTTATTAAAAAGAACTTCTTTAGAACTCATGAGAAAAAAGAACTTATTTAATAACATTAAATTGAATCTCTGCTTATATTTAATAAGATAATGACTGAGATGATTACACTTAGATTTCCATTTCCAATAATTATAACGTATTTGGATTTTAATAATGAAAATATATTAATCAGTATTTCAAAGGAATTAATAATATAATGTTAGTAAGATAAGGTGTTCAATTTATTTCTTGCTCTGGTTCATTATAACTTTTAAACTCTAGCGAAGTCTCAAACTTACTCTAAAGCCTTTTACCATTCTTAAATAGCAAAATAAGACATGTAAATAAAAGAAATCATATTGAAAATGTTAGAAATAATATTGGAATTTTAAAATTTAATAAAAAGTGATTTAGAGAAGATTTTAAATGAGGAAGACACCAAATGTAAAATTGACAATTTTATTACTCAGTTCTAAAAGACGAAGACCGATTAGAACAGTTTTGATTAGAAAATAGCATCCATATTATTAGAGTTAATACAGTTTGATCAAGCAAAAGTTGTTGATATGAGCAATGAAATATAACTTAAACAGCAATTGCAGAGTATCATATCAGAAATTGAATATAAAACTACTAAATAACCCTATTAATAACGAAGATTAGGGAGACCCCCAGGATTCTATCAGCATTAATAATATGTTTAGAAGAGAGTAAAATAATAAGCATAATATTAACAAAAATTAATTTAATAGCCAATGGATTAATATTAAATTTCAAAGCATAAGAAAATAAACAAATTGACTTCTGAATAATAATTAATGGAAGAATTAGAGAGTATTTTAGTTTGATTATTTCAAATTGTTCTTCCAATAATTCCCAAAATTCCCCTTTTTTCATTATTTTCTAAAAATTATAAAATATATAATTATAATATTTTTCAAGCCTTAATAATTAGCTCATAAAATAAAGAATCTTTAAGATTGTCAAATTAATCTTTTAAAAATATTTTAAAGCCCAATATATATTGTTGTTTATTATTTCAAAATTATTATATTATGTTAATAAGTACCTCCTTACACCACTTGACTAAGGATAGGGAATAGAGGGATTATCATTAAAATCTACAAAAAAGGTACATCAGGAATATATTTGAATGTAGAACAAATTAAGAGTTGATGGGAGGATAAACCAATCCATAAAATTGTTAATTGAAACCTTCTTTTTATCAAGTGTTCCCTCATTAACCAAATGACTTGCAAAGTAACGATGAAATGAAGGTGCCCACTCTTACCAATGTTGCTTCCTATAAGAACAATGATTAACAGATCAATATAGAAGGATCAAAGAAGGTTATGTCTGTTCAAGAAGATAATTCATTGCTATCCCCTTCTGTAATAATAATGATGAAATCTCATTTGTTGTCAGAGACGAAGAAACCAAGTTATGACAATGGAAGGTTGAGAGTGATCTTAACCCAAATTAAGCAGCGATTGTTAAATTCAATTCATTTTTCAAAATACAATGATCCTCTTGTAACTCATGAATTTAAGGAAGGTACTAAAAATAGAATAATTAAATTAGTGTCTCCGTTTTACTATTATTATTTCACCTTGTTCATGTTTATGACTACATTTATCTCCAACTTCTTTGCAATTACTCTCATACCATTGCACAAGGTGTTTCATCTTTAGGGATCGGTTTCTCAGATATTCTATTATTTCAAGATTTTTGCAATTTTATTAGACTTATATTTTTAAAGAGGCCCTTACAAATTATTTAGAGGAAAAATTACTTAAAATTATAAGAATTAAAATAAAGTGTTTTTGGATTTATTTAGGCTAATTATATTATTAATTAATTATAATTTAAATTTGGAGAGTCGACTTTTAACTATTTTATTGATAGTGATCTTGATCCTGGTGGAAATGATCCGAATAGCAGAACCATTTGAGAATTTATACATATCAACCCAATACATAGTGATGATAATATAATTGTGGGCCTCCATAATTGTGAGTCTGACTTGCGCATTGAAGAGTATTAATATCATTTAAATAAGAGTATTTGACCATGACGATGATCAATCCTTGTCCTTATATATAAGTTACTCAATTTCCCTCTTAACCCATAATGGAAACATTTGTAAATATACAAACTAATTTAGCATTAACTTTGAATGAGGATAATCACATAGTAGTTTCAGTGTTTTCGTTGATATGCTACTTTTGTTATGTTTATACATTAGTTCTATTATGGATTTGGATAAAACCCAATATAGAGATCCAAGAAGAGAAGCAAAAGTTGCTTAAGGGATTTATTGAACATTTCTAGGAGAAGTGCAAGGATTAAGATTTGTTGAGAAGATGTTACTCTTACTTAGATTATAGGATTGATGTAAGATTTAAATGAAGAATAGATAGGAAGATTTAGGTAGAGCGAAGGAGTAATTAATGAAAAAGCTGAGTCCTCCTTTGTAGGATGAGATTGATCTGGCATTAAGAACCAAGATGATAGAAAGGATAGAATTAATGAACAAGTTTTCTCCTCAGTTCAAATAACAATTATTGTACATGATTGAGTAGGTGACATTCAATCCAGAAGACAATGTTTTAATAGTAGGATATATTGAAATATAATTAGGAACATTAGGCTGAGGATTTGAGTTTGTATTATATTTTGAAAGGAGAAGTAAAGGTGTAATTTCAAGGTTCTTCTTTAGCAAATAATAAAAGATCTGTGACAAAACTTGTAGAGGGCTAGGCATTTGGATAGCATTCGTTTATTTCTGGAATACCTTCTAATATCAGTATTTTTAGTTGTGGAGTTACAACTCTGTTGAAATTGAAGAGGTCGGATTTTATTGAGATATTATCGCATTATCCAAAAGATAATGAGAGATTCAGTATGATGAGAGATAATTCCCTCTATAATCAATCCTTATTCGATTGTTATTACTGCAGAATTCAAGGCGAATACATTGTAGAATGCAGACATTTACAATATTTCCCTTAAAGACAAAATGTGCTTGAGAGATATTTATACAGTCGCAAATAACATCGTAAACCTATAGTAAGAAAACAAAAAAGATATTTGACTTTAAGAAATCTTAATCGTAATTAAGAGAGATTGAGATCTATAATTAACCACAAGCAAAGCCAAGAGGCCATTTCCGAAGAGTTCCCAGATTTTTCCTAACTTCCTTATTCTGAGAGTATAATACATACTTTTATCTTATAGATCAAATAAACTCAGCTAGTCAATTGAGTAATTCTAATCCATTCCAAAAGGCCAGTTAAGACAACTACATATCAGGTAGTAATTTTAATGGGGATAGCATTGAACAATAGAATAATGAGGAAGAAGAGGCTGATGAGGTGGGAATAATAATCCCCAAAGTTTAAGCAAGGAGAAAGAGGGAAAACTCTCATAAGACCAGTCATAGAACTGCTGGTTTTATGGGTAATTTTGGGAATGGCTCGGTGTTAGATAAAGATGAAAGAGAGATCCTCCTTCAGTTACAAGATGCATCAAATAAGGATGCCAAGCAATTTGTGCTTAATTAAGCAAATCGGAATTCTCCGAACATGCTCACCTTTCAATATTAGAAAGATACAAGTCCTCAGATTCAATCAGATTACTTATTTTTGGAATTAAATTAATAATAGCAAGTTCAGGAACATAATTAAAAGGGTACTTTGGGACAATTGACCAATAGATCCAGAACTTGCACGAATTCATTTTCGAGGGATATTTCAAACAATCAATCTTCAAATTCAAGATAAAATAGGTCTCTGAAACAATCAGGATAAACAAGGGATAAGGTTAGGAAAACAAATAGTATCAATACACTTTCTGATGACAACAAATTGAGATAAAAAAGTGGAACGAAATAGAGCAATCTTGGTTAGCAATCTGTATTTTAGGCCTTAGCAACTCCTGAGGTATATATTTTATTATTGAAATGTTAGAATTAAGAGTTGATTTTGAATAATGTGATTTTTAACAAGTTCGAACGCATGATGAAATTCAAGATCTATTATCCTCACAATAATTTCGATTGTGTTATTGAAAGATATAAGAATTAATTTGAGATGAGTAATTTCAAAATTAAAAAATTTAATTATTGTGGGTACTCTTTAAAATGCTTTGTTGCGTCTAAAATCAAAAGAATACAAAAATTAATTAGACGTTAGTGAAATAAGGCATCATTCAGATGCCATTTTGATTGATGCTAATTTTTATATTTAAATTAATTAACTCTAAAAATGATCACTTAATTAACCATTCTTGCTGGGATTATGTAATTTAGTAGGGGATATATTATATAGCACTGTTCTGTAGGCTGAATGTGCTCAACCAATAATGAATCTTGTGAACCTGGATCAAAATTATTAACAAATCTCGGAGGAATTTGATTTCCATTAAGAAGTGTCATTCTCTTTTTGGTTTAAGTATGAACCCAAAACAAAAATTTAAACCTAATATTTTTATGGTAGCTCGACCGAAAGCGAATAAGTTGCGTCAGGGTCATTACTATTTAGACTTTATGAAGAATAAGCAAAATTGTTCCGAATATTTACATATTTAGATTCCAACAATTAGAATCTATAAACAATGATAATCAATGCCGATTAGAATATTTCCTCGACAGAAACTTTTAATTTAAATTTTTTAGATGGAATTTGGCAATACAAATTCTATAAAATAGTACCTGTTGATAGGAAAATATATCATTTTATCTATAATTATATGGTTTCGTCCTATACAGTGATCGAGAGTAGATTTGACATCGAATAAGCAAAGATTCAATTGAGTATAGGAGGTTAAGGATATGTATTTTTTGAATTTAATTTAAGTTTTCAGATTACTACTAAAATTTGTACTTCAATGCCTTTCCTGGATTGATTTCATCCATAAATGTATTTCAAGGATCCCTGGACATCACCATCCCTTAATTTAAGCTTAATCTGGACACATGCATTTAAGGTGTCCTAGTCTGTACTCCGACTCAGCAAAAACTGATTAGTGGCATTTAGACATCGTAAACTTAGATTTTGAAGAGCAATTTTAAATTAGAGAATACATTTGAATTTTAAGGTTGGTATAAACTTTCAATCAATAATGTACGTGTAATAATTAATCCTTTTAGGCAAATAAAATTTATCACATGTTATAAATTAGAGATGAAAACATAACAACATTTAATATAATTGATCCAAGAAATTTGCTCTTAGATTTGAGGTGTGTTGTTCTTGATGGAGGACTGAATGTCGAAATATAGTTGACACTCCAATCCTATGAATAGCATCTCTATTATTCAAAGGACGCATAAGTCAAGGTGGACACTACAGTAATTCTTGTATCTTAATGGCATTTTATTACAATAATGTACGATAGAGAGCAAACTTAACAGACAGGAATAGATGTGTACTTTCCCTCTGCGAATTAGAAAATCGAGAAAAGATACTTGAACCTAATATTATTTTTCGCCGGATCAGATTTATACTTTTATTTAGGATCAAATAATAAATTATCTTAATATTTTTCAGGGCAAATTGGAGAATCCAAAATTAATTCTTGTATAAAAAGGCCTTATGCTTTTGAATTATGTAAAATATTTTGATTGATGATTTACTTTAGAATGCGATAACACTTGTAAACTTTGTGATGGACCAACCTAAACTTTTTGTACACAATGTGAAGCGACTGATAATCGTGAACTTTCCAATCATCAATGCCTTTGCCAAGCCAATTATTTTTAATTTGCCTTTCAAAGGAAATGCAGATGTAATTAGATTGTTTATAATTAGTAATTTCTCTTGGAGACTTTTTTTCAATCAAAGAAAATAAAGAAGATTAAATTTAATGTTATTATGGTTAATTTTTTGTAAATTACAATGAGCAAGGGCGTTGCATAGATTGGTATAATTAAATATTAATTAATATTAGTCCATTCGCTCAAATTGGTACTACAATCCTTTGTGGAGACTGCTTCGAAAATCAATAAAACTGGTAATATAGTATGAAATGTACATACAAATATGAAGTGAATGATCCTCTTACTTTGGGATCAACCTATATGAGAGTGGAATAAGAACCATAGCAGTATATTATGGACATCAATTCAGGATCCATCAATATTTGCATAGGTTGCTCTGATATTTGCAATGAAGACGATTGTTAATCTTATAAATATACTAATTTTGGTTAATTGATCAAAGTGAGATGCAAATCAAGTAATCTATACATGCATAATTTATATAGACTATTATTTTAAAGATGGGGAATGTAGATTATGTGATCAATTCTGCAATATCTGTACAAATCAAGTCTGCACTTAATGTTAATCCAATTACTATTTCAATTCTATCCTTCAGAAATGCTTATTGTCAACCAGTGCAACATAATAATGTGGATTCAATTGTCTCAAGTGCACCTATTAGGAGAATAGTAACAGATGCTTGATCTGTTAACAGAATTACAAGATATCCGATGATGGATACAATTGCGAAACCTATGAAATAACTGATTGTCTAAATGAACACAATAAGTAAGGAGTTAGATCGTCAATACCTTACTTATTTGATCCCTTAACTCAACTTATAACTCAACCATATTGCAGTTTCTGTTCCAAAAACAATTATGATACAGTTGCTAATAAATGCACCACTGAAACACTTCCTGCTACTTGCAGTTATTAAATTGATAAAACTATTTGTTTATTCGGTACAGATTCAACATTAATAAAAACTGCATGTACCTCACCATGCACTATGTGTATTAAAGATAATGCAGATTTTACTCAAGAATTTTGTGTTTAATGTCCGTATGGGTAGTATATTGATTTGCTTTCTGGAACTTGTTTACCATGTCCCTCTAATTGTAAAGATTGTGCATATAATTTATTACCTTTGAACAATAATAGAATTTCAATCTCACTAATTTCTTTCTATTAATAAGGACTATTAAAGGAGTATTTAGATTCTTTACTCAAAATACCCTAAGATTTATTTGAATTATTTTGTAAAGATTGTCAAGATGGATATGTTACCAATAATGGTGCTTGTATTAATGAATGCCCATCAAATTGTTAAGAATGCAAAGCAATTAATAATAAGAATGTATGCATTAAATGTATTCCTACTACTTAAACTAATCTGGATGCTAATTGTTTAGAATGCCCCTCCAATTGTTTAGCCTGTTCTGAAAGGACTCAAGAAGAGATCTTAAAAATAAATCCTTTTTTTGATCTCTCAATATCCACATTTAAGAAACATTCAAACCAGTGCTACAAACCAACTAAAACTAAACCAGTGATGTCTAATCAAATTGCATTAGACTGCAATACCATTGAGAATTGTTACAAGAGCTTTAATCTTTAAATAAACCTTTATTGTTGGAAAGATGAATTTCTAGATAATGATGATGAAACTGAAGACTATCATATTTACAATTACTATTTAGGCGATTTCGTAAATCAATTCGAATTAAATTTCTTGAATCAATAATTTTTAGAATAGTTGAACCAATTTTAAATTTAACAAATATCAATTGATATTAAATTAATATCCAGTACAGGAGACTGCTCTTTTGATAATAATAAGTTTATTTTAAATTAGAAATTCGTGAAATACATTTTTAATCTCTAGAGGATCAACGTTAAATTTTATTCTGAAGATTAATTGAAGCTCCATTTGCCTGATTTGCTATAATTGTAAAATTATTCAACTTTGGTTTTTTAAAATATAATATTCTTTGGAAATAACAATGTTTAAGTATTAGATGCAACATCATATAATTCCCATTTCTAAATTTAAATTAAGGATTGCTAATATACTGCCTTGAATAATGAATATGAGAATAATGCTTTCTAATTCAAACTACAATAAGTTTAGACCATAATCATATAGAACTTCTAGATAACCAATGTTAAACTGTTTAATTTTGGATTATTTAATCTATCGATTTTCACAACAGATTTCAGTTTAGAAGTCAATTAATTGCAAATATTGGATTCAACCTTAAAAAATTTAAATCTCTTTGAAATTTCAAATCCATCAAACTTTGATTTTAATATCAAACTTGAAGACATTGAGATGAAGGCTAAGCTTTTCAATTCATCCTTCCTTGTAACAAGAAACTCAAATAAAATGATAGGAGTACTTAACTTATTGTAGTTCAGTCTAAGTGAGAGTAATCTATTTGGATCCAACTATTTGTTTGATTTAAGAACTAAGATTTCAAATTTAGTTGATTGCTTTTTAGAATCTAATATATTATATAATGAAACTTCTTTGATGTATTCCTAGGGATTCAACTTATAAAATATTAAGATAACTAAAAGTATTATTTACTTTGGCACATTCTTCACAAATTATGATGAGAATTACAATTAAATTAATGAGGATTTAGTATTGACTTGGAAACAACTGTTATTTGAGTAAATCTCCTATTCTAATTATAACTAATTCATCATTTTAAAGAACAATACTAATACTTAAATTGATATCTAAGGCTTCTCAATAAAAGGAAATATTTTGAATAAAGATTCTCTAAAAAAGAGCAACTATCAAAAATCTTTGGTGTATTTAGAAGGTAAAAAATTGGCTCTTAACGACTTGAACATTATTAAATTGACAGGAATCATAGAGTTGTTTTTATAATTTGAATCAATAGAAATAAGAAAGAGCGTGATAACTTAAAAGGCTGAAGCCTAAATCATTATATAGCCTTCCTTATCTTGCTAAAATAACTATTATGATCTTCAGTTATATACACCTATTATTGAGATTGTAAACTCAAGATCAGTATTGATAGATAGTTTATAAATTTCAAGTTTGAGTGTGGTTGATAATTATATGATTGGTTTTGAAGAGAATGATGGCAATAAGATCACTGTGACGATTTAAAATAGTCAGTTCTTTGATAATAATTTATTAATTGAATCATCTTCGGTGAATTCTGGCATCATCAAATTTATTTCAAATTCTGAATCTACGATTACATTTCAGTATAATCAAGCATCTAACAACATCTTGTATTCATACAGTTCAGACCAGAATTCATTATTAGGAACAGTCTTAATGATTTCCAATCTTTACGGTTCTATAGTAATAAACAACAATCAATTCATCAATAATTAAGCAATAAATACAACATATTCGATGTCATATTTTTATGCCTAATAGGTAACTGTGAAGGATAATTCATATAAAAATAATAACTTTGATGATTTAGAATTGATTTATAACAAAATAAGTGATTCATACGGTGAGGAAGTATATATCGAGCAAATAAAGGAAATTTACAAAATATTATCGAATGGAGGGAATGGATTTTACAGAGGAGATAACATCCTGATTTAAAATTGCATTTTTGATTCATCAACTGCATTGTATGGAGGAGGACTATACATCTAAACTATTAATAAGGGGAGAATAAACATCAATAACTGTCAATTTCTGAATTTAAAAACTGATTTATCTGCAAATTTAGAAGGTAAGGGAGGAGCCTTGGTGATAGATGGATCAGATGCTGAAATTTAATTGAGATTGTACGATTGCATATTTGATAAAGTAATGGCAAAACTCTATGGAGGGGCTATATACTTTGATGCTTCACAGAAGCTTAACAATATAGAGATGAAGAATCTAAAACTTAACAATGTGATGTCTCTCATGGGTTCGTTTTTCTATGTGTAGTTCAGTAATTAAGACATTTCAAATTTACTTGTAGACAATCTTATTTGGAAAATGGAGTCATCCGTTATAAAGTAATATTTCGGGGAATTCAAAGGATTCAAATCCGACTATTAAACGTTAATAAAGGAGAAGAGTATGTTGGTGGTAACTTAGAATGGGAATATCAAATTGTAAAATTTCAAAATATATTCTACTTACTACTTTGGTTTGATTTCAATGATAGAATGCTTTCGTTGCACAGTTCACAACATTTTAATTTATTAAGCCAAAAGAATCTATTATAATGCATTCTACTTTGGGAATAATAACTTATATGCTTTATCTTACATCATTCTGAATCAAATCTATTTTGATACTCTGACTGTTTATCCATATACATCTACTACTAACTGTTAAAGTCTTTTGGATATGAAAGTTGAATCAGCACATGTAAGCTGCAACTAGAAACAGTTTTTAAGAAGAGGGATATAGTCTGCGATATCTGATACTAAGTTTTAAAACAATGGGGATTGCAATTTAAATTTGTTACTTTAATACTCTTTCAACTCAGGAGGAGTAACCTTAATGGATCTCTTTCATGGATATCAGTTGGATGGGAGTAAGATGTCTCAGACTTAACACATCAAGAGTGTAACCGTACTTGCAAGTGCATATGATTACTTGGATACCTCTTTTGAAATAGTAGTTAATATTTATGCAAAAAATAATAAGACTCTGTTGATTAGCGATATTTTCTTTATCGAAAGCAGTGGGTACTAGCATTTTAAAATTTAACCATCGAAGGAGTAACAGCGTTTGCTTCAACAAAGTAGTAGTTAAAGCTACGAAAAATATCCAATCTACATAGAGAATTTTGTAAATCATTTAGGAAATTACTGGTTGTATTCAGGCTTGCTAATATTTAACTATTAGGCAATAATTAATAATTTCATCCTTACTAATACAACTCAAGTATAGTCATATTAGATGGAAATCAATAATGGATTTGAAAATTACATTTTTTTTTCCAATATATTAGTGACTGACAATGTCCTATAGAGTGTGAATTTATCGTACCCTCTGAGAACAAGTGTTAATCCAATAATTCCTGAATTAATAAATAGCAATACAGTTATCTTATTCAATTATAGAAAAGACTATTCGACGTTATCAAACATAGCCGAGTTTAGAGCCAGAAGATTGGCTTTTAAATATGATGGTGTTAGATATTTGAGAGCAGTGGAGAAACTGAAAACCGATACAAAGATTATTGAAGAAATTTATATAAAACCTTACAAAGCACCAGGTATCACTAATTTTACAAAATATTTGATGCTACCTAGTGGGTAAAGCTTTGAAAATTACTCTTATTTTGACAAACTTGCCGAAACATTCATACCTTTGAATATCAATATGTCCATTACGTTGATGAATTCTTAGTTGGAAAAAACAATTTTATTTTCTGGAGCCTAATACAATCTAACTGCAAAATATAGAATAATGAATGAGTCAAATCCTATGGAAAATACAACATTTACTGATCTCTTAACCATCTAGGTGACTGATTCCACCAAAAATGAGAAATTCATTAATGAGCTAGTTATAGATTTTGACCCCTATGCAGACCCTTCTCTTTACTATTAATTATCATTTACTTGCAATTTTATTTAGATTATCTCATACTCTGACTCCTTTCCATATAAGATGAAAAACACAATAACAGATTATGAATTGAGAATGAATATCAGAACTTATAAATGTTAAGTAGGAGAGTACATCTATTTGAATTAATGTAGATAATGTGATGATACATAGAATTATTTTTAGGTTTTGGAGGGATAATCTTTCTGTTATTTTAAGGATGATGTGAGCACAATTCAAGTTTAGAGATTCACTGTACAAATGAAACCACAATATTGGAGATATGTATTCAATAGTACTAAAATCGAATATTGTTATCATCTGCCTACTAATTGTTTGGGAGGATGGAAATATGGGGATCAAACATGCATTGAAGGTCACATTGGAGCCTTATGTGAACAATGTGATCTATATAACACAAGAGGAGATGGATCTTATTCAGTAAGTTCGTAATATAATTGTGGAAGTTGCGCTGATGTTAAATGGAACATCATTATTATTGTGATTATTGCACTCTTGTAAACTTATTCATATATCAAATAGCACCTTAGTATTGGGGATAATAACAGTTAAGAGTAATGCAGATGATACGGATTCATTCAACTTATAAGTCAAAGCATTGGAAGCCTTTGGTATTCCTACTAGTATTAGAATCATGTCCACAATTCTGATTAAGCTATTAACCAACTATGCCTAGATTATTTCGAGTGTTTTCACATTTTAACTTACCCTTCCACCTGAGATTCAGCAATCAACTAATAGTGTCGGTAACCCAACTCAGAGCATGGTGTATTCGCTAGATTGCTTTTTGATGACAATGTCAGATATGACAATCATGTATTTGGAATTTATTTGGATGTTGGCAACACCCTTCTTCTTCATTTTCATCATCTATTTTATCTATTTCTTCATAGTTGTGCTCAAAATGTCCAAATTCAATATGGGAGTTATCAGTACCACCCTTATATACTTTTACATCTACATGCAGCCTAACTTGATTTAGACGTATCTCTATTTATATTATATCAACCTAGTATGATATCCCAGTTAAGTAGGAGATCAATATCGGGAGTTGAGTTTGTCTAAGGAAATGTAGCCTATTTGTTTTAATCTAAAACTCATCAAAAGTGGCTTATCTTTGTAATAGTGCCTATCCTCCTGATCATTGGGTTTGTAATTCCTCTGACCTTATGGTATCAAGTCTTCAAGAATTAAAGAAGAGGCAAACTCAAGGAAATTTCGGTAAGGAATATCTGGGGGTTTTTATACAATGAGTACAAAATCAATGCTTACTATTGGGAGACCATCAAATTAATATAAAAACAAACAATCATCATAGCCCTCAATTATTATGAAGATTAAGTAAGTATCAAGGCATCCCTAATACTTTTAATCGTATTTCTATATCACGTCCTAAGTAACAAAATTAATCCCTACTCCGTTGTTAAACTGAATCGTTTAGATACGTACTGCACTGTAGTCTGCTCCATTTCTATCATATTGTGCTCAACCATATATTCTGCGTAAGTTGGAGGTTAATATGAAATTGTGTGGCCATTCTATATCATCACAGCAGCCATTAACCTGCTCTACATTTTTGAGCTCGTCATTGAAATCATAGTTTCATATTTAGCTCAGTATCAAGAATTGTTAGATAAATTAAAAACATTGATTCGAAATAAGTGTCCTTACTTAGTTGACAACTACCCATGTTTTTAGAAACTGCTAACCACAAAGTCAGAGAAACAGAGGAAGGTTAGAGAGATTTGGAAGAAAGTTAGGAAGCCCTTAATGGTAAAAGTAGCAAGAGTTATAAAGGCAAAGGAGTAAGAAATCATCTAACTTTTAGATATACTGAAAATCATTCGCCAGAATCTTTCTATAAGAGACGTGGAGGAGTCTCTAGTCCTAGTCCTATATTTTCCTATAGAGGTGATGGAATAAGAGGCGACATGATTGACTCTTAATCCTAGTTGAATAGTTCGATGTAACGGAGATAAAATATGAGTAATCCTACTATCAGGTTGGTTGAAACTCTCTACTAGCAAAGAAACGAAGAAGAAAAATTAGACCCTCGAAACCAAAGAGACGAATTCCAAGTTGCCGAGGATCCATTGAGTCCTCGAATTGTTTATCTCAGTCTCGGCCCAAATACAAGAAGTGTACTAAGAGAATGATATTATTTTTCCAAATCCTTATAAATAATAGAATCATTTTTATTAAAGATAAATAACTAATGTAAAATTTAAATTACAACACCTTTCCTAATTTTCATTCTTATTGAAAGTTACAATATTATTTACAATTTAATAACTGACAGGTATTTATTTTAGAAAGAATCTTATTGCAAATTTAAATTATCATTCGATACTTAGATAAAATGAATTCAATTTTCAATTATCCATTTGATCTATGAATATGTAGGAATCTATAGGAAACATTAGGAATCTATAGGAAACATTAGGAATCTATAGGAATCGTTATAATATTTAAAAACAACTATTCTTATTAATAATATATATTCAATATAAATAAAATTTATTTATAGAATAAAATATTATTAAGTATTAATCTTTTTAAAGTATGTATTATAAAAAGTTGAGTGTATCCTAAACTACCAATATAAAATTATACTTAGACATTGAATCAGGAATTGATTTTATTAAAGATTACGATAGGGTGAATGTACAGAATAAGATCACAAAATTCACCATTCAGTTTTTGGCATAAATATCTTTCCTTTATTCAAGATGTTATCTGAACCAAGGATTATAAATCTATAAGAAAGTAATTGTAGAATATAAAATTAATAATTTGAGACCAAAATGAGATTAGAGGTTTTTTATGAAAGGTTAATGTGAATAGTTAAGAAAAAAAGAAATTATTTTTATAATTTCTAGGTTAATTGTTGAGGTGAAGTTAATTAAAAAATTTGAAGCAAATAATGATTATAATGCTAAATAAAAAGGTCTTTACCTACTCAGAATCTATGTAGTATGATTCTTTTTTGAGGATAAGTTTACAAATTCTGTAAGATTAAAAACCAGACAGTTCGCACGAGAAGCCTCTTCAAGTATAAGACAAATAATTAGGGGTTAGGGAAAGAGAGGGATAATATTAATAGATTAGATTTGGGGATGATAAAGTTGGGAAAGTATTTTTAGAAATGTTGAGGTTTTGGATCAAATAATAAGAAAATGAGTAAATACTTAGAAGGGAATTCTGGAGTCAGAAATTCTTGAAAAATATTAGAGATAGGAGAGGTCTTTTCAATAATTGAATCGTCTGATTCTATATTAAAATTAAATTCTTTTAATAGTCAATCATTAATTGTATGTATTATTACTCTGATGATGATGAATTTTTGTATGATATCATTCAATATTACATCATTTAGAATTAAATAATTTTTGAATGATTAAGTAATTGCTTGCTATTGTGGCAATTGGAACACTGTCAATAGTGCCTTACCTTGATAACACAGATTACAATCCATGGTTTGAAGGAGATACATTCATCGTGTCTTTGGATGGAAGCATGAAGAGAATTAGTAGATTTGATCCAAACTGGAAACCATAATCAGCTTATGAGTAATTATTGAAGTAGATAAATCTAGAGATTACCATGAACAAATCTATCAAGAATAAGAGAGATAGCGCAAAGAGAAAATGTCTGACTTCTTGAAGACTACAGCTAACATTTGTACAAATGGAAAAGATCACACCAAATTGACTTTATAGGCTTACATGGATGAATTCATCAATGGTCCTTGCTAACCAGCTGTCTTAGTGCCTGGTCTGATTGGTACAGCTTTATAGGTATATATATATAATTCTATAGTCTAATAGGTAAAAATTGATTGCGAAACCTTATAAGCAAAAAGACCTGATATCTTTGAAAATTGTGGTTGGTAAACATGCAGTTCATCTAAATTCTGGTTGAAGAAACCAAGTGAAGAGTACAGAATATGGATAGGTGCATTGAGCAGTCCTTTTTCAATTGCAATGACCAGCAAGAAGGACAAATGTTTTGGAGATTTCATTGAACTTTATTACGATAGATCCAAAAAGGATCCAAGAGACAGATACACAGCAGCTCCAGGAATTGAAATCACTTGGGCTGGTAACACTCCAAAATCAATTGATAACGAATGTGGAACAACTGCCATTTAAGAGATCGCCACTGATTCCGTTATCAAGGCAGCAATGTGTGATCCCAAAGGATATCATGTTTTCTCAGACACTCTTAAAAACATGGGTTACATCCCAGGATTAACAATGCAAGCTGCCCCATATGATTTCAGAAAATCTATAGCTGCTTCAGAATCCCAACAATACATTAAGAAGTCTGTGGAAACATTCTATAGATTGACAGGAAAGAAAACCTACATCTTTGGACATTCTTTGGGTTCCCTTCATTCCACATAAGCAGTGTACTCAATGACTTAAGCCGAGAAGGATAAAGTAGCTGGTATTGTGACAATTGCTGGACCTCTTTTGGGAGCAACTAAGACATTCAAACCTTAAGTTGGTGGAGATGACAGCTTTATGTTTAAAGTGTTACTCTTGGATGCTGGTATTAACTGGTATGCTCAAAAGAAGATGGCTCGTACCTCTGCCAGTATTGTGGATTTATACCCAAAGGACACATTCACAAGATTCAGAGATGCACCATGGATGTAAGAGATCCTTGACAGAATGGAATGGGACAATGAGTTCATTTCAACCGGAAGGAGACCAACAAGACCTAATCCATTAGCTTGGTTCCCAGAACCTAGTGAAGTTTGTGGTGCTGATTTCGCTGACAGATCTAACCATTGCTAATTGTTAATGCACGACATGAGTGAACACTTCTTGAAAGTCGTTGATAAGTTGTATTATTCAACTGAAGAATCTACAAAACAAGCTATTACTGACACCATCACTGCTAATGATGCCAAATAAATATTAGATTACGTTGAAGAAACTACAAGAGAAAAAGCCAACAATGTTGAACACCCAGGAGTACCTATGATTGTAGTCTATGCTGCTCATGAAATGACTCCATTCCAATTTGAATATACCAAACAACCCAAACCTATTGTTGAGTCTACTGATGATTTCTATTTCCCAGATCATATTACCAAAGCCATTGGAGATAGCACAGTTCTTGCCTCCTCAGCCATGACTCCAGGTATCAAGTGGGTTTATGAACACAAAAATGGATTAACCTCCATCCCAACTAAATTGGTCGAATATTGTTCATAATATAACGGAGATGCCGTCTCATCTATTTATGATTCAAAGGATGCTTAAGGATAAAAACAATTCACTAATTCAGGATATTTGGGTCTTACTTGCTCTTGTAAATTTGGATAAACTGTATATTTATTTAATTTATCATTTTCAGGGACTCGACCATTGCGGACATGCCTGTATGATTCAAGACACATTATTTATCGAGTTTGCTGCTGATGTCCTAACCCCACACTGGAAATCTACCATCACATCAACACCAGCCACTGAATCTGAACTTAAAAACATCCACGAAGGATGCACCAATTTACATTGATTATATCAATACAACCCAGTAATAATCTAAATACAAAAATTAAATATCAAAATCCTTTTTTATTACAATTCTGAAACACCCCAAATACTTTCTATTTGATATAATTTATATATATAGAAAGGTTTGAATAGGGATGCTATATTGAGTTGCTTTAAGGGCTTCTCCTCTCTTCAATTAGAAGGCTCAATAGTTGAAAACTATTTAATCGAGATTTCTAAAATCCTTAAAGTAATAATTTCATAATTATATGCGTATTTATATATAATTTGAATCACACTTTAATTTTTCTATTATCAAAATGTATATAGTCAAGTAGTTTGTTTATGTAAATTAAAATAATGTAGGAGAAATAGTAGATAATGGGGGCACTCTTTATTAATATTATATTAAGAGAAATTCCAGTTGGAACCGTAGAGTCTAAATAATTTATAATAATATTTAAATTATCAAAATCAGTTTTTATTAGTGTTATCATACACATGTATCCATAAAACCTTTAATTTACATAATTAAGTTTAAATGTCTTAAAATTAGTACTAATTTGTAGAATTTCTAGTCTTTGGATAACCATGTAAATGATAACTTAAACGTAGTTACTGGTAAAACCTCACTTCTAAAGTCAGCCATAGGAGAAAAATTTAAAGAAAATTATTAGTCTAATATAGGAATAGAATAAATCGTCAAATAAATTAAGATTGGGGATGAAATTTTGAAATTACGTTTGTGGGAATTTCCAGGATTTCAAAATTTCAAATAGATAGCAAGAATGTATTATAAAAGGACTTAAGGACTTATATTACTGTACGATATAACTGAGTATTGATACTATTTTAATTGACTTAGTCATGAGTCATTTGATAATTTGGAAAACCATCTAGAAGAAGCATTATAGCATCATGATTCACTTTTGAGCATCATCTTGATTGGAAACAAAGTGGACTTAGACAGTAAGAGATAAGTTTCAATTGAAGAAGCAGAGGATTTTGCTAGCAAAAAGGGATTTCCTTTTTTCGAAATAAGTGTTAAAACTAATCATAACTTTGATTTAGTACTTGAATACTGTCTTCGCGATGTTCTTGAAAAAGCCAAAATTAAAGGAATTGAGCTCAAAGTAATTTACGCGATTTATTATTATAGAAAACTCATCCTAATAATTAGGAGTCTGAATCCTAAACTTCCAATTCAGTGTCTTTAAACTAACAAAAGGAGAATTGGTTTAAGTGTTATTGATATTTAATTCATTCTAAATAAATATGCTATTAAATAATTTCTAATATAAAAGGTAATAGAGCAATACAAATTTTGCATGAACTCAGTTAATAGAAAATCACTTAATTTATTTTATAATTAACGCATATCATAATATAGAATAAATAAAGTGGGCTTTTAATCAATCATAGATAATTGAATCATTTATATATATATATTATCAAATTATGGATTCATAATTTCTAAAATAAGTGAGATAATACAAATTGAGGAAAATGCTAGGTCAGGGATCTTTTGCAACTGTGTTTTTAGGAGAAAATCCAAAGAATGAATTTTATGCAATAAAAGAGATCAAACTTGAAGTGGATGACGGATCTGAAGATGTGCAAAAATTACATTAATATTTTGAATAAGAAATAGAGATTTATTTAAAAACAAAGCATGCTAATTTGGTGAGCATGATAGAGGAATTTACTCTAGGCCAATTTCGCTATTGTGTATTCGAGTATTGTGCCAAAGGTGATTTAAATAACTTCTGGAGAAAAAATATACTAAATGAATAGGAAGCCAAAACGATATTCACTTAAATTTTAGCTGGAATGAAATATCTAGCTGAATAATCTATTGTACATAGAGATTTGAAATTGGATAATATATTGATAGATGAAAAAAACACAATAAAAATAGCTGATTTTGGGTTTGCCAAATACTATAATTAAGATGATGTTTTCGTTTCTTATTGTGGAACTCCAGCAACAATGGCACCAGAAATATTAAAGTATTTATTATGATTAAGATTTATAGTAAATAGAATTACGATTTTAAATGTGACATTTGGTCTTTGGGAGTGATCCTATACTAACTTATTTTTAAGAAATATCATTGGAAGGGAAATGTTCGAGGCATAGCTGATTTACAGAAGTAACTCTAATAATTCAAAGTAAAAATTGTTTATTAATTAATCTTAAGGTTGAATTTGATAATTCAGTGAAATTATCAGATGAAGGAAAGGATATAATTAGTAGAATGTTAGTGAGTGATAAAGAGAAACGAATTAATTATCAGGAATTATTCGCTCATCCTTGGTTGGAAGGAAAACTAGATGAATCCTAAAATTTGTTGGAGTCACAGTGTCTCATCAAATAGAAATTGACATCAAGATAGCCAGGATAGATAATTGGCCATATTATAAAATAATAAAGGAAGGTGAAGGCAAACTTCTTTTAAATACTTGACCAATGTATAAAGGATTGTAAGAAGGAAGAGGTGAAGGAAAAATTTAAAAGTCTTCGAAAGTAACTAAATGAAGAAAGATTTCATGTAAGATCAATATCAATTAATTTAAGATTACAATAATTAGTAATGATTTGATAGATAGACCTGAATTCAAGGTCTTTGATTATACAAATGAATTGTATGAATTTTTAAGCAACCTTTATTGTCAATATGAATTCAATTATAGAGAGACTGCATAAAAAGAATTTGAATTAGTTTAATTCCTAAAGGAAAATCCATTGTCTAATAGTATCACTTTCGAAATTGATGGATTAAATACACTAGAGTAGATTAATATGGTGAGAAATTCTATTGTAGAAGAGGATATAAATGACTTTGAAGACCCTTAAAATTGGTAGGTAGATACCTTAGAGATTGATGTATGTAAGAGAGAAGTCATTGACCTTGTGATTTGTGATAGATTCGAACTGAGCAAGCTAGATCAGTTGTATTCCAATAATGTTAGTAAGTTTAATAATATATTAAATAAAAATTGACATACTTAACTCTAAATTTATTAATCAAACTTCTTATATCATCATTATTGCTTAGTAGAAAGAGTACTAGCAATTTCGTTCTAGTTGTAAAGTGACTATTTGAAATCTGGTTATTCTAAATTAGGTAGAACATGGAGTAAATATACTAAACAAAGTTGCTCTTAAAGTTCTATATTTCACAACATTGTGTTAGATATAGATTATGTTACATTTAGTTTTAAATATATTTCCCAAGTCCTCTCAATATTATTTCATAAAAATGTATCCAAAATAATTAAACAAAAATTTAATAGTGCATTATGATCATTGCCAATAACAAAGGAACTTAAGCATAACTCAGATAATAAAAATTATATTCAACAAAATAACAATTAATGAATCTTTAATTTAATTGCACAATTAAAATTTTGTAATTCCTAATCTAATAATTCAATTCATTATATATCTATTTTATATGAGCTTAGTATTAGTTGCTAGCAAAACTTGTCCGCATTGCATAAGAGTGGTCTTGACTTTAAACCATTTAAAAATACCTTATGAATTGAAATACATAGATATCGAGAATAGACCTGATTGGTTTATAAAAGCAAGTCCATTAGAGAAAGTGCCTATTCTATTTGTTGGTGATGCAGTCCTTTTTGAATCCCTTGTAATTCTAGATTATATCAATACACTTGCTCCTCAATCATTACTTCCAAAAGATAATTTATAGATAGCCTTGAACAGATCAAGAGCGGAATTCTCATAAGAGATTATTGAAATTCTTTGGAGTGTGTTCTCAGCTAAAACATTAGAAGTAAATTATAAATTGATTTTGAGGCTTTTGATCTACAAATGAAGGAATTGAGATGGTTATTCTCTTCATTGGAAAGTTGGCTCTAATAAACAAAATTTATATCCGACAATGTTCTGACTCTGGCTGATTTTGCTTACGCTCCAATTTTCACTATAATACCTGCTTTAAAACAGTTTATGGATTTTGATATATTTGATGGTTTTCCAAGATTAAGAGCATACATCGACACTCTTCATGCACTCCCTGAACTTAAAATGAGTTTAGTAGAAAACTATGATCAGCTCATTTAGAAGAAGATACAATCACGAGAACCATACTTTTGGAAGTAATGAAATATATAAATAATATTTTAATCATTTACAGTATTTTATTCAATTGTTTATACAAGTTGTGTGAAAAAATATCAGTTAATTTGTAAATCAAATACATTAAAGAAATTAAATCAAATTAGATTAAGTTCTAAGAAGAGACTCTATTAATTCAAAGGGAATAGAAATTTAATATTTATATTATTGAATTGGTGCTAAAAATAGTGGATTGACTTCTGTATTTATGAATATTAAGAATTCAGAAATTTTAAATTCACAAATGATTAAAGTGCTTACTTATAAATTTAATTATGAGTTTAAAATTGGTATCCTTCAACATTTGCCCATACGTTCTTAGAGTGGTCTCTGCCTTAAACCATTTGAAAATTCCTTACGAATTAAAATATATTGATTTGTAAAATAAGCCTGACTGGTTTATAAAAGCAAGTCCATTAGAGAAAGTGCCAATTCTTTTTGTTGGTGAAACAGTCCTTTTTGAATCCCTTGTGATTCTGGATTATATCAATACACTCGCTCCTCAATCATTACTACCAAATGACAATTTATAAAGAGCATTGAACAGAGCAAGAGCAGAATTTTCAGGAGAAGTAATTGGCACTTTCTGGAGCGTATTTTTAGCTAAAACCGAAGAGGTATAATTGTATTTAATAAAAAGTCATTTAACAGCAGTTTGGGAGACTTGAAATGGTATTTTGAGAAATTAGAAATCTGGTTACAATAATCCAAATTCATTTTCAGTAACGAATTAACTTTAGCTGACTTTGCTTATGCTTCACTATTCACATTACTGAATGCACTCAAACCTCTTCTGAAATTCAATCCCTTTGAAGGATTTCCAAGGTTGTAAGAATACTCAGATACGATGCTATCATTACCGGGAGTGTAACAGAGTAAAGTTGAAAACTACGATCAACTAATTCAAGAAAGAGTCATTAAAGGAGATCCCTTCTTTTTGAAATTATGATTTATGTAAATTAGAAAAACATAATAAATAATAATTGACTTTTTATGAGACTTTTTCTTAGGGATGGTTCTTGAATTAATATAATAAAAGTAATTATTTATGAAGGACTATAGTTAAGGTTTTAAATGAAATTTAATTTAGATAATGATGAATATATATATGAAAATAATCATGGATGATAATTATAAAATAATTATACTTAATAAAAATAATCTGTGAAGGTCTTTTCTATTTATTTGTTTTGAGCAGCTGCTTTAGCAAGTTATTATTATTTGGGAATGATGGAGTAAAGCTTATCTAACTTGACATTAATAATTTGATCCCATTCTTAACTTTTGTATGGTTGCATTCTTTGTTTGATTTTGGAGAATAGAATATTGAAATCATTGGGCATCTTTTGGAAATACCTTAAAATCAGGACTGATATATCTGAGATTCTTATGTTGTATAGGAAGGCACCAAATAGACAATTCTCTGCAATTAATCTCTATTAAATCTAAGCTGTTATAGATGATATTTACATATTATGAATGGCTGAACTAATCGTAAGTCTAGATATCCGATATGATCTTCAAGCAGGTCATCAATGATCGTTTCTCCTGTATTAATAGGGCACAGTTAATAAACTAAAATAAATCTGAAATAGAATTACGTCTAAAATGACTCCAAATATTTCATCAGTTATCATTTATCTGGTAATTTCAAATTCCAATAACCATTGAATAACATAGAATAGCTGAGACATCTTATGAATGTAATTGCTTAAGTCATTCAAGTTGATATATTTGAAAATTAGTAAGATCGATTAATAGATCTGAATTCTAACTTGTTTCTTGCTTGTTGTCAATCGATTTAGGTATTTTAAATTTTGGAATATCTTCAATAATTAGAGCAAAGGCTTGTAGTAGAGCTTGTAAATATTTTGGATACTTTTTTGTCCCAATTGTCTTTCTTAATTGAATTCCTTATTAATAGAGTCCAAATGGAATTATACTTTCTAAATCACAAGTAGAATCCACTCATAAAGTTGATCAATCATAACTTATTTCAATTAGCCGATCTATCCAGTAGTATTTATCATCATCCTAGTCAATTTGAGCATGTCAAAATTGATGGCCTATGCAAATAAATTCAAATAAGACTTATCATCAATAATCTGCATTATGACACCATAGAGACTCCTTACATTTTCATTCAACATGCTCTGTAGGATAAAAACGATATCTCCAGTGTTTTGAATTTGATCTAAAAATGATAGTACATCATTCTTAAATTTCTAAATGAGTTGATCGGATGCTAATTAGTCTTTAATGGATTCATTTTCAACATTGAGCAAATACATCTTGACCTTATGATAGTGAGTGATAATCTTTTGGTTAGGAATGACTCTGAATTCGTGAAAATCAGAAAAGCATTCTTTGGGAATGTTGATTTAATTTATTTAGTAAAATTCGTCTTCCATTTTGATTTTTGCATTGATGAAAATTTTTAATGATTTCAAAATCAATTCTTAATCATTGAATAAGAATATTCGACTAAAATTAAAGATAGATTTTCTATCAATTTACATTTTCTAGATTATGTCCTCAAACTTAATGAGAGCTTATTGATCAAAGAGGACTTTCCAAATCTTATACAAGAATCTGTCTGTAAAAGGTGATTACTTTTTTAAGTACAACAATGCGAAATCAAAAGCTTTGCTATAAAGTTCTTAATAGTGAAATTGCTTAAATAAATCTAAGTTTATTGGATATAGGAACTATTCCATCTTGTAGAATTGTAATTTATTAATAACATCTAATTGATATGTTGTGCATTTGATGGAGGCAAACAATCCCATAGCATAATACTTGAAGGCGAGTTCCTATATATTTTGATCAGGATTTAATTGAATTATTTAGGCAAAGAACTCTAAATATTATTCAATCATAAAGCAACTGATTTCTTTCAAAATGTGTTTGATATTGTTTCTCAAGAATTTATCATTGATCCATTGATTGTTCTGAACAATCCAAGAATTAAAAAAGCTTGCAATAATGGGCATAACAAAGGAATGTAACTAACTATAGTCATATTATCTTTGAAATCTGACAAGATTCCTCAGGAACTTAAGCCCTACTTAAACAGCCTCGATGGTGGTCAATGTCTTGATTAAATTCAAGTTAAGTTCAATCCATTGTGGAGTGTGATTGGCAAAGATGGTCTTACCAGCAAAATTAAGCAAACTAATAGAATTAATTTTGGATATGTCAGATACCATAATGTTGGATGTGATTTGATAGATAATGTCTATGCTTTGTTTATCATTGGAATAGTATTTTTAGTAAATTTTACAAATTTTACCAAGAGACTCCCATATTTTAATGTTTAAGGGTAACAATTCTGTGAGTTTGGCAATGAATTACTGATATTTGACAATGGACCAAACCATTTTGATGTGATTAGTGATAGGATCCATGTGATCTAAATGCTGATTTTGTATCATCTTTTCAAGTTCATTTTAATCCAAGATTTAGAATTTGATTTCCTTCATGATGGTTTATAAGTTTCTTTTGTTTTTGACTTCAGCTCTTTTGATCTTGTGCCAATCCTTTTCTTTAAAGTCCTCTCTAATTTCTGAGGATAACAGCAAATTCAAAAGATCGATTGCACTATCCAACAATTATAAATCGGGATTGCTATTGTTTCCAATCAAACTGGCTGTAATGATTTCAAGAAGGGCATCAAGATTGTGTTTGAAGAATTGTTGTCTGACTATTTTTTGTTTTGAATCAAGGATCTTGAATTCTCCTACTCGATCTTATGGTTGCAATCTTCTGAGTACAGTGTCAATGATGATGAGGTACACTTATTTATTCATTACTTAGGCTTGTTCTTTAAAATATTAAACAGGAATTTGATCATAAAAGTGCAAGACGATGTTGGCAATTATGGATGCAAAAAAATGATAGACGGGACGTGAATGAGTAGTAAATCTTTTGATTCTATTCCATGCAAATTCAAATATCTTACCAAACTCTGGTGTATTTTGATGGTTTTGATCGATATAAGTGGATACCAAGCTTCCCACAATTTGGAGTGTAATTTCATTATCACTCTAATCTGCCAATTGACATAATAGAATGAGATTGTCTTGATTCATATTTTTGTGTAATTGATCTGGGTCTATTTGATAGGTTTCATAGAGTTGTCTTTCAAAGTTCATGTTAATTTTAATTCAATAATTAATTCATGACATTTCTGCACCTTCAAGGAAAACTATTTTAGGGTTTTTTAATAAATTAATAATTAATTAATCTAGTTCACAATACAAAACTCCGATTATGAAGAGAGAACCAAATGAGAGTAGAGAGTGCTTTCAATTTTATAATTAACTTTGCCATTTCGTGAGCATAACTTCTATTTTAAATAAATGGTCTAAATTCAAATAATATATATATTATATTTACAAAAATTGAAAAGGAAATGTTTGTGGGTAGCTTGGAAATACTTGTGAATTTCAATTCTTTTCGAAATATTGATCTATTTGATTAAGGATATTATTCATTGAAGGTGGAAATGAGCTCAGAAAATGCTGAAGTTGGATAACCCTATCTAATGATATCGCAAACTGGCAATAAAAATGATGGATATATGTTGGACTCATGGTTTTGTTCGAGAGTGTTTGATATTTAGTATTCTGAACAATACATAGAATTGGACAACACTTGTTTATTTAGAATCCTCTATTAGGCTCATCCAAACAAATATGCCGCAATCAAAGTGAATGTAGGTTTGTTGTATAGTTAAACCTTGGAGGGAGAAAGCCCAATTTTATCGATGCAATAAGTTAGTAATTTCGAATGCATAATCAACAACGCATGCGAGGGAGTCTAATAAGGAGTGGATGTAATATTCGATAACAATCATCTCTGCACTACGAGGATGTATATTTATACTATGATTTTGGACTACCGATTCACAGGAGGAGTCAATGGATTTCAGGAGTTTCTGAAGACCAAGACAAAAGATTGTAATTCACTCCATCTAAAATATTAGTTGAGTCACAGGAGGTCAACCAATTCATAGCAGAGTATGTGGATTCTCTGGGATCCATACAGACGAAGTACCGTAATTTGCTAATCTAAATCATTAATGAATTGAAGGATAAGAATATTTAAATGCAGAATTTAATGAGGATTCCCATTGTGCAAACAGCCAAATTCAAAGCCAACTTACAGACTAAAAGTTTGGGAGAAGATTGTCTATTGATAATCAATCAATTGGGACAGTCTTTATTCTAATTGTGGAATCAATTCCAACCGTTGCTCAAATACTCTAGGAATTACCTCGTGGAATCAGTAGACCAAAGATTGTTATAAAACTGTAAGAAACTTTCATCGGAATCTGTCATTTCCAATTAGGCTACTTTCGAAGAGATTCAAACTCAAATCTCATTGCCGTTGCTTAAACAGAGGGAAGACATTTGGAATCAAGCAAGGAAAAGTTCAAAGAATCAGACGCCAAGTATATAGTTATTGGATCAATTCTACTCACAACCTAATGCATTGCCTTTCTTCTTTGAAGATGTGGTTTCCTCACAATAAAACATCACTCAATTTCAATAGCATTCATAAAATAGAAAGCATGTTCTTATATTGGTTCATGGGTATTAGGGCACTTCAGCTGACTTGCAAACTTGGAAGAGTTACTTGAAGATTAAATTCCCAAATCACTTAATCATCCAATCGGAGATCAATTAGGATGACACAGAAGATAGTATCTCTGTTATGGCTAGTAGATTGGCTCAAGAAATATAGAGGTAAATCACTGACAGAACCCACTTAAAATAACAAATTTAAATATCATTCATTGGACATTCCTTGGGAGGAGTGTTGATTAGATGTGCTCTACAACACTTGGGTAAATATCAAGATTGCATGCATACCTTTATTAGTTTGGGTTCTCCTCATGTTGGATTGGGCATATAACAATCCACATTGATTGATGCAGGATTATGGTTTATGAAGGCTTTCAAAAAGGAAGATCAAAGAGTCTGTTTAAATCAAATGACTTTGTGTGATGAAAAAGATGTCCAAAAGACCTTCTTCTATAAATTGTCTTAGAACTCAAAATTTGGATGGTTCAAGAATGTCATTTTGGCTTTTTCACTCCAAGACAGCTATGTCCCTTTCTCATCAGCCAGTTTGACTCGAATCAAAGAACAAGGGTAACACTTATTGTCTATTTCGTAGTGATCGAGCAAATGCGCACAATCAAATGGTGGATTAATTGTTTCAGCAAGTACCGTCAACCTTAATTAAAACTTCAGTTTTCTTTCCCAACATGAAAGCTAATCTTGATAAAATGATTGGCCGGGCAGCTCATATTGAATTTATAGACAACAGCAGCTTTGTTAGACTGTTTATTGATTATTATTATGAATATTTGTTATGATTAGAAAGGAAGAAGCACAATAATTTTTCATTGATTTAAATTCTGGTTTGTAATTATATTTTAAATCTATTTAGAGAAGGAGAAATAATTTTGGTCAATAATATTAAAATTAATTAATGAGTTAGTCTCCCATAGTCTTTACAAACAAACCCTCTAAACCTCATCCTCTGGATGACAGCGTTTGGAGATAGAGGACAGTTTTGCCCAAACTACTTCGAAGAGATCTTTAACCTGAAATCAAAAGTGAACCACACTACTTCAAAAATAATCAGCTTGAGGATAGTTAAATAATCAATAATTATACCGTCAGATCTGGCGTATAACAAGAGGTAACTATATATTATTACATTTTAAGGAACCTGACTATATTGAAGTGAACTGGAATGCATTCCAACTCATCTCTTTGGATTGAATCCAGCATTTTATTGAGTAAATAAAGAAATATATATATATTTTAAAAGGATTATGTCTACTTCCCCTCACTTGATTCAGATCTAATACAAATGTTTAGGCATTTACAACCTAACTCATTTGTTTCTCCTTGCACTCTTTCCTTAATCTTCAATACAAATTACCATAATTAACTCAACCTTATATTTAAATTCAAATTCCTCAAATACACCTCCCAAACTCCCAAAATCCTTATTACAAACATCTCCAAAATATCAACTGACTATTATAAATATCATCCTAACTATAACTCCTTAAATCATATTGCGAAAAGTTATATAGATCTGTAAATATAATTCTTTTTTAAATTCAACTTTCATATAATAAAGTCAAGGATCTATCCATTTAAATGGATACATTAATCTATGTTCTCAAATTTCCAATATTCATCTATGGAGACTAGTTGTCAGATCCTAATCAATTGTGGTTTAATTAGTACTAATAATTATTTATGTGCCTAAATTAATAGAACATCATATGTTTTTGTTTTTAATTCTACATGTTGAATTCTACCATAATCATAAAAATCGAAACATTATTCTCAAGATATTTGTATATATGTATGTTTTAATAAAATTAGTTGTCAATTATTTTCAGTAAGACTAGGGGGACTCAAAGCGTGGATACTTGTTACATGAACGTCTTATAAAATTGAGACAACAACTTGGATGATAGAGCTTTAAGAACTTTGGATCTTTCTAGTAGATTCACTTATATGCAAACTTAGTTTATTCGAACTATTTCTGTTGATGGATCAATTCGAGAAGCACGCATTGTAAATATTAATTAATAGCTGAGTATGGCTGATAATAACTAACACATTATGATTAAGATTATATTGTATTAATTATTATTATATAATTTGCAGGGTGCAAAATAAAATGTCGTGGTTTAAAATAAATACCAGGATTTTTATTATTAAATTGGGTTGCCTCTGAATTCGAAAGTATATTAGAATTAAATGAATACTAAATTAGAGACTATACCTGTACTTTAGGAGAAATGCAAATTTCATCAAAACGAATAAGCTAATTTAATTTGTCTGACAGCTTCGTGTTTAAACCAAGGATTTTTCTGCTTTCAGTGTAAGAATCATCATGAAGGTCACAACGTAATTTAGGGAATGGAATTCTTTGACTCATTGAAATAATTGGTCTGTTTTGATGGTTCATCTAAGGCATCCAATAATGTGAACTAAGTGTCTGCCAGAATAGTAACAGCAATGCTGACGACGATTGATGAATTGGATGCATTGAATTAATACTTCTCCGAGATTCTGGGGTCGATCAGATTACAATTCGAGAAATATTGTCAGATATCAAATGATGTGAATGTGATAAACAACTTTTTGATTTTCTCTTAGAAGGAAGGAATAGAGCCACAATAATTCAAGGATAAATTCGAGGAGTGTTTGAAGAGACTCTGTCTTAAATTACAGAAACTGCACATCAAATCTACTGTCACATGTCAATCCAATTCTTTGTTTGTGCCAGACGAGAGACTATTCTAGGAATACTTGGAACCCCTCATATCAACCTTGAAGGGAGTAAGGTTACAGGCTGAATCTAGTTTCACTAAGCCTCTCTACTATAATAAATTGGATTTGACATTCAAAAATGGGTTGATGCCTTAGGTCAATTCCTTTTTTGAACCTGTGGTATTTGAGACAGATCAACCCAAGGAAGAGGACAAGGTGTTGGAGAGACTGTGGATAGACAAGAATGAAACCATGAGGAAGATGTTGATGATGAAATAACGAACAAAAGAAGAACAAGTGATTGATGATGAACCATACTCATATGGCAATGGAAGATTGGAAAAAGTGTTTGCTGTAGCTGGATCCAAAGTGTGGTTCCTAGATTTCATTTATAGTAAATTCAAACCAACTTCTAAGCATTCAAAAATTGAACCCAAATAGGCTTGTGTAATCTGCAAGTGTCATCAGAAATTCGCAAGGATAAACGAGTTCTTGAATTGTAAATATGGGGATCTCTATGGACCCTATCATTTAGAAGCTAGATTGCTGGATAGTTTCAAGATGGCCTTTGATAAGAGAACCAATAAGGATTACTTGATTGATAGAGGAGGTCTCTACTTCCACGACTTGTGTGTGTATTGGTCATCATTGGTGGAATGTGATGAGAAGAAAGGAACCATAGACTTTGAATCTCTATAAGAAGCAGTCAAAATATCACAGGAAACCTACTGTTATTTATGCAAGAGGAAAGGACCCACTCTCAAATGCAATAATGAGAACTGTTAGATTTGGATACATTATTATTGTTGGAAAGAGTTGGAACCCTCTCAATAATACTTGGACAATCAGAAGTTTAGAATGCTGTGTTATCAACATGTACCAGCCAAGTATCGTAAACCTGCTTGGGCTTCTTAGAACTTATTATTGGATGATCAATACATGGAGAAGAGGGAAACCAAAGAATACAGACAGAGTTAGTTTGTTAAGTTTACATACCAAGAAGCAGGACAGTCCAGATATATATAGAAATTAGAACAACAGGCTACGAAATAATAAAATGAAGAATGATTTATATTTAATTAGTATTAATTATCACACTCCATTTGCATGAATCTTTGTCGAAATTACTCTACTCTCAGCATTGAGAAAGTCACCCTGTATATTTAGACCCAAATAAAACAGAGACTTCGAGTAAAAATAAGTAAGAACAAATCCTCCGAAGAAGCAGATTGGAATAGTTTGGAACAGTATTACTGCTGACAGATGTTCAGTAACTATGAAAAATACGAACGGTTCCACTATCAACAGTAATACTAGCAACACCACAACTCTAAAGACTTTTAGACTCCATTTTAACTTTGCGTAGTTCTAATAAAACTTATCCTCATCATAGGTGCCTCCACAGATTTTAGTTCCCAAAAGGAGAAAATAAATGAACAGTATTTAAAAACTATTATTGAAACAATTGTTTTAAAGCACAGATGCACTTTTGAATTTATAAGGATTAGTTTATGAAGCACATTTTCTTAACATAGCATTCAACCACATTTCAACTTCTCCATTGTTAATTAGTATTTCATTGCGATTCAAACTGTAAAAAAGATAAGAAATCATTATCCATATAAAAGTTACTATAGTTGAAACATAAATGGTTCTTCTTCCAATTCCAGGTCCTCCTGTTGCCAAACATGTCTTAAAATACTTAATCAATTTCTCATGAACATAAGTCATATAATTTATCATCACATAACCAGAATACACCCAACCTAATAGTACTTATCCAAAAGTGTGTGCTCCAAAAAACACTCTCGATAATCCAGTGACAAAGGTCCAAATCACTATTATTGCTATGCTTATTGCTCTGAGTATTTTGGGATATTTTACACTAATTTAAGTTTATAATATACTTTTCCTAATCTCTCCATACCGCTGGAAATAGTATACAAGGCAATAGGAAACACATCAAAGATGATTACATAGCATGACCAGATGGTTTGCCAAATTCTTTATTGCATTGCAGTCCTTTTATGTCTTCTTCAGTCCAAAATGGTCTAGCCTAATGATACATGTTTTTAAGCAAAGAGTTCAATGAAACAATGAACATTATCATGCAACCATATAATATAGCCCCTAATTTATTTTCCCTGAACATAAAAACGAGCAAGGCAATCCCTGGAAAAATGTTCAGCCAATCTGAAAAGAATGTCATTATTTCCTTTTCTCCTTTAAATTCCTTATGCTAGAAGTAAATTGTTAGCTTTGTATTCGAGTCCCACATCAAATCATTAAGAACGATATCAAGTATTACATAGACGCCTAAAAATAGAGTAGAAAGTATGAAAGTTCGCATTTTATTAAAATTACTGGGTTATTTTTATATCAATTTTATATATATATCAAGAATTCTTGGCTTACAATTCTAAAGACATTCTATTAAGTAGCAAATTAGAATACCCATCTGGAGCTGATTGCTCACTATCTATTATTTATAAGAAATCGCCAGGCACAGAAATCTTTAAATAATATAGCAGTTTCGAGTACACAACAGTTATGATCAATCCTCCTAATATCGACACTGGAACTATCTAAATTATACATTCCATTACTTAACCAAATGCTTATGCATAAACTGAATTGAACTCAATCAAGAAAAAAGGAACCAGCAGACCAACCAAGAATATCAAGACAAATATCCTCAGAGTCTTGAACCAAAAGGACAGTGACTTGTAATGATATTTGAATTGATTCTTCAAGTATACTCCTTTGCTAAGTTTGATTCCAATCACAAAGCTTAGCATGAACCAAATATATAAACTTAAACTAAAGCATATATTCTATAAAACTAAAGGACTATCTATTGTATATAGATGTGTCTATTTCTGACACTTCTCATAGACTGCAGTCATCCACAACGTTGCTTCTGTTGGACTTATGAATAAATATCTGTTTAATTCTAGAAACATGATCGATACACACGTCCAACTGAATGCAATCAAACCAATAATATAAATTACTCTGTTTTAAATGCCCTAATGTCCCACTTGCAAGCATTCTGTTAAGTACTCTGTGATTTGATCATGAAAATAATTCATGTAAATAATGGATACATAAGCTTAATAGGCCCAACCCAGGAGAATTTAGCCAAATGAATGAACTCCCATAAATACTCTTGAGAATCCAGTCATGAAGGTCCAAAAAGTGATTATAAATATAAACACGACCCTTAAATATAACGGATATTTGCAGCTATGTTTATTAAAGTTATTACTTTGGCTGGTCTTTCCAAATTGCTGGAAACAATATAGATGGTAAAAGGAAACACATAGCTTGTGATGTCATTGCATGACCTGATGGCTTCCCGAATTCCTTATTGCATTCATAAGGTTCAATCTCTTAAACAATAAAAAATGGTCTTGCCTAATGATAGAAATTTTTCAGCAGTGAATTAGAAGCAATTGAGAAGAGAATCATCCCTCCATATAACAATGCTCCTAATTTGTTCTCCAATATAAGAAAAGCAATAATTGCTATACATGGAAGTACATAGAGTGAATATGAAAAGACGAGGAACATGTCTTTTTCACCAGAAAACTAGTTTGATTGCAAATATAATGTCAAGGTGGTGTTGGCATCCCACATTTGCTAATTGAATATAAGGTCGAGGACTATGTATAAAGAGAGCGCCAATGTTGCAATAATAAATAGTTTCATTAATTAATAAACATTATATGGCAGTGGTTGATTTTGCAGATGGGAATACATCTGAAATCATTTTTATTATAAAATGTAGCAATTGTAAATTAGAATATACAATTGCTATTAGTAATATCTTTAGTGTTAGTAATTATATTTAACATAAAATTAATGAGAAACTTGAATCATGTATCATTGTATGCTTTCACGGCCCGAGCAATTCACAGTCAGGTGGCAATCATAGGAGGGGGAACTGCAGGATTGAATGTTTCTGCACAATTAGTAAGAGATGGTCACTATATCCCATAACAAATTCGTGTGTTTGAACCATATAAGATGCATGCTTATCAAACTGGATGGACATTGGTTGGTAGATAATGATTATCTAATGAAGGTGGTGGCATGTGTAAAGCCGATTAAACGATGAAGCCTATGGAAAAGGTTCTGCCCAAAAATGTGTGTCTGAGTGATTGTCCAGTTGTCAAAATAGACCCAGAATAGAACACAATAGTGACAATGGATGGATAGAAATACACATATGATTAACTGATTGTGGCAAGTGGAGTGCAACGTGATTACGCATCCATTAAAGGTATAAATATAAATTTATACATTTTTTAGGTGCATTGGAACAACTGAACAACCCAGAAGCACCTGTGGGAAGTATTTACTATTACAGATACGCCTAAAAGATAGATAAAATGATTAGAGAATTCGAAGGTGGTAAACTAATATTTTCAGAACCACCTACAAAATGTGAGGGAATTCCATCTAATATTGTATTCCTAACACATGAAAGATTATCAGCAAGAAATGTCAAATGTGACTTCCACGTGTACAAAGCCAATGATTCTATTTTTGGCATTCCAAAATACTCAGAAATACTTGGAGAATTGGCTCATGAGAAGGGATTGCATTGTCATCTAAAAAAACGATTAATTGAAGTTCAAGATCATAAGGTAATCTTTGAGGATGTTGAAACCAAACAATAATATACATCCGACTATGATTTCTTGCATATTGTACCCCCCTAAGTAAATAGTGTATCTCATATCTTTTTAAGAAACCAGCTGCATTCATTGCTGAAAGTGGATTGGGTGACTCAGATGGGTATGTCAATGTCCACCCAAACACACTCCAACATGTGCGTTATGCCAATGTCTGGGCCTTGGGAGATTGCTCTTCACTCCCAACATCCAAAACTGCTGCTGCTGTGATGGCCCAAACTCCTATTCTTATTAAGAACCTCATCAGAACTTGGAAGATGAAATTGCCACCTCTGCCAGAATATGAAGGTATGCAAATTTAAGATGGCCTCAAGGTTATACTTCCTGTCCAGTCTACACTTCCAATAAGAAAGTCTTGCTTGCCGAATTCAAGTACAACAAACAATTAGATGAAACATTCCCAGTCTTTTAATCATCAGATAGCAAACTCATGTACTTGATGAAGAAACATTTCTTCCCATTTGCTTATTGGCAATTGATGGTTAGGGGTCTTTGGGGAGGCAGAGACGGAATAAGATTATTCAAAGGAGTCTGAAAATATGCTCATATACAATATATATAATATTAAGATAATCATGTAGTCTCGCATCAGAGTTAGTGGAGGGATAAAATAGCAATACGCTCTTAAATTTAATTCGCAATAAATTCCTATTTAAATAAATATTTAATTTATGAAATAATAAAACTTTATTAAACCTTTCCCTGCTTTTAATACCTTTATAAATGTTTTAATGGCTTCTGGACCTATCTTATTGCCGATGAGCTCTGCAAAAGTGGGTTATGGTTACGCTTCCATATCGCTTTCGATTTGTTGTCTCATCAGCATTATAGCATGCGATTTCATTGTGGAGGTAGCCGAATAATCTGTATTTAGACTAGGCTCTCTATTTAGCTGATCAAATTGATAAAGAGACCGACATGATGAGTAGATTGAATATTTAGGCAACTCATACCGTTTCTGATTCGACTGAAGAAATATCGTCATCTTAGCCATTGGAATCGAAATATGCAATACAAAGTCAATTTGAATATGGATCCATGGCGAAATTGTTTTATGGAAAATGGGCTGAATATTTTACAGTATCCATTATTGTGATCTACTTATATGGAGCAGTTGTAGCTAAAGGAGTGATGGTTGGAAATTCCTTATCGTAATCATCTATATATTAATATTCAAAATAGCTCAGTTTTCAAAGGCATCACCCTTGTTGAAGAATATTGGTTTTGGATTGTCATATTTTTTGTACTTTGTGGAATACTGTCGTTCAAGGATGTTGCTAGCATTCAAATAGTCTAAACAATTGTCGCCTTGGCTCGTTATTTAACTATCCTTGCCATGCTTACAGGATCTATCCAATAAATGGCCGCTGCAGAAGAAATCTAAGAGATGCAATGGTTCAACATTGACGCATTGCCACAAATGATCTCAACTGCAATTTTTGCATTTTTGATGCATCATTCATCCCCTGGTATGTTAAGACCAGTCAGACCAACTTCAGCTATCAGAAAGATCATCTTTATCAGCTTTATTTTCGGTTTGCTCACTTTTCTATTTGTATGTTTGACTGCCATCTGGGCATTTCCTTTTAAAGACCTTGCTGCAGCCAGCTTTTATAATTAACTCTTCAATCAGGGCAATTTAAAATGGGCCTATTATATTATTAGCTTTTATATGTTTCTAAATATAGCAGCCCTCCCTGTATTAACTATCACCATAAGGAAGAATCTGATGAAATTAGTGGTTCCGCATCTAGTCCCCAAAGACAGTCTAAAAATTACTCTACCAAGTGCCATCTTCACTTTACTTATTGTTGTGCCTTGTGCATCACTTGCCGTTTGTAACTCACTTTAATTTATCCTAAGTGCTTAAAGATAATATTGAGATTATAGTTGGCCTCACAGGAGGAGTGTGTGGAGTATTTATTTTGTTGACCATCCCAGCTGCCTTGGTGTTACAAGGTCGTAAGAAACATGCTGTCAAATACGAGGATAATCCATACATTTCCAAATTCTAACATCCTTTCTGGATTTGGGCATTGATTGTACTTGGTTGTGTGTTTGTGCCATACAATCTCTACATGCAAATCAAAAAGATCATTGATCATTATGGTTGATCACATTATTTGTCCCCCAAAATATATATATTATTATATTGTAAATAAATTATAATACTCAATATTTTAAAGCCTAATTCAATTGATTCTAAGTTTCCTTGTAAAGTGATTCGAAGTTAACCTATTCTAGGATTGCCAACATTGCTATTCCTCTCACATTATGGGCCAAGAATCCTCCGTAACCCCAACTGAAATTCCACTCCTTCATATTAAATTTCAATTTCTCCCACAAATTCTGCTTTTTTGATGCCTCTTACTAAAACAAAATCGATTTGACCTACAAACGACGTCTCACACTGTCAATTGGATATATCAATGCATATGATCCCAAATAAGCCAATTATTGATTGTAAGGAGTAGTGCCATCTAAAAGAGAATTCAAACCCACTATGCCATATGCAAACAACAATGTCTATAAACATCCAACTGTAAATCCTGAATACAAACCCTTGAAAAATCCACTCTCTATTTTTATATTAAAGCGAGTCTCTTCAAATCCCACATACATTCTTTTCTATCCTGGAATCTAAATTTCAGTTGCTTATCTCACTCTAATTGTATCAAAAGGGTAGGAGAATATAGAGGTAGTAATGCCACAAAGTGTTGCACAAAGTCCCATTGACAAAAGCTTGAAATTCAATTTATTTATATACATCTTTGTCATAAGTGGCTTGTTTGATATTTTGATAGAAAACATATTATGCATACACTTGAGGTATCCACATGTATATTGCTGTTAAATTTGATCTGAAGAGTCCTTTCGGTCCCTCATTTGAAATCGTTTTCTTAAGAAATTAATAAAAATTAGTCATCTTCTCTTTGGAACTCAAAGTAAGAATATCCTAGGTCTATCTGACGAGTTTATATCTCTCTAATGGAGCTAACAGTGTTTTTACTATGGATGTGCTCACAAAGCCTTAAATATATTCCTCCATAAATAAAATGTAATATTAATTATTTTATTAATTTAAGCATTTTAAAATTCTTACTTAATTCATTTCAAAATTTGCAACACTATTCAATCCTGGACCTTGAGAATACTCTTACTTTTATTGAAGAAGATGATTCTGTTTTTTTAATTATTTCGATAAGAATTAATTGTCAATATATACATTAATAATGCTAAAAAATAATTAACATAAAAACCTACCTTTGTAGCAATATCTGAGTAGATTTCGAATCTGCACTCTGATCCTCCTTATGAATATTCTCATAATTGCCGTGATAGTCCCACTTATTTTAGGAGTTTACCAAATCAACACTAATCTAGTATATTATTATTTTCAGGAATCTGCAATGATTGCATTCATAAATCAGAATAACAGGACGTTAAATTCAATTATGTCATCTCAAGTGGCTTAATTGAAGAATATGATGAATCGAAGTAAACTTATTGTTAATCATTAAGCTGAGAGAACTCTGTATAGTTTACAAAAATTGTATCTTCTTGATTAACAATATAATTTTACAATTAACGTAAATCCGGAGGTGTGTCATACTTAATTTGATGATGAAGATCCATTTGAATATAGTTATAACGGTTATTGCATAAATATATATGATATTGAATTTGAAGAGTTTTAATAATTACCAGAGTAAGACTACTTTTCAAGGGATTATCAATTTGTGTCCCTCTTGAATGAATGCATAATGTAGATGGATCCCACTCAAATATTTTTACCTGACAATATTTATTTTAGCAAAGTTGACAGAGAATTCACAGCCTGGTGGCCATAATGGAATAGAATTAGGGATTATCATCCCTCCCAAAGGACATGGTTTATTTAGCATTTGCAGAATTATTAATAAAGGCCTAATTAAACTTGTTTCAAATCTGATATGTATCAATTTTTCGCAGACTACCCTATTATGGCAATGACTACTACTTGCAGTTTGAAGGATGAAAATAATAAATTAATAGCTATTTTGGCTTCGGATCAAGAGTTGCTAGATAAATATTATAAGCATCCTAGGTTAAATGTGATGATTGTGAATGTTGATGGAATGTTAGTAATTAGTACTATGGAGAGTCAATTGATAGCAAATGCAACAGAACTTGGATATTTTTATGAATAAGACGTAACTGGTTTCAACAATGAGGATTGGCATTAGATTGTTAAGTTTGTGTAAAATCACTCTTACGAATCAAATTGTCAATATTTTCCAGTTCCAGATGATTTGATATGCCGTTATAATTCATTGCTGAAACAGGATGTGATATTCTAGGTGCAGAACTTATCAAACCCAAACTTTCTTTACATATTGTAAGAAATGGATTTTGTAAATTATTTAGATTCTTCAATTTGACTGATGAAATTTAATAGTTGGTTGATCAATAAGAAATAATACAAGAAATCAACATCTAATCGTACTACACCATCTTAGTCCTGTTATCGATAGCGCTATTAATCATAACGATTCAATTGTTATGTATATAGATAATCTTCCTTCCTCTGAACGATTTAATTAAACACTCAAGGGCTTATCTCAAATCTAACTCTCACAGACTTCTCTTTAGATAGAAGGAATTCTACTTATATAACTTTTACATTGATGGTTATGCAAGCAGTATTGATATTCTCAATTTTAGATAATATCCTTTTGGGGTTAAAGTTGGCATATAAATAGATCTATCACAGAATAAGCAAGTAAAAATTTAAGAAATGTGATTAATGCTAGATCATTTAGAAGTTTTAGTATCCTTCAAATTAAATACGAACTAAACTACATTTAATTAAATAACTGGATTTTGAGTACTCCATTAGATTGACAGAAAATCAAATAAGGAAACAAATAGTTTAACCATGTTTAGTTAAGTCTTTTGATTTTTGAAATTAGTTATATGTTGCAGAAATTACTATCAAGATGGAATATACTAGATTTTTAATATATGTTAGAATAATCTACAAATTCAGTTAAATTCTCGAAGATTAGTGAGTCGGAAGATAAAGATTAAATGAAATCACTTAATATTTTTTTGGATTTGCTTAATTTACTTGTATAGATTAGTGTAGATCTCCAAGTTCTCCTGATGTAACTAATCTATGTTCTCAACAATGTTCTAAATATTTTCATTGGGATTGGCGTGTCTTAGATTGCTAGAGACAGTAGGTTATGCCACTCGCTGTACAATTTTCTTGTCTTTTTCTGAAAGTTGAAATTTTAATGAAAATGTGTCAGTTTCTTGGAATTGCAATTTGAGTGATTCCATAAACACTCTGTCCCTCATTTTCTTTTCCTCAATGCGAGTAAGAATGAAACGGTCAGCCTCGTTCAATTCTTTGCCCAACTTGCGGACTATGAGATTATCTCTGGTCATCTGGATGGCATCCATTAATCGATTGACATTACGATCACTCCATAAATCTACCACTCCCATTGAACCATCATTGGCAGCATCACCAAATACATCTCTAACTTTTTTAATTAAAGGTTGTAAGTAGTAATTATTCTTCTTCTCGTGAGTTCTGAATCCAAATTTAAGGAAAGTCAATCTTTTATTCTTGGATTGCTTATTGGCCACTCCAAATGTTTGATCTCGTTTCACCTGTATGTCAGTTTTAGGAAGTTCACGCATCTATTTGTATCTCAAGAGACCTCGCAAATGACCCAGAGCAAAACTAGACTTTACATTTTCTTTAAGAATATCGATATTAGGCAGGAGAGAAGGTTCACTCTTCTATTTGGGTTTATGCTGTTATGAAGATCTCGATAATTATTTCATTTTAAATATATTAGAAATGAATTTAAGCATCTCTATATTGCTAGGATAATTAATGTTAAGGAGCATTATCAATATCATATAAGAGGGCTAAGAGGAGTCTAAAGATCCAACCACACTGACATTAAATTCATGTGCAGCTATTTTTATTTTGCTAACCTATTTCGTGAATTACCATCTTACAAATCAAAGACTTTTGTTATTGATAATCATATAGATCATTGTAGTATTGCATTTTGAAATTTCATTTTATGACAACCATCAATATTTATCTTTTAGCATAATCGTATACCTCATTTCACTCTAGCAGTATCTCAATAAACAAAGGGATTGTTTTCATTATTTAAGTCACATTGTATTGATTTACGTTGTTACCAGATCCCTAACACAAAGATTTAACGACCTTGTTATTTGGGAGATCATACTAGTGTTAATATGGTAGCCATTCAATCATTATTTATTACATCTGCTTAGACGAATAAAATATCAAAAAAGGGAGGAGTTGAATTCACAGATCCAATTCCATACACTCTCAACACCATAAGTATAACACACAGAAAGACCCGAAGAACAACCTACAAAAGTTAATCTTGCTGAAGATTTTTTTGATTGTATTCCAGAGGGATTAGTTATTCTGGATGAATTTCATAAGATCATCAGACACAATTCAAAAATCTTGTATTATTTGAATATATCAGACCCACTTTAAATTCCAACAGCTCTGGATGGACTATTCAGAATGTAATAAAAGTTCAATTTAACTTAGTGCTCAAAAAAATAGAAGTCCTTAAAAGGAGAAAAAGAAACCAGTTCCCTTAAAGCAGATCAAACAAAGGATGGATATACAATCTTATTATACTAGTTCTCTGGGAACTTCATTAAAAAAATAGTTCTGGATGTCTGATAAAGATCAATATAATATTAGTCTGCAAAAAGGAGATTCCATTACTTACCCCTTCCTTTAATCTATTCTCAATGAATTCAAGTAATAGAATTTGAATGAAAATATGACCATAACTTCAGAGTGTAATAGCATAGTAAAATACTAAATATCACAAGAAAACTAAGTCAAATAAAGACACCTGTAAATCAAAATTTACGATATTAAAATGACCTCATATTCAACTACTCCAGTATTTCTATTTATTGTCGAAAATATCACCAATAAGGAACAACTCAAATTGCTAACGAATAGATTTAAATTCCAATAAGCATTATTGAACTCCTTCAGTCACGAGTTGAGAACACCTCTAAATTGCACTTTAACTTTATTATAAGCACTCAAAAGTAAATTGAAAAATGAAGAACTCAACAATGAATACTTGAATCCTTCAATAGTCTCAAGTCAAAGATTGCTGTACTAAATCAATGACATTCTGGATTATGCTCAATTGGAATGCCAAGATTTTTAAATCAACATTACTGAATTTAGAGTTGGTGAAGTATTCTAAACCTTAAAAGACTTCTTTGAATAAGAGTGCAAATAAAAACAAATCGAATTGATTATTGAGAATGACTGTTTAATATCCATTCGAAGTGACAAGGATAGAATTACTTAGGTTTTAATTAATCTCATTAACAATTCAATTAAATTCACATCTTAAGGAGGAAGAATTGTGATTAGTTTAAAAAAGAGAGACAATATGTATTAATTCACTGTCTGGGACAATGGTTAAGGGATCTCTAGTTTAACTTTGGCCAACATCTTTGAATCCCAGAAAAATATGTATGCCAGTGTAAAATTCTCAGATACCACTTCTAATTCAAATAAATTGGGACTCGGATTAAAAGTGAGCAGAGGTATTGCTAGAAATCTCTGTTAAAATGGAGATCTGATTATTAAAAGTTAAAAGGGTAGTTATACATCAATTAACTTTTATGTTGAAGATCAAGTAGTTAAAGCGAATGAAGATATCACAGAATAAGAATCCATCATGAGATTTGGAAGTAAGAACACTGTTCATAAATGTGAATGTCCCTAAATCCTGATTGTTGATGATGTGCCCTTTAATCATATTGCCTTGATTGCAATTTTGAGTAATTTTGGAATCAAATCAGAGAGTGCTTATGATGGAGCACAAGCGATAGAAAAAGTGAATCTTAGATTAAAAAACAAGGAATGTTGTAAATCATATCGGATCATATTTATGGATATTGAAATGCCTGGCAAAAATGGATTTTAAACTTCAGCAGAAGTAACCATAATGTGATTCATAGATAGTTGAAATTTTGAAGCAATCCAATTCCCAATCAGTTATAGTCATGTGTTCTGCTTATACAGGAGAAGCAAATGTGGAATAAGCTAGGCAATGTGGAATGAAAGAAATAATACCTAAACCAATAGCTTTCAATAGTCTATAACTATTAATATCTAAGTATTTTTAATCATTATCTTGAATTTTACTAATATTTATTTTTAGTAATAAGATTATATATCAAATATCTTAATTTTCATCTTAATCAGCTTGACTAGTACTTTCTTAATTCTTGCCTATGTCATTCGTTTCCTTTTAACTAGATCTTTCATTTATTCCACTCCCTTTGCTATTTTCATCTTGTTCAATCTAACTATTATTATTATTTGAAACATCCAATTCATTTGGATCTTCTTAGTTTTATTAATTTTACTAATTTTCTTCTTCAAAATGCTCTACATCAACTTAACCGACCTATAAATTTTAAAGTTTCTTTTTTTATTCTGATGCAGGCTATTGTTCTTCAGTTGGCATCTCTATGTCTTCCTATATTGTTTCCTGCTTCTTTCCTCTACTGTAGATCATAAACCTTCTTTCTCTCTAACTAATAAATCCTTAAGATGCTCTCTATTGATTGTCAGCACTATTTGAGCGTGAATTTCTCTGACTCCTCAGTTGTCTCTATTGATTAATCCTCTATTATTCATGCAAGGCTTGTTGTTCTAAGTGTTTGACACTCTTTAGATCTATTTTCAATTGCAAAGGTGGCATCAACTTCCTGGCTGGATCAAATAATTTATGTAACATATAATAAGACATCGTTTTCTTTTCTATCATTTACACCTAAGTTATAGTGGAAACTCAACCTCTCTGAAAAACTCAAATATTTCGATATTGGAGGCCCTCGAGTTGGAATCCAACAGTGCTGAAAGCGAGTTAATCAATTGTCTTTGAAATTATCTCAATTCGCAGTAAAGATTGCAAGCTAATTTCTTTAGAAGAAAGTCATGTGGAAAATTAGATAAAGCTGTTTTTAATTAGGGAACAAGTGATAAGCCATGATTCACTAAATTTTCCAATTTAAAACACTCTACAACAAGACTTCTATAAAATATCACTTATACTTAGTTTATAGGTTTTGTTTTCGAAGATGATTATTTCGGTATGCCTTCATTTCCTACACATTTAGTGCTAACTTCTAAAGATATTGGAGAAACGGAATTTGTAGATTATCAAGTAACCAAACTTCATTTGTTATCTACTTGAAAACAAAGGTTTCTGGTTTAGATGAAGGTCTACTTTACGATTTGTATTACTTATTGAAATATGCAAAATTCATCTTTGAAAATTATTAAGCAAATTCCTCACTAATGTTTAATACCTAGTGGATTGTGATTAGCATTTTCATCTTCACAGTGTAAGGTTGTAAATCCTCCTCTTAATAAACCTTGAAAAAATCTGTAATATTTTATTCATCAGTTAGAAATGGAATTAGAATTTCCACGTCCTCCTATTTATAAACAAAGTTATCTCGTGCTAAACTCGATTTAGTTAAAAAGCTTTAGAACTCTGATTAACCCTGAAATAGCTTCTTGAATTTCTTTATCATATTTATAATTATACAATTACCAAAAATAACATGAGTGTTTTACTTCTAATATATATATTTATTTTTAAAATAACTCTCTCATACTTAATCAAGACAGACAATTATCAACAATTTAATCTTATTTCATAATTCATATATCAATCTGAGTCCTCTTAAATTTTATGAGAAATTAATTTTTTCTCCTCCTAAATCAATCCTGGGTGTATAGTCTAAAGCAATTTGCAATATTCGTTTGTCTCATCTAAAAAGTTCTCGTATTCTTTTTTGGTCATTTAACTACGAGGAAACTTGCTTTTCTACTTCTTTATTTTCTTTCTTGCCATTTAAATTTAATTATAATATTAAGTAATCTAAGCCATTTCAAAAAGAGGCCTTAAACATTTTATATAGACATCTAAGAACATCTTATAATTGTAATATAAATATTAACAATATTTTTTAAATTTATTGCATAATCAATTAATATTCTGATTTTACTGAGTATACTAATATTACATTTTTGGCCATTCTCTTTTAATTAAACTTACTACCTTTATATATATCTATATATTAGAGTAACTTGAAATTTCCACATTCAGGAAAATTTAGCTATTTTCTTATTGACCAAATTTCATAATTCATAAATAAAAAAATCAAATAAATCTTTTACTGTTACAAAATAGATTATTATTACTCATTATTTAGTTCTGAGGCAACGAATGATTTTCAAGCATGTCTCTTTCTATACTAAGATCATCAATCATATCTGAAAATATCTTTCGTCTCTTAAATTTCATTAATTACAGATATTCATAATTTTATAAATTGAAAAAGTTAGTTTATTCTAGTATCTTTTCTATTTTTGAATTACATTAATACAACCAATTAAACAGTTGATTTTGCAATTAAAATAACGGTGAAGCATAGTTATTTAAATCATATATTAAATTGCTACTAAGTCGCAACCTTAAATCATTAATTTATGACAAATTGTTTATTTTTAAATCTCTATTAAGATTAAATGAGGAGCATATCATCTTTTATCTTGAAATAATTTGTAAGGCCTTACTTATTTCAAGTTTACTTTGATCTAATAGAAATTATTGAAATTCTTTTAAATATTTATCTAAAATATATTAGTTTTGTAATACGTCTCAATTCACTTCTAAAATTTAACAATTAATATTCATTCAAAACTAGAAGTACATCGTTAGCAATCTAAGTTTTTAACTCAGCCCTTTTTTATTTAAATTTAAATCTCAAAAAGTTCACTTAATTTTTATATTTAATTCTTTCAGATGCTGGTAAGGATTCATATTATAAAACGTTTTTTAGCTTCTACATTGTTATTTCCAGATTGCCACTTCTTAAAAATTTTAAAATTTCTGGTAATTCATCTTATAAATCGAACTCATTAATGAAATCCACATTTCTCTTAATGGTTTAGCTCTGTTCATTAAGGCAGCTTGATTTTTAAAATATAGGAGCTGATTCAGCAACAGTCTCTCTAACAGAGCATTCACTACCAACCTAAAGACTATTTTCATTATAACTTTCCATTTCATCAAAATCTTCAATATCTTCAATTTCTTCTTAATCTAAATGCTTTTATACCATGTTCTGATGCCTCTATACCATATTTTTTTCAATCTGATTTTTCATTTGATAAACATTTCTAATATCTATATGATAATTACTTTTCTTGCTATTCTAATAAGGATTTCTCTCTTAAAATATTTGTATAAATGTATCTCTTTTCAACCTTTCTTGTATTTTTAATAAACACTAAGCTTTATGTTCCAAAATATCTAGGTAGTTTATTAAATTTGTTGATGGCAAAGAAATCAGAATTTATAGCTAATAGGAATTCAATTATTTCTAAATTTCCGATGCTCATTGCTGTATGACATAAACTTTAACCATTATTACTAGAGTGATGATTGAAATCAAACAATTAACCTTTCTTAATATTGTGTCTTTTAATTTGATTGTATTAATATCCAAATTGAATGGCTCTGATTTACTATTTCTTTATAGCAACATCCAGAGGAGTGCTCCCTTCATAATTCTCTACATTAGGTTCAGCCCCATATTGAAGAATAGTATTAGCAAACTCACTACTATTTTCGTGTTTGTCAAAGTTCATCATTAATTAATGTAATGGAGTATTCCCATCCATATTTCTATGCATCAACAAAGCTTCCTAATAGAATTATATAATTTGCAAACTTGATTATTATGAGATGCCAGAATGAATCTCAAATTTTGGATATCAGCTCGTTAGCTTATTTGATGAATGGCATTTATTGAGAAAGTTGCTCCAAATGATTTGAGGATGCTTACTGATCTTTTTTATTATAAATACTTAACCTTAATTTCCCATCTAAATAACACACTGTTAGAGGAGTGTTGTTATCGAAATCTGTTTTGTTGATATCTTAAGGAATTATTTAATATAATCCATACAAAGCTCCAATATCATCATTTAATCCTGCTTAACAAAACAGATTTCTCTCCTTATAATCAGTTCCAGAAAAGTTTTATTCATTAACACTTAATAATTTCACAAAGTCCAAAAAATTTAATTTATTATGTTTCAATGCATTCATTAACTTTTACTGGATCGAAGGATATTTAACGAAGTTCAATTTCAAAGGCAAGGGAGGTTTGCAGTATTTGAACCAGTCGAATTCTAATTGACTCATATTTTTTATGGCCCTATCAAAATTCTTTGGGAGTTAAGAGATTGGGTTCATTTAGATACATAAGACTTCAATTGAATGGGGATATGGTTATTCGAAATTATTGCTTGATAAATTCAGTTACTTCAAACTCTTAATGTGTATATTTAGACTGTGTAATTAATTGAACGACAAATCCAATATTTCCAAGAACTTTAGAGACTCTAAAAAGTTTGGAACAAAAGTTAAAAAGTTTGAGCCCATATACAATTTTTAGAGATTCACCATTGATCTTCTAGTAGTATAATAGTATTACTTGATATCTTCTGGAATTTAATTTAATTTACATCTTGTTAAATCAAGTAGTTTGAGGTTCAAATATTTATTAAACGATATATGAGTATTGTTTAATCCTTTCCCTTGGACTTCCAATTTTTCATCTGTAAATAAATATTCTTGTATCTATAATATTTTTCTATTTGCTTACTGTTTCAGCTGGTGCTTTCAAGTCAAGAGGCTAATTGATGTTTAAATTTGAAAATTGAATTTTATCTTCCAATGTCTTCTAATTCAAAAACGCTAGGTTTATCCCCCTTTAATGCTCATCAAATTCTGATTCATTATACATGTCACTTTAGGAACTTTCTACATATTGCAAAGTTTAATTCATTTAATATAAAAGCAAGTATTTTATTAATATAATTTCTCACAATTAATTCACTTTAACTTCTCTATTATGTCACACATTTGGATCATCAAACATGCATAGATATTGGTTCTTTTAATCCCTTGTAGAAAGTATATATTTTACGAGGACTAACAAAAATGGAATTGACTTCCTCTCAATAATTATTGGCAAAATCAAAAGCTTGACACTCAAGATTTGAATTGATGATCTATTTAATAGTTTTTAATGATGATTATTGATAGATCAATTAATTTCAAATAAGAAATTTATTATATTCAATAATTACCGTATCTTTGGTCTAATAATACAAGTTTAGACACTTAAATTGTATCAAAATTGAAAACAGATTATTCTTTGAATATATCATAAATAGTTTAATAGTGTATTAATAATATAAGACAGTCACAAATCCTGTAACAGAAGAATTTTAACTGTTTAATTTTGAATGCTTTATTGGCTAACTGTATTTCCCTCAAATTATGGAACCTCTAGTAACTAATATAAAAATTTAGCTAATTTAATATTAGGATTTAATTTGAAAGACTACAATTGACCTTTGCATTAGTATTAGAAAAAAAAATACAAATAATGTTTCAGAACAATGATTCTATTACTCTTGAACTTATTTTTTTAAGCTTGATCATTTTGTCATGTTTGGGATATACTATTGGTAGTGGATCATTATTTAATTATGAAAAATCTATTAATGGGAGGAAAGATTGATGATGTTGAACTTGGGTGGGCTTCCTACTATACAACATCATTAGGCGTTGTTTATTTTAGATTTAACATCTTTTGCTTGTACATTTTTTAAATTCTTTGTTTTCCTTTTATTTCATTACGTCAAGTTCTAAGTACTGCATACTCATCGTTGGAGGATCAAGAGTTGATAGCCTTCGTTTAACATCACACATTTAGGATGGCTGAGAGTTTTCAGTGTTAAGAGTTCTATGTCGAAATTATACTGTCTTCCTTTGATCATTTAATCGAGCAATGATTTCCTTAATGTTATATTGCATAAAATAATTTATTGCATATACTAAATTTAATTGCTCACATATATTAATTAATCCTGTTAATTCTAAATTTTTAAATATTAGTGAAATAAAATATAGATCATTGAAGATAGTTTAGCTGCAACGAATTAATTTTTTAGCATAATTGTAGGAATTATTTTTTGGTGAGATTTGTTGGTTTTTCTTCAACAACTAATTTTAGTTTGAATTAATTCAAGTAGGATATGGATGTATCAAAATTGTCGACAACTTGTTTACAGATTTCAAAGTATACAACTAAATATGTTAAGAGCAGTATGCCACCTTCTTCTACTCCTCCCAATTAATCATAATCTCTCACATTTATTAATTTGAAGTTCAATTAATTCTATAACAAAGTAATTGAGTTTCGTAATACAGGAAGCATTAGAATGTAATGACAATGAACTTCCAATTCGCTTTAGTCAAAGGCAGCTGCAAATTTCTTATCTTTGAGGATTTCATTTAATAGAATTTCATCTCTATGAATTGAGTCCCACTAAATCATAAAATGAAGCTGTTTACCAATTTGTTGAATGAAGTTCTAAATGTCTCATTCATTAGATTGCTTTGAACAATGAATTCACTCTTCTTTGTCTAATCAATTGTAGAATGATTCTTATTCAAAATAAAAAGGAGTTGCTTTGATTTGAAAATCGCATGTTTGATAGTAAAGTATAATAATTTCTCTTTCAATCCTCCTTCAATGAAGAAGTCAAAATGATCAACAATTTTAGCTATTCTTAATATCAATTTAAGTAAATTCATAATGTTGTTTACAGCATCTCCATAATTTACAAATTCTTATCTTGTCTCTTGGAGATGCTTATTGCTTTGAATTCTTTAAACAGAAAGGTTGGGACGTTATTAAGAATAACTGGTTTTTGCTCTGTTTTCAGCATTTGCTAATTGAGAACTATTAAAGGAAAATTAAACTGATTTTCTTGATGGCCTAACTTAAAAGCATCTGAATAAATCATGTTCCAATAATTGATTGCAGTTGAGTCTTTTGCTCTCTTCCAATTATAAACATTTAATGATGAGATCTTTAGCGACCGATGAAATCTTTATGGTTCTTGAGAATTAAATAGGAGTTGTTGTGATTACCTTAACGAATTCCTATTCTGTGCCTGCTTACCAAGGTACCTTTCCTAGGAATATCTAGAATATCAATACCAGTCAAAATTTAATAGAACATCACCCCTAAACTCCAAATGTCACTCTTTTCTGAATATTTATTTTCAGTCAAAGCTTAAGGAGGCATATAAAGAGTTGTGCCAACATTATAATATACCTTTTCTTTTGGAGAATTTATCATTTTAGAAAACCCATAATCAGCGATCTTATAAATCCCTTACTTTATCAAAATATTTGATGGTTTTAGATCTCTGTGAATTATGCCCTTTTAAATTTGCTCTTTAAATCCTGCCAAAATCTGATAAAATATTAACACTGCTTCATTCTCAGGGATATATCCTCTTTTTATGATCAGATCTGCTAAATCACCTTTATATATTAACAATGTGTTTTACCCTAATTGCAGTATTCAGTTATGATATATGTAAAATTAGTGTTTTGACAGTAACAATGCATTTTAACAATGTTGATTGAATCTAAAATCTGTAAAGCAGTTATTTCCTGCTGTAATAACTGTATCTCAATTTCATGCTGCATTTTAGAGTGCTCACATACCTTAACTTTATTGAATAACCATACCTTTATAGCAACGATATCTCCATTCATATCATTTTGCCCTTTGTAAACTTAGCTCTTGTATCCTTAACCAATCAAATCATCTGGGTTATAACTGTAAACACTAACTTTTATCCGCTTTTGATTGTTCATATTTTTATAATTAATTTCTTTATTTTTATTGCCCTTCGGTAAATTAATCAATTTAAGTACTTAGTCGATAAAACTAACAATTTATTAATTACGTTTTATCAGTATTTATTTAAAAAATGTTAAGGAAAACCTTTGTTGAGGTCCTGCTAAATTGAAACTCAGATTCAATCAGCTAATAAATGGTTTTTCTTTAAATTCAAGTGATGCTTTAAGACGATAATCGAAATTAGAGAATTCATGATATGAATGCTCCAAGAACAGTCAATATTAAATACTATAAATATTGTTAATTATTTTCTTGAATTCTCACTCTATCTGCATGATAGGAGGAATAAAAATCCAAAATAGTTTTATATATTGATTGAATATCACTATGATTTAAAATTATATTTGGGACTAAATAAAGGTTAATCAAACCAATAGAAGAGGAAGCGTTGAAAACTAATATCATTTATTTATAATCTTTGCACAACTAAATTGTATAGAAACGTAAGGATGTTTGAGAAATAATAATTTTTTTTGGATATTCAATATAGATAAACAATTAGGAATATACATTCAAATTTCACGATTAAGGGATAATATAAATGTACTATTGATACTATAATATTTAAGACCAATAATTTCTAAATAATCATAAATAAAAATGAGTAAATTGAATTCATATGGAAGAAACAATCCTAATTTTTTCAATTTTTAGAATAAATCCATAAAAAAGATTGATATTATAATAGATACATAGAGCCATATCATATTTTATTTAGAAATAATGAGGATCCACATATTTTATTAACTGACTTCTATAGATAGGATGAAAATTATTTATTTCTTAATGAGGAAACAATGATTATCACGGTCCTGAAAAGCTTACTATTGAATATTATTATTACAAGGTATCTCGGAGTGCTATTTCGTTAATTCGTAATACAAATCTTTTGAAATGAGCACTTTTTTCAGTGACTGTGAGAAATTGATACATCAAATAAGATAGAATAATCTTGTTAGAGGATCTTGATACATCAAAGTCATATTTGGTATGTCAGAATGTCAAAGTGTTGTTTGATTAGTGACTTTAAAAATAATTTTTAAATCTAAATTGTTCTATATGTATAGCTTAAATACCTTTTCTAATAAGTTTAAGATAATAAATTAGTATATATTTTAAAAATGAAATCTCCCTCAAAAGATTTTGCTTCAACATAAATTGATGAAAAGGTGAGTTCTTGTTGGTAATTCAAAAATATTTCCAATTTGCCTCTAACCATCAGTTTTGATAGATTCAATGTGTTTTCTGAAAAGAAAAAAACGTTCAAAGAGATAGAGATAGCGAAGATGAAGAATTTAATCTTTAAGAAAAAGAAAAATCAAGTAATAAGGAATTTTGATTTTAGACTGGATTTTTGATTGTCGATATAACAGATTGTATCATTTCAATAGTTGAAAATAATCATATTGGACATGGTCTTCAATTTACAAAGGCAAGTTTTTAGTTTCTGATATTCGGGTCCCATATTCTCGATTGGTTTGAATCATTAAAAAAATATTGCTATTAAACAGAATTTAGTAACAAGTATGAGTTATTGACTTTAATCAACAGAGGATCGTTATACAAAGTATCAAATTATAATAAATCAAGTTATACGATGCCATTAATATTTACGAATAAACTAATTATACTGTAAAAGTATATGAAAAATAATTATTAACAAAATAATCGGATATTGATGCTATCAAAAAAGAAATTTCTATCTTTAGATTGATGAATCATCCTGGAGTAGTAAATTTGATTGAGGTGTTTGAGAATGAGTAAGGATACCTTATAGTATACGATTCTTTTGAAGGAGGCACTCTAAGTGATATGATAAAAAAATATCAAATTCCAGAATAATAGGCTATTAAGATAATTTTTCGATTGCTAGACTCTCTAAGTTATATTCATGAATAAAGTGTACTACATAGAAATTTGAAGCCTGAAAACATTTTAGTAAAGAATGTTTTGGCTCCAAATAATGTTTAAATTAGTGATTTTAGTCTTGCGGATTTCTTTAGGAGAGATAATAAATATCTATTTACTCGTTGTGGTACTCCTGGATATGTTGCTCCGGAAATTCTATAAGATAAAAGTTATGATTTTAAAGTTGACGTCTATAGTTTAGGAGTCATTCTCTATACCATGCTATCAGGAGGTGCTTCTCCTTTTCCAACTAAAAGCTATGATGAAAGGATTTTTCTCAATTACAATGGCCAAATCGATTTTTCAATTATTGATGCTTCTCCTGATGCTCTTGATTTATTAAAGTAGATGCTTGAAATCAATCCATAGAAAAGAATCAATTCATTTAAAGCAATTTGGCATCCTGTATTCAAAGGTTTACATAAACTGAAGATCACTAGCTTAGATTAAGAGAAAAGAAATTCCTCAATTAAATTGACTATTAAATAGAGTCTGCCTCCTAAGACACTTGAGAATCTAAAATTAATCCCTTGTCCCATCAACATATTACCTCCTGCTTCAGTATAATTTTAGAGAAGACAAAAGTTTAGAATTGCTATGAAAAATAACCGTCTGACTCTAAGTAAAGCTTCATCTCCATTTATGTCTCCAGGAAGAAATCTATTTACAATGCAATCTCAGAAACCGCTCTTCAAAAATTTATCTGAAAAGGAAACAACATAAATTTATTGAGTATATTTTTTTGTATAACATTAAAACATTTATTGATAGATACTTTTAATATTCGTTTCTAAATCCAAAAAAAAGGTTCAAATTTTTAACTATTAATAAAATATTTCATTTGAACCATTTGCACCTCTGATTCATGTTCATTTTATGTTGAATTTAACATTATAAGATTTACATTTTAATCTTTTTTATATTAGAATCATACTTGAATTTGATAAATCAATTATATTTATGTTGAACGTATAACCTAGAAATTCCATTAATAATTTTACCATATGAAATCTTACAATTTACTTAATTGCTAGTCGATACTATTTGAAACAGATTAACATTTCTGGAAAAAAATTGATGAAAATAGTAAAATCGATGAATTTACTAAAGAAGAGCTTTACTATTATTCTAAGAAACACAGAGAGTATAAATAGAAGACCTTTGGCTTAAAGGGATCAATTTTACTGAAATTTGGCAATAAGGAAGTATATATTTTATTTTAAAGTAGAATGATATAATGTATTGTAATGTGGCAAACTCTTTAATGGCATAAACTAATCATCAAAAATTCGGTTATGGACTCAAGTTTATCTAAAATACTTATCACATTGAGGTTTTCGGTTAAATTCAATAATGGAATCAAGAACTAAAAAAATATTGTATTCAGACCAATCTTAAATCCAAATATACAATTGGGAGAAAACTTGGAACAGGAAGTTTTGCAGATGTATTTATCATATTTTAACATTAGGTTTATCTTATCATTCATAATGAGAGTAAGTAAGAGTTCGCTGTCAAAATATTTGATAAGACTTCTTGTAAATTTGATTTAACTTGTATAAAATAAGAATTGGAAATTTTGCGATAAATGGATCATCCAAATACAAGTCATATCATAGAAGCATATGAATCATCAAAATACTTATATTTGATACAAGAATTTTACAAATATGGAAGTCTTTACGATTATCTCTTAAAAACTGAAATTCCAGAAGATGATGCCATAAGAACTACATATAAGTTGTTAGAAGCATTAATTAGTATTCATTCAAAAGGAATATTGCATAGAGATATCAAACCTGAAAATATTTTACTTCGCAAACCCAATCTCGAGGATATTGTTATCTCAGATTTTGGATTAGCCGTCTATTATAATGATAATGGTAGGTATAAGCATTAAAGGGCTGGGACACCTGGCAACATTGCTCCAGAAATTTTGAAGGATTAAAATTATGATTATAAAGTTGATGTTTATGGATTGGGGATGGTACTTTATTAGATGTTAACATCTAAGTAATCTCCTTTTTACAATAAAAACTATCAAAAGATGCTGTCTGAAAATCAAGAAGGCTACATAGATTATTCGTAAATAAAAGCCTCATCTCCAACTATTAATTTACTTACTAAAATGCTTGACCCTGATCCTTTGACAAGATATACAGCATAATAAGCTAAGCAAGATTAGGCATTTAAAAAGTATAATAGACAAACAATTATTATCAAAAGAAAGAAATTTATCAAAGATCAAACTGTCTCAAGTTTTAGCCCAAGAAGCAATTCGATTTATTTTAGTCCTTCCCATTAACAATCTCCTCCTATAAATGTTTCAAGTCCAATGAATAACTCTCAAATCAATAGAAGAATACTGGGGCTCCCATAAAGATTAAAACATGAGGATAGGAGGTAGTTTTTTTCACCTAATTCCATTATAAATAGTGGGACCTTTTGTAATTTATCGAAAAAAAATTATAAAATATCAACTAACATCACTAGAAATAGTATTTATTATGGAATGATTTCTCAAAAGGCTTCATGAACGAATTCGAAATAATATGATTATTTAATTTTAGTTTTGTATAATTCTAAATTTTTCATTTTAAAAAATGTTGATTGATTGATAGCTTCTTGATTCAAGGAGTCTAAATAAATTTATTATCTTGTAAAATTATCTAGATTAGAAAAAAAAAATATGGTCTATATTGATTCGTAAAATCCAAAAAAATTACGAAGGAACAATAGTTGTTGTTTTAATGATTTTAATCTATAGATGACTAGTTTCTATCATTTTGCTAGTGTAAAAATAATATTCAAGAATTAGGTCAAATTTTAAGGAGAAGGTAGGATTCTCAATAGAAGATAAAACTTATTTTTATTTATAATGCTGGTGAGATTATTGAAATTTCATAAATTCTTTCTGGACGCTGTAAAATGGATATTCTATGTAGTGATCTTAATTAACAACTCACGTAATTAAAAAAAATTACATAAATTATCCTACTCCACATTTGTGTATTAAAAATTACAATAAAGATAATTTAATATTTCTCCACTGCATTCATTTTTAAAGCTTGAAGATAGTGATTAATTAATTAATTATAGTTATTCTAATGTGATTTCAAGAAGGCATATCATGAATCTGTACAAGTTTATTCGTCGTGTATTTTTATTTCATTATGCATAAAGAATGGAGATAAAAATATAGAATTATAAAATAACTTTAATTTGTGAGGAATAGAAATGAATTGATAAATAGAAATGAGGATAATACAGAGTAAGACCTTGTTATTAATTTGTATAAGCCAGCTCTTCGAATTTGAAGGAGGAAACAAATTATTTTTTAAGTAATGATATTTTGTTAATTAAATATTAGAGATATCTTTAGTGTGTTATATTTGGAACATTAATTCTTTATATTTGTGGCCAATTTTTCAAAATTATTATCCGAATTGAGTATATTTTTATTGAGATGGAGGATTTTTGATTTTTAATTATAGGTGATAATTAAATGAGTTTGAATGATATTTAATATGGGTTAATGGTCTCATTAATGTTTAAAGCGAAGTGAGGCATTATAATTTATTATTGATGTATTTATATAAATTAGAGATTAAAATTGTTCTAGAGAATTTTCATAATTATTTGAGATGATTTTAAGAATAAGAAATATTTATAGGTTTTGTAGCAACAACAACACAAATTATCATAAGATAGTTGGCTCATTGCCAGGATAGAACAACAAAGACATAAAGGAGAATTTAGAAAAGTTTTCAAAAATTTATTAAAAAGTTGATTTTAAGCAATTACAGAGAGAATAGATAGAGGAATAGCAAAAGAAATTTATGTTGCAGAATTAAGAGGCATAATAATTTGGTGAATCGATTAAAGTGGGTGAAAAGGTAATCAATGTTTATATGCGAGGGGGAAATTGGATAGAGCAACTATTTGAAATTGATGGGTGTATTTTTTTTGGGGATGTTCATATATTTGGGGAAGGAAACTTATAAATTCTTTACGAATCCTAGAAATGTATTGCTATATGATGAGAGCACTGGAAAAACATATTACACCACTAAGGAAGAATTCGAGAAGATTAAGGCTGAGTAAAAACGAAACAAGGAATTCAAAGAGTTTAGGTTTAAGGTGTTGTCAAAGCAACAGGATCAGAGGGAGTAAAAAGGAAGCACAGATTCAATATTTTGATAATTATATAACACAATTAATTATTCTTGTGGAATCATCCCCTAAATTAATTGAAAAAGGTCTTTTGATTTGGAAAGAGAGTTGAATCAGAATTTGATTGGATTTCTTAATTGCTTGCGTCATATTCAAAGTGTTTTATTTATCGAATTAATACTATATATAAATGAGCTATTCATTCTGCAAAATAATCATAAATAAAAATCTCTATTTTGGAGGATTTCATGCAATTCACTTTGAAATTGGCATTTATTTTAGCATATCTGCACGAGACATTATCTTAGACATGCAGAGTAAGCATTGTTATATGGTTAGCTTTAAAATACAGAATACAATTTGTTGACGATTGTGTATGGAGAGACCTTCCGCTTGCCACTAAATGAGTATTTCCTTGGTGATGGACTTTCATACACCATTTAGCCTCAAAATTCCCCATTTGCTGAGAAAACAGTCATACAAGGATAGGGTAATATACAAGGAACAATAATTTCTTCAACCTCCTCGTACTTTAACAATAATCCCAACATTTAAGGAACAAATTATTACGCACTTGCTCAAATAACAGGGGGTGGATATTAAATATATTAATCCCAACTTCCAACCGGAGCCCCATATACTTAGATATCTTACAATATCAATTTCGCAACAATCACCGCAGGACCAACTTGCTTTTCAATTAATTTCGTTTAAAATCTAATTATGGTAACATGCTCAGCCTAAGGATCCAATCAATTGACATACTTATTCTACTCTATCACTGGAAACCATTAATTATTATTTACTTAAACAATCAATTCCAACACCTTCTAAGCTGGAGCTTATGTAACAACTTAGTCTGTGGGATAATACATTGTCACTTCAATAAATACTGGCACATATAAAACTGGAACCTATACTTCAACATTTTCAGAACTCTATGTATTCCAATTGAGTTTGGGTACTACACAATAATTCAATTTAAACCAAATCCAAATTCCTACTCCACTTGTTAACACTGATTACTATACAGGTATTTCTTTGCAAGAAAATGGCATTCGTAATTATTATCATATATCTTAGTTTTTATTACAACTTTTTAAAGTGGATTAGCATACTTGAATTTAAACAATATTCCAACCTAACTCCAATTTTTCAATCCATTTAGCCAAGGTACTTTGGGAGTAAGTTCCTATAGTGTTGATTACTCATCAAACTTCTTCTATTTAGCAATATGGAACGCCGAGGGCATAGTGGCAGGTGTCTATAATTCAGCAAATTAAGTGCCGGTAATGAATTTATAATATGGTGTAGTTTAAAACAGCTTAAGTGATTCAAACAACTCAAATTACACCTACTTAAATGTTTGCAACTTAAGTCTACATGAATCCTAGATTCCTTATTGCAGTCAACTCTAATGGTATTAGTGTCTACCCAAGCATCTTAAACGATATTAATAATTGGTAATTGCTCTATTATATTCCTTCAACTGTCTTATCTAGCGCTTTCGATTATTACAATAATATCCTAGTAACTGTTGCAGGCTAGGATGTTATAACCTATTCATTTAATAACCCAATTGTCACAGCCTCAAATTTGGCTACTTCTGCAGGTATTTAAAATTTCACAATCACTGCAACTCCTTCAATGTTCGGAGGAGCCAAAACCAGTCAACCATGCAGTTTGGTTTTATACTACAATGTCACATCAGCCTTATAGACATCAGAGATTTTTTAGGCATATCAAGTGAATAGTGCAAAGGAGACATTCGTTCAATGGGGTCCTCTATTTAATTTATACTTGGGCTCAATTTAAACAGTAAATATCAATAAAATGTTAATTGGACCAGCCATTATTGCTGGATTCCCAACTACCAATGCAGCCTACTCTAATATTGATATTCAATTCTCAAATGTTCTTTCAACTCCTTCAATCAACAGTCCCTACAGACTTAACTCTAACCTTATAGTTGGATAAAAGATCTTGTACTCTCAAATGTTTTATGATGCCTCCTACATAGTTAATGATAAATTAGGAGAATAATTCAAGGACACCTACCTATAATTGGTTCAGGTCTCCAACTACATTGTATTATTCCAATGCTAAGGTTTCGAAGATTAGCCTTGCGCTTAAATTGTTAACATCCCAAATAATATTGCATTAATTGAATAATTTGCTTTGAGTTTTTCATCAAGCAATTTGATAAATATTGCATACATGTGGAATGAGTTCAGCGTCAAGGACTAAATTACTATCGGCCACATTACAATTTGTCAAGTGTCCTATCATTCAACAGTTACCAATTAAAATTGCAAATCTTATGATTTTAATTCAAAAGATGCAAATTCCATGAAGGCATTATAGATTTCATTGGCTTAAGATAGTTTCTACATTCTTTATTCATAAACTGTAGATGTTGTAACTACAAATTATTTCTCGGCTTTCAATGTTTAGGAATACTTTAGTTATGCCTTGAATAATGATATTACTGCACTGTAATCCTATTGCTAATATCCAAATCTTAATGGTTATACTCTAAATAGTTTCACATAAAACATTCCTGCCTATGGAAATATCGTCTTCCTTAATGCTTGGACTACTGTGGATAATGTAGACGTCACCAATTATTATTATTACCTTATCGCCATAAATTATAATGGTGGTTACCTAAGTCTAAATGGGTAATACAGTTACGCTTTAAGTGTGATTGGAAGTGTTTAAACAAACAAAGTTACAACATCACCATTAACTAATTACTACTAATTTACTGTTGATGGAATGTACCTTTTGTAAATAAATACTAAAGGCAGCCCTACATTAACATTTTACCCAAGAGTAGATCTTTTGCCATCCCTCTTCTTCTCTAATTAATAAATAAATCCACCTCAATTACCTGTTAATGGAATTGCATTAGAAACTTATGGATTTTAACATATTGTACAAGTAGCATCATCAGCTCGTTTCTTATACATCATGGCACAACCATAAGGTTCTAATACATATTCAATCTACGTGTATAAGAATACTCCTTCAAGCTAAAATGCTTTGTATTATATAATTTCAACCGATGCAAATGATCAAATAATCGATGCAACTTTTAGTGTAACCAGCGCAATCCAATATGATGGAATATTATTTAAATCAAGAGGAAATGATGGTTATCGCAATAGTCTTCTATTGCCTGAATTTGAATTTGTTGTGAAATGCAATTTGAATAGTAATTTCTAATAACAAATTGAATACAGTTACGTCTTATTTAAGGCGCAAAGTATAGTGAAATCTGGTTCTAAATTGTCTTAGACAGCTTAAGAATATTGGGCAACTTTTGAATCAGTGAATTTAGTCTCCTTTTCTAAGGAAACTAGCACAATAGCAAATGCTGGTAGTATATCTACTTCTGGATTCACGTAAGTCGATCCAAGAGCATACTTTTAAGGAAATATTTAGAGCTTCATGCTTTCAAATGGAACAAATTCAACCACCTTTTATTACTTCAACATCACCTCTCCAGTCGAGAGATAACCTCAAACTACAAACTATCAATATCCAGTAACAGCAGTTTCAGCTTATATGCAAATATCAGACTCTACTGTCCAACTTAACTCAAGTAATTAGTAATCTTAATATTGGTTCACATTTGTCTAAACAGATAGATTAGTGTATGTGACTCCATATTTTTATTACAATCCTCCTTAGGATTTCGCTGATAATTCAACTGTAAAGATTGATTATCCATTGATTTACAAATTACCTGTTTTGGACATAGCACCCAATTCTTAGAAATGTCCATTAATCTTTGTGGATCAAGGCTCTAAGGGAATTGTCAGTGTGTGTGGAACAAAAGTTGCTAATAAGTTTGCAGCTTCCTTCACATTATTTAACCCATTAAACTAAGAAGTTATGGAAACTAAAATAATAATGTTGGATTAGGCATTCCCAGTTCTAGGTTAGACTACTTTAACAAATAATGGATCTTATCAACTTTAATCAGCAACTTATCTAGATATAGGTGTTGTAGTTTTGCAATTCTAATACACTTATAACTTTGGTTCATCCCCTCCAACTATTGTTATATTACCATTTTTATATACTTCTAATTTGGTCTAAAAAATAGCAAGTTATCCATCCAATCCAACTGTCTATTTTTACTAATTTATTTAGCCAATTTAATAAGTCTATTAAGTTCCAAGCAGCAATTTGGGTAGTTCAATTTCAGTGACAGCATTTGCTTTAACCTCACTCTACATTGGTGGATTGAATAATTAAAATGCAGTTACTGAAAGCAATGTTATGAGTTTCGGATTGTTATGTGTATCAGATACCAAGGAAGAATGTTTAATACCATATACCTAAGCATAAACCCAGACTCCAACTAGCGGAGTGGTCATACAAATTTAACCATTAGCTGCTTTGACTTCAGTATTTACCACAAAAATCACAGTGGATTTCACTACACCAAACAACATACTTACAACAAGTCAAAATCCATTCTAGATATCTTTATTGAACATAGTTTCAGGTATTATTTTTTATTAATATTTTAGATTACACCCAAAACTCAGTTCAATAAGTAGTTTAAGCAGGAGCCCCATTAATTTAGAATGGGGTGATCTCTGAAGTACCCTTAATTGCAGTCAGTCAAGGAACAGCCTACATCTTCAAATTGCAATTCTATTTGAGCAATGCCCAATACATCCAATCATTATATGCTTGCACACTCTTAGGATTATCTGATCAGAATCGTATTTTGCAAATCTCAGCAAGCAGTTCAAATAATGGTCAATATCAAGTGGTGGCAATCGTAGCAAATCCCACAGCCTCGGTTAATAATTAAGTAACATTACTTAATTATGGATTCATCAATCAGTAAATATCATATTCATTTTAATAGATAATGTTCCATTAACCCTAGCGCAGTATCAACAACCATTTAACCAACTAAACTCTAAGATGGATTGGAAGTGTTGGTAACAGCCATAGGAGCAACAACTTATGTCTCAGCTGAGGCTACTCCAGTTTTAGCTTTAATGCAACCCCCTGCTATAAACAATTAAGTTACAGATATCGCTAGAACTTTAATAAGTGACAATCAAGTGATCACTTTACTAGACACAAGTCCTTATCTTACCATCTCAGCTTATCCAAATTATAATCTTAAAGGAGGTGTCTCTTTGAATTCGACAAATTTATTTTCAAATACCACTGAACCTCTGATAACATCAATTTCAGCCATGAGCATTTAAACTTACATCAATAATTTGTTGATCTCCGGAGAAGGAGGCTCTACACTATTTGAATTCAGTATTTCACAAATTCCCGTTAATTCCACTTTCCCAGATTCCGTTTGGGATAGAAAATTATGGGGCTAGTTCATCTGGGGATCTATCATGTTTGTTATCATCATAGGTATTGTTGGATACTTGTTTTACAAATCATAGCCATAGCCATACGATAGATTTTGATATATTAGATAGATACATATAAATTAAAATATTTGAATAAAATCAAAGTTCTTCATAATAGATCTCCTCTTCAACCACCTGCTCTTCCTCCCCACTCACTACTTTATTCTTTAAAAGAGAAGGAGGCTATAATAAGCTGTCTGTTAATTGAAACTAGCTCTATTCTTCTTCCTTTTGCTACTCCTTGATCTGTTCCACTTTTTATATTACAACTTTTGCCTAATCACTTTACTTCTTTATGAAAGGAATGCTCTCCACATAAGTCTCACTGTAGGTAATGTTCTCTCTTCCACAAGTTGTTGGCTTTCTACTTTCAGAAGTCTTCAATGAATTATCATTCAATCGTAATTCTAATTTAAAACTCTCTATTTACGTGAATATGTTAGAATTGGTTCAACAGTTATCTGCATTTTCATTTCAATCTGCTTCTACACTATCTCCTCATCATCATCGTATTTTACTATGATCTTTGGTGTTGATTTGTATATTTGGAAATTGTTCATCTATAATTTATTTAATTAATCCATCATTTCACACTCCTCCCTCAAATACAAACTCAAAAATCCTTGATCGATAGTACCAGAATCCCCAAGATACAAAGAATTTATTAATTTCAGAAAACTTATATGTTCTTAATTCCACTTTGTATTGTTCTTTATGTAGATTATGTAATCATCAATATTGTACTTTTTATCCTCTAGTCTTATCTATTTCATTTCGAAATTCAAGAATTTTATTACGCTGTTCCTATTTATGATGCTTTTGAAATTGAATTGAGTGTCTTCCTTACTCGGAACTATTTACTGTATCATATCAGTAACACTCTGAGTGTCTTCCCATTGAATTCGATATGCTTATCCTTTGTCTTCTCCAATGAAATATCTACTTAGCACTAATGAATCTTTTTCTGAATAATTAAAGGGTCTCTTCATAAACAATTCTAATCCTTATTGCAATTAAATAAATTATATTCCTTTAAATAAGTATTGAAGTCTAGTTCGAGTCAAGCACATTGATATTACTTTATACCTTAAATCTTCAAGTAATTCCTTTAATCTTTCTTAATCAATAGGATCGGTATTTATAATATCAGTAGCCTTATGTTCTGCTTATTGAACTTCTGGAAATTATGTAAACTCAGATCTATAACATTTGGGTGGAATCAAATGTTTAACAACAGGCTCTTCAGATGTAGTCTTCTATTTAAGTAAATCTTATATAGCAACACGATCTTGTAAATCTTATCTAATTAATAATAAATTTATTTGAAATAATACATTAGTAATTCCTTCTTAAGAAGTACATCTTCTAAATTCTGTTTAGATTTTTGAGCTATGGCTATTTATTATTTAAACTCTCGTTCTTAATCTTGCTATTATTTTGTAACCTATTTGTACTTAGTCTCATAAAGGGATAGTTCTCCCTTCAAAGAGTCTACTTATTTTAATACACTCCTAATTATAATAATGCATGATACTGCAGTTTCTTCTCCAAAAATTCCCTTTTCTTCTATTAATATTATTCAGTCTCAGTAATGATTTAATCCTCTAACTTTTTCTTCAATTGAGTTTTCTCAAAAGAAATCTGCTTGACTTCCTCCTTGACCTTAATATTATCTTCAACAAGCCCCTAATATTCACATTTAAGTTGATTGATTTGCTTCTCTAGTACTTCAATTTGGCTCTCTTGGGCATTGATGGTCAACACATAATTTTTTATACGCTCCCCTATATCTGGATCATTAAATAAGCTGTTTTCATATGGAAAGCATACTCTTGGTCTGTCACCTTGATGGCGACTTATTGAAACTGTTTCAAGCGCATGATTTCATCCTACTGATTCTTTATCTCTTTCTGCAATTCTACTAGTTAAGTTAATTTCACAGATTTGCATTGTCTTCTCAAATCATCTGTAAGCTCTGTTATTTATTATGCCTATTCTCGAATCTTGGCTTTTAACATTGGCACAATACTCCCTTCTTGATTTGCAGTTGTCAATCCTAATGGGTCTGTGTGTAACTGATAGCGATCAACTTTCTCTATTTACTATATGCGATTCTAAAGTATTAAGATATAGATAAATTACTTATAACTATTAAACCAAAGTTCTCAACTTAATATTCTGCATACGTAGCACATTGGCCTCTTGTTTGTATTAAAGATTCTGAATATAGAGAGTCTCTCCATCAGCATAACGTTTAGTTGGAGGGCTCGTAACTTTGTTTGGTTTAGGAGTAAACATTAGATGAGATATTGAATCTCTAGATCGAGCATCAGATGCCTCAGATTTCAACTTCATTATTGCTGATTGAGGTCTATTCTGCATTATTAAGTTATTAATATATCACTATAAATTTCTTTTCTACTTTTTTTTAATTTTTTATTAAATACTTGAAAATTTGATAACTTTCGACTTCAATTCCTTGCTTGTATTTCAATTTAATTCATTCTCAACTTATTGACAGTATGTATTATTGCCAATATTAACATTTGCTTTTTGAATAATAATATTTATTGTCTTGAAATTAGTGTCATAATATTTTTATTTAAAATTCTTTTTTTATAGAATTTGCAAATACACACTATATTATATTTTACATATTACTGCATTGTTAAATCAACTTTAATCTGTGTCTAACTTGTTTATTTAATATTTATTTATTTAATCTAAATATGATTCTTCAAGCAAATTTTCATTATGAAATTTTAAAAATAGAAAAACTTGCTTCTGCATCTGCCAAAAATGGAAATGATCTCTTTGAAAGCATTGGAAAGCTTACATCAAATATCGAATAGAAAATCATATACTTAGACAATACATACCAAAAAGTATTTGCAATATCAAAAGTTGAACTTGTCAGACTTCCTGATGAGATGAAAAATTTAGAAAGTTTCATAGACCTTATCTTTCATATAGCATGTCAGAAAGGGATTAAAACTATTGCTTTTCATTTGAGAAAAGAAAAAATTACTAATAAAAATATATCAATACACGAAAGCGAAAAGATTCTGCAGCTCTTAGCGGAAGTTAATAAATAACAGGATTCAGATTAATAGGCAAAGCAGGAAAAAAGATCTACTTTCTATGCCTTATCAGAAGGTGATTACATTGGTATGAGAAAAAAGCTTAATTTATTATTTTATGGGAGAGAAGACATTTAAGACTTTATTAGAGAACATAAATAAGAATAAGAATAAATTTTCAGTCTTCTTATTCAAATACCGAATACCAATAGGAGCTCTTCATGTTACATTTAGAATAGAAATGAGATCGTTACAGTGCTATCAAATTGTAAATTGTATTTCTATTACTTTTTTAGTTCAAATAAAATAAGCATAACTTTATGAAACTAATCTATAATGGACAACCATAAAATAAGAAAATAAAATGCCCAAATTATTTCTTGAAATTAAAGTGATTGAATCAAAAATAATGAAAAACAATTTTACATATGAAACTACATTAACGATTGACACTCATTAGAAAACTTAGAATCATTTAATGTTTGTTTTTAATCAAAAAGTACTTGCCTTTTAGTTTCCCTTAAAATTTAGAGACAATTGATGAATTTATTAATCATTTATGAATTCAATTCTAATTTATTGATAAGTTTTCATTTTAGTTATAAGTTGATTGTTTTTCTTTTAATATTTATGCCTTAAAAGAATATTCTATTCCAAAACAACAAAATTTACTATTTCCTCTTGTTCAAAGTAAGAGGAGAATGAAAAATAATTATTGTTATTAGTATTGATATATTTATAAGTAAGTAAAATCAAATAATTTATTACACGATAGATTGGCATTCATCAATAATGAGATCAATTTCTCTTTCTGATTTCATGATTTCAAATTTATGAATTGAAAATTTCATTGCTTATTATATTAAGTAATTCACATTCATATTTAATAACTTAAGTTATTAGACTGAATTTTTTCTAATATTCTCTTATTTTTATTTAATTTTTTATTTTTGATCAATTCTAGTTTACAGAAGTTCTTGATAGATTTATTCGTGGAATGATGAATAGTACACATCAATTTCCCTTTTTATTGATTTGCGACGTTTATTGTGATTCCATTCAGCAACTAAATCTTTAAGCTTCTTTCTCTTTATTTTTTCATAAGATTCTTATTTTTTTTTAATGATAAAAGATTAAACTTAATTCTCTTATTCTACTACTTTACCAAATTTATTCATCAGCTTTTTTAATTAATTATTGGATTCAAACATTTGAGTTTAAATTGTCTATTGACTTCTGGTGGCAACTAATTCTCTAATTATTTTATAATCTTAATCAATAGTGAAGGTACTTCTTCTTTTCTTGGTTCTAACTAGCATTTATTTGATTCTTTCCACAGCCTTGATTTACAAATAAGGTATACCAATCTAAACTTCTCTCGAAGAAGTTTTTTCCGAGCTTACTTTTAACCTACAACTGATAACATCAAATCCTATTAAACACTGATGTAATTTCGACAATCTATTTTGGATTTGAATTATTGTCTGTTTTCACTTGATCTTCTAACCTGTTGTGTTTTAACGACCTTACCTTCTATTATGATGGCAGTGGATCTTTTCAGTCTAACAGCCTATCCTATTAATTATGGATTACAAATATTACTTTGTTTTTACTCTGCATAATCAGACAAAAGGATTTTCCTTCTCTTATACATTTAGTATAATTCGAAAAACTAAGCTGAGTTTTATTAAATCAAGGATTCAAAAAACCTACCTGGACACATTAGAATAACACTTTTAGTAACAGCATGAGCATGCCATCTTCTTAAAGTCTATTCAATCGATTCTACTTCTCCAAAGACAGTCCCCTCCATGACTCTGATAATACTTTCTCCAGTTGCGTCAGATAATCTGACATCACCACTCAGAAGATAATAGAAATCAGAGGAACTTTGACCTATATGATATATTGTAGCATATTCGTCATATTTGGCTAAAGTACAATAAGGGAGAACCATGGCAGAGAAATTGATATCATTAGCAATGAAGGGTACAATTTTAAGAATGTCCTTATGTGTTGATGCGATAACATATTATCTCAGACTCCAAGGCAAGGCTTAGACCATTTCAATAGTATTACGTGCCCAAAATGGATTATGAGTAATATTGAATTTAGCAAAAGATATTAATTCTTTGAGTACTTCCTCTATCATAAATGTTTGATCTCCCAATTCCTCCAGTAATATCAATTAATCTTCATACTCTTAACGTGGATTAACATTCACTAAGATGCAAGTGATATCACCAATAGTAAATGAATAGAAACCAACGCCAATGAGCATCCAGAATATTTGAAGAAAGAACTCAAAGGAAGTTTTAGCTGCAATGTCTCCATATCCTATTACGGTAACTGTTTAGATTGCCCAATAGAAACAAGTCACATACTATTTACCTACGTTATAATCATAAACATTTTCTCTTACGACCCAGGTGTTCTAGTTAAATTCATCAATTCTAGCACTCCAAAACCATAAGCATGCAAAAATGTGAGTCAAGATTACCATGTCTATAAATATGGTTACAATTCTTCTGATTCTTAGATCTATGTTATAATCTGATCTATAGAACAGATCTTCGTTTACAACAATCTCCTTCTTTTTGATGACATCATCAGTAGTATGGTAATTTTCACGTCTTTCGTACATGAAATACTTGGCTATCCTAAACAATCTCATTAAACCTAACATTTTGGTATTCTCATATGTTTCAAAGGGGATTATAGATAGTAAGTCAACTATAAACCATCCTTTTATGTAATAGGGAATGATCTTATCAAAAGTATGTAAAAGTGTGTTATGTTCATCAATGTGGCAGCTGATGCAGTTAAATAAGATATCTATAGCAAAAATTACAGAAATGATTTGAGTCACTAATGTTCCAGCTCCCCTTATATTTTTAGATACAATACTTGGAATGCCAACTGAAAAGGCAAAATTATTGAAGCTATGAAATGCAATCCTTTTATAAAAACTATCCAAATGATATATATCTTATCATCTGGATACAAAGGAAAAAAGTTGCGATGCCGATATTTGTATTCCATATGTTATGATTTCAATTATTCAGCATATGATCGAAGTTCCTTCACAAAATTCATTGCATGGATTAGTTTTCTGCTTATTTGTCTAAATACGCATTTAGCATTCCTTTTCTACAGCTACGAATGACTAACAAAACTAAACTTCAGATGAGAGTCTGTTCTTGACAATGTATTCCTGGATTCAGTTGAAGGTGGAAGATTGTAAAGTGGCAATCTATTCATTACATATTCTAATACAAATATCGTGAAGTCTTAGCAATATGGATCTTCTTCATTTGATTTAATCCATTCTTATTTCCACTTCCAAATATAACTTCATTTATAGGGGAATCATCACTACTCATTGGGTATATTTGCATATTCTAAATTTTTGATTAATAATTATTTACAAACGCAACAAAAATCAATTTATCATTTTATTTTACTCTCATGACTTCTAACACAAAGAAAGGTTTGCCAAATCCTTTACTCTTAATTTAATCCTTAAATTAATCTTAAGAATATGACTCTCATCTTGTTCAATATTAATTACTATCATTTCATTTTTTATACTCCTATACATCTATTCATCTAAATATTGGTACTATTGATTGATCCTAATATTAAATTCTTCAGATCAGCCAGCTTTCCAAGTGTATCCATTCTATACAGAATTCGCATTTTATGTAGCCATTGTATTAAATTAAATAGTATAATTTATTATATTATGTCGAATAATAATAAACATTTTCCATTACCCTAAACATTCGATTAAGAAAATATTCCAACTATACCTAAGGTGTAATACCCTTCCTTTGAACTCCAAGATTAGAATTAATTGACTTATAATTAATATGCTCAACCTATTTAACAAGGATATCCAATCTAATACTCTCCAACATTTTAAAATTGTATAATATATCTAAGATATCAAACATAGCTTAAATTTCAATTCAATCGAATTCTTCAGTTGTTGTGAGTTGCTATTATTGCCAAAAGCAGGTTCAAACCATTGTTTCTTATGAAGCCGGAGCAGGAGCCTATTTAGTTGGAGGAGTCCTAGCCGCTTTAGGACTATGGTTAGGGTATCAATTAATCCAAATTATTTATAGTTGTTGCTTGATTCCTTGTTATCTAAAAGATTGTCAGGATGCAGTTCATTTCTGCTCCTAATGTTCTGCCTAATTGGGAAGAAAAAAGTTTATATTTTGAAACAGCTATCATTATCCCATAATCATATCATAATAAAACTCTATTGGTCTCATTGATATTTTTTAAACACACTAGTTTATTAGTGGAATTGCTTGTTGAATTTATATAATTTATTCTTATATCCTTTGTTTCTCAGAAACTCATGAATCTACAAGAACTGATAAGTGAAATCTATTTATATCTTCTATAATTATAAATCATCTAATTAGTTGATATTTGAATATTTTTATGTATCTCATTATCTAATAAATTGAAGNACTAAACTTCAGATGAGAGTCTGTTCTTGACAATGTATTCCTGGATTCAGTTGAAGGTGGAAGATTGTAAAGTGGCAATCTATTCATTACATATTCTAATACAAATATCGTGAAGTCTTAGCAATATGGATCTTCTTCATTTGATTTAATCCATTCTTATTTCCACTTCCAAATATAACTTCATTTATAGGGGAATCATCACTACTCATTGGGTATATTTGCATATTCTAAATTTTTGATTAATAATTATTTACAAACGCAACAAAAATCAATTTATCATTTTATTTTACTCTCATGACTTCTAACACAAAGAAAGGTTTGCCAAATCCTTTACTCTTAATTTAATCCTTAAATTAATCTTAAGAATATGACTCTCATCTTGTTCAATATTAATTACTATCATTTCATTTTTTATACTCCTATACATCTATTCATCTAAATATTGGTACTATTGATTGATCCTAATATTAAATTCTTCAGATCAGCCAGCTTTCCAAGTGTATCCATTCTATACAGAATTCGCATTTTATGTAGCCATTGTATTAAATTAAATAGTATAATTTATTATATTATGTCGAATAATAATAAACATTTTCCATTACCCTAAACATTCGATTAAGAAAATATTCCAACTATACCTAAGGTGTAATACCCTTCCTTTGAACTCCAAGATTAGAATTAATTGACTTATAATTAATATGCTCAACCTATTTAACAAGGATATCCAATCTAATACTCTCCAACATTTTAAAATTGTATAATATATCTAAGATATCAAACATAGCTTAAATTTCAATTCAATCGAATTCTTCAGTTGTTGTGAGTTGCTATTATTGCCAAAAGCAGGTTCAAACCATTGTTTCTTATGAAGCCGGAGCAGGAGCCTATTTAGTTGGAGGAGTCCTAGCCGCTTTAGGACTATGGTTAGGGTATCAATTAATCCAAATTATTTATAGTTGTTGCTTGATTCCTTGTTATCTAAAAGATTGTCAGGATGCAGTTCATTTCTGCTCCTAATGTTCTGCCTAATTGGGAAGAAAAAAGTTTATATTTTGAAACAGCTATCATTATCCCATAATCATATCATAATAAAACTCTATTGGTCTCATTGATATTTTTTAAACACACTAGTTTATTAGTGGAATTGCTTGTTGAATTTATATAATTTATTCTTATATCCTTTGTTTCTCAGAAACTCATGAATCTACAAGAACTGATAAGTGAAATCTATTTATATCTTCTATAATTATAAATCATCTAATTAGTTGATATTTGAATATTTTTATGTATCTCATTATCTAATAAATTGAAGTAAAGTCGGTTAAGAAAAATATCGAAATAACTTTAAAATAATAATATATTAGAAATAAATATGTAATGATTGCTTGATTTCCAAAGGATCCTAATTTAATTAAAATTCTTTTTTTTCTGTAAGAATTACATAAAATTTTAATTACTTTACATTCCTATTATAAATAATTATAATTTTTAAATTCAATAAATCATATAATCAATCATAAAATCAAATCATTCATATGGTAGAATCTCATAGTACGTGTATATCTTGCATACATATATCTTCGACTGAACATAGAAATTTTCATTCTCTTCATTTAATTTAAAAAATATTGACGACTATGCAGATATTTTTTAATTAATTTAGCAGTTCAAGGATTATCTCTTAATTTAATACAGAATAAATTAATAAATTTTAATTCATAACATTTTTTACTTTTAGATCTTATAAATATTTATCATTAGTTTCTACCAACCATTTCGGATATGTAGGGACCCTATGCCTTTACTACAATATAATCTGCGACTGGGTGAGGTAAGAATCTGATTAAATTTGATAATAGCCAATAAAAAGAAGGAATGGAATGGACATCTTTTTAATTTTCAATTGCATCAATGATTTCTATGGCAACTCTTTCTTCTTTTAACTCTGGCAATAGAAAATCAATTTTAGATTTAACTCCTTTAAACATACCTGTATTGATTGCCCAAGGAGCAATAAATGTGCATTTGATAGGACTTTTTTTCAATTTCAATTCAACTCTCAAACTATTATGAAAACCTAGTAGAGCATGTTTGGAGGCACAATATGCTGTTACTTTTAATCCGGTTATAATAGATAATACAGATCCTACATTGACGATATGTCCAAATTTTTGTGCTTCCATTTTAGGAATAAGTAATTTGCTTAGGAGAACTGGGGCAAGATAATTAACTGCATGAGTCAACTAAAGATCTTGAAATGATTATTCTGTGAATAGTTTCAGTTTAGCTACTCCAGCATTATTGATTAAGATATGGATTGGTTCATTGATTTAATTAATAGTTTCTATGATCTGTTCTTAATTCGATAGATCACATTCATAAAATTATAGAGTACTTCCATATTGTTCAATAGTATTTTTAAGATCAGCAGCAAGATCCTTTCTAATGTCTAAGACAATAATCTTGCATTTCTTCATTGCCAATAATTTACACATTTATTTTCCAATTCCCATGCATCCTCCTGTAATCAAAACAGTCTTATTTGAATCTAGCTTGAGTTTTTGTTATTTCCTAATAAGTAAAAAGTATGTCAGAAAAATAATGAAGAAAGTCAGGGTATAAATGATAATCATAAATATAATAATATTATTTATAATTTATGTTAGTTTAGATATTTATAAACAACACATGATTTCATTCATCATTAACTTCTGCTTGTTAATCTTAAGATTCAATTCTAGCTTTTAATTTTTGATCACCCTTTCTAAGCTTCTTTCTTTTCTTTAAGGCTAGAGTACTGAGATCTTATTGTTAAACGAAAACTTTTCCTCTTTTGTCACCTACTTCATCATACACAATGTTTTTTTCCTAAACAATTAATACATCTATTTACATGTGGTTTAGCTTTTGGTTTAGGTTAACGACAAGCTTTCTTAAATAATTCATCATCTGCCCACTTGGTTCTTCTTATATCAAAAACACTTCTAGGTCCAATTTCTTAGATTTTGATTCCATCTTCATGAGTCTATTTTTACAATACTGTTATTGCTAAAGTAGAATCATCTGCTGCAGTAATGCTTATGATTAAATGGATTTCTTATGACTTTATGTCTTAGATGGGAACATTTTCAAAAAAGAAATCAGTCAAAAGATTATGCAATTTCATATGATTTGGATTAAATCCGAACACTTCACCATTAAAAACTATCAATGGTCTTGCATGCATAGGAATTTCAACAGATGTAGCGAATTCCTCTTGACTTTTGAATTCTTTGAGATGTAATTCAACCATATCTAATAATTTTTTATCGAATGTCCTTCCAATAATAAGATTATCTGGTCTTTTCTTTGAATTTGATACAAAGCAGAACATTGAACATTAGCTTCTTTCACAAAATGTTTCTAATTGTTTGGCATCTTCAAATGGTTGGATTTCGTGATTCTTGTTGTAGGTTGTACTAAAATCTCTTTTTATCATATGCCATTCATGTGCCAGTTATCTTACACTAAGAGAAGTCTTAGGACCTCTTATGAACAGAGTTTGTTTTGGACCTTCAACTAATTTAGGTTCACGAGACTCTAGAATTCTTTTGCCTTTATGAGTCTTAGCTCCTCTAGGTGTTGTTTCTTCTTGATCAGACATTATAATTTTAATTTAAATTAAAGAATTTTGTATATTAATAAATAAATTTATTTATATATCAGAAATTTCCTATTTGATTAAAATGTCAATAATCACTCTCTTCACTTTCCACTTCATCATCTTCATGTTCTGATTTGATATCATTATCTTCTAATGCCATTAAATTTCTCTCTCGTTCTCTAATATTATAAAAATAGAGCAATACTCTTATCTCCTTTCCTCCTCTAAAAGTTTCCTTTGTTTAGCCTTGATTTCTTACTAGATTCTTAATTATTTCAACTGTTCCTTCTATATATCTTTTTATGTCTATGGATCTAATCTTGGCTATTGGAATTTGCTTAAAGTAGGAGGCTTTCTGCTTTTGAGTTTTTTGATGTGATTACTCATTCTGAGTTTGAATTCATCCTCTTTATTAGTATGTAAGTCTTTATGCTAGATGATAAAATAGAATTAATACTTTTTTCACTAAGAATGATGTAAGAATGTCTGTGAATTCGAACAGTAACAATTCATATTTAATGATGGATGTAGCCTTATCTAGAGTCTTTTTTTGATCTTTTTCAGCTGTCTAATCTTATTACTTCTTCCTACGCTTATTACCATCTTCTCTTACTGTTTAATTAACAGAGGATTAATCAATTTAAGAAATCGATTATTAGGTTATTTGACCTTCATCAGTATCAAAGTTTTTATCTACATAACTTATTAGAATGAGTTTGTCTTATTCTGAAGCATTGAGTAGCTTATAGATTTATTCTAAATTAATAGTTCTATCAGTGAATCCAAATTGAGTCTCTCTATTTTCGATTGACCATACATCAAATATAGGTTTGACTTCATCAATGAAATCTCCAATTATTATTTTAGGATGAGTAGACTTCTTAGTATCATCTAAGGATTGATTCTACTTGCCCTTCTTTCTTTCAAAATATGGAGTCAATTTACTGATGATTACTCTCTCAATAGCTCTATGTAAATCAACTAGATTGCCATATTTCAAATAGGATAATCTCACAATTAATTCAATAAAATGTCTAAATAGGATGCATCTTCTTGGATCGTGTATATCCTCAACTTTCTTCTTGAATGTTACATCTTTAAGTTAGAAATCTTGATAATTAATTTTTTCAGTTGATATGCAATCAAAAGCCATTTGTTAATGAAATAAATCATTAAGTTCTTACAAGTTGATATTACTACCTTATCTACTAAGAACATCTATTTCAACATTGAGTTCTAGTCTATCATATTTTAATCTATAATTATTCTTAGATCCTTATAGGAAATTTCTGTTCAACTCAGCCAAAGAATAATTTTGATTCAATAATTTAGCCTAAATAATATAAATATTAAAGTACATCTCTTGCAATTTTCCAGAAACCTTCTAAACACAAAGAGAAAGTATCTTCATAGAGCAAACTTTCAAATTTATTGGCAAAGAATTTATAATGTGTTTTAAGTGTATAATTGTGTCTCAATAACATAGTTTGAACATTTTGATCAATTAATTAAGAGTCTAATTGCAATCCTTTATATAAATCTGAGAAATCAATCATATAAGAATAAGGATTAGTTTCTATTGTTTTATTTAAATTAGTTTAAGTTTGATTTGGATTATTGATACCTGCCAATTTTTCAGGTCTCTTTGTGGTATTACCTAATTTATTCTTATCTTTATCTTTATTATCCTTATCTTTATTATCCTTATTATCTTTATTATCTTTATTATCTTTCTTTCTGTCTTTATTATCCACTCCTTCTTTAGGATTTTCATGTTATTAAATAACTTCACCACCTTGAGGAGCAATTTCTCTTGGTAAGATACCAGTTCTAGATTCATTTTCAGTTGTTGCATAAACCTTAATTAATCTATCTTATTTGAATTCTCCAAGAATGAAACCACCTGTATCTGTTATGAATAGAGCAACTCCATATTTCAGATTATTCCTCCAACTTCCCATATACTTGGCTCCATTTGCATAGTAAAAGACTCCAACTCCACTCCTTTCCCCATTTTCCCATTCTCCTTCATATCTATTCCTCAAATATTTGGAACCTTCTCCTTTAGGTTCAATCCATAGATGAACTCCCCAACCATTTTGAACATTATCCTTCCATTCTCCATAATACTTTTCGTTTGAATTCAACCAGAACATCACTCCCTAACCTTCCTTCTTGTCCATCAAGAAATCACCATCATAATAATTTCCAGAAGGATAAATCATCTTGCCTTTCCCAGATTTATTGCCTTGATAGAATTGTCCTTCAAATGTGGCACTAAATTTCAAATTGGAGAATTATACCCACTTTTGAAAGTAATTTTGCCAAAACCATGTCTTAAGCCATTCTCCCATTAACCTTCATAAACGGCTGATTTATCAGCTGTAACGAATTTGCCTTGTCCATGTCTAAGTCCATTTACAACAATGCCAGTATAAGTAGACCCTTCTGGCCAATAATAGGTTCCTTATCCTTCGATTTTGTTGTATGTGAATTCACCCTTATAGATAACTCCAGAGGCCCATGTAAATGTGCCCTCACCTAGTTAATTGTAAATTACTAGAACCATGTAACATTCCATTATGAAACTCTCCTTCATACTTATTTCCATTTTTGAATGTAACTTCTCCTTTGCCATGTAATGCTTTGCCATAAACTTAATCAGGCTGATCCAAGATGGCCAAATCAGCATCCCACTTATCATAAATGATCTTGGCCAAATCCAAAGGGATAATCAGATTTTTTGGATCCTCTTTGAAATTCATATTATATTATAAATATATTAATTTAAGTAATTGTCTGCAATTCATATAAATATTAATATTAAAATTAATGGGAAATTGCCAACAGTGTGACAATACAGATCCTATAAAAACTCAAGAGATTTTGACATCCAAAACCACCAAGTCAAAATAAAGCAAGAAAATAACTAAAAATGATCTTAAAGGAATAATAAAAATTTAAGCAAACATTAGAGGTTTTATCACAAGAAAGTATAACATTAATCTCACATAGAAAATACAAATTTAAATCCTCTGGATCAACAGCACAAAAATATGGTACTTCCATTAACTAATAAAAGAGTTCTTAAAATGATTCAGTTATCGCAGACTCTTATTAAATAGCTTTCAAAGCCTAATAAATTTAATAACTGCAAAGAAGGCAATCACCTATCAAAATTTTAGATTAGGATGATCATAGATAACTTTGCGAAGCCGATGTTACAATCAACATCCATAAAGATGAAGATGCAAGTTCCTATTCTGAAGTTAGAAGCAAACACTTAATCAGTTTTCAAATGAATGAACTCTGCTTCATACCTATACATAAAAAAGATCAAAAAAGAGTCTAAAATGAAGAACAATAAAAGCTTTCCATTCTTTAAATGAAAAATGGATGCTATTATGAAGGGTAATGGAAAAAAGGTATGGTTCATGGATTTGGAAAATATACCCTCTCAGAAACATCGTTTTACATAGGAGAATGGATTGAAAATAAGGCAAATGGATTTGGTACATTTCAACACTCCAATGGAGATTTGTATGTTGGATCATGGAAAGATGGTACTGCCAATGGCAATGGTAAGTACACATTTACAGATGGCACCTACTACGATGGTTAATGGAATAATGATTTACCAAATGGATAAGGCAAACAAACTTATGAAGGTGGATGGATTTATGAGGGTAAACTCTTTTCTGTATTCCAAAGCTAGGAAGCTTTTAAAATGGGTTTAAAAGTGGGTTTGGTTAGTTAACATATCCTGATGGAACTGTCTACGCTGGCAAATTTGAAAATGATCTAATGAATGGCTATGGAATACTCAAATTCCCAGATGGAAGAACTTACAACGGAGAATGGAAGAATGGACTCAAAAGTGGTAAAGGAGTGTTTCTCTGGCCAGATGGAAGGAAATATGAAGGATAATTCCTAAATGATCAGAGGGAGGGGTACGGAGTATTAATGTGGTCGAATGGTCAAAAGTATAGTGGTCTCTGGAAAGAAGGACTTCAACATGGGAATGGATAAATCATTAAAGCAAATGGTGCTACCTTCAGAGGAAGGTGGATCAAAGGAAAAATAATATCAACTAAATTTACTACTAATACTCCAGCAAAAGTAATAAAATTAGTTAATGGATGATCCTATTGAAGTAGATATATGTCTACTTGATTCTAAAATAATTATAATTAAATATTAATGTTCGATTGTCCAATATGTTTGATCTCTTATGATAATAATCAAGCCTTTACATTCCCTTCATGTTTTCATACATTTTGTATAAATTGTCTAAAATCCACCTTTGAAACTAGAATCAAGGAACAAAATGTAAATTTGGATAGCTTTAAATGCCCTGGGTGTGAAATTCCATTCGATCAATCCTTAATCTAGAATTTTGTATCTCAGGAAATTTTCAAGAAATACTGTGAACTAAGTATAGAAATGAATCAAGTCTTTGGATTGGAAGATAATGAGATAATGGCCAATTGTTTAAATGAGGTTTGTAGAGAAAAATATATAATCTGGAAGAATGCAGGTTTCATAGAATTATCTTAATTTAGAATACTAAAAATGTTTAAAATGCAAAATGGAATATTGTCGTTTATGTTTTTTACCCTATCATAAAGACACTTGTACTTGTGAAGAACAAAAGCTACTTTATTAAGACAAAGTTTATAAGGACTTAAAAGTACTCCTCAAAGCAAGTAGATGTCCTAAATGTAGGATTATGGTGGAAAAGGTCTCAGGCTGTAATTTTATGACCTGTAAATGTGGCACATATTTTTGCAATCTATGTGATGTTTAGCTTGAAAGCAAGGTAGAATTTAAGATAGATTTAATAAGGATCACTATGCTCACTTTGAGAACAACAGTCCTTCTCAAGATAAGTGCAAAATAAAAGTGAATGGCCAATGGGTATCACGACCTGCAGTGGAAGATGTTAAGAAACCTTAAATAAAATAAGGAATCAAAGAACCTGAAAATGTGATTAATTCTATTCCTTGTCCTAATTGCAATTCAACAAATCCAAATATCACCAAGCTTCAACTCTATGATAGGGTTGCACATTGCTGCAGTGTCAAATGCTAAAATAGAGCCTATTGCATACATTGTAAAAAGATGCTTCCCAATTAAGATATATTAAATCATTTTACAAATACATTGGAATGTAGGTTCATATGAAATTTTTATTGATAAGTTTGAGAATTTAGTATAATATAAATATAATGTTTAATATTGTAGGGGAACTTTGGAAAGCTTAATAGTATGCTAAAAACGAATGCTGTTTTGAAGTTCCTTAAACATTCTACTTACAAGGTAGCAAAATATCCCACTATTTTACCAGTTCATAATGTTCTGGTAAAATCTTGAAGAAAAGGAAAGAGAATGTAACTTTAAAAAGCATATTGGACACCTTCAACTCTAAGGAGAAGTACGTGTGTTCATTTTAGAGATTATTGAACAAAAAAGATGTTCAATTTAAATACTTAACTCGTATTGAACTTGAGGCACTCATATCCGACATTACTAATTTCTCAGAACTATATCAAGATGTCATCATCTAATAAACATTCCAGAATGAAAACATAATCGCTTATTCTAGACACGGACACATAACACAAATTTAACAAAGGATCCCTCTCTAGTCAGAACCATTGATTACTTTAAAAGATAGTTAATTTGCTTGTGAAAAAGTAATATTTGAAGCCAGAGTTAACAAAGTCGGATTAGCAATTGAACAATTAATAAGTTTGATTGAAGGTTCAAAAGTTAATGAAATTGAGTTATACATGAAATATGTTGGAGAGAAATTGATTATTATGTGGAACACTAATCTTAAATGTAGGACTAACAGAAGAGCTCTAAACTTCATAAATTCATAGAATTATCTACATAATTAAGAATACTTCGAATAGTTCCAGCCAAAAAAATAGGTTACAGATGAAATCACCATGATTTAATGTTGCAGTTGCAGAAAACTAACTAAAATAAATGATACATTTGAAGTGTTGAAGAATAGAATATGGAAGATTAGAATGCATAGAAATCTCCATCATTTGAATGATTAGAAATTATATCTAGATGTAACTGGGAGAATTGTGCCAAAATTTGATGAGTTTTAATTTGTGAGAGTGTGTGGAATATGTTATAATAGTTTTATTGAAACTATATCCAACAATAACACTAGGACTGAGAACACACTGAGGAAATTGCCATAAAAATAATAAGATCTATAATAATTGATGATACAGAATGGTCCTAGAAGAAAACTATTTAAATTCAATGATAATTAAACATATTTAGGTAGTCGATCAAATAGTACCCAGATTAAGGAGAAGAGAACTACACCTTAAATAATGAATTCCACATTTGATGAGAATTATGAGAGTATCTAGAATTAAAGAATGGAGATAGATGAAGATTTTGATTAATTATTGAATGAAGTTAAAAATGAAGTTAGAAGTTCTTATTAATCAAACAAAGTGGTGATTAATAAAACTAGAATACAGAGTGCTTAAAATAATCAGAAATTTAAATTATATTACTAATGAACATATATATATAATTATAAAAGAATCAATCACAAACCAATTTAAGTATTTCCAATGAGTTTATGTCTAGTTGTTTTTCATTCAACTAATTGACTACTCTGATATATTTTGATACAAATTTTATAGATTATTGAAGTTATTATTTGGTCTTATTATGCATCTTCAGAAAATCCTCAAATAAATCATCTGATAGATCCTTTTGAAAAAGTGCAAATACTATTGAAAAGGAGATATCCTCAAGAGAATAACTCAAATAGTTGTGATCCAGAACAATAACGTTAATTATTTAATTGATAATTTTTGAATCTTGATCTGATTAGCCTTTTAAATTTGGATGAGCAATATAAAACCTACAAATGATCTCATACATTATATCTTATATGGTTAGAGGATTAGTATGCCAATCTAAGACACTAAGGATGAGTCTCTCATATTGTATAAGTTATTGCTTGGTCATACTGAGCGATGACTATAATAAGAGTGAACTAATATTTGGAGTTTCAGCATTCATTTTAGTTGCTACAAAGATCATAGCCAAGGATAGAAATCTTAATTGAGTTTAGTTATTTATGGTTTTACTTTTAATTCTGCAAAGGAATAAATCATAAAGATAGATGGCTTTATGAGAAAAAGGATTATTCAAGTTCTAACAATTATCTTAAATTCGATTCAAGATGATGGCCCTTGTTTTGTAGTTATATTCTTTCTCATTGTATTCTTATAGGTAGAGTGGATTGATATTGTAGAATTCTTTCTATATTGGAATTGGAGAGGATTTAGTCTAAAAGGTGATTGGTGCTGATTCATCATTTTGTATGCTCTCGTAGCAATATAAATCATCTTCATAGGTGTGGAGAGTGCTTTCAGCAGTGAGTTTAACTTTCTAATACAAATTGAAAGAATTAATACCTTAATAATTTATGGAGATTGTAACAAATAGTCAAATTAAGTGAAATCCTAGGTATTTGTTTAAGTATTGACGCATCTTTTGATGGTGCTTGATTTAGTGGATGAGGCAAAATAGTCTAGAGATTAATTGCAATGCCTTACTTGTTGACCCTACTTAATTAAGTCCTAGCATCAGTTTAAATCTTTTGTTGTCCATCTTCATTAATTATTTTATGGCAAGAAATCCTTTAAATAATTGCCTTTTTTATTTAAGACTGAGCGCAATTTTAAGATTTTCGTGTTTAATTTGTATTTTGGAACCAGAAAAGAGAAAAGTATTTATAATATTATAATAATTATAAAATCAATCGACAAATTTCTTTTCTTCTGGTTTCGAAGCTATTGCAACAAAACGAGAAGTGCTAAAGTAAATGTTTTTGGTTAAGAAACATAGGACAACTAGTTTAATCAATAAAATCAAAAGAGTGGTTGCAGAAATAAAAAAGTTTGCTATCCAAATCTAATTCCCAAACAAATTTTCAGGTGTATAATATTCTTGTTCGTCTTGAGTAGCTGCATTCTCATCTCCTTCATCAGGCAATGCACATTAATCACCCATACCCAATAACACTTTTAAACCCTAAAAAAAGGATATCCCCCCTATGGAAACCAACAAAGCTATTTAACATAGAATAACCACTATCAATCGAAACCATCTATCATCTGAAGCATACTTCACTCGATAAATGTAGAAATCTAGAATCCCCGAAAAAAACACTGCAATCAATTGACCTATGATCCATGGCTTATATGAGACTGTGCAATTATCATCCAATCCATTAATTTCAATTACATATGCCACAATAACTCCTGCGATCATTAACATTGACATTATGCATTACACCAAAAACGCAGCAGGTGATACGTTCTTCCACAATGGAGCACTTTCACCTGTGAATTCTCCTTTTTCTGACTTCATGATGTAGGTTTTGCCCCATTGACATTTGTAACATCTCTTCACATAAGCAAATAACACACTCATTATTTAAATATTTATATTAATATAATTTCATTAAAAGAACTAACTCAATAATCCACCAATACCCTACGACGATTATTCCTTTTCTTTAAGTCCAAAGTATTTCACTCCTACTTTATAATATAACTAAAGATATCTTCATAGTATATACATCTTAGAATATAGGGTCTGCATCTACAACAACCTTAAATTTATTAAAAACCAAATCGTATGCTTCTCTGCTCTAAATTCTAATTGATTTCACTAAAAGATGTATGAATAGAGCCTCCTAAGTGACTGTGGTAGGAATTAATTCATGCAATATTTTAACACTTTCATTGAATAATCCTTGTCCAAGTTTACTAATTCATTTGCTTAACAATTTTACATTAACAAATATCGGATTAAGTTATACTGTCTTTCTTACTCAGACAATTACTAATTCCATTTTACTAACATTTGAATTTCTGTATTGACATCAGATAATTATATTAGGTATCTCCAGGCCAAATGGAATTTGTTATGGTTGATTAAATCCACACCTACTTATTAACAAATTTAGTTTTTATAGTTTGGATATTTCTTGAGCACCTTATTTATGAATTGGACTTTCAATTTACTGAATTGTGCAATAGAATAAATTGACATTATCTAAGCTTCGAAATTAATAGATCATTCTTACCAATATTTTGAGAATCCAAATCATCTGATATTTTGATTACTTCTGTTGCTAAATTAAAGCCTGAATTGTCTTGATTGTTCTTAACCAGAAGTTTGCTGGCTTATAAATAAAGAGTGATGGCTCCATCCTTATTTTACTAATTAATGAATCTGGATCCAAATGTTAGTATTTTTTATTCATATTCATAGTATTTTTATTCTTTTAACAATTACTCCTATTTGAGTAGAATCTATGATTGTATTCAGATGTTACTTGTTATACTTTATCAGAATTTGATGTTTCTATGTTCATAATAATTTATATATATATATTTAATATAAGTCAATTAATTATATTAGATTCTTCTTTGACTTATAATTGTGTAATATTTTTAAAGTTCTAAAATAAATTAGATTCTATTTTACTTGGATCATCATCAATAATTAAAAATTGAGCAGTTTTTGCTAAGCTAACTCTCTTTGACAAAGAGCCAGAGCAATTTATGTACTATCAAGGTTAGGTGTACTCATTACTGGAATCACTGTTTACTAAAAAGGAGGAGGTGAAGGTCTTTTTTCGGGAGAGATTGATTTCATTTATTAGGGTTGTTCAAGATTGTACATTGATTATATCTTTCTTGTTTGATTGTAATCTCCCAAATCCTATTTACTTCTATTTCTATCTCTAGTCTTTTTCTTTCCAATTCGACCTTCTTTGCGATAGGTTTGTAGAATTGCTTTGGCAGTAGAGAAATTGATTCCAAATTCTTTGGCTGCCTCCTTTATTGTCGATTGTTTAGAGAGTATGCGACGTAATAGTTAAATACGAACAGATTAATCGATAATAGCATATTTTTTGTTATCTCTGTTCTTCAATTCTTCGTTGTTCTCTTGATGTCTAATTGATAGTTGAATAGAATATTACGATTCAGGTGTGAAACTGTTCAAACTCTCTTCTGAATGTATCATTGATTTTTTATAAATGAGATAAATTTATATATCAAATTATTAAGATTCCCTTTAAAAATCGCGAAATCAATTTATATTGAATGATCAGATACTTTTAGACAAATGAATCTTAATTTTCAGAATATTTTAATATCTAAATTATCAACATATATACGTCATATTTTTGATTATTAATTAAATACTTTACCCATTTAATCATTTTATTTGATTTTGTCTATCCTTCAATTCTCATACTCATTTACAGATCCCATTCAAACATTAGAAGAGATTTTAATTTATATAATTATAAGTTATATATAAACTAAAAATTAGTTGATAATATTAATCAATTCATTTACTATGATTGCATTAATAACGGAGAGTTAATCTGAGAACACATTTTATTTAAATTTGTTTACTTAGGCATGTACTTTATAGGTGAAGAATAGAACCTATAACAAGTCATATCATCATCAAGTTAAGTCAATATTTTAGAAAATTGAACACGAGATTTCAAAGATGATGCAAATTTTTCTACACTGAATTAAGATATATTTTTGATTGGTTTCTTAGGTAAGAATTAATCTCTAGCTAAATATTTCAAAACCGATTTATCTTACAAATTTATTTCATTTTTAAGAGTCGTATATGGTTGATCATCAGTATTCATATCTTGATCATATTAATAATTAACCTTTGAAAATCGTTCACTTGATATTTTATTATGATCATGGTATTATTTTATCCTAAAAATCATCTTCTTCAATTGAGGAGACACAAAATTATTTGTCTTTTGTTTCTCTGTATCATCTTATATCTACAAAATAGGCAACTTCTCCTTTTACTCATATTTGTCAATCAAATATTTCAAAAGCCATTTCGATGACAAACCATATTCAATTACATCTACAAACTATTAACTCGGAATCTTAATAATTCTTGAGTCACTCTTCACTATCGCTGTTGTTCTTCTTATCAGCTTCTCTTTGCTTGTCTTATACAAGTATAATTCATAATCCCCTATTATCTATCCAACACTAAACAAACCAATGTTTTTTATGCGTTTTTGCTTCTGAAAATTAACAAAATACTTATTTTCTCTAATCTTTCCTCCAGCAGCATTCTCTATTGGCTCTTTAGTTGAGACCTGCACTTCCCCTTTAATAATAAGATACACTGAATCTACGATCTACAATTCTTTATATAATACACTCCCAGCTTAAATACTTAGTTCCTCTTGATTATGCAAAATGGATTGTAATTGTTGTTCATTTAATAGATGAAATGGATGCATTCTTGCAATTACAACTTATCTTAACTATAAATTATCAGCCTTTAGTTCACTCAGTAAAGTTTGATAAGCATCAAAAGTCAAAATAGCAAATATGCAAGACTCTTTAGTTATGACGGTAGCTGTCCTTGGGATTCTTTGCTCTATAGCTATCTCTCCAAAATAGTCATATTATTTTTTATAAGCAACAATCCTGAAATTGTAATAGCGATGTAAAATTAACTCATCGAAAGTCTTAGTTGCTCCTATTATAATATTTGATATTTCATTGTACTTCTTCGTTTATGGTTATCCTTTTTTTAATGAACCTCAATTTAATCTTGATTTCGAATTAACACAGCTGCTTCTCCTTGTAAAATAATATACATTTTCCTTCCAGTTTCGCCTTGATTAAATACAACACTGAATGCATCAAATTTTTCAATTGATATGGTTGACATCAATTTAATTAGAATACTGGGATTCAATTTATTACGTATTTATTAAAAGTAATGCACATATTATTCAAACTTATCACACAACAATTATAATTATGAATAGGATCTGTTCTTTGGTTCAATACTCAATATGGCTATAATAGTATCCACATCTGACAAATGTTTACGTTACTATTTATTATTCGCTTAGAACATTGAATCATCACTCTCAGATTCCTCTGAACTAGAAATAAAACTCATAAGCAAAATAATTTTATATAAATAAAATCTAAAATCAAAATAATTTCTATTTTTCTAAATCAGATCCCATAAAATTATTAGTCAATTCTCTTTTAGCTTTTTGACTTAATACTTCATGTAAATTCTATACTTAACTAACCTGAAATTCAATCAATTTTCGTTTAAATTAATTTTCCTATAAAAATCTATCAAAACCTTCATTGGTATCTATTTCCATATCCTAATTTTTGTATCTACTTCTGGCTGTTTCAAAATAGGTATTCAACTCTCTGCCCATAAGATTTATTCTCTTTTTCAATATCTAATTTGATATTTTGTGTTCATCTTCAAATAATTCGCATTTATCCATAATAGTCTTAATTTTTTAACTAAAATCAGTGTTTACAATATTAATAGGAGACCTACTGTCACTAAAAGTGCCAATAGATGTAGTCATCTGTTTGAATTCTTGATGTATTGATGTTTATGGTGAAATCTATACAGTAGTAGGTTATGAGATAAAGATGTTATTAGATGGTGTAAATTATTATGAAAGTGTAACTTTATGTTTGGATTCCGGTGATTTATTCTTGGTATGAAAGAAATGCTTAGCAGTAGTATTCCTTGAGGAATGATGAGATTTAACTTTAAATATTTCAGCGAACATTTTGTCTTAGATTTCTTTTTATCTCTTTATCTTACACATATTAATCTATCCTTATTTCTTGAATTCAGGTTCAAATTAATCATATCTCGACTCCTTATATATATTTACTAAATTTTAATTATATTATTGTTCCAACTTCATTAATTATTCTAATTCTTCTTACTTGATTCTCTTTTAAACTAATTCCTTTAATATTTGTTCTTAATTATCTAATTTTAATTCTTTCTTCTCCACATCCACACTCAGCAGTTTTCCTACATCAATCTCTGGATGATTCCTACATATCTCTGTCAGAAAATATTTAACTTATTCTTCATCTTCCAATTCCACATGATTTAACTCATTTAATTAGTACGATTTCTTGGCTTGCAATTTTACTAAGTTAGCTTTCAAATTGGCTAGTTTATATTCCTAATACAATGGACTTATTTAATGCTATCGAAGTAATTCATCATTTAAATAGGAAGCCAATCTAACCTCAGGTTTCACTGGAGGAGATCTAAACTTATACCGACACTTTTTCTCCGAATCGTCTTTTTATACAGAAAAAGACTTTTGTTTTAATGAAGCCTTCCTTTTTATTTTGTGTCCTTCAGTATTCTTATCTTTTGGTATTTTGATCTTTAGGTTCATTATTCGCTTAGCTGATAAATCGTTGCTGCCACTTTAAACTAATACATTCATACAATACATCGTAGATCGGCTAGCTTTTTGTTGATAAATAGAACAAAATTTTAATCAGTGAAATCATCATAATAAACAGGCTTTTGTCTAATTGGGAATTACTGAATAGTTTTCTTAACCAAAAATCCTTAGAAACTCATTTATTAAATAAATAAAATTAATTATTTATGTAACTATTAATATAATAAATATTTATATCGATCCATAATCTATATTACAATAAAAACCAAGCTTATGTATAAACTATACTAAATGTATATGTAATGGAAATCAAAATAAAGAAACAAATTTATATTCCAAAGAAAGATCTGATATTTTTGATTTTCAATTATTATTTTATGTTGAAACAATCATGAATGAAAGTTAAAGATAATTATCATAGAGTTATTTTCTTTAAATTTATTGAAACAGTTTTCATAATTAAAACTATATTTAAGCATTTCAATTATTATTAAGCAAGAATAAAGTAGTTATTGCTCTAAAAAATAAATTTTATGATTAGAAACCAACATATGCTCTCTTAATATTGATTAGTTCATATATCAAGTAATCTAATAATATTAGTACTTCTCTCGTTGATTTTCATCGTATATTTATAATTGTTTGCACTAACATAAAATTATCATTAATATTCTGGCGATAATAAAATTAATTGATGCGTAATGAAGAAANACATTTTGTCTTAGATTTCTTTTTATCTCTTTATCTTACACATATTAATCTATCCTTATTTCTTGAATTCAGGTTCAAATTAATCATATCTCGACTCCTTATATATATTTACTAAATTTTAATTATATTATTGTTCCAACTTCATTAATTATTCTAATTCTTCTTACTTGATTCTCTTTTAAACTAATTCCTTTAATATTTGTTCTTAATTATCTAATTTTAATTCTTTCTTCTCCACATCCACACTCAGCAGTTTTCCTACATCAATCTCTGGATGATTCCTACATATCTCTGTCAGAAAATATTTAACTTATTCTTCATCTTCCAATTCCACATGATTTAACTCATTTAATTAGTACGATTTCTTGGCTTGCAATTTTACTAAGTTAGCTTTCAAATTGGCTAGTTTATATTCCTAATACAATGGACTTATTTAATGCTATCGAAGTAATTCATCATTTAAATAGGAAGCCAATCTAACCTCAGGTTTCACTGGAGGAGATCTAAACTTATACCGACACTTTTTCTCCGAATCGTCTTTTTATACAGAAAAAGACTTTTGTTTTAATGAAGCCTTCCTTTTTATTTTGTGTCCTTCAGTATTCTTATCTTTTGGTATTTTGATCTTTAGGTTCATTATTCGCTTAGCTGATAAATCGTTGCTGCCACTTTAAACTAATACATTCATACAATACATCGTAGATCGGCTAGCTTTTTGTTGATAAATAGAACAAAATTTTAATCAGTGAAATCATCATAATAAACAGGCTTTTGTCTAATTGGGAATTACTGAATAGTTTTCTTAACCAAAAATCCTTAGAAACTCATTTATTAAATAAATAAAATTAATTATTTATGTAACTATTAATATAATAAATATTTATATCGATCCATAATCTATATTACAATAAAAACCAAGCTTATGTATAAACTATACTAAATGTATATGTAATGGAAATCAAAATAAAGAAACAAATTTATATTCCAAAGAAAGATCTGATATTTTTGATTTTCAATTATTATTTTATGTTGAAACAATCATGAATGAAAGTTAAAGATAATTATCATAGAGTTATTTTCTTTAAATTTATTGAAACAGTTTTCATAATTAAAACTATATTTAAGCATTTCAATTATTATTAAGCAAGAATAAAGTAGTTATTGCTCTAAAAAATAAATTTTATGATTAGAAACCAACATATGCTCTCTTAATATTGATTAGTTCATATATCAAGTAATCTAATAATATTAGTACTTCTCTCGTTGATTTTCATCGTATATTTATAATTGTTTGCACTAACATAAAATTATCATTAATATTCTGGCGATAATAAAATTAATTGATGCGTAATGAAGAAATATAGATTGTCTGTCCCATTCATGATTACGAAATTATCCTACTTGATATTAAAGAAGGTATACCCCTAGGAGAGAGGGCTTGTTGTAAAGACTGTGAAATAAAACAATCATATAATATCAAAAAAGCAATTTAAAGAATCAATGCTTAAAAATTATAATAAACATAGATTATTAATAATAACATAGAATAGGTACTGGCAGAAATAACCTTAATAGAAAAAACAATAAAAGAATTTTGGAACTAAATTTAAGATGCTTTTCTTAAAATTAACAGCTCTTTAGAAAATTAGAAAGCATTTCTAAAAAGGTAATTAAATGATGATAGAGAAATAAAGATTATTTCTTTAGAAGATCTTTAAAATCTTGGATTAATGATATCTGAATTAGAAAAAAATAAACTTAATCAGTAAAGTGAACTCAATCAAGAAGATTATAATCTCTATTAAAGTAATCTACACAATCAATTAGATTAGATTTAGAATATTGTTGAGAAATATTTGACTACATTAAAAGCCACAAAAGTTAAGCAAGAATAGTAAGTTATATTTCGAAATAACTATTAAGTAATTTAATCTTCTTTCTTGGAAAAATGGGTTGATCCAATTATATTTTTGAATGATAATTTAAAGGCTGTATTGTGTGATTGTTCTGGAGTTACAGAACTCAATTTTGAGAATAACCAATTTTTATTCTAGCGTTTAATATAGATATAGAATATAACAGAAATTTATGTTGGAGCTGATTTAACTTGGATATTAACAGCAGGACAAGATGCAATAATATCAATGTGGCAAAGAGAAAATTAGAATTGGAAATTGTGTTAGTAACTTTAAGGACATAGATAATCAATCAATAGGATGATAATTAATGAAACTAAATCATAGGTAATATCTGGGGGATTAGATAGTAAAATTGTAATTTGGAATAAAAAAGGCTTTAAATTAGAAAAGCATGAGTCCTTAAAATAACACAAGAGAAGTGTTACAAGTTTAGCTTGGAGTCACTCTGGAACATATTTTGCTTCTGGAAGTTCTGATAAAAATTTGATTTTTTGGAAATCTAATAATGGATCTTGGATGTTATTTTAACAGATTAGCGATTAACATCAGTCTATGATTTCTGATATTTTCTTTGATAATTACGACAATGTTTATACTGCAGCTGAAAATGTTAAAGTATGGAAACAAGATAATCGTCAGAATTATCTGCTCTAATCAATTGTTAATACTGTAAATCAAGTCAAAAAAATATTATTTGTTAAAGACCATTAATATTTAATTATTTTACAAAAAACCATAGAAATCTATAAGGTTACAAAATATGATATAGTTCACAAATAATCATTAGGTGGCGAGTATAATAGTATTGCAGTTTCAAGGAATGGTTAATATATAATAACTTAAAAATATGAAAATCAATAATTGCAATTGTTGAAATTATAACAGTTGTGAATGTAGAAAAATTAATAGATTACCTTGAAAATTAATAAATTTATGTATAAATATATTAATTTAATCAGCCACCATCCAAATCAGAATGTAGAGAGATGCAAAAACTTAAGTAAAAGAATGGACTTAGCTTGATTATATTTATAATAATAAAATTTGTTCCAGAATTTCTATGGTTTATTTAAGGATGTTCGGATCGATTAATTATAATGAAAAATCATTATGACACCTTGGGCTTAGAGAGGAATGCTTAACCTAACCAAATCAAGAAAGCCTATCATAAATTGGCCCTTCAGTGGCATCCAGTATTAACTTGCTGATGTCTTTTTAGGATAAGAATAGTGATTTTAAGGCAACTGATTAATTTCACTAAATAAATGAAGCCTATACTACCCTATCCAAAGAAGAATCGAAATCAAAATACGACAGAAGACTCTAAACCAGAGATAATCTGAATGAATTGTTTAACTATATTAAATCGTAGCAGGAAGAACCATTTCTATAATATGATACAAGAGATGATTTTATATCACAAGAGGATCGAGAATTCTTAAGAAACTTTTCAAATAAACAAGAAACAGAAACAATTAAAAAAAAGAGAATTCGAAAAAAAAAATGAAAATCTTACCTTTACAAATAAATTTTTAAAAAATCATAAATGGATCAGAAATAATTGTCTCTATAAATGTGGATTGTAGCCAATCCATTCTATTATTTTTCAAAACTAAATACTTTTATTCTAATATATTTAATGTACAAATTTTATCAGTAAATAGTATGTCTCCTTTATCATCCATAGCAACTAACCTAATCCCCTTCGAACCTTATATCACTAAAATATCTATTCATTAATTCCTTATATAAATTTCAATAAAATCAGATCCTTCATGGTTCTTCACTTCAAGAATATTTAAATATTACAAATCTATGTTTAAAGTGTTTCCATTGAATATTATTACCCTTACACCATTAAACGAAGAATGTTTCTTCACTTTCCTAAAATTGGCACAATTTAAAATATGATTAATATCCTTAAGCTTTTACATAATGAAAGTCATTATTCGAAAATTTGTAGAACGAAAACAATCAAGAAATGCAGAAAATAATGGAACTTAAATTGATGAAATCAAATTTAAATTAGTATTCATTTCATTATTTATTAGATTATTCTAAAAATTATTATTATTATTTAGTATATTATAACAATATATTTACAATAATATTAAAATAAATAATCTTATAAAATTATTTCATTTCATTTATGTTTCAACATTTAGTAATTTTTGTTGTGCTAATATTTGAAAATCAATTAAATTAGAACGATAATAAATTATGGAACTATATAAGAACAAATTAATACAATAATTAAACCCTATTTAACAACATTAATGTAAGAAACATATTAATCGAAAATCTGGCATCAAGTACGAATATATAATTGGTAGTGTATTTTCTATAAAAATGATATATTTCTTAAATTTTTATGTAAATTTTAATGACTCAACTATGAACTACCGAAGATGATTTAATTATGGTTGAATTTTGAATAAAGGAAGTCTATAATGGTTATGCTTTCTTTCTTAATTCGTCACACTCGATTAATGCATTTTGAAGTGATTAAGTTAATCTATCATTATCATCTGTAAGCATGACAATTTGATCATTCATTCTACTATTCTCACCTTAGGATTTTGAATATTTTTGAATTTAGACCTCTAATTGTCCTGCTAACAGAGCACATTTATTCTCAAGATCATTTTTTGATTTTTCTAATTTTTCAATTTATCTTTATAATATATCCATTTTTGCATGCCATTCCTCCTTTTCTTTATTTTAAGTAACAATCTATAATTGTAATTTCTATTCTTCAACTTGTAATTACTTAATAATTTAATTTTATGAATCATAATCATTTAATCTAAGTTAAATTTATAATTTTACTTCTATTTCAAATCCAACAATTCTCTGTTCTTACTTTACAATTACTATTATAACTCTTCCTATTATTTATTTAATGCTTAAATTTTGCTTTCTAATTCATTTTTGATTCCATTAAATTATTTCATTTAATTGCATTCGTTTTGTAATCTTTAGACTTCTTAAATTAGATCTTCAGATTTAACACTTAAAGTTAATTGGTTCGATTTCAAAGAATCAATGTCCTGTAATAAGGTAGTGTTCTTTTGCTCAACATTTTCCTTAATTTACTTAAGATCTTCACATTCCTTTTATTTAAGAGCTAAATTTTGTTTAATAGTGTCAATTTATCCTTTCATTTAAATAATTTATTCTTCAGATCTTCTAGCATCTCCTTCAAAAGCTGATAATTAAGTAACTAATGTTTCTAAACGTTGATTAGCTTCCTTCAAATTATCAATTTCATCATTCTTAGTCTTGACCATATGCTTTTATCTTTCAATTTCAGAGGCTAACAATGCTACTCTTGATTCTAAACTTTCCTTCCAATATTAGAATTAAGCAGCTTCAGCCTCTTTGATTTTCAATTTGTCTTTCAAATCATTCAATTAATCTTATAATTATTAAGAATCCTCAATAATTTTGGCATAATCTGTTTCAATTGCTTCTAATTTCTTTAATCTCAAAACTGCATTTTGATTGGTAACCTTTAATTAGAAGTTTTCTTCTTGAATTTCATTGATTCTTTTTTGGAATTGATTCAATTATGAAATATGTTATTCATTTGCTTATTCCAGTTCCACAATAACTTTGGATCTTTCCTGAATCTATTATTCTTGACTCTTTAATTGCTCTTAAGCGTGTTACAAATCCTTTAAGTGTTGATTGGCTGTCTCTGTAGCTTAAGCTACTTGCACTTGAATATTGGCCAAAGAATTTTAACTAAAAAAATATATAATTAATATACTCTTTTTAAACAATGTTTTATAGATCTTCCCATTGGTTTCTAAAAGGTATTAATTAATTAATCTTAAACTCTTGATTCTCATTTTATGTCTAGAGAGCCTTTACTTGACTACTCAATTATTGGTTTTTGGTTTATAATGCAAAGTTTTCCTCTTAAGATTATCCTAATTGTCCTTCCACAATCATTACTTTTTAACCTAATCTTTCTGCTTCAAGTGCTTTAACTTCTGCCTTACCTAGACGATTATTTAATCTATCAACTTCCATCTATAATTAAGTCAATGTTGCCTTTATCTCTTCCTTTTCTGATGCAGCCTTTTCATATTTATCAACATATTCTTATCTGATCTTTTAAGTATTTTCTAGATCAGTTCCAATTAAATAATTAGAGGTCTTTAATTTGGCAATATCTTAATCTTTTACATTACTAATGCTCTTCAATGAAGCAAATTCATTCTACAAAATTTAATAGTTCTTCAATTATAATTGATATTTGGCAATTTTTTAATTCAATTTATCAATATCTGTATTTAATAATATCATCTCATTAAGTTAGTCCTCAATTTATTATTATAATTAACGATTTTATCCTTACAATTCAGGTAAACTCTTTTCCAAGAATCTCAAATCAGTAATTCTAGATTCTTAGGTATTACATCTACTCCTTAACTCTTCACATTCTCTCACCTTATTTTGGAAGGCTAAAGTTAATTTTTGATTTTCCTTTAATAATTCATCAATTCTCTTTTATAAAGGTGTTAAGTCCTTGTCTGCTAGTTCTTATTTCAATAAAGGAATTTAGGTAGCTGTATTCAAGAATTCTTATTGCAATTTATCATATCTACTTTAGAGTTATTGCAATTATTGTTAAAGCACTTCATTTGATTGGTTAACATTTTGAACCTAAGGTTAGCTTTAAGATTACTCTCTTAATAATTAATTGAGCCTTTCGTTATCCAATTTACTTTAAGTGAGTTATGCATTTGCATAAGTATATTTTTCTTCGATACCTTTTAAATCATGATTTAATTATTCTGATTATAAGTATTTTCTTCTCTAATTTTCACAATCTTCTGTCTTTATTTGCAATTGAATTTTTAAATATTATAAGTCTTGAACCATTTGATTTATTTCTCCTTGAGATTTCAAATTTTGCTCAACAGATTATAAAGAAATCTTTTATGAATTATTCTATTCATCTATTAATTGATTTTTAAGTTATTTGATTTCATTATGTAATTTGGTATTCTCAGTGTTCAATAAAGCTTGTTGTGCTTCTAATTCTTTTAGTTATTTCTTAGCTTCAGTAGCATCAACATAATAATTACCAGCTTATCTTCTCCAGTCTTCAACTTCTTATCTTCTAGCTATTAATTATTTCTATAGCAATCTCATTTAATCATTTAAGAAATCACAATTTGTTTATAACTCTTAATTCAATTTCGATAATAGATCCAATTCAGATGATAATTGATTAGATTTTAATGCCCATTAGTTCACTTCAGTTTTATCTTCAATGCGAGTTTCTTATGTAATTTCAATTGAAACCATTTATTAAGATAATAACATGTATTACTTACTTTATTTATCATATTGTTCTTATAATTGAGCAAATTCTGCTTTTAATTACTCTATAACATTCAACAATGATTTAATTCGAGCCTCTAATTCACTTGTGTCTTTACTTTTAGGTTGTAATTCAAATTATGTTAATTTTCTTCTTAGATTTTAGATTTCATTATCTTTCAAAATGATAAGCTCATTGAGTTTCTTATTATCAATTTCAAACAATTTTAATTATTGAATTCTAGCTTACAAATCTTAGATTTCAATTTTATTAGCTTCAATTTAATCTTCTAAATATTTGACTCTTCTAATTAATGTTTGATTTTCATTATTTAATTGTTTGATTTAAGTAGTCAAATATTTTGTTTCTTCCAATCTTTATTGAATTTAATTCTTCTCAATTTCTAGATTACCATATTTAATTTTGAGTGCATCCAATTAATTCTTTCTATCATTAGCTATTTGTTTGAGTTCTTCAACAGCTACAATTAATCTTTTATTTTCACTCTCAAATTCAATTTTTAATAACTTTTCATGTCTCAATTCTCCACAATTATTCTCTAATCTAGAAATTTCTTTTCTTAATTCTGTCATTGCTGTCAATTATACCTATAACATTTCATTGAGATTGCCTATTTCTTAATTCAATACATTGATTTCCAATAATTTATTTTGTAAATTAGTAATTTCAAGATTCTATTCGTTAATTAATTTACTCTTTTATTGTATGGTCATGCTCAAATTATTTAATTATTCCTGTAATTTGACTATCTTCATCTTTTAAGCGTCTACATCTTATTATTTTAATTCTACTTCAGTTTCCATTTACAAAGTCTTCTTTCTCCATTCATCAACCTAACTTTGTAAATGCTGAATCAAATTTTTCAATTTCAGAATTTCAGCGTCTCTTAATTTGATTTCAGTTGCATTGTTTCTCTAGGCGGCCTCAATTTAAACAGCATTAAGTCTTTCATTGAGTTCGAAGATTTAATTTTATAATTTATTTCTTTCATCCACCATTTCCCAATATCTATCTTACCATTAATTAGCCTAACCTTCAAGTCCTTTCAATTATCCTTCAACTTACATATTCTTTATTTCAATTGCTTAGTACCTACTCAATTCAGTTTCCAATTTATTGTATTTGTCTCTCCATTCATCCAATTCTCCTAATCTACTCTTCAATTATACTTACAAGTTCTCTAATACATAGAAACCAATTATACCATAGTTATTCTTTGTCTCCTCAATCGAATTGTTTAATTCATATGTATTTAATCTCACTTTCAATTCGTCATTTTCTTTAATTAGGGATCTAATCTATGCATATAAATCATTGTTCTCCCCGTATAACAATTGTATCTTAGCCTCTTATAATTTAATCTATACAAATCTATACTATAATTATACCACTTCTTCATTTGCTATGTTCTTGTCATACATGGCCATCAGATCCAAATATCGTTTTCTCCACAATTCTACTTCATGCAACAGAGATTGGATCCTTACTTCATAATCAGAGAAATTTTATTAATCTACTTTCTTAGTGACAGTGTATTGAACATCTAAAGGAATGACAGTCTCTCTTGGAGTTGAGGATAATATAAATTGGGATTCTCTTAGCTATGGATTCACGATTGTTTCACGCTGAATTACAGATCCTCCATTGCGCTCTCCAAGTTGAGGAGACAAGTAGCGCATATGCGATTTTGTTAACGATGACTAAATGATTGATTCTTACTTAGAGAAACTCATTTACAAAGATATTTTTTATTAAATAAACTTATATATAAATATACATACATTTTATTTAAGATCTCAATTCTATAACATATATTAATCTAATATAAGAAAAATAAGTCCTTCCTTAAACTCCAATTTATATAATTATAAATAAAACAACCTTAAATGAAGTTTTCTAGAACAGCCTCAACTCATCTCACTAATTTATCATTTAGGTCCAGTAATCCAAGCACTATACAAACACCCTAAAGCAATTCACGTTTGAGCGAGGTTAATAATAAAATTGATGATCTATTAAAAAAGTCAGCGACTTCAATAAACAAATAAGAGTTTAAATTTCCTTCTTAAGAGAAAAAGATAAATTAAACTTACAATTAAACTCTTATAACTGAATAAGCATAAAAAGAAAAAAAATAATTGTTGACGATTCTATTATAGAAAGATAGCATTATAAGGGACTAATAGAACAAAATTGCATAATTGGATTAATAGAATAAGAATTTAATGAAATAATTGCACTAATTCACTAATCTACAACCTTAAATGGAATAATTGGAAGAGCAATGCTAATAAATTATAAAGCAGAATGAATAACTGAAATATGAGAAAAACTAAATACAAACCTCACTTAATTATCTTAAATGTTAAAACATTTAAGTTATAAGTCAAGAATTAAAGAATTCTTTGTAATAACTGCATTAATAAATAAAGAAATATTACATCTGCAATTATAAAGAAGACTACTATAATTTAGAATAAAGTAGAATGACTCTAAAAATGAGCGACTTTGATTTCTATACTATACTAAGGGAATGTTTGGATTGCATTTTGTATATGATTAAAAACACTGACCATTCATTAGACTAATATTTAAATAGAAATACTAAAACTTGATTTAAACTATGTAAATAAATATGCATTTAGATCCTTTAATTAATGTATGCAAATTATTTCTAAGAATTACTACTTCAATTTAAAAGTTGTCACATTTTATTTCATACCAATATTATTTGTTTCAATTTATTTTCTCATTAGTTTTTTGATAATAATTGAATTTAATTATAATGCAAATTCTATTTTCATTATGAAAAAAATCAATATTTTCTCTTAAGTTATTGTATTTAGGAGATGTATTTTTTGAATATCAACTCCTCTCTGAAGTTTTAAGAATTTTAACAAATCAAGAAACTTATTTTCTTTAATTCAACTTGTTTTCAGTTCTATAGGATCTATCATCATTTAAAATTTTTTGATTTATAATTCTAAATAATAAATTAATGATGTTCATATGTAATTTAAAAAAAAAATATTATATTATTTAATATTACTTAAATACATAGAATTCGTATTTTAGAGTAAAAAAATTATATGCTTGGAATAAATCCTAATTATTTTAATATTTTTAAACCATTCTATAAATAGTTCATAAATAATTATATTCTTCATTTTCATAAATTAATCTTAGAAGCAATTAAAGATTTAAATGAACAAATATATAAAATGTATTATATAATCAAGTAAGCATACCAAATAAATAACATCTAAAATTTATCGTCAATGCGATATTAAGGAGAGTGAAACTGATATACATGCTTAATTTATGTACTCGGTGTAATATAATTAAAAGATTGCCATAAATAATTATTCTGAAACTATCATAGAATTGATGTATTAATCAAGAGTGCTATTAAAAATGAAATAATTTTACTAATTTAAAAATAATTGTTTAAAAAATTATAATTAAAATGAACTCTAATACTTTATGAATAGATTGGAAATTTCAAAACAGATTAAATATTTGAATATAATATTGAATAAATTAGTAATAAGATCATAAATGAAGGTTTAAATGTATCATGGATTTTGGAGAATAAATAGGGAACATAAATTTGAAATGAGTTAATTATAAAATATAAAAATTATAATATATCAAGATGGAGAATAGGCAATTCGAAGCTATACAAGTTTAATCTCGGAATACAGTGAAATAATAGGAAGTAAGGCGGTATTATGATAAAAGGACCTTTATATATCATTGCCAGATTTATATATTAGAAAATATGTGCTTTCTGAAAAAATATGTGCATTGAAAAAACCATACATTCCGAAAGTGAATATGCACGATCATACAAATTAAGAGGTATAGGTGAAACGTAATTTTAGATTCTTAGAGTACCTAAGGTTTGGTAATAAGTGATGAATGATGTACAATTGAAGGCGCTTGATTTTTAAGAGAGGAAGAAATGGAAAGTAAGTGAATGATTGAATTTTCGTAGATAGCTGTGAATTATTAATTAGCATAGGAAGCTAAAGCCACTCATTAGATGTTACAGAAAGAGAGGGAAGAAATTGAGTAATTTGGAATTTGTATTTCTTACTCATTATGCCAGATGGTATAAAAGGCATTCAATTAAATGGGTAGTTATTAATTTATAGGATTAGACGTTGAGGAATCAAATCAAAAACCAATATAAAAGTATTTGAAGACTATGAAGAGTGAGAATTAGGATTTGGATGAACAGAGATATTAAGATGCACTTCAAAAAGTGAAGAGATATTTGTCAACCAATAGAGATATATATGTGTCTTTAGAATCACTATTTCCAGATATGCAATAAACTTATTCAGAATCAAATACTCATGATATTCATTCCAGCGATAGAAGAAAGATTAAACAGACAGTTGAATTCGATTTTAAGAAGAAATATGAGAATCTTTAGGAGGCGTTGCAATTGTTTGTGAACAAGGATATTCCATTAAAGGAGTCTTTTGAGAAAAGCGTAATGAGTATAGAGAGTTTTCCAACTTCTTTGGAAATGATATACAAATACAAAGTGAAATTATATTATCAAGAACCTTGCTTGGATCCAGAATATGAAGAATTATTATATAGAATTGGATGTACTCCTGAATAAGTTTTGAATGATGGAGAAAAGATGATGAAAAAGTAATTTAATTGAATGAATTCTAGAATGAAGATCTTTTCAAGTAATTAAGTTGTGGAACAATAATTACTTCCATAGTTAGAATTAAAAGATCTGTTTCGATACAAATATAATTATATAGAAAAAGATTGTCATTTTATTTAACAGAATGGAAAATTCATACCATTAAATACTGAAAGATTTAATTCACATGCTTAATAGATAACAAAATCCAATGACTTAGTCAGACAATATTTCATATAGTATTACCTTTAATAATCAAATTTTAGTTATTATCAAAAATTCTAAGGAGACTTCAATTAAGTTAGTTAAGCACTATCCTCAAACACAGTCACAGCCAATTTATATTTGTATACCCCGAATTTCTGTGCTGATCTCTATGCTTGGCTTATCTTTAATAAAAGTATTCCATCAAACTCTAAATTTATATTACCTTAACAATATTAGAAGAAATGCGAATCTATTAAATAAATGTAAAAACCTCTTTAACAAACACCTCAATACACTAATATACTAAATGATTATGAATCGCTTATTTAAAAGAAACTACCCACAAAAATACAGCATCTAAGATCACTTCCTTAGAATCCATTTAAATAATATACGAAACCTGTCTTCAAAGAATTGCTAACAAAAATCAAATTTGATGATCCCATATAAGTAAAGACTTCTGGATAAGCTGATTATTCAATGGTTGAAAGACTTTCATTCTCTAATTTGAAGGAGTTGGTGAAATCTGCTAACAATTCAAAAGGGCATATTGAAAAAAGATATAAAAACATATATGACATAGCCAGATAAGATTGCTATCCTATTGAATAAATTAAAAAAGAAATTGTATTTAATTCTTATATTTTTAGAGGAAAAATTATAAGTAACAACAATTGGCAAACTAAAGAATGTTTCCAATGACAACTATGAAATATAATTAACCGCCAACTTCTGGAATGATTAGTCAGTATTAGCAAAAATCAACAATTGAGAATATGAGCACAACTTAGGCTATTCAATAGCCACCACCTACACAATAAGCTGTGCAAATATCAATCTAACAACCATTGTAAACAGCCTAGCCACCATAAGCAGCTCCTCCTCCAGTAGCTCAATCATATAATTAACCTGGTACATCAAGACCACGTAAAACAAAACCAGAAGTTCCTGCTTAAACTCCTTAATAGGCTCCTCCAGTTGCTTAATAACCAGCATCCGCAAAGAAAACCAATAGAAAAAAGGATGATTCAGTAGCTCAACAAGCTTCAGTAACAACTCCTGCCAATGTTGAAACTTAAGAACCACCTAAATCAAAAAGAACAAAAAAATAAACTAAGGCCAATGAAAAAAATAAACAATAATAGCCAGAAGATCGTAAAGATGATAGTGTTTGAATACCTATGTAATTTTTATGTAATTTAATTATATTTTTGTTGTTTTATTATTTTATTAATTTATTAATTTTACAATAAATACATTACGTCATGGCCTCTGTTGATCAGACATAATTTACATTCATCAAAAGACGCCACTTCTCCAAAAAGCGTAAACAAGAATATAAACCGCGAAATTACTCATATATTACATCTGATGCCAAAAAATTGTTTCTCTAGCTCTTTCTATTTCAGAGCTACAAAATCCATGATGTAAGCCATAAAGTATAAATTTAACATAGGCCGCTAACAAGGCTGGGATCAAGTATTCTTCAGCTAAAACAATCCTCTTTGCACACCGGAAATAATACAAATAAGAATTGATTAGAGATAAATTGGCTGCAGTATTATTTTTTTAAATATAGAATTCCATACAAACTAAGTGTTGTGGATATAAACTTAAATAATCTAATCAAGCAGATCCTATTTAGGTAATAACCAGAGTTGGTATGTGACCCTACCAAAATATCATTATTTATTGTATATATTATGAATTAAACTGAAAATCATAAAATTAATAATTTTTCCTGTTAATTATGAATATATTTTCTGAGTACTTTGAGAATTAAAGTAGAATTTAGCATTCAATACAACCCTACTAGTATCAAACAGGTTGACTTTAGATATATAGAATTGTTTTTTTATCGATTTCTATTTCAATTCATGAATAACTTATATGTAATATAATCAAAAATACTGATTTAAATAACTCTATAGAAAATATATCTTTCAATCTTTAAGTTAATAAATATAGTCATACAAATCTTTGAATGAAAGTTTTAGAAATTCCTTTAAGAAAATTGCTCAAAATCAAATAGAAAATTGAAAACTTTAAACAAATTTCTTACAATCAATTCATTTTACCAAAAATATTTCTTGATAAAGTAGGTGGTTAACTCATTATATTTCTTTTCAATTGATTCTAAAATAAAAGTTCCATCATCAAATTATCAAAATTTGAAATTTAATGGAACAAGATATTAAGACAAGACAAAGCTAAACAATAAAGTACTGAAGTTGTCAAACTATAAAAGCGCCAAAATTAAGAATATAAGGTTTATTTTTATTGGTCAACCTACATTTAAGAATTGATATATCTAATTAAAATCAATTTATACAAAATGAAATTCTTTCAAAAACATAAATTTTACTGAATCAGAAATTATCATATACTCTTATAGAAAATTAGTAATATACTATTAATTTTTGGTTAGTTAAAGTAATCTAAAATTCCAAGTAAATTGTGTCTGATAAAACTGAAACTTAATAAATAATTTAGATATTATAATCAATTTTGGAAGATTTGTGGCTAATTTGCATTAATTAACCGTGAATACTATTAAGCTTTTCGAAAATTGTTTAATTATGCTAGAGAATGCACTTGAAATAATAAATTGAAAAAACCTTTAAGTTTTATTATCTCTTCAATATTCCAAAAGCATTTAGAAATTCCTTAATCACAGCATTATATGGAATCAACCCATCTTCCTTAAATCTCTAGAGCTTCAACTAATCATATTTTTGTTAGTACTTTTTTTGATATAGAAAGAACTTGTAGTTGTAGTGTCGTTATTTTTAATTCCATAATCCCAACATTAAATAATCTCTTCATATTTTGCTTATTTGAATAAGCATTTTGCTAAAAAATTATTACTTTAATTACTTTTCGCTTCATAAAAAATCAAATCATTGAATAAACTAATATAATGATTGGCCTCTTCAATAATTTATTCTATCTTTTCTTAATCTTCTAAAGCTTAAACTAAATTTATCTAATGAATGTTAACTTTTCTTTGTATAAAACAATTTATTATTTGGATTATTTTTGATTCCTTCTTCCCAACATTCAATGATTTCTTCCAATCTATTTAATTTTTTTAAATAATTAGCTAATAATTGCTAAATCATTACACCTTTATCTTCATAATAGATTAGAGCTTGTCTATGCATATGTATTCCATAATTCAAACATTTGATGACTTCATCCCATTGCTCTAATTTTTCTAAAGCACTAACTTAAATAATTAACTGTCATTCTACCTTTAGATTTGATGTAAAATGGATTATCATTTCCATTTTATATTGCTAAATCCCAACATTCAGCTATCTTTTCTTAACAAATTGTTTCGCCATAACATTATAATAAAGCTTATACTATATCATTCAAACTTCGAATACCTTTTTATTTATAAAAAAATGGATCTGTTTTATTATTTTAAATTCCTAACTCCCAAACTTAAATAGCCTCCTCTAATCTTTCCTATTTTTCTAACTCCACAACTAAAAAAATGCGAGGATATTTTGTACATTTATGTGCATAAAATATAGGATCATTCTTATTAAACATTATTCCTTAATCGTAACATTTAATTATCTCATCGTATCTCTTTTGTTTTCTTAAAGCACAAACTATAAACACAAAGCATAACAACCTTTCGAGTGATAAAAGGTAAAATCATTTCTATTATTTTAAATCCCTTATTCCCAAGCATCAATAACTTCACTTTGAAGGCCTAATTGATTTAAAACCCTTGCTAATAGGATTTATTAAACTATTTATACTTTTGGCTTTGTAACATTCTAATTCATTTTTGTTTTCAAATATTGCAATATCGCATTATTTTAAGGCATCATGTAATCTACCTTATTTTATTAAACAAGAAACTATAATTAGATCCTTTATACCTTCTGTAGAAATTGATTGGTAATCAGATTTTGAATTCATTAAGGTAATTAATTATTCTCAGCTTAATTAATTATTTATTTAATATACAATTTCTATTATGTTAGAATAGAAATGTGGCTGTTCACCTGATCATTAAGAGAATATAATTGGAATTTGTTTATCAGATAAATGCGTGAATAATGCAATATTTTGCTATTTATGTTTAAAATAGTTCCACTCTGAGCACTAGCAATAATGTCAGACTTTTAAAATTCTCTACAACTAACTAATCCTTGAGTAAAACGAACTTTAAATTTATGTTAATTATGTAAAAGAATTTAAGGTGATATTTGATGAAATCTATAAAAAGCAGCTAGAAAAAAATTAAGAAAATATTGAAAAATTAAATTCAATAAATTTGCGTATGAAAGACAAATCATATTATCCAACATATTCAGACATCCATTTTCTAAAAAGTAATAAGGCAAGCTTATAAAATTTTAAATGTAAATTACAAAAATTATCTGAGCAGAATGGATTTCTAGATTGGAGTGGATTGAGAAATAAGTTTATAATTAGAATGATTATAATGATCATGATCAGAATGACGATAAAACTGAAACTTTGAAAGTTGATACTGAACAGGACTAAACTGATAATTAAACAATAGATCCCTAAAGTGTTGAAATAGACTTAAAAAAGTGTAATACAATAACTAATAATATATAAAGGTGAAGAATTAATATAACTCAAAGAATACTCTTTAGCAATACAAAATATGTAGAAAGGAATTGAATTGAATCCTTAGGGAGCAATTTAGTTAATTTAATAAAATATTAATCTGATTAACAGTTAAAATCTTAGCCAACTTGAAGCATCAAATCTGAGGGACATCATTCATTAAGCAAAAAAAATCATTGATGAAAATCAAAGTTTGGAAGAAACCAATAATTTATCAGATGATAAGAAATAAGAAAAATAAAATGAAATCATTGAGATAGAGAAAACTTTTAAATCTTACTTAGTGGAACTCAATTAGATTATTTCAGATTATTAAGATGGCAAATATTAAAAAGAAGTAATTCATGATTTGTTTATNTGTTTTCTTAAAGCACAAACTATAAACACAAAGCATAACAACCTTTCGAGTGATAAAAGGTAAAATCATTTCTATTATTTTAAATCCCTTATTCCCAAGCATCAATAACTTCACTTTGAAGGCCTAATTGATTTAAAACCCTTGCTAATAGGATTTATTAAACTATTTATACTTTTGGCTTTGTAACATTCTAATTCATTTTTGTTTTCAAATATTGCAATATCGCATTATTTTAAGGCATCATGTAATCTACCTTATTTTATTAAACAAGAAACTATAATTAGATCCTTTATACCTTCTGTAGAAATTGATTGGTAATCAGATTTTGAATTCATTAAGGTAATTAATTATTCTCAGCTTAATTAATTATTTATTTAATATACAATTTCTATTATGTTAGAATAGAAATGTGGCTGTTCACCTGATCATTAAGAGAATATAATTGGAATTTGTTTATCAGATAAATGCGTGAATAATGCAATATTTTGCTATTTATGTTTAAAATAGTTCCACTCTGAGCACTAGCAATAATGTCAGACTTTTAAAATTCTCTACAACTAACTAATCCTTGAGTAAAACGAACTTTAAATTTATGTTAATTATGTAAAAGAATTTAAGGTGATATTTGATGAAATCTATAAAAAGCAGCTAGAAAAAAATTAAGAAAATATTGAAAAATTAAATTCAATAAATTTGCGTATGAAAGACAAATCATATTATCCAACATATTCAGACATCCATTTTCTAAAAAGTAATAAGGCAAGCTTATAAAATTTTAAATGTAAATTACAAAAATTATCTGAGCAGAATGGATTTCTAGATTGGAGTGGATTGAGAAATAAGTTTATAATTAGAATGATTATAATGATCATGATCAGAATGACGATAAAACTGAAACTTTGAAAGTTGATACTGAACAGGACTAAACTGATAATTAAACAATAGATCCCTAAAGTGTTGAAATAGACTTAAAAAAGTGTAATACAATAACTAATAATATATAAAGGTGAAGAATTAATATAACTCAAAGAATACTCTTTAGCAATACAAAATATGTAGAAAGGAATTGAATTGAATCCTTAGGGAGCAATTTAGTTAATTTAATAAAATATTAATCTGATTAACAGTTAAAATCTTAGCCAACTTGAAGCATCAAATCTGAGGGACATCATTCATTAAGCAAAAAAAATCATTGATGAAAATCAAAGTTTGGAAGAAACCAATAATTTATCAGATGATAAGAAATAAGAAAAATAAAATGAAATCATTGAGATAGAGAAAACTTTTAAATCTTACTTAGTGGAACTCAATTAGATTATTTCAGATTATTAAGATGGCAAATATTAAAAAGAAGTAATTCATGATTTGTTTATAATGAAAGATAGAACAAAAAATACATCAATAGCTTTATTACAATTAAATCTATCAAGGCAACATAAGCACTGATAAAACATAAATTAGCATCCTTTTCTAAGAAGGTGATGTACTATTTACACAATAACACTATGAAGAGGCTATTAAAATCTTTAATAAAATTATAGACATAGATTCAAAGAATTCTACTGCTTATAGAAATAAAGGTATAGAAGCAAAAATATTAGCTTAATGTTTAAATCTTTTGGAACGTCATGAAGAAGCTATGGAATATTCAAGCTTAGCTATATAAATTGATCCTGAAAATTTTGAATCTTATCTTATAAGGGGTATTAATTAATTTTTACTGAAGGAATTAGTTAACTCAAATTAAATCTGTATCAAGAAGCAATTGATTCATTTTAAACGGTTCTAAATTTAGATAATAATTAGCATACAGCTTATGCCTTAAAAGGTAAATTCTAATTAAAAATCATAGGATAGGCTTTACATCATCTAAAAAGATTTAAAGAGGCAATTACATAATTCGATCTTGCCTTGTTCATCTATCAAGATGTTTCATATCTGATAAAAAAAGGTATAAGGTGGAGTTATATTTTAGCGGATTCATTATTTGAGTTACAGGAATATTAAGATGCTGTAACAGCTTATGAAGATGCATTGTTAGCAGGAGCCGATGATGTACATTATATTTATGAGAAATTGAAATCAATATAAATTAATTGATAAATAATACCAGGTTTTTTAATTATTTCTCGTTTTTTTCTAAATTTAGATTTCTTATTAATATGAGAATTGTTCTGCCATATGAGAGAAGAAAGATATTAATATATAGTATTGATATTTATTTGGTCAATTTCCCTTTCAAACCCATTACAATCGAAACAAAATCTTGTTTGATATATATGTTCAGAACTGTATAATTGGCAATTAATCCAAGGATATTTTTTTATTGTAATTAATAATTTGACTAATATTTAATAATCGGCTATTAATTTCCAAACAGAATATTATTTAATAACAAACATTGAATAATTCTCTAAATAAGAGCTCCTGATCGTATTCCCCTCTTTGGGTCTAGATCTGCCGATGAATAAAGATTTTAAAATTGGGTCCTCCCATGTCACCCTTCTCTATAAATGACCTAATCAAGCATCCAGCGC